AAGACGACGCAGGATGGAGGGCTTTCAATAGAATCCTTCCAACGCGCTGCAGTGCTTCGAGGCAAACGCGAGCTCTACGCACCTTCGATGTACTGCGCGACGTGCTTGCGGATGCTCGATGCCCCCTTGCTGTGAGAGTATGCTCCAACACTGCCAACATCGCGTAGGATCTGCTCAGCACGAGCTCGGGCATCGGAGGGAAAGAGATCTGACAAAGTGCCGGATTTGTTCTGCAGCAGGTCGGGGTACTCGGTCAATGCCGCAACCTGCATTCACGAGAGGAGGGGGGGGGGGGGGGGGGGGGGGGGGGGGGGGGGGGGGGGGGGGGGGGGGGGGGGGGGGGGCATGACGCGTGTCAGTCAGTCGTCTGGGTGCTACAACTTGCGCACAGCCCGCTTAGCACTGGCCATCACATTCGTCACTGACCTGTCTCCAGAACGTCAGGGGCTTCTGCGCTAGGTAAGGTTGCTGTTGCGGATTACCGATGTTGGCGGTGACGACGCTATCGAAGCGAATGCCATTCTCCTTCTTGACCTTTTCGTGATCCCCCGAAGCCAACAGCTCTGCATATTTGTTGGCGCGATTGGACAATTCTCCTCGTACAGCGTACTCGACGTTGAGCACGTGCGGGTTGATGCTCTTTTCCGTCAAGACGGGCTGGTAAGATGTTGAAGCTGACATCGTAAAGGACTTGATCAGTCCCGGCACAACCTTGGAGCGAGATTGGGAGCGAGGAGTTGATGCAGAGGAAGCGTGATTAAAGGATGAAGATTTGTACCCAAAGACGGCGAAGTGGGAGAGAATGTGTGCGGATGATGAATGTTTCCCAGGGGTGGAGGAGAAGAGCGTGGAAGCTAGGCCGATGCGAGTCATGGTGCTTTGAACAGCCCTCCAACTCCTCCGAACAGTCGGAGATTGTGCGTGCGGAAGGAAGCGGGCACGGGTGACCGGATGAGAGGAACGATTAAGTTGAAATGCAAGCCTGTGCAAGCTGCAGGCAGTCTGGGCCCCCAGTCAGAAGCGGGACCGCGGCGTGGGTGGATCAAGGGTGGTGCAGGTGCGTAGGTGTGGTCAGCAGGGCTGCCTTATCGATCTCTAGCCGATGACGCTAATTCAGCAAGGTCTGCTTGGTGGCTGCCGTTATCACGAAAACGTTGCAAGCGGAGCTTCGATCCGCGTACAGTCGTGAGTAGCTCTCGTCTTTCGCTGCTGCTGAATTGAATTGAATGTCAAAACGCAAATCCACAGGCAACGGCAAAGTTGCACAAAACCTCTCGAACAAGAAGCCGCCAGCATCACGTAGCTTAGCGAAGCAGAGTGACGTGACGTGACGTCCCGGCCGGCCGGCCGGCCTCTGAATTCCTGCTGGTTCTTCTTGCGTCTGCCGCCGCTTCTGTTCGCGCAGCGCGTTTTGCCTCTCGCACAAGTCTTATAGTCGTGAGTTGCTCGGACTGCTGCCGGCGCCTGCTGCTCCAATCGCGCTGCATGCGAATGTGAATGCTGAAGATCCGATGACTCACCTCGCAACGGATTGACGATGGATGACTCACGATTGTGGAGGCGTCTGCTGCCATGCATGCAGTCGCGTGACCGCCGTGGACGGAAAGATCGAGATGCTTATCATTCTCGCTCTCGCATTCGCATTCGAGTTTAGTCAAGTCGACAGCGCTCAGCTTAACGCCTGGAGTTTGGTGTACTCTTGCGACTCACAAATGCATTCTTCAGCATACTCGTGACTATCAAGCATGCGCTTGTGTATATCATGACGCTTGTGTGCGTCTGCGAACCCGGCAGATGAAACCGCTCTCGCTTTCGAGTCTCTTATCGGCAAGTCTGTAGCGCATTCTCCCTCTCGAAGCAGCGATGCATCTCTAGTCCTCACCACTGTAATGCAGGCTCGTCGGGCATGGCCATCGCTCAGGAGAGCGTGTTGATTGATCATTGGTGACTTGGGTACATGCGGCAAGGGTGGTATGATAGGATGCTGAGACTTGGAGGGTGGAAAACGCTTGCGCGTGATTGTTCGTGGTCAAGAGCAGTGACAACACCACAGGGTGTGAGGATGCGGCGAGGCGTGCGCCTTATGGGCATTCTTCCACGAAGCGATTCACAACGAGAAATATGGCTGCGGATTACTTGAGATGCTGGCGGGACACCAACTCGACACTTCATCTGCGCACGCGATTGACGCTCGTCGTTGAAGCGCCCATTCCGATAGGTCCCCCTCCTCGCTTAGAGACCCAGCCCCAATCAGGATCAAGTTCTTCCTTTTCTTTCCTTTCCTTTTCCTTCTGCAGGCGAACACGACGCTCCTTCTCTTCTCTGCGCAAGCGCTTCTCTCTGGCCAATTTAGCCTTGGCCAACTCGGCTTCGATGACACCTTTCGACGGTCTGCGAAGCCCTGTCATGGCCTGAGAGATGGTAGAGGACCACAGCTCGGAGTCGTCTAGCTCGTCTATATCCTCGTCCGTGTCATTGAAGTCGTCCGAAGCATCGCCTCTACGAGAAGGCAGAGCGCCGAGAGAGGCTGTTCCGCGCAAGCCTTTGCCGCTGATCCTACCGCTCTTCCGTGCGTTGCGAGGCACATTAGCGCTAGATGTCGTGGCACGCAGACCGGGCGAGGTAGTGTCATGCGAACCATGTGCGGTTCTGCTGCTGCCCGTTGTGCCACTCCCGTTGCGTGTGTTGGCTGAGATGCCACGCGTGGAGGAGGAGCTCTTTACTTTAGCTGACATCACCTCTTGTCCAGCCGCACGCGTCGTGGCACGCTTCTTTTGAATGGCCGTGAGCCTTTCTTCTTCAGCCAGCTCCTCCGGATCCATAGCGTCGCTATCGCTATCGCTTTGCGCGTCCTTCTCCTGCGACTTGCCTTTGCCCGCCTCGTGTGCTCGAGACTCGGGCTCAGAAGCCGAAGAGCTGGATGAGAAACCGTCCGAGTCGTCATATTGCCATACGCGACCTTCGCGAGGACGACTGGGTCTTGCTCCAAGCTGATTGGACGGCAGAGGAACAACAGAGTATCCTCGCGCATCCGGTCGGCGAGGCAAGGAAGGTGATGGAGCGGGCATGCTGATGCCTGCTAGATGAGAATCCGATGGCGAATTGAAGCGCGGTCTCGTAGGGCTATGGCCAAAGGACGGCGCACGGGACACTCGCGGTGAGGCGGCAGGGGACAAATCGCGGAGCGAAGAGCTGGGCGATAAAGTCCGAGTCGGATTTGACGCGGGCGACAGATTGTTCGAGCGACCAGGAGACGCGGGAGGCGCAAGGTGAGCCATCGCCAGGCCTTCCGCAGGCTTTTGCGCCGTCGGCTTGTCAAGCTCTGCAGCGGAACTTGCGGCATCTTCAGAAGGCTTCGAAGTCGCAGAGCTGCTTGAAGCTTGCCTGCGAGTCTGCGATGGCTCGCGCTGGCTCTTGCGAAGAATGTTTGCGAGTGGCAATGGCAGCGTTGGTCGGCGCTTGGGCTCATGAGGGCGCTTGTCGCTCGGCACCTTCTCTCTGCGGGCATCATCATCCTTGCTCTGTGTCATTTTGGCACTCTGCTGATTTGTCGAGCCAGGAGGCGAGTCGGGTCGCTTCTCCGCATTCGCATTAGCAGTCAAGGCGCTGAAATTGGGGGACAGAGGAGACTGAGCATTGGCGAGATGACTGGAAAGACGCGTGTCGTCAAGCGCCGGAGAAGTTACGCCCTTGCTCTTGTCCTTGTTTCGCGCAATATTTGCAAGGACTTCAGCCCCTAGAGCAGCAACTTCCTCTTCGTGTCGACGGCGTACTTCAGCGGCTTGTTGGGCGTTGAGCATCGGCAGCGTCGCATTGCGCGGCTTGCTGGCGGCAGTGGAGACAGAATCTTGTCCGGGCTGATGAGTGCCAGGACGCGGACTCCGCAGCTTGCCCTCTGGCGAGAGCGTATCGTGCGACGCAGCCATGGAGTCTTCCGCTGCATCCCTCTCCCCTTCGGCCTGTTGTGCAGCCAATGCTCTCCCAGCTGTCGGAGTGCGAGCATCTGCGTCATCCTCCGCCGCAATCGGTGATGGGCTTCGCCGTCTTCGCTTGGGCCAGCTTCGATCAGACGAGTAGCCCTCGCCCGTCGCATCAGCGTCCGCTTCAGAAGCCGCCAAGTCAGCGTCAGCCACGGGAAGGGCCGCTTCGCTATCGTCGAGGTCCACTGGACCGTCAGCGGCGCTTGCACGCTTATCGCCAGTGGCAGCGTCATCAACGCTCTCAACGCTAGGCGCTGCGAGGGAGCGGCGATACTCCTTGGCGAGACCTGCGAAGCCCCACTCGTGCGGCTCGAGGACTTCCTCGTAGTCTGTCTCAGCATCACCAGAGCGCTCGCCTACCCTGCGCGCCTTGATCTTGGTGCCGTCGGGTAGGGTCACCATGCCAGTACCGCCTGGGCGGCTTGCACGGATCATCTCACGTCTCCTCAACCTATCATCTTCGTCGCCAGAGCCCACACTGCTGTTTCTGCTCTTGACTGAACTGGCGCGGGAACTGGCGCGTCCTCGTCTGCGACTTCGTCTGCGCGATCGCGCTTCCTCCTTCTCTGAGGAGAGCATTGACATCAAGTACCTAAACGGCACGCGGGATGATTGTCGACCATGTGAGCCTCAATCAGTGCTGCGCCCGACCGTTCGCAACTCACACTTTGCTTCGTTCGCCGAGAGTGCTCCACCTTCTCGCCCAGCCTTCCTCGTCGCTATCGCTGATGCTGTCACTGTCTTCGGCTGCGCTGCTCATGCCATCTATCTTTGGCAGTGTGCCGTTAGCCGCCAAGTTCTGCAGGACCCTTTCACCATCAGCCGCGTGTTTTTTGCCGCTCGAAGAATCCTTGGAGCCTCTTCTTCCCCCTCCATTCTCGACATCTTCCTCCAATGATGGCGGAAGCATTCCGAAGGGATGCGGCAGAGGTGCAAAACGGATCTTCGGTGGACCTAGACCTTTGCTTGACTGCGAAGTGCTCCGCCTCTTGCTGAGACTTGGACGATGCTGAAACACGCTCGAAACGTCTTCGACTTGCGTTGAAGCAAGCGATGGGACAGAATCTCGACTGTCGGTGCGCCCGCCTGCTATGCTGGGTCGCTTTGGCGAGCTTTGGTCGGCCACATCCATAGTAGCGCTGGCGTCTCTGGAATCTCGAAGCACAGCAGAGTCTGTAGAATGCGTCGACTGCGCTCGTGCTCGTAGCGGTAAGCCGAATCTGAGCTGCCCGCTTGCCAAGGCCATGGCAGCCTCAGCACTTCTACGCGTGTTGATGATCGCGTTCAAAGCTGCAAGCTCCTCTGGGTCCATTGGCTCCTCTTCGGCAGCGTCTTGCTCTTCTTCGATTCGCAAGCGCTCCAACTCGCGCTCACGGCGGTCTCTTTCCCTGTCCTTCTGCAAGCTCTCCCTCCTCGCTGCATCCGAAGTGATGGAGCTGTAGCTTCCCGAGCGACCATGGGCGCTGTTGGGTCTTGACCGGTTGATTCGAGAAATGGGACGAAAATCCGTCGTTCCGCTTCCATTTCCCCAGCCCGCCAGCATGCTGGCCTGCGCATTGAAAGATAGGTCCGGCAAGCCCATGTAGAACGCCTTCTTTGGGATTCCCCACACCTTTTCTTCCGCCTCCCGCTCTTTCTCTCTCAGGCGCTCTCGTTCCTTCTCTCGCGCAATTTCCCGCGCCCTTGCTGCTTCGCGCGCGGCTTCTCGGCGCTCCCGAGCAGACGCGACAACAGGCACCCGCCTGATTGTCAGAGGAGGTCGAGTCTCGTCATTCGCAGGAGGTGATGCCCCGACAGACTCCCACCGCCAGTCGTCCACCACTGTTTTGCGCTGGCCGGGATTCAACAGGATAGAGGAGCGGGGAACATCATATTGCGCCATTACATTATTGAAGCTGGTGGCTCCAGTCGATGGGCCAGCAGTGCGCGGGTATTGTATCGCAGCTGCGCCTCCCCCACCCGGCGCACCTAAGCTGGAGCTCATTTGCATCAGAGCTCCGCTGATGCCACCTGAAGGATTGGCAGAGCGTGGTCCGCCGAGCAGAGAGTACGACGAGGGGCGCAAAGCTTCTTCACTCAGCATGCCGCCAGAGAAGCGTCGCAGCAAGGAGGAAGATGTGCTAGTGCCGCCCTCGGGTGTGACCAACGGTGGCCGCCCAGACTGCGGGCCTGCACTCTTTGACTTCTCTGGACCTACGTCGGGCGCAGCGGCGCTGTCGTTGAGCGTTTCGACCGGTTCTGTGCCCTCCTGCCCTGATAAGGCACCCGTGGCTGTAGCATCGCTCCTGCTATCATCCATCGAGTAAGAGGGCGCATCACTGGCCTGTAGTGCAGGTTCGGCGCTATCTACCTGGAGCATGTCTGAATGGGTGCCTCCTCGAGGTTGTGAGGAGCTAGGCTGCCCGCCATCGCCTTCATGCATTCCAAGCGATATGTTTTGCGCTTGTCTGGCCGATCGACTGAGCTGCGCGTGGTCGTCGTCGTGGTCGAAATCCACGTCGTCGATGGTGACGATTGGCGTCGACGCTCCAGACAAGGGCGCGTGAGACGCGTCTTGCTGCTGACTGTGCCCGGTGTAGGGCAAGGAGCCACGCCTCCCGCTAACGATGTCTTTGACAGTGCGTGTGAAGCTACTGCTGTGTCTTGGTGCTTTGCGAGAAGAGGTAGCTTCGGCAGCTTGGCTAGCGCCGAGGCTCTCCACAGAAGCTCTTGCCGAAGATAGGCCTCCCGCTGTCGTTGGCGCCAAGCAGGAAGCGCTCAAATTGACTGTGCCAGCGTTGCTCGGGGATGAAGAAGGAAGAGCTGGCCGGCTGAAGATGTGAGTCCAGCTGCCTTTCGGGCGAAGCCTGGGAGATGCGTTTGGGTCTGTCCACGACGAGGCGCCTTCTGCGACGACGTTCGATGGACGAGTAGGCGTCTTAGACGAGGCAGACGTGGCTGAGCCCCAAGAGGCCGAGAGCAAATCGGGAGAAGGGTAGGACCCGGCAGCACTGTTCAAGTCAGATTGCGGTTTGGTTTGAGCTCTAGGAACGTCCACTGCCCCTGATCTGGAGGTCGTTTGGTTGGGCGTAGTTGAGCCCGATGCAAGGCGTGCCTCAGGTTGCGAGGTGAAGGCCAGTCCTTGGAACTGCGGCGCGTGTGTATTGAGCGTCGTGTAGTCTGAGTCGAAGTCGCTTTGGTGTTTCTGGGGCTCCGATGTCGATGATGCTCTCGCGCCGGCCCCGACGTGGGTATCGATTGTTGTGCTGAGCGTGTCCATGCCGCCGTGCCCCCGCGGAAATACAATTCGCTAAACAGTTCACAACAAAATAGGTGCCAGCGGCGACTGCCTTAGCCAGGAGCAGCAGAAGCAATAAGGCTGTGCTGCAGAAATCGCACGAGACGCACTTGCGCAGCTATAGCAGCTATACTTGTTTGACTATTCTTGAATAGATCCTAGCTCTGCCTCGATTGTAATGGGTCTATAGTACCGGTAAAGTGTACCGGTGCGCATGCGGCTAAGCCGTTCCGTGCTCTCGTGGAAATGACTTCAAACTTGTTCACGATTTGTATCAAGTCTATCAGTCGTGATCGAGCGAGCAGCCCGGTGGAAGAGCAAGGCGCACAATCTTGAATTGCTCCTGCTGGCGATTCGCGACTGTGGGAGAGCGGTGTCGCGCGTGAGAGCGAGGGACACGGGCGCGTCGACGGGTGATGTGGGAGAAGCAATGCTCAAATGCACGCCAAGACTTTGCTTTAGGAGGGCTAACAATCACAATCAAGAGTTACTGTAAGATCTTGAATGCTGCTGATGCGGCGCCGAAAGCAGACACATCGTTCGCTCTTGATTCAGATTGGCGCGGTCGATGATGATTGATGTGAGAAGCCCTTCTTGTGAGGTCGTGATGGGTCTGGTGTAAGTACGCATATATATACATGCTGTGGTGACTGTATATACGTTGTGTACCGTACCGCTCACCGGTCTCGTCGGCGCACTCTGTCTCGCAAAGCTTTCATCAATCAGACCACCGCCTCAACAAGACATCGCAGCGCGCCTGGATGCTTCAATTACTGCAGCCGGGAGTGTGCGAGCCTGCGGGCAAGTGAGGGCACTCGATCGCGACGACGACCACAGCACGAGGACGGCCATTGGCGTAGACGCTAAATAAGTGCTGGTGCGGCTCACGCGGTTCCATATCGTTGCCCGCGTGTGCAGCTTTTTAGCAGCAATTTTGCCTCGCGTGGGAGCAGAAGCAATTATAAGCACAGCAGCACACCGCCGATGCCGCACGTCCATCGTGCATCATCCATCAGATTCAGCTTCCAAGCGAAGTCGTAGCTGCAGAATCGACCTCTCCAGGCTGACACATAGCGAACGTCGGTGGGAGGACCCCTGGACAGGTGTGCACGCTCTTATAGAAGTTGCACCACGCGGACATTCGAAAGCGTGGCCCCGCGTCGCCAAGCCACAACGTGATGATCTGCATGATTCACCAGCCGCATCAGCAATGAGCAGCAACAGAGGCACACAACGTACAAGATGTCAACGACAAAACCCCTCGAGCACCACACCCAGCCTGAGCCTGCTACGTTTGCGACTTTGAATCACAGTCGTCAATGGGAATAGAAGGTTGCCAGCCTACGTCAAGGAGCACCCACACCTGAGCTTTCATGAATGTCTAATGTCTGCTCACTTTTCAAAAGTCAAGTCAAAGCAAGCTGGGCCGGAACGTCTCGTCGCGAGGCTGTGCAGGACACCGCGCGCCTCATCCGATTCATGTTCACATTCAAAATCCAACCTTGACCACCTCGTAAGCGGAACGTGCACGGTCAATCGTCAATCACCGTGAATGACAGCATTCGTGATTCTGAGTGGAAGAATGCTGCAGCACCTGCAGCTCGAATCTTGCAGCTTGCATACCCGACGAGGTGGCCGCCCAGGTCTCAGAGCTCCGCCATCTCGAATGATGAGTCTTTTGAGTCACGAGTGTGAGTTCAGCGAGCACGCCTTATTCACATGATTTGCCCGCACGCACAGCAAAGAGCGAGGGTGAAAGCATGCAGCAGCAGCATCGGACCAATCCATGCCGAGTTTCGAGTCTAACGTGTTGCCGATGGCTCGCTACATATCAAGAATCGCGACCATGTTCGCTGCTCGCAAAGGATGATGCTGCTTGGTCGAAGGTGCTACAGGGCAACGAGTGTGTCGTAGCTGATGTTTGCAAACTTTGAGTGACAGCGACAAAGGATGTGGGTTGCGTGGCTGCCTGTGGAGAGCGGGGATTCCTGCGAGCACGGACGCAGTCGAGGATTCACATCACTTGAGTCACCATCCGAGGGCAAATGGCACAAGCTGGCGCTTGGGATTCGCCTAACATCGGAACAGACGCAGAGAACGAGCTAGATACTTGAGCAAGTCATCGTTGTATTGATGCCGGAGCCGGTGATAGAATCATTGAATTCATGATCAGGATCCAAGATGCTTCATCCTGCTCTTGAGCGACAAGTCCCACGTGGAGTATGGATCGATCGCATACTCTCGACTGATAAATCACGTGGTTCACCGACCCGACCGAGGTCACGTGGGATTGAATTTGGATGGCGCTGGCGCGCGCTCAGCCCAACGGTTGCGCTCAGCATGCATGCGCGCTAAGGGACGCGCGCGCAACCAACACTTGTCATTCCTGGCGCTTGATTGTAGAGGTTGGTGGAGGAGGGCTATATAGTCTCGCTATCTCGACGAGAACCTTTCCTCTTCCGACCTCCATCACCCTGTTCTACCTCCCATCTTGTAGGATAATCACCTTTGACATTTTGACATTGGCCGGGGATCCAGTCAAGGCGAGCGCTTCGGAGCAGTGGGGCTCGGCGCGGTGGGGGACTCAGCGAACAAAGTTGTGAGTGAATCGTGCATCCAACCCTGCTTCAACCCCCAAAGCGCGCGCATTCGCCGTTCGTCTGACTCGATGCTTGCCATTCGCAGTGGAAACAGGAATGATCAACACCCTCAATCATAGCACTCGAATTTTCCTACAAGATGGCGGACACTGGACTGCTTCCTTCATCTCCGGCCGAGTCGGAGATGCAGGAGCCAGTGTCCGTGTCGACGTCGACGGCGGCGACCAGCACTTCGACCGCGTTAGCGGCCAGAGTGCCTCGGGCCCCGTCGGACATGGACATGTTCCTGTCGGAATTCATGACACCATCGTTGGATGACCAATTTGGGGCAACGACTACTTCCTTTGAAGATCTGCTATCGGAAATTTTGGGGCCATCAGGTTCGGGATCAGAGCCGCCAGTTCCCACAAGCACCGACCGAGCAGCAGCATCATCAAGGTCACACGCTTCAGTAAGCACAGTCCACGCGCAAGGAGCAACTTTCAGGCCAATAGCACCCTTGGGTACGACCCGAGGCAGAGCAGCTTTATCGAGACATCAAGCCATATCCGGGATTGGCTCTGCACGAGCAGCAATGTCCACGTTGGATGCGACATTAAGCACACTCACCACGCAAGCCGCACCACCTGGGTCAGAATCACCATCGAACTTGAATGCCACAGAGCATGCTGTGCCCGACACTTCGGCGCCCTCTTCGGCAACAGCTCCAGCCACAAAGCCGAGCTCTCGACGAAAGAAGAGAAACGCACCAGCGGGTGCGGCCGATACGCTCTGCAAATGGCTTCGCACTGGGTGAGTGACATCCTCGAAAGCAGCATTTCTTTACGCGGCTGACCCGATCGCGAGTTTCTCATCGCCTGCTACCGCTCTTTTGCTTCACATAGCTATTGCGCACGTGGTCGCGGCTGCTGGTACAGTCACGATCTTCCAGACGATGAAGATGCGCCGCTAAACTCTCTTCCTGCGACCTCGTCAAGGCATCAAACCACTGGACAGGGCAGTTCTGTCCACCCAGGCGCGCAAAACGTCGTCGCCATGGAAGCCTCCAGCTCGACTTCTGCCGTGGCAACTCACGGTGCAATACCAATGGGACAAGCCAATGCGGAAGCACCGTCAGAACCGCGCTCAGTAGGCAGAGAGACGAATCCATACAACGTCGGCGGCGTTCCTTGTGCTTCTACGGAGCTCGACGGCATCGCTGGCTCGACGACTCAATCACCAATCGGCGAAGCTTCGGCAGCCGCATCTGGGTCCTTCAAGCACAGAAGCGGGCCAGCAAGTGCCGTTCAGAGTAGGGTAGATCAGTCCAGCGAAGAGCCTGAAGTGTGCTTGATGTGCCAGAACCCGCTCCCCGAGGTAGCAGCCATGTCTCCGGTCTGCGACCACTTTGCCTGTGTCCCATGTTATACGACATGGAGGAAAAGCAAGGGACGCAAGGATATAAAGTCGAATGTCGCCACTAACGTACACAAGTGCGTTCTCTGTCGGAAGGATTGCTGGTACATGTGAGTCGATAGACCTGCATGCGCTCGCCAAGCTCATCTTCCTGACTAGCACCCTTCGAATCTTCCGCCATTCGTTGCACGATAGCATACCGACAAGGGAACGTCTACGTACAGGACCTGCGAAGGATGCGTTCATCGCAAATTGGCTTGAGCAGCACTCGCGCACAACCTGCCGTCACTTCCAGCGCACGTTGCGCAAGACGCGTGCCAAGTACAAGCTCGACCGCCCGGATTGTCCTTTCGGTGGTAAGTTCCGCCCTCCGCTCCAATACTTGGGCAAGGCCACCCACGAAACGTCGACTCATTGTGCTCTACTGCCCGACAGATCAATGTCAATTTGCCCATGAGCTCGATCCGGGCTCGGGCATCCGTCAAGCTCTTGGGTACAATATTGTCGGCGCTCCACGCCTCAAAAACAACGAGCGCAAACACGGTTATGAACGTTACAAAGTTGTCGTCGGGCCTTCCTCGTTCTCGAAAAGCATCGCTGCCGAGGCGGGAGACGGTGCTCCTCAGGAGACAATTCCTGCGCAAGTTGAGGCCTCAGCCGCTACTAGTGCGACGGCAGCGGGCGATGCGTCTGTACATCCAGAACCAACGGGCACTGATATTCCCGCCGGCAATCGTGAAGCGATTGGAGACGATGGAATCTGGGCATTGACGACCTTGGACTCCGCCACCGATTCTACGGTGACGGCAGCAGGCGACGCGTCCGTAGACCCAGTAGACCCAGTAGACCCAGAAGCAATGGAAACTGACAATCCGGCCGGCGATCGTTTAGCGATTGGAGACGATGGATCCTGGAGATTGACGACCTTGGAGTCCACTACCAACTCTAGTGCCGGTGCGGTCGGGACAGAATCTGCTACTCAAGCGCCCACACCCATGGATGTCGACGCTCCATTGTCCACTGCCACAACGGCTGCGATCACGGATGCACAACTATCTCCCTCTGCGGTAAGTCATGACAGTCTCATAGACCGTCCCATGACGCCGCTTTCTGAGATTTGAGCGACTATGCGGCAACAGCAAGGCGCGCAGGACCCTGATATCATCGTAGGGACAGCAACACCACCGGCGAACGCTTCTAGTCCACACAACAGACCCACTGCTGCTCCTGTAGCTGAAAGGACTGACTACAGCCAGGTCGTGCCTGACCGCTTCTTGTCAAGAGAGCTGGCCAAGTACCATAGCGCGTACATGGGAGGCGCTATAAGCTTTGACCGAGCCAAGACGCTGCTCCATGCGGCTGTTTTTCGCGCTTCGACTCGAGCAGTACCCAGGGACCTGTGGTCCACTCAAATTGGCGTGGTAAGCACCGCGCTCTTCGTGCACCTCGAGCAAGGTGGAAGAATGATTCCGGATGCAGCAACTCGACGACGCAGACTTTTGGAAGCTGCTTACCGCGGCGAAGACATTCCACAGGGATCCCTAGGCCCAAACACTGTGCCGGATGTCCCAGTCGCAAGGCGAAAAGGTCGTAATTTGAGGCGGACGCGCATCACGCACACAGCAGGTCACGCGGAACCTCGCGAGACCACCACAGTCATCGACGGTGGCCCCGCAATCACGGCTCTCATTGAATTTGCGGCCCTGGAATTGGGTGACCCTTTGCTCTGGGTCCCTCGCATCTTGCGCATCCCAACTAGGCGAGCGTCGGACGCTGCTATGGACGAGGACTACGGACCGAGGGCGACGTGTCCCCCATCCAATGTCACAATTATGGCTCAGGCTGTTCAAGTTGCCTTAACGTTCGTGCCTAGGCCAGTGCGCATTGCTAGTCAGTTTGGCGTTCCGGTAAAGTCATCTGCACCTCCCGTTCCGACGCCACTCCCGCCAAGTATCGGGCTCTCGGCCATAAAAAGGTGGATCGAAGGTCTGCCTCCCCGAGTGCAGCGCTATCTCGCAGCACGCAGGCCGGAATATCGGCCTCCCGACACGGAGAACGCTGTTCCGGGCCCCAATCAGCGGAACAACAATGTCCGGGAGGAAAGCTATCTCAAACCAGTCTGTTTCTTATGGATCAGTCACTTGGCCGAGAAATTCACCCGCAGGCACGGCAGCATATCGGCCAGACGTGGTGATGCGGTCTGGACCAGCGGTCACCTCCCTGCTCACGTCAAGAAGTTCATGGCGTTGTGCAAGCCTCTGGGTAATGTTGGCCTGGCAACGACCGTGGCTGGCGTCGAAGCTTCATTCCAGCGCATGCCCTCTAGAATCAAGCAGATTCTTCCAAACTTTGCCGCCTCCCTCTGGCGTGCATTGATGCTTGATCGCTCCGTGGCGAGACAAGTAGCGGCTTGGCAGGGCCAACGACGAGCCATTGCGCCTCTGCCCAGTCGCAGTCGCTTTGGAGCGCCGCTACCTGTCTGTCCACTACCCCCTGAATCCAAAGCGGCGGCTGCAGCAACACGAACGGAGACTGACCCACCGGAACAGGTAAGAGATAGCAGTCTATTGATCACCGCATCCCTAGTGCCCAATGTACTGACCTACGCTCCGTCACCTTGAATAGCCCAACTCGCCAACGGGTTGCAATCGCGTTCGTTCCACCACTGCGCCTCTATGGCGATCCGAGCCTAAATTGAGGCTAGCGCTCGACTGAGCGTATGGTGCCTTGAGCTTGGCCATCAGAAAGATCCTGGCGCACCCTTCACCGCTAAGCACCGACTCAAGAACTCCCGACTCTCGCTTTGATCTTGCAAGGCGCGTATACGTCCCTTTCGATCCTTTCCTATTCACGTGATTCCTTTAGCCCCGGCATTCAGCTCGTCAGAATCTTTTCAAATCAAAATGACTCGCAAACCGTCTCCGAAGTTCTCGTCTCTGTTCTCAAGCATGTGACCGTTCAATCTCTCAAGTATCTCGACTCAAAGCTTCTAGAACCGCACAACATGTCTCAGCTATATCAAATCTACTCATCATTGTCACGCGACGAAACGCATCACACATCGCCTCTCATTCAAGAGCATCATCAACGGCGTCAGCAAGTCACAAGTGGCGACTTCAAGGCCACGAAGAGAGCTCGCAGATGCTCCTCTTCAAACGCATTTATCAATGATATATCTCAAACCGTGTCTCGCTGCGCGTACAAATTTGGTGATGTAGCGGATCCAGGAGAAGGTTGCATCGCAAAATAAAAAGATAGCTTCCCACTTGCAAGAGGGAACACATCGCATTTATCGCGGCGCCTCGCCCTTGCCCGAGGGGCCCTCTCGCGAGACGTCAGCGTACAGATCAAAGCGACCTATTCAAGGACATTGAACAGACACCAGAGCGACGCATTGGTCAATTGAGCGCAGGTTCGTTTCCAGCGGCATACCAAAAGAACTCACGTTGAGTGCTCACAGGCAAACCCTTCCTGCAAGCTTCCACAATCTCCTTTTCCAATTTTGCCGTCACTACGCTATCCGTCTCGTCGGTCGTGGCCAAGACGGTGCCCCAGGGATCGACGACGGTACTATGACCCCACGCAGGGTAATACTTTTCTACTTCTAGATCGCGAGCGGATGGACGAGCAGGAGAGCAGCCTAGGACGTAGAGCTGATTATCAGCTGCACGTGCACGGAGTAGAAGCTCCCAGGATCGAGGACCTGTGGTAGTGTTGAAAGCGCCTGTCATTGTGCAAGGAAATGGGGACGCGCCGGCGAGCAAAGTTGTGAGGGCAGCGCTTCTCGGTGTCGAGGCGTGATGGGCAGCTCACCCGGGTAGATCATCCCGCATGCTCCGGCCCTCGATGCGATCTGCGCCAGCTCCGGGAACCGCATATCGTAGCATATAGCCAGGCCGAACCTTCCCAGCGCTGTCGAGGGCACAGACCGGTCGCTGATCAGCTATGTGTCGCTGGACTCGCCCAGAGCTATGCTCACTCACAGCAGTCAAACATAGTCACCTGATCGCCTGGCGACAGCGTCAAGGATTCTTGGAATTTCATGCCTGGCACGTCGATATCGAACAGGTGCACCTTTCTGAAGAGCGAGATGATCCGGCCTAGAACGGGGCAAGTATGGCGGATGAAGACGATCGTTAGACTGCAGTGTGAGCAAAGGGGTAAGAAAGATGCAGAGAGGGACGTTTGCTATCTGACCTTTCTCGTCAAAGACGCTTGCCGTGTTGTAGAGCCTATCATCTTCCCTCTCCGGTATGCTCCCACCAACGACGACGCAACCCGTTTCCTTTGCTAATCGGCTCAACATCACCAGGCTTTCGCTCTTGCAATCTTCACCCAGCTCGACTGCGCCCGCGCCGTTCTCATTGTCGATGCTCCACCTCCTCTTGCTCCTCTCTGCACGTTGCGAGCTCGAGCTAGTCTGACCCTTGATCTTGCCCCACAGACCTCCAAAGTCTTCGGCATACGTAGCAAAGTGCTGCGTGCCGTAGAGGGACTGCCAAATTTCTGGAAGGACGATGAGGTTGACACTTGGATTGGAAGACACGTACGAAAGAACTTTCGATCGGCCTTGCGCCAAATTGTGGGCTTTGTTGGCTGTGACGGAGAGCTGGAAGAGCGCTGCGTTGATAGGCTTCCGGATGCGCGCTTGAGGAGCGTGAGAAAAAGTCGCGGTGGACATGGCGCGAAGGCTGGAATACTCTTGGCACTGGTAGCTTATTGGGACTGACCGTTGTCTCGCGATGCGGGCAAGGAGGGGCGCAGGCTGAGCTTTCAGCGCAGCCGAACGTAGAGCAGTCTGAGTCGTAATTGGCCGACTGATGATAATCATCAGGCTCGGAGGAGCTAAGCCGTCGCAATTCCGATTTTGTGTCACTTGAAAGCCGCACCGAGGCTCAAGCGTGGCGCGATTCCTAGAACAAGTCTGCTTATAGCCTGTCACAATATGGTGGATCGAATCTGTTCCCTCTTGATCACATTCACGATTTGGAAGAGAGCTAGGCGATGGAGGTTGACCAGCGCGCAACCAAGTCTCCTTCAGTCAGAAGAGTATCATCGCTGTGCGCGTGCGGGTCTCGAGTCGTGAGTGGAGGTCTGGTGCGAGATAGCGCGTTTCTCTGGGTACATGCTGCTGTGCTGGTCGTGCGGCCAACGAGTCGCGGCGCAAGGGCAATGAAGTCACGTGACACGGTCCGGCCAACGTACCTTCGAGACGCAGTCGTGAGTGTTGAGTCGAGAGTCACATCGACATCACTACCGTACATACCTTCTTGTCTGTTTGTGGAGCCACTTCTTCGATGTTGCTGATGGCTTCCACGTGCTGCCTTGACATGAGATTGCCGCATTCGGGGCTTCGCAGCGTATTCACTACGTGACCCAACCCCACTTACATCCACAATTTACGACTTGCGCGGACGCGGGTCAACTCTAAGCCGGATCCGCAACGGATATATCTCTGCCTTTGCCGCCTCGCATCTCATACCTGATTGCACTTGTCTCAGATACCTCGCGACACCTCTGATTGAGCATTCCCGTGACCAGCGTGCAGCAGCAAGAGAGGGTTGTCGTCGGGCAGATCGGACGCCGCACGGATGTCCGAGCTGAGATGTAAAATCGAGCTCAGGAGAAAGAAGCGGAAGTTGAATTTGCGACCGGTTCCTGCATTTGCGAGACCCGCTTCTCGCCCCAATCATTTTTCCCTGCTTCTTTGAGGCAGTGAAGGGCTTTGAACAAGGCGCGTTTGTGCATGTCACGACTTCGGACTCCTTCACGCGGATTCGCGATGGACGAGGAAGAAGCGTTCTCCTTGCTGGGGAAGCAGAGTGTGGATCTCGACGATCGCGACGCGAGTGCGCAACGTGACTCTCCAGAGTCACGAGTATGGGCGTTCGGCGATCCCACCTTTCCGATCATAGGCAAGGAGACGTTCGAAAGCCTCACAAAGGCTTCATCGAGGCTTGAGAACAAGCAGATAACAGCACCGGCGTTTGTGCCCCACGTCGACCCATCATGCGGGGTACATCACCCGAGTGCAGCTTCAATGCGACCGCGCTTTGTACCGTGACTTTTTGACTGCAGACGCTCAAAGCGCAGCCATGTCACGTACACAACCAAGGATTGGATGTCTCGGCGGCTCGAAATTTGTGGGCAAGCACGTGCGCCACACTCACCACCAAGTGCGACATCCCAGTGAGGTCCGATCCCGAGCTCACACACTACATGTACTACTAGTGATTTGCGAACGATTAGTACGAAGAGTCTGGCCTGAAGGTGCTGCTGGCGTTCCTGTGATGCGGAAGCGTCCCTGTTGCCCAGCTTGTCGAGCGAGCCTTGACTAGCAGCTGAAGAGCTGTCAAATCGAGCTGCGCGGTCCAATGCGGAGATGAACGCAAAGCTTGGGACTCGTTTGGACCGTGCACAAGATTCAAGACCACATGAGCACCTGTCTATGAGCTCGCTAGAGCCAGCTTCATCGACGACGCAGGCCTCTCCGGTTGCTGGCGTCAATCACTCGCACTGCAATGGATCCTCGAACGATGCGCAATTGCGCGGTCCCGCGGCAGAGGATCGGTAAGGCGTGAGGTGCAAAGAGTGGAAGCAAGATTAAAGAGTGCCGTGAAGAGTTCTCGCTGAAGTAGATGCCTTAGCGGGAGTAGTGCCTGCCGTGGACTCGGACTGAACTTTGGACTGATGTTCACCTGCACCCTTCGGCAGCTTGCAGTAGCTAGGTACTCGATGCAGCAGGCACGGGAACGTGTCGTACAGCCCAAAAGCGGCGCGCCCAATACTCACACGCTTGCAAAGGCTGCACTTGGTGCCTCCATCTTCCCTCCCTCGTCGACGCTCTGGCTGGCTTTCACATCGTTGCCCGAAAATTTAGCGTGCCAGTGTCGAATGCCATTCTAGACGAAGGAGCTTCTCAAGGGAAATAGATGCGTGCTGCCCGTCGACCAAAAACGTGAATGCTCGTATAGCGTCGACTTCGCGGGCTCGAGCAGCGTCGTTTCCCATCGGGAAGGATTGCGCACCTTGCATGACACCACGCTCACGACTCGTTCGGGCACTAGAACGCGAAGCAAGTGAAATCTCATGCCGCTGACTCCCAATCGGTATCACGAAGCGAAATTCCGCTGACCCTCAATTTTAAACTAGGGATCGCTCTGATGCCGTGGGATTCCGCTGAAGTTGCTTATGCTTCAGAGGTATTCGCGAGTCAAGGGCGTTCATGGTGCGAGCGGCATCGTTGTGATACGCGAGTGACGAGACTTTGTCTGGCATCTTTCCCTGAAGGACTGCCGGACGAAGAGGAGGGAACTCAATGACTGTATGTCACTACTACCACTAGCTTTCAAGTCTTGCCAGCAGGTTTGGCGAACCGAGACGCTCCCTCGCAGCCGTAGTGTCTTTGCGCCTCTCTACCTCAGTCTGAGCTCGGGTCGGTGTGTGATGACATCCGTCGTCTCTGGTCAATGCCACCTCAGGACTGCCCTTTGCGCCATAGAGCCCAAGTCAGAAGCGCGACACGGAAATTGTACTTCCGTTTTGAAGAGGTTCCGCCCCGGCGCTCCCCAGACAACGTCGGCACCAATGTGAATGTGAATGTGCAAAGACGACAATCTGCAGGTGTACCGTACCTGCCCAACGGGAGCCGGCTGGACGTTGAGCCTAGGCCATTCATTCACAGACGAGGCACGCCGTTGCCGCTTGCCGAAGAAGGACCGTTACCGTTTCATTGATAGCGGCCCAACCTCGCATGCGTTCGTGCATGAGGAACGGCCGCTCCGTAGTGCAGAGTGCGTGTGAGCGTGCGTGTGCGTCCAGTCGTGAGTGGTACATAGAGTACATAGCACCGGTATAGGGTGTACAGTAGTTTTTGAGCATTGTTATTCTGATTACTAGTAGTGGTAATCCTTCACCGGTCAAGATCGTGACACTGCAGGCGCACTGCAAGTAGGCCTGTCAGGGATGCGTGTCGTGCATCGGCAGCATCACTCGTCGCTGCATGCTGCTGCTGTTCCACTCACCCTTCTGGCCTGCACAGTGTGCCAGGCGGGCGTGTACATATCACCAGTGGGTCTCTCCTGCAGAGGCCGGGGCTCGCTCGGCAGCTTCCATACAGTGCAGCACCTCATCAGAAGCGCGCTCATTGCGTTGCGCTGCACCTGCAATCCTACACTTACGGCTGCTACTCGCACTGTCCCGACCCTTTGACCGTCGGCTAACTTAGCTGAGAGAGCGATCCACGCACCAGGGTCCTGTACGAGGTACCATTTGCCGGCAACCGTCAGCAGTGTAGTAGTAGCTCCGTAACGTTGCCCCCACCCGTCAGCGCTTCCGGCCTGCTTCACTACAGCCCTAGTTGACTGCAGCACTCTGCATAGCAACGCAACCTGCCATCCGCTTCAGCGCTTGTCAAACCATCCGTTGTCTCACCACCAGCTAGACTCCGCTTGTCCATTCGTCACGCCTTACCACAATCTACAAGACCCTCGCTTTCACTGACCAGCTCAGTCTCTTACCCTTTGTCCACCTTCACATCCTTCGCCATCGCTTCGCTGGAAGGTTTGCGAATTGGAGCACTTGGCATCTACTCCGCAAACGCAAGTCGGACTCCGCTGCCTTTCATTTCAGGTCGTACAATTAAGAAGCGGCTCGAGGGTGCAACGCTTCTCGACCCGCTCCGCATTCTCCGCATCTTCACGCAAGACTTCACCACCTTTTTACCTGTCGCCAGCTTCTTAAACCATCTTCGGAGTCGATCTTTTCCGTATAACACGGTAGAAACGCAGCAGGAACAGCGTTCCCACCCGCTTCGTCGCATCCAGCAGCACGCACTTCCGCTCATAGACGATGCCACGCTCGTAAAAAATTCACGCGTGCGCCGCCCACTCGCTTGATCGATGCTGCGTCTCTGATCGCCAAACAAAGTATGAGTCAGCTGGGTGAGATGGCCACGGAATGGGCCATGGAGTCTATTCGCGCTGTGGCCGCGCAAGAACGAAGAGCAGGGAGGAGGGGCCAGTGGTTGAGCCAGGGACTCGGCACAACATCGACCTCGGCACGTCCTTTAGCAGCTCACGAGGACGTGCTCAAAGGTGGAGCAATGAGGCTTGCTCGACGCTGGACAAGTTCGGTGGTCAGACCAGAAAACTTTTCAGCCATCGATGGATCCGGTTTCGTTCAGCCGGATGCTGAGGCGGGACTAGTGTCACGGGATGGTACCATCGTGGATCTATGCATCTGCGTCGTGTCTCTCCTGGGGGCGTTAGCAATCATCTTGCCCTATGTCTTCAGCAAACGATCACGAAAGTTGAGACATTCACTGATTCTCGGCTTGGCTACCAGCGATCTGATAAGCAGGTGAGTGTCCTGTCATGATGCGAAGCCGCCCTCAAAACAGAGCGCGGGCTGAAATGTCACTCTCTCCCACAGCCTGGTTCTCATCGCGTCTGCTGCTTTTCGCCTCGCGGGCGGTGACCTCGCCACGGCTGATCGGTATTGCGACTTTACCGGCTACGCCCTCACATCGTCCATCTTCACTCAGCATCTGTGGAATCTGGCCATTGCGATCATCACGTACATGATCCTGGTCTTGCCCTTGGTGAGTACCTAGTCGAAGCACTGTTGGCGCTCGATTTCTGACACCGCACCTCGGTCCGCCTCATAGCATGCGTTTACCCTCGCGGTGGAGCGACACATGGTCTGGCTTTGGCCCATCGTTTGGGCCATTGGACTCGTCGTCAATGGGTTTGCGTTTGGTTTCGTGGGCTACTCCAACGCGGGTGGCTTTTGCAACATTGCCAGCGGTCGAGGTGGGCGATACTTCAACGCCATCTTCACTTTTGTCCCACGTGGCTTCGTCGTCGTCGTCATTCTCATCCTCTACACGCATCTCTTCTTCTTCTTGCGGAGGACGAATCTTTTCTCTTCCATGTCACATCGGCTCTCGTCTCATGATCACGGTCAGCAGCGCTCCTTGCGCTCGCTGACGGCGCGACTCTCCCGACGCTCAGGTCATCATCCTGGCGATGCGGAGGAGAATGCATTTGGCACGCCCTCCCAACTCGTGGGACGAGATCACAAAGGCTCCCATCCTCCGAACGGCATTCTCCAAAACGGCCTTGAGCAAGGCCCTCGAAGAGGAAGCGCTGCTACAACCACCTCATCTTCGGCACTTGGAGGTGGAAGCACCGTCAGCGGTCAGCACCGTACACCAGACTCTTACAAGGCTTCCGGCGAAGAAGATGTGCCAGCAGTGACTTTGCTCGGCAAAAACGACATTGAGATGGTCGAATGCGCCAATTTCTGCCGCGCTCACGAGGATGGGAGAGGAGGTACAGAAGTGACTACTACAGTGGAGCGCGATGGTCATGCCGGGGAGAGCCCCCTGACGATCGCATCACCGCTCACCAAGACTGCTGAGACACGGACGCCTGGAGAGTCAGGAGCTTTTTCCAACACTAGCACCCAACCCGGCGACGTGTCTTGGGCGTCCACTCTCTCCGCACCCGCAATCGCAAGACCCACACTGCCACACCGGCCAAGCACTGCAGGGTCTACCGGCTCAAAGCGAAGACCACCAGCTCTCGCATTGCACAAGAGACCGTCCACTGCGGATGTCACCCATTCGTCGCGTCGGTTGGGCACCTCTGCTCCAGGCGACTTGGAGTCAGACGAGGATGCAGACTTTGCCGACGATACCTGGCAAGACACCTGGTCGCCAGTCGGCAAGATGAGGCCTAGAAGAGATGTCGTGGACTTCAACATGACAAGCGCGCCTCGCGAGCATCTGAGACATTTCACTTTTTCGCCTGTTGCAACTAGCCGGCCGCCTACGAGCTCTGGACCCACACCCCTGCCTTCCTTGCCCCACTCCCCGAGTCTTTCTGCCGCCGCCTCGGGCGCAAAGACGGGAGCTGCAGAGGACAACATCGCTACTGGGCTTGTTGAAGAGGCTACCGACGGCGAGAAAACAGCTGCTCCACATTACGAGCAAGCGCTTGGAGACGATTGGACGTGGGGAATGGCCGTCGGCGGCAAGACGCCAGCTACAGCAACGGGCCAGCAATCCCGTCACACGAAAGAGACAAGCGCTCGCTCCTCACCGGCGAGATGGTGGCGTAGAAGTATTGCGCGGCAAGATGTCGAGGGCGGACGAACTACGTTTGGTAGCAACAGCAGTAGCACCGTCGACGAGCACCACGTCGAATCTTTGGGCAGCACACTGAATCGTCAAGCCAGCGTCTTGATGTTGCTCTACCCGGCCGCCTACTGTCTCCTCTTCTCCGTCTCCATCATCCGCATCATCACGGATCTTGCGGATCCCGCACCTGGTCATAGACCTAAAGACCCAAACGGCGCGTTGAGAGCCATCTCTCGATGGTTCGTCTTTGCGCAAGGGGCTTTCGACGCAATCATCTTCCAAATCGTTGAGCGCCAATTTAGATCGAGGATGAAGCGCCGTCGACAAAAGGCTGCAGGCGAGGCAGTCGACCCGAGCATTCTCTCGCGCGTGAGGAATTTTTTGGTTCCTTCTACGGCTAGATAAAGTTGAGAACATCGGGAGGGCGCTTCGCTCTGAAAGCTTGAGGCAGCTCGTACGGACCAAGTCTCGAATGGGCTCGGCGCTTGGCTTCTCGCATCGAGAAATCGGGAAATCTCCACCTCTACCACGTTGCGGCAAGCGTAAGTCCAGACGAGGCTCGCAAATGCTATCCATCGACATCATCATCTGTTGTACAGTACACTATTATTGTCAAATTCACCTCTGCAATAGTCATGACAGTCTTCAAACACCGCTGCCACACGAGCTGAAGGGCTAGCGCTTGAGTGCTGCCTTCCGAAAAAGGGCGTTTCTCGGGGGCGCGGGGACGTGTCACACAGCATGAGTAGTGGTAGACCAGCATGACCATTTCATGGAATGGCCGCGCCACGCGTCAGCTTTTGTAACTAAACGTCACGCGATGTGAGAGGGGGGAGTGGACACTTGGAGCAGTCGTGATGGGGGCAAGCAATCGCATGTTGCATCGCAGTCGGCACGAGCTCTTTCTCAGCGAATTGCGGAGCCGCTGCGCGGCCTAGGTGAATGTTGCGTCCTCATCAGTCACGGGCGATGCTCATCGCATCCCCCATAGACCAAGAGCGTTCGTAGAGACTACGGTGGGCAGGCGGAGCAGTCGTGATTCTTCTTGAATTCAGGTTGACCGCATTGAGGAGGACAATACTTAGTTTCGCCAATTGGCGTACTGCCAAGTTGGCGGCGCTCAAGGGCCGCGTCAGCCGAACGTCCCGTGGTCTTGAACGCGGATGCATCTGAAGTGGATCGGAGCAGATTGATCACGTTGGTAGGTCGCACCAGATCAGATTGGCCCACGCTCTCGTGGTTCGACAACATTCACGATTGCTTCTCAACGCACCAGTACGAGCATCGAGGCTGATCCTGTTGACCGCCACCGCTGCAGTAGTCGAGGCCAGCAGCGTGCAAGAGACCATGCACGCGGCGAGCAAAGTTGAAGTCTTGATGAACATTGTTACCGGTGAGTAGCGTTGGTTTTGCTTGCTTTGTGTTTGCGTTTCTTCGCGAGATGCGATGCTGTTGCGATGCGTAGGAAGGGTCAGCACACTGACCACTAGGAACCACTGCAGGCTTTAGCAGCAACCGGATCATCCTTACCTAATCAAGTTGCCTTCTGAAAGTCTCTTTGATGCCGGACACTGAGTTACTAGACTGTTGAGTTCTTCTAAAGATGGGACATTCAAAACGCGAGGAGGACGACGTTTTTATAGGAATGGCTCCTTTCGTGGATCGCTCCCCAAGCTGGGCATGAGCGTCCAGAGAAGGTGCTCGGACATCTATGTACCCTGCTCAGCCTCCTTGTGTCTGCACAAAACCACAGAGCGACAAGCTTGAGCAGTGCCCCACAGAGCCTAGCACAATAACATAGGCACCCGGCGCTCCTACCGCGGATGGGCGTTCCTACCGCGCATGGGCGTTCCTACCGCGGATGGGCGTCCAATCATCAAAACTTCGGGGATGCACGGTGTCGGGACTATGCAAACACGAATGGGGCTTCACGCCGCGCTGCGCGGAATAGACCGAGCACAATGTTCTTTGATGGTTGGTGTACGCCGCAGCAATCGAGTCCGCAGCTGCCGTGAGGGACGGTGGTGCTTTGAACACAGACCGCCACCTTTCACTGGACAGTGTGGCCGTCAGACTCCAATGCCAACCCACTTGCGTTCTACTGATGGTGAGTCCGTAGGCTAGCTACATCTCTGTTGATCGTTCTGATATTTCTCACCTCGTCTGGTTTCCGTTTGCTCGAAGGTAAAGTCTCGGCCCCAAGCCCATCCTCCGGCGCAAGAGACGAGTAGACGGATTGCTACCTTGTGTAGAAAATAGCAGACTGAAAATAGCAGACTGATCGGGAGGCAAGTAAGAGCAATCTTACGCCGTCTCTCTTCATCCTTCTCAACTCGTTGTTGATGCTTCCCGTGAGACATCTTTCCGGATAGCACGGCTAAAGCGACTTTTGCGCAGTCAATTTGCAACGGTACGCTCGTCCGCATGATGCACCTCGATTCGTGATACGCTTGCACATGTGTGACGAGGCGCAAGCTTTGGCGAAGCTGGGTAGCATTGTGGCCTGATGCTGCCTCAAGCTCAAGGTCAGCGCTGCGGCGGCATCCGCAGACAATGACAACAATACCCATCAGGCATGCGGTGCTGTCACCGCGACGCAGGGCATCATACGCAGCCAAGACTTGGGTCATTAATTTCACGCGCACAGTAATTTAATACAGGCTCTTCTTTTCGCTTGCACACTTGCGAGGCATAGACATACGATACGCCGCACGAAGGGCAGCGTACTGTAGCATTGCTTGTACGGCACCACCCCTCAGACAACATGGGTGGCAAGCGACGCAGAGTCCATAAAGCGTAGCAACCTTTCGCCACTCAGTCTCAATTTTTAACCATCTCTCGATCGACATCTGGAACAAAGTTCAAGCCGATGCGAGGTATCAGTTGCCTCCAAGCGATCAAGGACCTTACCCACCCCAGCACGTGCATCTATAGGTGAGCGTGACCAGCGCATCAACGCTTCTTCCAAGTGCTGACGACCATCAACACTTCCAGAGTGACAGCTCCACAGCATTGTTCTATCGGCCTTTTACATCCGCAATCGTTACAGAACGTTCGTCGGGCCCACGCATCATGTTCAAGTTGATGAGACTTTTAATTTTTGCTGTGCTCGCGCTATGTGTGCTCGCTGGTGCGCTGCAAGTCAGTGCCACATCGCGAGCCAAAACTGCACGGGACCACGTAGATCAAGGTGCGTTTGCCATCATGCCCTGTCGCCGTCTCCTCACCAAACTCGCTCACCTCCTCCATTCTCGCAATTTGTAGGCAGCAATGCGGCACTCATCAAAAAAGGAGAGGACAGTGGCTCAGACAATGGGAATGACACTAGTCTGGGAGGCTACTGTCCCGTAGGATGCGATTCTCCGCAGCTTAGGAGTCAGCTCGACTGTTCGGGTTGTGGTCATTGACGCCTCTCTCGGTGCCATGCGCCGAGCTCGCTCTGGTTTTCGTCACAGCACGTAATGCTCCACGCACGCAAAACAAAGGACGAGGGGGTCGAGGGGCTCCGAATTGAGCCTACGGATGCGTTTAGCTGGCTTTCACACCTTGACGTAGCTTTGCAAGCCAGAAATGAATGTGAAACAAGTCAGGGCGATTGCTGTGACTCGACCGAGCTGCACCGCATGCCTTCGATCAACCTTACGTATCTGCGGCGGCCCTGCGTTTCAAGGTACCTTGCCAGTTCTCGTGTGGGCACAGGTTCCTCGCGCATCGAAGGGAGCATTTGCTGGTCTGTCTCGAATGGGGCCCTCTGCTACCGGCATTGTTCCCACGGCTTCACAGCCGCAAATCCAGGCGTGGTACTCGGTGCTTCTTGCTCTAACCATGGGTGCAACGCAGAAACCTCTCAGCAGGGGTGCAGTGAGTATTGGCCTCGCTGGTAGTGGTGGAGCTGCCTCCACAATAAGGTAATCTTAGCTGCTAGTCGATCGTAGATTGTTCCGCATCCACAATTGTCCAAGCGACCGCAACGAGCGCTTGTCTCCAGATCGAACTCGTAGTGGATGTTCAGTGGTCATTCCTGCATCCAAACGTGTTTACCGCATTACTCATTGACTCCTTAACGTTGCAGCAGTTCTCTCGTCCATACTGTGTTGCGCGTGGACTCAAAGAAAGCTTCGGAACAGAGGTGTCTTTCCGGAGAAGCAACATCGCCCGCCCCATGGTGGCCGACGCGCAACTTCTCAAATGAGCGAGTGGGGCAACACGTAAAGCTTCGATCGCATCATAGCATTAGGAAATGGATGTGTGCAATGTGCACACAGGAGTGTCGATAGAGGGTGGAGCGGACGGTACGGGGAACTACGCCCGAGATCATCTCACGTGTAGCCAAGGATCAAGTGCGAAGTTACAAGGTGACATCGCAAGCGATCGAAGGTCGGCAATTCCTCAGTTGGGCCCACAATTGATTCAAGGGCAGCCAACACAATCGTGGTATTGCCTTAGCTCCGGAATGTCGCAGTCTGGATGACACCATTTCTTATCGTGCTTCTTCCACGTTCCCTCGTCGGAGTCCGATGGTGAAGCGCGCGGACTGAGTTGATCTTTTCCATCTCAAGACGCGCAGAACCAAAGAAGGGAGGGGGTCAGAAATTGTCTCAGCCAACACTCAGGCTGCCTGCAACTTGGGCACATGGCGCTCATTGGGGGCCTTGTTTCGTGTACGGGCAGTCAGCGCACTTGTGGCCGGCTCTCAGAGCTGCATACGACTCTCAGGGACGAGAATCACGGACGACAATGCTGCTAGCTTTGTTTGCAATCTCGACTTGCGCTCGACCGACTCACCATTCTGCGCTGTGGCACCGACTTGAAGCACGCCCGCGAGCACGCAAACCACTAGGCCAGCGTAGGTCAGGACGGTCGACTTGAGCAGCATGATGTGTGGGCCTGATGGGTGTCCTCTGACAATCGCAGATCCGATGTACGGGCGAGAGAGCGCTACAGGACTGTCATTGAGGAAGTTGTGAGAAACCTCAGCACACGGAAAAGAATTTGGACGCTACTCATGCTCACCGATTGACGTGCTTGCTCCAACAAGGCAAGATGTTTGATGACTTGGTAGCGCCTGAGATTCCGTCGGTGTGTTGGGTTTTGGTCTGTCGAGAGATTGTGGAGCGTATCAGACTGTCGAAGCGAGGGAATTGCCAGGTTTTATACGCGCGAATTCTGCGTCGCTCGCCACCCATGTCGCATTTAGCGGTATCACTGCTTCTTCTACTACGTGCTGCAAAACCACCGCTACTACTGCTTCTTCCACTGCGTGCTGCTTTGCTGGCGTAAACACTTGTCTGCGCTCACTGCGGGACCTACCAGCCCGTGACTGGCTGCGTGCGTTCGCCTTCTGCCGCCGAGGTAAGTGTGTTACTTGTCTTACTGTCTGCGGTTGTAGCGCAGCGCTCATTTTTGAGCTGGTTTGGACAGAGTGAACCAAATGCAGGCCCAGCGTCACCAAGTAGAGCTGATTGCGCCTTCGCATGAAGTCGACTAATTACAGCGTACCGGTGTATGCTGGAAGTGCGTATCGCAGGTCCAGCCGTTGTGTTCGAGACTGCGCCTCATGGCCAGCATCAACTTGGGACTCGCGGCGCCCGCCATTCCGAGTGTTGATATCTCGTATCGGAGGTGCTGCGCAGACTCGTTCAGCAAGGGCGCAAGTACCACTAGCCTCGCTGATGGGGCTGGATGGAGGGGCAGGTGATGGGAGCGCCTCGCGAATCGAGCGTCAAGCATCCGTGACTCTCAAAGCGATGCACGCGTATCTCTAAGTCGGACTCGCTGTGGGCCCTGCTCGACGCATCCGATCTTGAGGCTGCGATGTCCGACGCCTCTTTGCTCATCGTACACGTAAGCTCCAGCAGCTGTCCCCTCCATTTTGTCTTGCACGTCGATGCACCAAGCGTGCCTTTGGACCGGAGTGGCAGGCGCGCTACCTCGTCCCAGAGTGACTTAGTCGCAACCCTTAATCTGAGCAATCGTGAATGTACCGCCAGCCATCGTTGAAACCACCAAAGGTTTCAAAAGCTCCTCCAAATGCTTTACGTCGATCGAAAGCAAGAGATGAACCTGAAAGTCGTCCGTGTGTATATGCGTGCACGGTTGCGGCTTGTTTTGATTTGATCTGACGCGGCGTCACGTGGCTTAAGGTAGCTGGCATGATTTGGACGTTCAAGTCAAGAATCGTGAATTACGCAGCTGCACGGCGGCCTCGATCAAACGTGAATGGGTTGTGACTTGACTCGTGAGCTGCAACCATCTGAATCTCGTCATGCTTCACCTGCCAGTGCATGAGCTTGTCTTCAGCGCATTACATCGAGCTCGTCTTCATTAGGCCTTGCGCACACAAGGCCAGACCAATGACAGTGTCAGATGGGACGTCGCCACTCCTTCATGAAGGGATGTAAACATAAATTTGAGAGGAAGTTGCTCGAGATCGGTTGGAGAGGTAGGGAAGGCATGGCGGGTGGCTTTTGGGCGTGGCTTTCTGGAAACGGCTTTGGGGTGGAGGTGTAATGTGGGTTTGGGAGAGCGAGGACAGAGCGGAGGAGTAGGCAAGCAGACGAGGTGGATGGATGGTAAATGACGCGCGTGAAGTTTCAAGATGGAGTCAAGGTTCCCCGAGAAGATTGCGCAACGCGCGAGTGTCGTGAGCTTGACAGCCACTCGTCCAGTCAGACCTAAGGTTTGCCACAGTTGGCGCACGGACAGCCGTTGCAATCGTATTTGGTCCTGTTGTCTGCGTGCCTGCACTGTGGGTGACACCACTTCTCGGGGTTGCTGGTGGACACTCTCATCATTAATCTTGGTTCCAACATGATCTCGCGCGCACTGAGCTGATCATCTCCATCTGAAGTTGCCCAAAGACAAAAAGCATGTCAGAAGTTGTCTGAGCGAGCGACCAGTCTGCAGCCAGAGCGCCCTTCTTCCGCGCGTCGTGTCCATTGGGGGCCGCAGTCCATGCAGTCGCGCCCAGTGCAGTCATGTCCGGCTCTCAGAGTTGCGAACGAATGATGCGTATGGCAAGAATGGTGGGAATGGAAGTGGCCCATCACGAGTCGCGGGTAGTCAACTCACCATTTGTAGTTTTTGCTGGACAAGTTGAAAAAGAGCGCTCGTAGTCAGGATCATGTCGTGCGGACGAAGCGCGCGCATCGAACGCCGGTCACACCTGCCCCTTCCATCATACGCTTCGCCTCCTCACTCCTTTAAGGTGGGCATCCCGAACAATGGTACATGCCGTTGCGATGATTACCACACTGAGGCAAGCACAGGCCTTCTGGGCCTGAACTGGCTTGCTGCCTTGTTCTTAGGGTCCACTCGCCCCTCTCAGCACGACCTCGACGCGTGAGCTTCGCTCCCTCGTGCACTGTCGAGTGCGGAGAGCCAAGGCAAGGCGCGTATCTTTCCACTGAGTTTGACTTGCCCTAAGACCCAAGCGAAGAGCATAATAAGACTTACCTACATTAATTTTGAAGTTCGGGCGTGGGACGGCATAGTAGGCAAGGCGATAGTCAGCATGTTGTAGAGGCCAAAAGATTACGATGCGCCTTGACGAGCGGAGAGAGCTCGCGGCGCCCGACCAGCCTCCCTCTCCTCATCTCACCAATATTAGCCCGCCATCCGATGCCTCTCCGCACCCAGCATTTCAGCTGCCCCTAATGATGGCAGTTTGTGCAGGCCGAACTCTGGATCGTGCTCCATTTACACCAAGCAGGGCAAGGGGGCGGCTCGTGATGCACGACCTGATTTACCGATCGCTGTTCGATTTCGGACGTTCGCTGCCCGGCTGATCGAGGTGAAAGCGAGCGGTGAAGTCTGAGTATTCACTTCCGCCCGAACTTTCGTCTGCTCTTGTCGGACCATACGTCGCCATCATGGATGTTCAGAGTACTCACCTGTGCGAGTGTTCCGTAGGACGAGTATTGGAAGAGCACACAAAAAAAAGCGCAGACCGAGATGTGAGCGTGTGTTCGACAGAAGCAGCTTCTCAAGTGTACGGAGCCAGTTAAGATTGGTCGTGGACCCACAATGTCGCGTGAAGATTTAGCAGCCTGGCGGACAGTTCGCCTGGCTTCTAAAAGCTGGGATACTGCAAGCTAGAGGGCAAGGGGAAGGCCTGAAACCGCCCCCCCCCACCAGTGTTGCCATCCCGACCGCTCAGCCATTGACCTTTGTCAGCTTCTTGAGCAACGGAGCGTTGTGCGAGTGACGCGACGTTTGCTAGGATTTGGCGTGGAGGCTCTGCTAAGCACCTACTGAACAATGCAAGCGGCAGCGCTCGATGCTCGGAATGGTCTCTGAAGATGCTCTCAAGTCAGGCTGCCAAACTCACCTGCAGCGACGGCGTAGAATGGAGGCCAAAGAAGGGTCATGTCAGCACATTGTGCAGCTTGGAAAGCATCGTGTGCGCGACGAGCAAGCCAGCGCGGGCTTCGAAGCGTTGCTCTTGAGGAAGGACGATCAGAACAGCTGAGCGCGCTCCCGACAAGAGGAATTCCCAGAGCTCTTCCCGCAACTTGGCGGTCAAACGTGCCCTTGGTTGCCCTTCCTTGGCTCTAGCTTGCCAATGGCAATGTTTTCCGTCCAAGCGAGCCGAGACTGGAACTTGAGAAACCACTCAAACACCAGAGTCTCCACTACTACGCCTGAGTGGTGCCGAAAGTCACGCCAGTCTCGCGAGCAACTCACCTGCAGGATCGTGGTGCGCGAGGGGACAAGAGAAGAAAAGAGTAGAAGTTGTGTCAGTGTGTGTGTAAGACAGCTTCTTTGGTGCGCTTAAGCGCAAGTGGCGGTCAATTTGTGCGAACCAAGGCTGACCTCGTCAATCAACGCCTTGCATGGTGACATTTCGAGCAATCGACGGAATTTTTGGGAGCGGGGTTGGTCTCATGGCAAGCCTTTGGACATTCTAGGAGTGTTTGACGACCCTTAGACGTCTGACGCGGCTCAAGCTGCGGCACGTCGTGCTCTGATCAATGAGAGCAGTGGCGCTTTCTAAATGCCGACTCAGAGAGACGGGCCCCTCCATTCCACTGCAAGCGCTCGTGACTCACCTGCAGGAATGTCCCTAGCATAGAGCGTGGGAGTAGCGGCAGCCTGGCCGGCTTGACCAATCAAAGCGCAAGCAGCGACGGTGATCAAAATGATGACGGGAGTCTTGATGACCTGCATGGTGTGAGCCGAAGAGCTGAGCAGCGGGGATGGCCGGTTTGAGCGTCTTTCAACGAGCTTCGACGTGAGTTTTGCAGATATGGGATGCGAGTGCTGAAGACTGCTTTGAGCGTTTCGCTGTTGCTTTATGGTCTCGCTTGGGCTTGCGCGTGTGCTTCGGCTTGGGATTGACTTGAGCTTAGGCTTCGAGAATCGACGTTGGGCGATGTCGGTAGTCGTGAGACTGTTGTCTGGCTTATTGAATTTGCTGATCTGTTTCGTTGTGACGAGAAAGATAGGGAACTCAAGGCGACTAAATGCTCGCCTTATAAAGACGAGACGCTGGCCGAAATGCTCATGTCGTAGACGTACCACGTACGCCGGGCCTCTGCATGTGTTATTGGACCAATTATTCAGCTGCTGAGCTGGACTACACTCTTTCACGCTCGCGTCACCAAGTCTTGCCGTTGAGCTGTTGCACTGCTGCCATATTATTGGCTGATCGTGCGTGGTGCAAGGCGCCAGTATCGTCCGCGGACCGCCCAAGACCAGGAGTAGAAGGTGATCAGCGCAGACGAATGCGGCGCGAGAGTAGACGGATAGGCCGCGGAGTAGACGGGATATCTACGTATCTCGCGGGAGGTGAGTCTACACTCACTCTTGGCCAGCCAATCAGCGAGTAGGGAAGAAACCCAGGACTGCGCACACCGCTTTACACCTCGTCCGTGCGGCGTGCCGAGCGGGGAGAAGTGACTCTGGGGGTACTCGTTATTGAACTGAGTGGAGCGCAAACACGTAAAGCCCTCTCACCCATTTAGAGCGACGAGCGAGTCTCCCGCTGCGCGGTATCTAGGCTGAAGCGCGGCGCAGACATGTTTTGAGGAACGGAGTGTTCTAAGCTAGGGAGTCCGCACGATATTATTCTCACCGCGCGACGTCGATCGCGCCCAACTTCGGGGCAAGTCAAAGCACCGCAGACTCGTTTGTTCTGGCTACGAGGATCGCATTGCGGCGCTCGCTGCGCACCTCGAGTGGCTACGTCTCGATTAGAGCTCCGAAAGTGCATTGGCGCAATCCTGCGCAGCGCGCATTCGGCCTCGGTACCTTTGGGGGGCAAGAGGGAGAGGGCTACGAACATCGATCCTACTTTGAAGTTTGAGCCATAGGTGCTCCAACGCAGTCGTGAGACAAGTACCTGGATATCTGGTTCGGCGCTTGACGATAAACCCCTGATCCGCTGGACCTCGGAGTGATGAGTTACCATGCAGCAATGGCGTAGGGCAGAGAGCTAGCCGCGGGCCTGCCCAATGCGCAGAGGCCCTTTAATTGCGCTCGCGTTCTGACTGTGGTACCTCGGACCCCCGCGCGCCGCTAGATGTGAGCTCGATGCAGTATAAACAGCGCCGTGTTTGCGCTACGCGCTTCTCGGGCAGCCACCCCGCCTCTTCGTAGCGGGCAGAGCCCGAATCCCGATTGAGGCAGCGATACGGGGCGTGATCGTGATCATCGTGAATAGTGGTGATCACCAGCCAGGCAAGCGGTAGGGAGTACTAGGGACCAGTGCAAAAGGCCGCCAACGTGATGGCGAGGCAAGATCGTGTACTGATCGTTAGCCATGAGTGTGGATGTAGAGCAGGTGAGCAACGTGATCAAACGTAGACGCGACCTTCCATCATCAACACGCTGCACAGCCACGCGTGTGTGCACAAATGTTCGCGTGATGTTATGGCTCAACCGCGATCCGACGCTGCGACGTGTGGATCTCTTTGTTGCGAGACATATGCGTCATCGATCAGGGTTGCGGGCCATCTTCTCATGTCAGATCTGCTAGGCCGTCTTGGACTGTTCTCTTCATTCGTTGCCAGCCCTCTTGCTCCGACAGTACCATGCCCGTCGGGAAGCCACTGCGGGCAAAAAAATTCTCGAACAGGCCCCGGAATGATTTGCCCGAGCCTTCGTGTCGTTTTGGGTCGATAAGGCTGTCTACGATGTCTGAAAAGGCTGCGGTAATCTGTCGAACGAAGCGCTGGCGCGCAGCCTTGCCGTAGTTGAGATCGATAAGTCTCGCGGCTACCCGAACTGGAAATGAGAGCAGCAGGCCAGCGGATAAGAGAGCGTTTTCGCAATGTTGGCTCAACGAACAGAGCCGCAAGATTTCGGTGCTCATGTGCCTTTCCCAGGTGAAGACCACCTGGACCCACCAAACGACTGGATCCTGGGCACGAACGTTAGACGCGTGGCTTTGCGAGGCCGCCAAGGACGATTCGGGGCATTCTTCCTGTTTTTCCCGAGAGACGGTCCGCCAAACCTCGCCTCCTAGGGTCGTGGCTATCCAGGACCCCAAGGCTGAGCGCTCAAGGGCCGGAGGAAGATTGACGTAGAAGGGCGTGGTGAAACCAAGTTCAGCCCTGCCCGCAATCCACCGTGCCGCAGCAATGTCCAAATCGGTCCCTGTGGCGCCGTCCACAAGCTCCTGCACCAGGCTAGGAAAGCGCGGAATTGTCAGCATCAGCTGGGTGTAGCTGGGCATCGCTGCAAGGACGCGCTGCGCTCCTCGCTGGCCTTCGCTAGAGCCAGAGCTCTCAGCTCTGGCGTCGCAGGGCAGCGTAATGCCCGTGTGCGTCGCGCGACGGAGAAGAGCGTCACCAAGCGTAGCCTCGGTCCCAAAGTGGCTGTAGTGGTCAAAGCGAAGGAGTGTGGTAACCGCGTCCCGGGTCTTGGGCGCCGCGAGGTTCACCCGATGTCTGAAGGTCTGATAGGTGATCTTGTCGACATAGCGAAAGGCTCTTTTGTCGTCTGGGGCAATGTGGTCATATACCATCATCTTCAGATCCAAAGGGAGAATGGACCAGAGCATGTTGATTCTCCGAGATAACGAAGGGACAGCTGCGTCCCTGTGCTACATCCAAAAGGATTGGACCGACCGGACTCAACCTCGACTTGAGGGGTAGCAGATCTCGCGCGCCTGTGGAAGACTACGTGACGAGCAACAGACCGCTGGACCTCTTTCCTTCATCAACATCCTTTGGCAAACCGGCCAAGGGACCACAACCGAGTGACGCCGGAAAGGTTGCCTTCCCGCCTGAAACACGAGAGATGGTCATGGTATTGAAGAACGAAGTCGTGAGTGGATGTCCTGGAGAACACACGCATATATGCGCGCGCGCCCACGTGACAGTAGCTCGTCTTTCAAAAGATGGTCGCCCTGGGTTCGCTGCACCGGTTTCCGAACTCGTGAGTCTTCCACCCATCTGCACGTCCTAAGTACCGATCAGACACTTTGGCAGCCGCTGCTTCCGCAGGATAAAGAGGAAGGAGATCGCGACGATAGAATTAGCTCTACAGATCTCACTCAAGATTGTGATCGTGGTGATGAGGAAGATAATTTCACAGTTGCTACATGCATGATGCGATGATATACGCGCGTGGGCGTGTCACCTAGCGCCTGACACTCACCAGTAAGCAGCTAGCGGTTGGACACATCAGCAGGCACAAAGCGAGCAGCAGAACAAACGCACGCTCAGATGACTAACAGCTACAGCAGGTCTGCCCCAAGCTGTAAGCGGCAGGTCTATACTGGTGACCCTTTCACACGCCATCCTAAGGAAGCGAGCGCGTGACATTTTGTTTCTGATTCGTGATGAATGAGCGCAAGTCACGAGTCGTGAGTGGAACAGCCGCCTGCCGCGATCATCACCAGTGGTCTGAGCAGCGCATCTCCTGCAATACACTTCTCACAGCCATAGCGATTGCCAGTACGTTCGTGATAAAGCTCAATAAAACACAAAAGTGTAGCACTAGACTAGCATCGACGGCCTGGTCATCGCGTTGACTACAGTAGTACTTATGTGACCAGTTCGCGAGCTTCGCCTCCTCAGCCTCTTGTAGATTGGCAGGAGCATAGCGCGCAAAGTGTAGCATCCATCTACGAGCACTTCTCCTTGCAACCTTCTCCTTTCGGGCAGACCATGACGCAATGTACAAACTCATTCTTCTTGGGCGGAGAAAGAACAGGCGGTCGCAGCCAACGCTTGACTGGAGCGCCTCGAAGCGTGCGCGAAGCAAGGCTAGACCAGCCTGATTGGGAGATGCGGGCAGAAAGTTGGTCAGATCCTTGGGTCGACACAACGACACCGGCGCGTTCTGCCAGTGCGAGAATCTCTGCCATGGACGAAGCCGCATGTTCGACGCTGCGAGAAATCGCATATTCTAATACAGATTCCGCTTCCACACACTTTTCTTGCATTGCACCCGCGTACCCCTCCGGTGCGAAGAGGTCCTAGATCCGTCTGGCGAACGGTGGATCACACCAGCCTCGATGGCGTGCGAGCCCTGCTGAGCAAATCTGAATTCTGAAACGAAGGGACAGTAGCCACTGCAAATGTAGCTGAGCCATGGCGCTCGAGCTGCGTGCTGGTAGTGCGAGACAGCACTCTGCATCGTGCGTGCCGAGTTGTGGAACGCAATCCAACGCCAATGCTGCGCAATAGGTCCGGACGCGATGGGTCCGCGCTCTGAGAGCGATGGATGTCGTCCGCAACAGTCGGGCCTAATGGCACACCTCTTTGCACAACGTCCCTCCATATACGCAGACGAGCTTGCAGGTCTGGCCTGGAGGGTTGTGGCTAATAGGCTCGCCTAACGTCGGAGCTAGGCGACGATCCAGAACGCCACGTTCGAAGGCCCTCTCCACGAGCCCAGTGCTGCCTGTGAGAGCAGAATAGCAGATCAGCAGAGCTCGTCCTGCCCGCAGGCTCAGAGACAGATAGCAAGCTGCACATGCGCTTTCTATGAGCGTCATCGACCGCAACACAGCAGCTTCGAGGTGCACCAGGTGGGCCCACGTTGCTTGATGAAGCCATCGCCGACCAATCGCTCCATTCTAGTTCTGATCAGCCTCAACGTGCACGCGCGCTCTGGCGTCGACCGCCATGGTATCACCGCAACTAGCAGGGAGAGCCAAAAACGTACTTCTTCGCTGGCGAGCGCCAGTCCCTGAGAAGGGCCTGCTGGCACACTCCCATGCAAGATTGCATGGCTTTCTCGCATTTGCGGTCGGGGGTCTGATCGTGCTTTGGGTTGAATCCAGAACCGGTCTGGGCTGGGGGGTGCAGCGCTGTCGATGCGATCTCTGCTCCTCCTTGCAGCCCGTACAGGTCTGCACGGAGAAGGAGGCAAGCAGAACTCGAGTCGACCAACAATTTTGCAAACGGCAATTGCGTCTCTTGCAAGTCCGAGCCGCTTCGGGAACAGCTAGCGACAATCGAGAATGCAGTTGCCGAAGAGATCGCATTCACTCGTGCAAGACTGCTTCTTGTGATTGCGTTGACTCTGCCATGTACCAGACCCGATAGCATTCTGTGCTCGAAAATGCAGCTCGGTGGATGCGACATCTGCTCTCGTGAAGACGGTGCTAACGAACGATGTATGATGAGGGTCCGGATCGCCCAGCACTAGTGTTCTAGCAACATCTATGGGGGACACGGCGCCTCGCAAATCAAGACTCCAGGCGGGCACTGGGCGTTGCATTCATGCTCTCGCTTGGTAATCCGATCAGCCTCTTCCGTGGAGGGCGCTCCCATCGCATCGCCACGAGCAACCAACTTTGAGCCGAGAGCATTTCTGACACGAAGCTCTAAGCAATCGGAAAGTGAACCATGCATCAGGCTCGGCAAGCACGACGCTTCGATGCCGCAAAGACTCGAAGGAAGCCCGAAAGAGAGAAGGACGCCGTCAAACTCAACTCACCATGCTCACCTCCAGCAGTGTCGGCACGTGCAACGAGATTGTCGCGGGCGGCCAGCTCAGCCGAGCCGTCAACAACCTGTGGGTCCACTGGGGCTGCAATCGTTCCAGTCGGGCCAAAGAGAGCAAGAGAGATTGCAACGGATGCGACGATGCAAGACACTTTGATGAACTGCATGCTGATGGATACTTGAGGTGTGCCTATCAAGTGTCAGACTACAGGGAGCGTTCAGCAGGTGCGAAGCACGAGGTCGACTCACGATTGACAGTTCTTTGTGGTGATTGTGTTTGGTAGCCTTGCGCAGCAAGAGTTTCGAGAATAGTTGAGTACTGACTGTGAGTCGCTTTGGAGTTCAAAATTCGGTCTTGTGATGAGGAGAGATGTCTGAGGACCACGGAGCCCGGCGTGCCTTCTTTATAGATAAGTGGGCGACTCTCGATCGCTCTACGTGCCCTGCCTGAAGGAAGACCGAATGCGGTTGCGAACGCGGCTACATCGCCTGCCGCCACCTTCATGCCCTGCTCCTGTCTGCGCCTTCGTGTCTGAGCTGGCAACGACTTTCCTGACTTATCAACGGCGCAAGGTACGCCACCGTCTGTACATGGGAACGGCCCGAATTCAATGCGGCCCGTCTTCTGGACGCTCTCTGGCGTATCAGCAACCGCGCGCTCGATGAGGAGCGTCAGATCGATTTTTGTCTGCTCGAAGAGAAGATGGGTGGGGCCGGAGAGGTCGGGCGCAGCGTCTCACCAATATCCCTCCGTGGTGTCGTCCTGCCTGGCTGAAAGTCATACCGACGTCCGCATTGGTGTGATCCCGTGGAGAAGTTCGGACGTCGTCGCCGTTCACGTACTTTGACACCAATCGACTTTACACCACTCCACTCCGCGCAGGTGAGCCTGTCGAGGTCCTTTGATGCTTCCGCCTGACTGAATTGCCGGTGCCTCGCCCCTACCGCAAGTGCGGTAATCTTCAGCACGGCGTGCACCAATAATTGCGTGAGATCAAGCAGCTAGGCGCGAAGCAGAGGAGCTTGAGAGTGTTGTTAAAACACCTCAATTTCTCTGACGTTGAGCTCGCGGCTTGCAATCAGCTGGGAGGTGAGTGGCATTCTGAGGCGTCGCCCGCAGCACCTCATTCGTGAGGGCATCCCTTCAACGAGAGAGAAGGATTTGCAATCGTCCAAGTGAGACACAACTCTGGTGTGCGGGGTGCGCAACCTCGGCCGTGTGAATGATTCACACCAGTGGTTGCTTCCCGCTGCTATGCGGCTATGGCGGCAAGACATCAGCAGTCTTGACGTCCGCGGCCCCGTATTGCTCGGCAGCAATCGCGATGCTTTGCATGAGAAGCGTGACGTCCAGCAGGCGGAGGCGCACGAGCTGTCAAGCGCATCGCCTACAATCACCGCTGCGCAGGTCCAAATGTCTTCGCAGAGGGGCCAACTTGGCCTGCAGAAGCGCTGGCACGCCCAAAGGGCGGCGGAGGAACAAAGGTCGCGGGCGCAGCGCCGGGCAGGATGCCAGGTTTGAATTTGGACAAGCTGGAAATGGGAGGGGGTGCGTTGGACTTTTTCCAAAATTCAACCAGAGTCTGAGCAGTCCTTTCTGGTGCGTCCTGGAGAGAGTAAAGTTGAATGGGAGTATGAGCTTGCTGACGCCAGTGACCAAAATAAGGGTGGCCGTGCCGTGCGATATGATCAGGAGCTCGTAAAGACCGAGTACTTACCTCTTGTAGACTGTGACCCACTTCAGGGAACACGGCTAGTTGATACTTGCCTTGCATCTGACCAATCATCAACTCCTTGTCCAGCCTGTCCGTCCCAGCCAGTAGCAGTAGCCGAGGAGCTCTGACCGACAGAAATTTGGATGAGAGTCCCGTAAACCAGCCTGACCAGAAGGGTGACGTGGCCAACAGGTCGTGCACCCAGACCCAAGCGGGCGGTCGTGTCTTGCGTCTCGAGGTCTTGGAGCTGGGCAAGGTGGTCTCCTGCGCAAGCGAAGTGCCATCCGGCTGCAGCTCAGGCCTGACCGACTCGGACAGCTCTTCGACGGCTTCTTCTTGTCCTTCCTCGTCATCCTCCGCAATGCCAGTCATCTGACTCGGCACTGCGCTGTCGGCAACGCCATCGTTCTTCTTCAACAAGCTGGGTACGCTTCGTCTTGCGCTGTCTGGGTTGATGACCGTTCCACTCTCCACGTGCCATCTGATCGCGTCCTCCACCGAATCGAATCCGCTTGGATAGGAGAGGATGATGTGCTTCATAGAGTCCAGAGCAGCGACGGCTGTGCCTTCTACCACGTCTAGCACTGCTACCCCTTGAATCTTGCTTGCAGGCAGGACGTAAGATGTTGATGCGGACGAGTCATCAGTAGGGTGTGGTGGTGTTGTTCGCGTGAGAAGAGAAGCTACCTCTACGGCCACGCTACCTCCCATGGAGTGACCAACCAGGACGAGACCTGGGGTGCCCTCGGGTGTCTGGAAGAGGGAGCCGATCACTCTCGCGAGATCAAGTGCGATCGTATTCAAGGACATGTCGAGCGTGTGGCCGCTAGTCGGCATGCTGTGTGCAGGTGACGCGTCGAAATCCATGCTGGTTCGACCTGGACGAGAAAGCGGGTAGCGATGAGCGGAGTGCCGTCACGAATCGCGGTCACGCCAACGCAGTAGTGCGCATTGCATGGTATACTGCAGCATACGTGAGCCACCACTCACCGTGACCTCGACAATCCACGGCCAAGACGCCTGCTTTGCCCTGCGTGAGACGCTTGATGGCCTTGGCGACGAGAGCAAAGGACAGGGCAGAGTAGCCTGCGCCGTGGATCAACACAAACACTGTGCCATTGTCCTTGACCTGCGGGCAACCTGCAGCTGACGATGAGCCTGGCACGTCCTCGTTCTCGTCGCCCGCCACGATCGGTTGCAAGTCGTCGAGATTCGCATCCATGAAGCTCGTCTGAGCTTTCGAAGCAGCGCTGCCCTGAACCTTCCTCGAGGCTGTCTGCTTCGTCTCGTGCCCTTCCTGCTCGACGATCGGAGGCGTGTAATATACTCGAAAAGATGCTTTTGCCACATCCCCGCTCGAGATGCCTGTCAGCTTGTCCGCATGAGCAGGCACATCCAACTCGATTTCCAACGCCTGTTCGAAGCAGCCCTTTGCGGAGAGTGGAGAGTAGTCCACTTGGCTCATCGCCTTTCTCATCTTGCCGCGAGACGGCATGCTGGAAGCATCACTCTTGTCCGATGCAGCTGGCTGAAAGCTTGATCCGAGCAGGGACTGTGAGGGAGGTGGCGGCATACCCGTCGAAACGCTGGCGGTGCGTGATGCGCCGACCTCCTCGCGCAGAGCACCCAGACCGGGCTGTGTTGGATCCGCACCACTGGAAGAGGTGCCAGCAGCTGCGCTTGGTGAGATTGCTGGCAAGTGCGGCAGGCGAGCTATGCGGTCCTTGAGCAGCGCTTGACGCAAGTCGGACATGATTGATCGGATGCGTGGCTTGGAGGGTAATTCGCTCTCCAAAAGCGCAGTCGAGAGTGGGCGATGACTGGATGGTGAATGTGCAGGTTTCAGCTCTGCCATCGACTGTTTGGAATCACAATGACAGGAGAAGTGAATCGAGTGATGAGCGTGCCCCGTTGCGTTTTGAGCGCGGGCAGCGGCGAGTCGAGTCGGAGTGGGAGTCGAGACGAAGCGGAGCGCGAGCGCGACCGCTGTGGCCCCGCACGCGTATAGGTATGTGGAGGAAGCCATCCCGATCGAAAGAACGCGGCGCAAGACACTCGTGACTCACGACTTTCAACCACCACCCCGTCGACCTGTCCTGTCCTCGGCGCACTTCTCACAGCGGCAGCTTCAAGCTTGCACCATCTTTCCCTCTCCCAGAGTGTTACACCACTCGCCACTATGAGTGCTTGCGCATTTCAACCTCGAGCGCTCAACAACCCAGCCGGCGCAAAGTTCCTAGACCCCTCACAACGAGTATCGACCAAGGAGCTACAAGCTGCCGATCGGTCATGGCAAGCGAACAGAGCTTCCTCATCTCTGGCGCACATGCACAATGATGTGCAAGGCAGTCTGAGCAAAAGCAAAAGCGAAAGCAAAAGCGAAAGGATCAGCCCAACTTGCACGCATCGAGACGCCCCACGAGACGATGCGCAGACGCATAGAGTAGAGGGGAGCGCGAGCTTCAAGTCTTGGATCAAAGGCTTGCTTGCGTAGCCGATGATCCGCCTGCGAGTGCTTCCAAGGATGCAGCGAGCGACAGGAACCCTGCATTGGTCGAAGGATCTCGACACGTCGTCACATCCACCACAAGCAAACAGCTCAGCGGACTTGACACGTATGCAAGCTTCGCGTTTCGTGGCACCAGCGGCGCCTTTCCTGCCCATCCCAGTCTGTCCATTGCCGCACTGCACTTTCTCGCTTCGAGTAGGCGGGGCCGATGACTTCTCGAGATGCTGAGAGGAGCGTCTGCCTGTCTTTACCAGTATCAAAGCATCCTCGCAACGTGAAGCAAGATCGAGCCTCCTTGCGCCAATGATCCGTGTGCACACGCAACCACGTCATCGATGCTGGATGCGAGACTAACATGAGACGCACCTGCTCACATCCCATGCGAGATATGAAGAAGCACGCCTAATCTGTTCAAATCTACAAGGTCAAGAGAGCAAGTCTAGAATTACAGCAACGTGAGAGTAGCATGGGTGACGGGACGGCAGCGCTTGCCGACTGGGGCACGGGATATGATGGCAGCAGCACGAGAGCAAATGGAAAAGTGGCGTTCATCGCGGAAACTCGGCACGTCTTCGCTTGAAAAGTAGCGAAGCTTGTCAAGGGCGGGCTGCATGCGTGATTCACGTGTTGAACAAAATGTCGGCGCCCACACTGGTAAGCCAAGGGTCAGGGTTGATGAGAGCTGGACCATCTGTAGAGCCAAGATCAGCAAAAGGATCTTGATGAGACCCGCCGTGTGGGTCGATGCCGTCGACTACGTGACCTGCGCCGTACGAAGGCACGCCAGAATTAAAGTTGGATGCAGAGGACAAGAGGCTCAGCACATTACTGGGAGCCAGATGCGTCTGAGCTGCCAGCTGGCCATTGTCGCCCATCGATGAAGCCTGCGGCGTTTGCAGAGACGATCCTGCCATGGCCTCGGAGGGCAGCTCGGATGTGCTGCTGCTGGACATGGTGGAGGACGAAGCGCCCGTACCACCTCCAAGGCCGTCGCCGGACTCGGCCTTGACGTGCGGCAGCGAGATGCCCAACTCGTGCGCGTGCGCGTCGAACCACGCAATTGAGTCTTCCAGTAGTGTGTGTCCGCCGAAGTTCTGCAGGTTTTCTGCGGGCACTAGATTTTGGGTTGGTACCGCTGGGCTGCTGTGAGAAGGGGTCGGCGTGTCTGTGGTTGTAGTCGTCTTGTTCTCGGTTGGCGCTATCAGGCTTCTCAGCGCGGGGAAGTTGGGGATTTTTTTCTCCAAGATTGTAACTGCGATTACAAAAGAGGTGTCAGTACTTGGACACACGTCGAAGGGCATGTCACTGACGGAGATGGGATGCCCTTCCCAGAGCGAGGTCACTAAGATCCCAAGAATGTCTCCGACGAGCCGCTGCCAACAAGGTCAGAAAGCGTCGCAGGCTGTCCAGAGCCGCCTGCAGCGGCGCTTCTTCTTGCATTCTATTAAAAGATATCGCAAGCCGTGCCAGCAGCGACAGACATGCAGAAAGATGATGCTGGCAGTCTGGGTGCGCAGGCGTCAGCGCGAAGTCGCGCGAGGCACTGCTCAAGCGACTCACATGGCAGGAAGAAGCCGTCACTGAACTCGTGGTCGTCGAGCGCGTCGAGCCAATCAACCACCATCTCGGTAGCATGCAGAGCCGTGCGAAGCGCGGGCAGAATTCTGGTCTCGTCGAAAGTGTCTGAAGCCGACACAGCGTCGAGTGCGGTCCTACACAGAAGCAGCAGCACCCCAAAGTATGAAAGCTGTAGACTTTCTGCAAAAGAAAGTCCAATCACATCGTCTCAGCCGAGTAGCACGCTAGACCTGTGATCGTGCCACTTACTTGTCCCCGCCACGTTTTCGGCGCCGCGGGAAGCGCTGGCGTCGTTCTTGAAGACTGCGCGCAGCGTGTCCGGAAGCTGTGCGCACCAATCGTCAAGCTCCACCATGAAGGATCTGACGCGCTGCGCAACTGCAAAGCCGTCATTCCTTCTGCACTGCACCGCGTGAAACTCGACCAGAATACTATCGAGAAGCTGAGTCAGTGCAGCAAGAGCTGCAAAGGTGTCGCCTGGAGTGTGGACCTCGGCACCCTCTTTAATGCCATCATTGGAAGGAGTAATCTTGAGACCCTCGATGGTATGCGAGCCAAAGTCAAATTGTCCAATCTCCTTGTCTGTCAAGTGATCATTGCACACCGACAGACCGCTCCGCTTCGGAAGCGGCACGCTGAAGTCTTGCTTGTGGATGACGCTCGGCCTGCCCCAACACAATGAAGACCACTTGTCGTGAATGACTATTGCCCACCAGATCCTGATGCGAACGTCGCGCTCTTCTCGGGAAAGGGTCCAGCTCGTCGGGTCCAAGTGAAGACCCAGCATGTGCGCTGTTCCGACCGCTTGCATCAAGCTCATCATGTTGCCGCTCGTGTTGATGGATGGTCGTCCAGCAAGGTCTGCACATGCGACCTGAAGCGTGACCAGCGTGGTCGAATTGAATTGTTCGATCAGCGCGTTCAGATTTGCGCCCCAAGCGTCCTTTGATGTTGCCCTCAACGTCTTGTCGTACACCAAGCTTGTCGCGAGTGCGGCGGTTGCTAGGACTGTCGGAAGCGGTACATTGATGTCTAGAGCTGCGCTTGCACCTTTGTTGCGTACCGTGCTTACAGCCTGCAGAGCGGCCCGCCTAAATGTCCTTCGTTGCGTGGTAGTGAGCAAGGGAAAAGCCGCGCTGTCTCGCTGGGCATACCAGACCATGAGTGGCGCGACTTTGGCTCCAATGCTGCGTCGCAGCTCTAGGAGTTTCGCTTCCACAATCTTTTGCGACTCGGATTTGCTCATCATCTTGTCATAAGGTTGACTCGCCATGAAGGAAAAGTAGACTGGCCTTTTTGGGTCCTTCGTGACCAGGCGCACGCGAGACGATGCTTTGTGCCGCTGCTGAGATGTTTGACGACTCATCTGCGAGCCATGTTGTTGACGTGAGGCAGCATCCCGCAGCGGGACCAGCTCATTCTGGGGCGAGGCACTAGGAGATGAAGCCTGTCGCAACAGAACAGGATCTTCCGAGGAGCTCGAGCCGAGAAGAAAAGGCGCGAGATCTTCACGTCTTTCCTGTGCACCGCGCCCAGCAGCCAGGTCGGACTCGCCGCTGCCACTCGTGTCATCGCGTGCGAGCTCCTCACCTTCGACCATAGCAGCAACGAGGGAGTGCAGATGATCGATGCCTGCGGATTGTTGGTGCTGCTCGGCTGATGCTGTACTCCGGCGCGGCGCTGAAGTCCGCTGGGATGCCCATGTACGACCGACGATTCCTCGCTGTTGGTCGCTCAAGTTGGTTGGCCGGAATGCGTCACTGTGAGAAGCCGGCTGACCCGGATTCGAAGTCTGCAAAGGAGACAATTTTGAAGGCTGCATCTCACCTACAGATGCCGACTCTGTGGTGTGACGTGGAAAACGACCATGCGATGTAGGCGCTGGATGGAAACGCTGTGAAACCTCCGGACGATAGACTGATTCCATGTCGACATCTGGCGCTTCGCCTTGAAATCCTATGCTTAGGCGCGGTGGATTCATCCGTTGCGACGTTGTCGGGTAGGGGAGAGAAGATCGATGGTCCCAGAAGCGACGCGGGGGCGGCGCTGCCGGCGGAGGAGGAGTGAATTGCCTCAGATAAGGCTGGTATCGATGCACTGGCGGACTCTTCACCCTGCTAGGCAGGACCGAGGAAGGATGATGCGGCGGATAAGGTTGAGGTGGCGGCATCTCGACGTGGTGCGTGTAGTGCGGCGGCCTCGTTCCATACGGGCCAGGGACCCGGCTTGCGTGGCTGCCAAGCGGTGAGTCGAATGTCCCTTGTCCGATGCGATGCTCCACTTCGGATGGGCCAGAAATGGAGCGGGCACGGCCTGCCCAATCGAAGGCATGGCTAGCAGCATCGATGTGAAGGCGACCTTCATTGCTCTGTGATCGTCCATCTCTATCTGGTCGGCTTCTTGGCGTAGGGTCCATTTGGAAACTGGTGGTCATGGTGGGAGAGGCAGAATGAGAAAGGTGATGACGAGTCAGACTAGTCGCCGATTACCTGGACGACCTCCACTTTCACCGGAGGGCACCAGCACCATCGACACTGCTGCTGCGGCGCTTGTCGGGGCGGCGCTGTCAGGACCATGATGTGATGCTACTCACGTGCAGTCTTTGCCAGCTGCGTTGCAAGCCTGACATCTCTGACCCACTTCTTCGATGATGCACCTCCCTAACGCGGAGGCAGACGAGGTTACTATAGAACGTGCAACAGGGGAAAATGCTCCGCTCACCTTTCCGTCGGCGGCAAAGGTCGCACCTGTCGAAGCGTGAGGCGGTAAGCGCGCGAGCAGCGTCAGCACCTCCTGCACCGTCGCATGAAGACTTGGCTTGGCTGTCAATCCGGCACGTCGCTGTCGAGACTCACGGACGCTCCTTCCGGCTTCTGTACGGTCGCGCCCCTTCCGATCCGGCTGGGACAGGGTCCATGCGGGGACTGCTCTTCAGCGAGCCTATTCCATCTGAGCTTTGGCCAGCGGGCGAAGCCTTGTCCGCCTTATCCGTTTCCATCCACGCATCACGATGTGTCGACATCTTCTGGTCGTCCATGTGAAATCTGCGCCTTTAGCGCGCAAACCTGTATTGTCGTAGAGCCGGCCGCGACAGATGCTTGAGCGCGTGCTTCGAGCTTAGAGTCGAGGCGCAAAGGGGAAGCGGATCCGACGAGCCGACAAAGGCGGAGGCAAGCTGGCCACCATCCCACGACGGCCATGCGTATGCGCCTCTGCACCCTTTTCAGAGGCTGATGGGCCTTGCGCTCATGAGTGGTCCAAGGGAAGGCTGGATTGATGCTGCAGATGAAGAGGCTGGGTGGTGTATCGAAAAGGCCGGCTTGTTGTCAAAAGGGCGCCTCGTTGTCTCGAGCCGCGACCCGTGACACCAAGCGACGCCTAGCTGTGCAGACGCTCTGAGGCGTAGATCTTCGCCTTGACTTGTTGCAGATGCTAAACTCGCCTATAGCTCCGTCGAGGGTGTCTGGTGCTGCATGGTAGGATAGACACGATCGACGAAGGTACTTGTGTGAGCGGCTCCAGGGAACAGCAGCGAGATCAAAGGACGAGAGTCAAAGTCACCAGTGCACGCAAGCATCATGCTCGCATGCACGCAAGCAATCAATCGATCGTTCTCACGTCCCTAAGTTTGGCGCAGCGCATGGCGCTAAGTCAGTCAGCGAGCGCATGCATCAGCAGTCACGAGTCGTGAGTAGTACGTGAGTTTTGAGTCCTGTACGGTACCGGCATTCGTGATTCTATCTGGCGCAAGATCGATCGCGTATACGCGTGCGTGTGTTTGCCGCGGCGGCTGCTTCTCTGACGCAGCCATGCATCCAGCAGCAGGCAGCAGCATCACTCGTGACTCAAAACTCAAAACTCAACAAATCACTCGCGACTGATTTGAATCACGAATCACTTGAATCAAAGTCCGTGAGAGTTGTGAGTGTTGTGAGTCACAGTGCACTGGGCGGTCAAGACCAGCATCATCGGCAGAGAGAGACGAGACAAGACTATAGACAAAGAAATCATTTGTCATTCAATTGCGGTGCGTGTCGAGGCCAGTGTACGAATTAATGCATGCGTACGCTACGCCTCAGGTGCACTCACACTCACGACTCATTCAAAATTGAGCTATAGCTGCTGTGCTCAGCAGCGCGAAATGCGGCGCTCACGACTCGTGACTACATGCTAGCTGTGACTGAAGCGCAATTCGACGACCGTGAGACACTTTTGCTCTATATAGGCGCTTCGGAAGCGAGAGCGCGTTGCTCATCGTCGCACTCGATCGCTTATAGCTCGATCATACACTATTTTAGATGATATGTGCACGATGGCCGGTGCTATATACATCACGACTTTGGGGCGTGAGGCGCGGCCGGGAAGCCACAGAACTCACAGCTCACGCCTTTCGTGAGTACATTGACTCAATAAGCCTGCTGTCGTGAGATCAAGGCGGTGGCCATAAAGTCATAAGTTATCCTGGTTGACGCTTGTTTCTTGCACAGTTAGCGCCCAGGGCAGCTCAGGACGGCAAATGCTCGCACGGTAAACGGCGACGTGACGACGATCAACGTCTAGTACAATACCTATAGCCGTCAATCACTCTAGAATCTCGCGATCCTCTATAGAATGAGTGCATGCGGTTGTAGGCAGCGTAGGACCATCAATGGTGGATCTGGCAGACCTCCTCCGTAGGCTGTACCGGTACCTGCGCGCGCAACCATCCATCTCACACGCGGTGTGCGGGATTCCCGGTTCTCCAACACACGAACGCGTCACGCACGCCACCCGCGGGCACGCGCAGCCCGGCAAGAGCCGCGCAGGTGCACACGAATGCCGCGTCGACACTCTCGTTGAGCAGTCGTGAATCAAGGTAAAGTCACAGCAGTCCTGGCTACAGGACCGGGACTGCCTATCTTGTTTCCGCAGCATAGCATCGAAGAAAAAACACTCCATATATGTGTGATTTCAGCAAAGGCAGGCCTGTCTTCAAAAGCTATGTACAGCATCCCGGACCTCGGTTAACTGTGATGCTTTATTGTATGATCCAGTTTAGCGCAGTCGGTCGCGCGGAACCGCGGCTCCCGGCTCATGCAGCAGCCAGCATTTGAAACAAGCCATAAAGCTGAATCAATGTGACGTTCCACGCATATAAAGCAGAGGCGCACGCCGGCGCGCGCACGTGGCCCGCATCGTCGTGCTATGCGATGCACGTAGAGCGCGCAAGCCAATCCGGCGGGCGCGGGCGTGCGCTTTTGCTACGACGGCGCGCTTGGGCAAGAGCACCATGATGAGCAGCGGCAGCAGCAGCGCTAGATCGAGGCGCGCACAGCAGCGGACGATCGAAAACCCTCTGCGCGAGGGCGTTTTGAAATCAGAGCCCTCGCTGCTATTGCAGCCGCGAATCGCTCATCTTGGTGATGGACCACGCAAAACCGAGTTACTTCGCTCAGCCTGCATCTTCAACGGTAACCTCCGTACCACGAACCTCATATCTGAAATTTATTCATCGAGACCTCATTCTTGGCGCACTGCCTTGGCAACACCGCATACAGCCCCATCAATTATCCCACAGCGACTTGCTATCCAACTGATGGTCGATCCTAGTTGTAGTGCCTACTCGCGCTTCTCCAACCACAACGCGGCGTCTCTGGCTGCCGCCCGCTCTGGCCAGCTTGTCGGCCAGCTGATTCTCTTTCTCGACAGCAGCGACAGACCTCCCTAAGGTTGCTCAATCGAACTCCCGGCGTCAAGTCTCGTCAGGCGTGCCCTCGACATTGGGACGTCTGTGCGTAGCCTTGCTCTTCTCTGCCACCCGAAAGATCCTTGGCTGCTCTGCATGATTTGCCCTCATCCAGCCTTGCGTCTGCACCTCCTCACGTGGCCCAGAGTAGTCTGCCTGCAGCCCTAGGCGCCGTCAGCAAGACTCGGGCTGCTTGACGAAGTGCTCGTACTTCGTTCTCCGCTGCCTATCAATCGCCAGGCGAGTAGCAGCTCTTCCATCATGGCTCTCAAGACCGCCCTCCATCTGCGCGGTCGATCATCCAACGATATCCACGGCAGCATCCTGCCCACAGACCATCGTACAAGTCCGCCCGTTTCTCCTGCTCCGTCTGGCACCAACACGCCATCACGTAGTCAGTCGCTTTCACGTGGCGCTGTGGACGCTGACGAGCCGGATCTGACTGGTCGTCAGCCCAAGCGCTCTAGCTCGTTTGGTCGTGGTCTAGGCTTGAGCGCACTCGCGGGCCTCAGCAAAGCGACGGACTCGGTGCAATTGCCAGCATTTGCTCGCCGTTCAGGACATGCCAGCAATGCAAGCGACGGTCTAAGAACGCCCCCGGCCTCTTCTGCGCAATCGAATGGGTATTTGAGCGCGCACCAAGCTCCTACAAACGGATCATTAGCCGCTGTTGGCAATCCGGACCCCGGCCACATTGCTCAATTCAGTCTTCGTCTGAGCGAGCTGGTCAACAAGGCCTTTCAGCCCGTTGCCACGACATCGCCGCCAGCTGCAAGTCTGAGCGCTGCTGTCGGCGCCGTCGCGGGACCAAATCGTGGCGCACCATCGGCACCGCCGCTATCTGCCGTCACATATGATCGTCGGCCGCTTCCCCTCGCCGCACGCGTTCAAGAGCTGGCCAAATTGGTGACTTCTGAGCTTCGCTATGCCGCTGGCATCGACGACTACTTGTTGCGAGCCGTCAGTCGCGCAGCACTCAAAGCGCTCAGTCTGTTCGTCGATCGCATGGATGCGCTCCTAGTCTCGGCTGCAAGAGACGTCGGTGCATCCTTTGTACCTCTCAACGCGAAAGACGGGACCCAGCCGCCAGCAGCCATGGAGTACAATCTTGGACTCGTCGCTCTGCTCTGGATCGTCGAAGATGGCCTCGAACGCTGCGTGGAGGGCGATGATCGCGCAGGTGCGACCCATGTTATCAGCTTCGATCCACTGCCGGCATTTGTTGCCGAGATTCTTGCCCCTGTACGCCAGCGCATGGAGAGATCCATTCTGCACATTGTCAATCCTCTGCTGGCCAATCTCAAAATTGGTCTCATCGGCTCCATCGCTCAAGCCGTGCCAACGCCATTTGACCGCACAGCGTCGTACGTGAGCCTTGGAGTAGCTGCAGCCACATCGACCACCGCCATTCACTCGCCAGCTCCAGCAAAGGGTGGGTCAGCGCAAGGCCCGACATGGGCAAAGGACTTTGAGGGCCGCATGGAAGGCGCTCGACGCTTGCTTCTGCCCCGGCTAGAAGCGCGATGCGGTCTGGATGGCGAAGGATGGTACGTGAGCCTGGCTGTTCAGATGATCTGGAAAGGCTTGCTGCGCCTCACGGCAAGGCCTATGCCTCCGCCTGCATCTCTCATGGATCCTTCGTGCAGTAGACCGAACGTCGATGACGCCAGCAAGACGCGCAATCCCACCCCCGCGCAATTGACGTCAGCTCTGAAGGTGGTTGCTGGTGTTGCCCGGGGTAGGAAACGTGAAGATGCGCTCGCTTCCTCTGGACGCGCAACTCCTGCTGCGATGCTCGATGCGGCGCACGAATCTCCACCGTTGAAGCCAGCAAGCTCGCCTCCCCACACCTCCAAATCACTTTACGAGCACGGAGCTGGCAGTCCGCTGGCACCTCCACAGACTGTGTGCGCACGCGCATCCGCCCTGCAAGCAGCCGACTTTGTCGCATTCGAGCGATGCATGCAAGGCTACGCGCAGGGTTTCGCGCCGACCGCGCCAGGGCCGAGAGTGCCCCCAGCCGGCGCGCCCAAGGCCGATATCGTCGCTCTCGAGGACGACGAGGCTGATAGCGAGGGCGACGACTCGGATGCGGATGAGCTCGCCCGAGCAGCTCTGGCAGAAGCGCTGCAAGCCATCAGGTCTTGTGCTATTGTAGCTGCTCACCTCGACAGCTATCCTGTCGCGGTGCTCAACGTCTTGCGCATGGCGCGAAGTTGCCAACCAGGAGAGACCCAGACATCCACTGCGAGCGGCATGTCCACACCAACGAGCGTTGTGACTGCGCCTGCTGAAGTCTGCCGAGCGTTGAAGGCGATTCCGCCGCTGCTGCTTCTGCATCTAGTGTACGCTCGCATGCCCCGCTCATCCGTGTTTGAGAATGGACAACGAGGCGCGAACGACGAGGCGATCCCGCGAATACCATCACCGCCCGAGCTCTTTGGCCTATCTTGGACCGACTATTCGAAAGCTCTCGGCGGGTTTGCCAGCGGAGAGACTTGGGCCTCGGCTTGTGCGTCTGGTTGGTCCGATGGGATCGAGGGAGCTTGGAAAGCTTGCAGCACAAAAGTAGCGCAGTTGGAGGCCGCTCTAAGACAAGCTCAATCCGAGCTCACCAAATCGCAGATCAATTCGAACGCACCCGACAACGTGGCGCCGCCAACCTCGCCTGGCTTGCGTCAGGGTCTTCCGGAGGCTGCGCAACGTACAAAGAACGCAGAAGCAGCGTTGAGTCACATGAGCGCAGCGAGTACCCCAGCGTTGAGCAGACAGTCATCCATTGCGGAGCACAGCGACCATTCCGTGGATACGACGGACAGCATGACACTTTCCATGTCTGCTCTGGATGCGCAGCAGGGCCGCGGCGAGCCGCTTCAGCAGTCGGGAGATGCTTCTGCCGAGGTCGCGCCTGGGTTTTCTCACCTCACCTCGGTGATTTCTGCTCCTGGCATGGCCACGGGAGCCAAAGGGCCGCGCTGGAATCTGCTCAAACGATCGCATCTCGGCAAGACTGGTCGCGATGCTGCCGGCACCGCCGTCAATGGTAGCTCTTCGCCCAGCCCTGAGCAAAGCCCACCATTTGGTCCTGCAGGCGACGGCAGCGCTACCTCCACCTCGAGCGCCGCACATGGCGAGGGCAACGCTCGACGCACTCCGTTCTGGCGAACAAGCTCGACAGGTCACCAAGCAGGCTTGCATCTAGGTGCTAACCAGCCGCACGAGAATGGGACCACAGGCAAGGCGCACGCACCGACAGCTTTCCGCATTCCTGGCCTATCTTCTGCATCCAGATCTCACTCTCCTCGTGGCAAGGTCGATGGCGCCACGTCTCCTGGTATTGTGACCGAGCTATCTCTGGAGGCGCTGGACAGCGATTCCAGGCGCGTTTCGGGCGATCACCTTCATCCAGCAACTCAAAAAGCTCAGGAGAGCATCGCCCACCTCGGCGCAGAGAAAGCTGCCGTGCAGACCGAGCTCGCATCGCTCGACTTGCTCGCACGGACCGCCGAGTTCGTATCGCGTTCTAAAGCGGCACTGGCTCAAGGCGTTGCGGACGGCGCTTTGACCATCGGCACACCCGCACTGGACTCGCAAGTGGCGTCAGCACCAAGTGTATCCACCCCACCCGTCGACCCTCGACTCTCTAAATTACGCTTTGCGGAACAGTGACCGCATAACGCTTACGTCTTAGGAATGCCTTGCTGTTGAATCAATATGCTCATGTGCGACCCGGCGCTTGATCACCCGAGCCTTGCGTTCATGACAGTCCATCAGTTTGTTGAGAGCAAGTATGTACATGTTACATTGAAGCCGACTAGGTTCGCTGGGGCGGGTCGTGAGAGCAGTGACCGAGACTAGACCTGGAATGTCCACGCATCAAATTTGACCGCTCAGACGAGTCTGAACTCATCCGTGATGCCTTCCACTTCTCGAATCTTGCCAGTAAAGGGTTGCTTGGCGTTTCCGCGATATACGAGACGATAGACGCCCAGAGCATCCGTCTGGTCGGGCTTCCACACGATTTCCACCGAGCTGCTGCCCCTAACGCTATTGGTTCTCTTCCACCTGAAGATGGTCGATGGATGCGCATCTGTGCGGTGTGTCCTCCACGATGCGCCCAGCTGCTGTTGGACCTCGAGAAAGGTGCCTTCTGTGCGCAAGTCGTTGCGCGGATTGGCTCCCGCAAATCGAGCAGTGATGGATGGACGAGAGGATAGCTCGTACTGCGCTTCTGGCTGGACCGTCACATCTCCAATGCTTTTGCCAAAAGGTGCCTGAGAGCGAGTGATCTCTTTAGCATGCAAGCTTGCTCTTGCCCCCCCCCCCTCGACCATGCTACTCACAGCATCATACACCACCCGCTTCTCCCCCATCTTGAATGCTCGTCCAATGTTGCTCGGTGCAAGTTCTCCGGGCGGGATCATGCCCGCAGCATCGTCGTTAGTGAGAGCAGGCACCAAGACGTTGGCGTAGATGTGGATATAAGCCTAAGCGAGCGTGGGTGGTGGTGGTCAGCGCGAGCGCGGTTTCAATCACTAGAGCACATCGACACTACCCACCTCTAGCGTGTGTGGCCCAAACAGCGTCGAGCCGCCTTCATATCTTTGCGCTGCATACTCTTCGATGGTCGTCACATCTGCGATGAGAGAGCATGTCAGTACATCTATCCATGTGCCGATATCGCCCTTGTGTGAACTTACAGTGACCGTAGGTGTTGGCTGGACCGGTCAGCAGAACGATGGGCTCGTCTTCGATGCCCAGGACGCGTATGCTGTCGCGCACACGGTCCTTGATACGCCTGCCAGCCATCGTGGTGAATTCGCCCGGCACGACAAGAATGAAGACTCTGCCCGCGCGAAGAATCTGTGCCTCAACGATGCCGGCGCTAGGTCCCCAGTCGTACGGTGCGTGCTATGTGAGTTGACGTAAAATGACTCTGTAAGATCCCTTGCGCATGACAACGACGTCATCCTTCTTACCAGCTCACCTGCTCTCCAATATTCAGAAGGATGCGCTTAGGACTTTGGCAAGCAACCTGCTCCTTGCCAGGACGCATCACCAGCGTTCTTATCGCGGCCCAAAGAGGGTTGGTGGGCATCGTATCGTTGGTGCCTTGCGTAAAGTCGAAAGGACCGGGCCTGCCGACAAGGCGCATGTAGAATTGAGCAGGTTTCGCAGCGCACCACTTCTTGTGCGACTCACCCATCCGTCGTGCCGCCAGCAAAGCCATAGCCAAGCGCTGCCGGGCAGGTCCTGACCCGCGTCCCATTCGGTAAGACAAAGCTAAAGCCGTCGGCACCACCGAGGGCTACATTCCATTTGACAGACCTCACTTCTCCGCTTATGGGATTGTCTTTGAGTTCCAAAGACTTCGCTTCGGCGTGCGAACGTATCTGCCGGCCGTGATCGTGAGAGCTGTGGAGTCCGAGAATGTTCATCGCAGAGTCTCGTTGCAATCCGGCAATGACTTGATTCCCACTCCAATCCCAACCACCAGTCATGCTCTCGTTGAGGAGATCCAAGTCTCCCCAAGTAGGCGGCCTACCTCTACAACTTTGGCTTCTCTCCTTGCCCCTCTTGTTTGGACAGGTAGAACTTTCGAAATCGCACAGCTCGCCAGTCGCATCGCAGTATGCACCTCCAGTGTTCGGTGTCGTGTCGCCCACGCTTCCTTGCGCAATGCCAGCGATGAAACTACCTTGGCGCGAGGCAAGCGTAGGGTCAAATTCCAGCTGCAGAGCTGCGAGGCCCTTATTATCCCCGGATGTGAGCGTGTTGTTTTCGTAGAGGGACGTGCCGTGGACAGCGTAGACTGAGAGCACGCCGGTGTTTCCTGCCACTTCCTTTACGGACGCATCGACAAATTCAAGCAAAGCAAATTCATCGTCGGTGTCGCTGTCATATAGCTGACGCTCCTCGAGCGGATTTCGAAGGTATGCACTAGCACTACGGTTGATGTGCGCGTTTCGTAGCGTTGTATTGCCAAATCGAATCGAAGGCCAGGTCGACGTGTCCGAGTGGTGCGCATTTGCTGACACGAGGTCTCGAGACAAGACCATCGTCCGCGCGACGCGCTTTTCGTAGTCGTCGTGAGCGAGCAGGATGGAACGAACGGTGCCTTCGACGATGGCATCGAAGTTTTGCTGGACGATGCCCAGCGATGAGGTCTGTACGATGAGCGCATTGATGAATCCTCCAGCACCAGAGTGACTGATGAGACGGGGCGTCAGCTAGCGAGAGTGCGTCACAAGCACATTCAGCTCACCTGTGCGTCCCAGTCCAGGCAAAGTTTCTTTCCCCATAGACGTCGGGTAAGACCTCTCTGAGCTTCTCGACGACAGCTCGTCTGATGCCCGTATCTCCCATGCACAGGTCCGAGTTCACAATCACCCATCGCTGCTTCTTTCCATCGTTTGGATCCTGCTCCCCCGCACTCGGATGAGCGAAAAGGCCCCAAGCGAATAGCGCCCTTCGTACACGTCGCAGCAGATCGTGCGTGGTGGTGTATACCGATCCGGTCCGGAACGCGATGCTGTCGTCGTCACCGACATTCCCTAGCACAAATGCTCGAGAGTACTGCCTGTATGCCAGGCCCGTATTGGTCTGTGACGAGGAAGCATACCCCATCATGTTTGTCTCGACGATGGGCCCTGCGCGAAAAGGTGAGAAATGCAGCCGTGAGCTCGAGACTGCTGAATCTCAAATGACGACTCTGTTCACCAGTAATGTCTGCCTTGCCGATTCCAAAAAAGATTCTTTCGCTTGCTTGTTTCCGTGCTGACCCCTCGGTATGCTGCAACCTCCCACCCTTTAGCAACTTTAGAGCAGCCTCTTCGCCACTCGCATTCAGTTGGTCAGTGTCGTAGAGTCCGAGGCGCAGCTGGTCAGCTTTTGCTGCGCAAAGATACACCAGAGCCACACAAGCCAGTGATGCCAGAGCGAATGTGACTCTTCTTGTTGACGATGTCGACCATCGGGACGCGCCTCCTTTGGACTTCTTGTCCGCCTGAGAACGTTTCTCCACTTGCTCCGACGCGAGCAAAGGCAGCTCCGCCTCGGTCGGTGCTTCCGACTTTCTCGTGACTCCCATGGTGGGGGCGAGGTGTGCAGCTCGTTGGAGTCCTGAGTCTGACGGGCTCAGATTGTTCGCAGCCTTTACCTTGCTGGACGGCGGTGCTGGAGGTGATGTGCACGGTGATGAAGAGAAATGCGCACTGTCACGCACGCCCCGCTTTCAAATTGTTTCCACTCGCAACTTGCAGACTCGTGCTGACTGTGGAGTCGCGCTGCGCGTGGCTGTGTTACTGCGCATTCACGCGCCCGCGCCCCTGATGCGGCGCGAAAGTTAATTGCTGGCTCCTCAAAACATGTCTGACCGCGGCGTGGGGATGATCACCAAGGGTCCTCTGAGACTGTGACTCCTGACAGCTGTTCAGGATCGCACAGTCCTCATACGAGGAGCTGATTATGCGCACTGCTTTCTATGCTTCATCAGTCAACACACGCCGTGCAAGGGCCCACCTATCGTTGACCCGTTTTGCTCGAGGATTATGACTCTTGAACTTTTTCAATCACGAATAAAGTCATCCTGAGCTGACATGACTCATTCAGAATTGGCATCTCTCGCGGCGGGCAACACGTGATGCGACGCGCTCCTTCTGGTGTTTCGAGGTGTCACTTTGCATTCATTCAAATGATTCAATTCAAGAGAAAAGTTCTTGAGTGATTCGATCATTCAGCATTCACCTTACCTATCAACGCACTCGATCGCTCCTGCGCTGTCTTGCCTCACAGCACCTGACGCACGTGGCTCAGTCTTTCGTCAGGATAGCGATAAGGGGCATAGATACAGCCAGCTAGGCGAGACGAACCTCTTGCTCGTGGTGAACAGCTGGACGTCGACTGGCAGCTGCCCTCCTCGTATCCATCAACTCCGATTGGTAAGATGTCCGCTGCGAACTCCGAGCGCAAATCTCTTCGAGCCTATCTCTCAAGCCTTGAAGACTTTCAAGAGGCGACAAATACTCGTTCAAGCTACACGAGCGGACCGAACAGTGCTCTTGCAGCTCACTATTCCGATTTGGAGCCTCTCAAGCTATCCAACCCTCTGGCCTATGCCGATCACGTCAGTTGGTGGGATAGTACTATACAAGATGTAGCTTGGCACGGCGCAGCACGGCGCTCAGTCCAAGGGAAGTCGAGGGATGTGATACGCTCAAAAGCAGCTACGCCAGGCACAGCAACGTCCACCAGCGCACCTGGAGATGTGGACAGGCTCATCTTCGACCTTCGGCCCGAGGATGACCCGGAATGGGAAGTGGACGATGTTGGACGACCACTGGGCATGGGCACAGCTGTAGTGAGTACTCTCTCTCGGTCCTATGGGCGCCCGCACGGATTCCCCGACGGTGGGGGCTATGCTATACGCGTACGTTAGACGCTCATAATGTGTTCCTCACTCGTCGCAGCTCGAGCTCTCCAATCAACAGCGTCTCATTTCCCTAACCAACTTCCAACGATCCCCTGCACAGATATCAGGTCCTGCCAGATCATCCACGGCTGGACAAAGGAGCTGGACATTCTCGCTCAAGACTCCAAGTATATCAAACGTCGCTTCGCTCGTAGGCAGTGCTGTCACATACCCCGTTCAGTGGGCTGCTTCACACTTTCGCTCAGAGGAAGACTCTCACGATGCTTCCGCCAGGGATCTCGCTGAGGCGCGGGGTAGGTGGGTGGTATGGAGCAATCTCGAGGTGAGCCATAAGTCAAGTATCCGCGTGAAACTGCTGAGCTGCCAAATCATGCGCTTTCCTGCTCGTCCAATGCTCACTGCTGAGTCTCGATCTTCGCTCTGCTCTGCCACCAATTCAGAAAGCTGCTTCGGCAGTGTTGTCTGCACATTTTGCACGAGCAAGGCTGTCGCCCATAGACTCGCTCTACTCGAGGTCAACATTTCGTTCTGCGCTGTTGCAGTCTCTACGAGATGGAGAACCATCGGTGGTCCTGAGTGAAGCGGATGAAGCTGTGCTGTTGAAACACCTCGAAAGAGACCGCAGAGTCGCATTGATAGATGGCGATGTGAGTTGGCAGGCGGAGGCGATGCAGGTGCAGATGCTAGTAGGAACCGTAGTTTACCATCTGTCCACTGCGACATGGATCTCGCTCGCTCAGGTTATCAAGATGGCACATGCGGTCGACGAGGCTGTGCCTCCGATCACAAAGGAAGAAAGGGGAGCGGTGGAGCTTCGGTCTACGCATGCAAAGCTTGAGCAGCAGGTCGACGAGCTGAAGGAGCGCATCGAAGAGTGAGCCTTGCCGCGATGCATGAGTCGTCATCACGCCTTCCGAACTCACACCTTCAGATGCTCGTCTCAGGAAAAGCGAACGCATATCTGCTTCGCTAAAGACAAATCAGAAACAGCAAGCCAAGTTTCACCTGCGATCGCGGAAGCAGCTGGAGGAGCTGCTGGACCAGCGCCTCGGTGCACTCGATACTCTCGGCAATGTTTTGCTCAAGCTTGAGCAAGCCGCTGGAGACGCCGAGGTGAGTATTGAAGTTTCGGTGCAGGTCTTGAGGCGGTCCTGGCTCAAATTATATTGCATCCGAACCCGGCGTGCACCCTGCGCAGATCATCAAGTCCTACGCGCTGGCGACGCAGACCATGCGCGCTCTGCTCTCCCAGCCAGCTCTTCAGAGAGATCACGTCGACTCCACCTTGGAAGAATTGTCGGACGCGTTGGCCGAACAGAGCGAGGTCAACGAGGCGGTTCGTGCGGGCGGGGATGATGCCCGAAGAGCAGCTACGGGCAAAAGCATTGCTGACGAAGAAGAGGAAGAAAGGCAGTTGGAAGAAGAGTTCAAGGCGCTCGAATTGGAAGAGAAGTCCAAGGAGGCGGACTCTTTCGACCCGCGACAAGCAACGGAGAAAGCGACGGCTGAGCATCGAGAGGCGGTCGAGCTGCCCGACGTCCCTGCTTCTACCGTGGGACAATCAAACGCGGCGAAGGGGGACTCGAAGGCGCAGGAACACGCGATGCTCGAGAATTGAGTTGGGTATCTTTGGCCTTTCAGCGGCTCACTTGCCCTCGATGGGCCCACCACGATGTGTGCTCAGGCTCGACCACTTGCAGCAATTTTGGACAATATACCACGGCCACTCGGGGTCGCAGCGAGAATCAAGCATTCACGATCGGACGGTCGGCACATTTGGATGATGTTTTGGTCTCGGAAGCCCCGGCGCTAGGTCCAGGGTCTCATCAAGGTCAGCAGGGAACTCGCCATACCGTTTGTGCAGTGACGCTCGACGTCAGGCCCTGTGCGACCGCAATCCACCACCTCTAGCGCGAGCGATTTCATCGTAGCTTTACAAGCCACTCACCGAGACTTTGACGCAGCCAGCCAATCCGTTGCACGATTTCCACTAAGGATTTGAAGCGAGCTCAACGGCCAAATTACGGGTCGATTGATCCTCCCGGAGGACCTGTCGTTGTGCGCTGTAGTGTCCAGGTGTGCCAAAGTGCTGCACTTTGTACAAATTGCCACTTCTCGCGGTCTGTCTCGAAAGACAGAACCGCAAGACTTTGGAGGGCAAGCCTGCGCAAGGTTCGCTGATGCCCGTGTCCAATCAAGGCTCCGCGTGAAGCACAGGGCCTCCGCATCGGCATTCTCCCACGTCGAGCTCAGCATTTGCTCAAAGCTGATCAGAGCATAGCTCCTGGTTGAATAGAGAGCAGACCTGAGCACGGCCATATCCAGTCAGGCACGAGAGTGAAATTGCAATCAATTTGGGAAGCCAACACCGAGAGCGACCATCAAGAATGGGTGCAAAGCGCCTGCAGCGCGAGCGCGTCATCGGGCATTGCCTTGACGCCGCTTTCAAGCAAGCTCGCATGCTCAGAAAGAAATCGAGGAGATCGACCAAGTCAGCGGACCGAAGCCAGAGGCGCTTTGCGCCGAAATACACATCAGCCTAGAGGGGTGCCCGCTACACCGCGCCTTTGCTCCGGGTGATTGCCATTGACGATGCATCGTGTTTGGGCGGTCTATCGGATCCTCGGTAGATTTCAGCCAACGCGATGGACTCTGACTGCGCCTTTTGGGAATCTGCGTTACGATTGCCAGCACGTGGTGCGCGATCAGTGCGGCAGGATTCCGTACCGATAGAGTTTCGATCTTTAGCTAGAGAGACTGGTGCATACATGCTCTGCGTCAAACCTCCAGGACAATGTCTGCCTCTCACTACCTTGCGTATGGGAATTCTGGTCATTCAAATCGATTGCCACATCGCGGCTTCGAGAGCGTCTCAGTAAGATCGAGGTGCTGACCACTGCAGATGCAGCCGCAACACACGAGGAGAGGAGAGCTGCTACACTGCAAACCAGCTTTTGCAGGTACTCAGCCTATAGCGTGATGCATTCCTTGATCGCCTTTTAAATGCGCTCATCCATGAGCCACCTCAATCGGATCATCTCCTCACCGACCTTCCCTCGCCGAATCATCCCTCCTCGATCACCCCTCCGCAACGTCACCCACCCCCTTTTCCCCTTTCAAGCCCCGCCTTTCAAATCAAGACACCATGCCATCGTTCATGCAATGTTTGCTGCATGCCAGCGTGCTGTGTGCCGTGCTCACGAGCACCGTGAGCTTCGGAGCCCCTCTACCTCCGACGTCCACTCAAGCACTTGCCACTCGGACTTTTGCACCATCTGTTTCGGGCTCATCGGATGCGACGTCTTTCATCCGCAGAAGTCCTACCAAACTGTCGGACGAGGAGGAGGATGAGCGAAGCAAGCAAAAAGATCGAAAGCATGGCAAGAAAATAAGAAAGTATCCGGGTGGTGCACTCCTGACACTCCTCGAGGAGCAACCGCTCCGCAATCCCTTCTATGGACCAAGGAGTGACAACAGTGTTCAAGAAGGTACGCAAGGTCTCGATGCTCGCTCTCCGATGGTCGACGAAGGTCCTTTTCTAAATCTGCCGTTCGGCCACGGCGCGAAGCCAGACCCTGGCGCCGAACCGGTAGACAACAATGCCGCAGCATGCAGCAATTACAAGAAGTTTTGCAAGAAGTCGGCAAATCGCAAACTGCCCGCGTGTCAGCAATACCATTCGAAGGACTCTGTGTGCAAGAAGAAGCCCAAGGCCGAACACTCGGCGATGCCACCGAACATGATGACCCCTCCGCCGGTCGTCGTGAAGCCGGCTCCCGGATCTCTTCTGGGACTATGCCGTCGCAACGGCCAGACTGGACCATGCTGGGGTGGCAATGTTCTTGACAAGCGCGCTCGATCGGTGATCGCGAAGCTCGGTAGTCTGAACAGCAGACCTGGGACGGCCGACATCGCCAAGGTCTTTCGACGAGGTCTAGCTGCTGCCCGCAATGCTGTGGCTCCATGTCGCCGTTCGGAAAACGGCTGCTGGACCGAGGAATTCGGCATCGAGGGAACGACGCGCTCGTTTCTAGAGCCTCTATTTGACCGCTACAGACGCTTCGCGTCCCTTGCAGTCAATACGATCAACCCACTTGTTCGCCGCACGCCAGAGGTCCACCGAGCGCTCCACGGCGAAGACGCGCCAAACGATGTCAAACGCAGCTTTCTCGAGGCCTTCTTTGGGCGCACTGCAGCCAGCGCCAACATCACGGTGCATCCGCTCAGTCGCCGTGCGCTTCGCAACGGCCGTCACTAAGAGCTCTTCGGACGCAAGTTGATGACTCGATGAATTCTCCACGACGGTCCATTCGTGCCGACCAGTCAAGCTGGCCCCTCCCCATCTACTTCTCTTCAAAGTCGCTCACACAGGGCGATGTCAGCCTCGCGTGTCTCCAGAGGCTTTCTTGACGCTTTTATTTTTAGATCTCTTTGGTGCCTTGAGTACACTTTTGGACACTGTTCACTGGTGTTAATCTTACCTTCTTTCCTCAACACTTCCTAGGACTACAAGGTCGAGCGCCGTGTACTCCGAGTCGTAGGCTCTATCTTGTTTTACGCGCTTCGTCGCGGACCATTTACCCAATCGATGTCATTTTGCCCATTACAGAGTGGATCACTAGGAATGGAAGATCTGCGTGGCGGTCCATCTGTAATCCTTCCCAACACTTGGCGAAAGCTCTAGAACAGACTTTCACGACTGAGCGTCAGGTCCGGCCCTCGCTTGTTGTACGGTACGATGGTGGCTGCATTCAATTCCACCCGTCAAATTGGCAGCCCCCAGCACGGAAGGAAAAGTTTGCCACACTCCCGCCGTAACTTTTCCAGCTTTGATTAGCGCGTTGTTTGATTGGCTAGCATGTGCCGTGGCCATATGCACCTGGCCAGTGAGCGTCTCTTCATTAGCGAACGGCGAACCGATGCGGTGTCTCAAGGAATCGAAGCGGGTGTGGAATGGATGACTGTCAGGGTGCTGCCCGCAGACGTTGCTGAACGTGCCTGCTGCTGCTCGCAGGGTCTGCCAGGGCGCCATAAGAGGGGGAAGACGGCATGCGCTCTTTTGCAACCTTCGGCAACTGAACGCACGACTTGCATCACCTCTGAGGAGTGTGGGGGTGGAGGCTTTGCGCCAGCACGCGAGCAGTGTGAGTGCTGTGCAATAGGTGATCGGTCCGTGCACATGCAGCAAGCGTCAAGCCGCCCGGCCGACAAGCGCGCAAACGAGCGCGTCTGGGCAGAGGCGGCGTTTGAAAGCTGACGCAACCTCGCCTCGATGTTGGTGGCGCGTGCAGGACGCGTGAGTCACGAGTGAGAAAGTGCCCTGAAGAGGCAACTCTTGGGGGGGTGCCCATGCAATCACGCGTATGCAGCAAGAGCGTCGTGCGTTGACGGCGATTGAAAGACGAAGGCCGACCAGCATCTGCTCCGCGAGCAGTCGTGAGTTGCAGCCACACCAAATCACGAATGCCGTCACACGGCGGTGGGGCCTCGCTTTCAGGATGCACGACTGTCGGCGAACCGGGCGTCGAGCGTTCGCCCAACGGTCGTGAGTGGTAGAGTTTGCTAGACGCTTCTGCTCCCACGCACAATCGAATGCCGCGAGCTACGCGGACGAGATATATAAACCGAAAGGTTTGCACGTACACTTCTTTCATCCCACACCCACGACTCTCGCGAGTTTACTATCTTGCACAACCACACATCCCGCACACATACACAATGCCTTCCTCTGAAGTGTTCACTTCTGGCCCGGAGCAGGTGGCCTACACCACCTCCAACGGTGCCCCTTACCCTGAGCCTTACCAGGCCCAGCGCTTCAGCAATGGCAAGAAGAACATCGGCGGCCCCTTGCTCTTGCAAGACTTCCATCACATCGACCTCTTGGCACACTTTGACAGGGAACGCATTCCCGAGCGAGTGGTGCACGCCAAGGGCGGTGGTGCTCACGGTGTCTTCGAGGCTACTCACGACATCAGCGATCTGTGCTGCGCTGAAATGTTCAAGAAGGGATCCAAGACTCCCCTCACCATGCGGTTCTCCACCGTCGGTGGCGAGTCTGGTTCAGCCGACACTGCTCGTGACCCCCGTGGCTTCTCTGTCAAGCTGCGCACATCGCAAGGCAACTGGGATTGGGTCTTCAACAACACCCCCATCTTCTTCCTGCGCGACCCAGCGAAGTTCCCCCACTTCATCCACACCCAAAAGCGCGACCCTCAGACCCACTTGAAGGATGCAGACATGTTCTGGGACTACCTCTCCCAAAACCCAGAGTCCGTTCACCAAGTCATGATTCTCTTTGGTGACCGAGGTATCCCCAAGCGTCATGACTTGCAGCACGGCTACTCTGGCCACACCTTCAAGTTCATCAACGCTCAGGGCGAGTGGCAATATGTTCAGATTCACGTTCGATCGGATCAGGGCACCGACTTCTACACTCAGGAGGAGGGTGTCAAGCTTGCTGGCGAGAACCCCGATATTCACAACCAGCAATTGTTCGAACAGATCGAGAAGGGTCAATTCCCATCCTGGACCGTCAGCGTGCAGACCATGACTCAAAAGCAAGCCGAGGAGTTCCGCTACAGCGTCTTCGACTTGACCAAGGTCTGGCCCCACGCCGAGTTCCCTTTGCGACCCGTGGGCAAGATCACTTTGAACAAGAACCCTTCCAACTACTTTGCCGAGATTGAGCAAGTCGCATTCGCACCCAGCCACCTCGTGCCCGGCGTTGAGCCCAGTGCAGACCCAGTTCTGCAAAGCCGTCTCTTCTCTTACCCCGACACACATAGGCACCGCCTGGGCGTCAACTACCAACAGATCCCCGTCAATGCTCCGTTGGTTCCTGTGGCCAACTTCCAGCGCGACGGTTTCATGTCGGTGAATGGCAACCAGGGCAGCCGACCAAACTACGTGTCCACCATCAAGCCATTGCAGTACCCCAAGCAAGTCAGCGTTCAGGATGCCGTTCACCAAGACTTTACCGCATCGACCATCAGCTACTTCTTGTCTCAAGTCGATGAAAAGGACTTTGAGCAGCCTCGCGCGCTGTGGGAGAAGGTGTTCGACGAGCAGGCCAAGGAGCGTTTCATCAACAACGTCTCTGGTCACTTGGGCGGCGCAAAGTCTCGCGAGATCATTCAGCGTCAACTCGCCGTCTTTGGCCGCGTCCACCCAGACATTAGCAGCCGCATCAGCGCAAAGATTGGCGCTTGACAATCAGCCGTAGCTCATTTGTGATCTCTTGATTTCTCACCAAAATCAACCCACCCACACCACATTTCTTCTTCTACTTTACCTTTCTACAACTCATAGCGGGAGCTACATCGTGGATGAGCTACACCCCACGCAGCGCGTGTTCACTCTCGAACACGGCAACATCTCTTCATCCTCGACGAAACCTTTTTTTTTATGTCACACATTTGGCTAGCTCTCGCGTCACTCTTGTAGGCTTCCCCCGCATCGCTTAGTCTCCGCTTTCACGTTTGCTCAAAGCGCACGCCACCGAAAGAAAATGCAATTGATTTCAAAGCAGTGATTGATTATTTGTGAGGCCCGAGCGTGCGCCTAGATATCATGCGGCACATATCCCAAACTAATCGTTCGCTTCTGCGTTGAGTCTTCACACAGCGATCCTGACTGCGCTGACGAGCATCAGAGGAGATATATCTGCATGGCATCGCATCGCTCACTTGACGGTGTAATGTACTTCGCTGCAATTGCGTATCCTCTCCGCAGCTTGTTCAGCCGTCAGGTCTCTCTGCGGTTCCGCCATCATCTCGAATCCGACCAAGAACTTGCGCACCGTAGCGCTCCTGAGCAGCGGAGGATAAAAGTGAATGTGAAACTGGGCAAAGTCTGCCACGTCCGAGGATGCCGATGCGGCGCCATCTTTACCGGTCGTCGTAGCGGGCACGGGCCTCTGATGAATGCCCATGGAGTAGGGAAAGGAGCAGCTGAAAATGTTGTCCAACCGACAAGCCGTCCTTCCGAGAATGTCTGACAGACTCGAGAGCTCCTCCTCTGTCATGTGTGCTAGACTATTGATGTGCCTCTTGGCCGGCAGGATGAGCGTCTCGAAAGGCCAGACTGCCCAGTAGGGCACCACTGCGACGAAATGCTGATTGAGCGTGATCACACGAGGCCTTCCGGGCGTGTTGAGCTCGAGGTGAACATATGTCAGCAGCAAGCTCGGCTTCCCGTTCGAATCCAGAGGCGCGCCCCTGAGCACTTCCGGCGCAGCATTGGCTGGCTCCAAAGCGTATGCCTTTTGGTTCTCCAACTCCACTTGCGGCTCTTGAGGGACATAGTCTAGAGACCAAATCTGGCCGTGTGGATGAGGATTGGAGCATCCCATGGCGGATCCCTTGTTCTCGAAGATCTGAACATACTTTACAAAAGGATTTTCGGAGGATATGCGAAGGTAGAGAGATTTCCAGGCTTGCACGATCCTGAGTATGTCCACACTGGCGCTGTACGGGGCGCTGGTCAGCTGCGCGATGGTGAGGTTGTGCGAAGGGTGAAAGCAGATGACGTAACACCTCCCTCTCGCTGGAGTCGACCTAAGCAGCGGATGCGACGTAGAAGCTGCAGAGCAGGTCAGACGGCAAGTCATTTCAGACCATCATGGTGCTCTGTATGCTGCCGCGCACGCGCCTCCAGGACATACTTACCATCTTCCTTGAACTCCACATCGTCAGGTTTCAATGCGGCATAGTCGTTCTCGAAAAACTGCAAGGCAAGGCGAAGGGTGCCGGGTGAGGGTCAGCAACATGGATAGGAAGATCTTCCGCTGCTCTTTTGCTGTTTCCCGTCCGGCCAGTCACCGTGCCGCTGGCCATTGGTCCAGCCTCGTGGTGACGTGTGACCCCCGCTCGCCCAACTCACATACGTTCCCTCGTACTGTTCATTCTTTCCTCCAGTAGCTCGGTCGTTGCCTGGGCACAGGTAGCATTTGGGATCGTAGGCCGGTAATTGTCCACCCGCACCAGCTTCCTGAGCTCCTTGCCAGGGCCTTTGAGTCCTATGCGCTGCGAGTGCATGCACATGGCAGTCCGTGGGAGGTACGCAGCAGTCAGCACGACCGCTCGCTCTACAACACGAGGTTCATCTAGCCAAGGCGTAGCGTAGCGTGGCTCGGCGTGCGGTGACACTCACGAGAGCAGAGCACATGGGAACCTGTGAGCGGGTTCCATCGCCTGTGCGGATGCTGTGAAGGATCGAAAGGGGTTGCGCTGGACATTGTAGCGAGAGCAGAATTCGGGATGCTGCAAGGATCAGACAGACGTGCGCGCCAGAGGTTGGTGTCGCGTGCAACAGCTGAGATCAGCGACGACGGATGAAAGGGGGCAGGAAGTGCACGAGAGAGTATTTGCTACTAAAGCAACTAGCTTTCTGTGCGCTTCGACTAATGGAGGGACCGCCTTGAGCAGCGCTTGATGAAGTTATGCTTGAACGACATGGTAGAAGAGACAAGGAGGAGTTTTTGCAGGGGTCTATGCTCAAGGCGAGAAGTTTGCCGGCGAGTCGCGTTGCATAGCATCAACAGCAGGTACGTGCATGCACGCGTCCGCGGGAATCTCGCCGGGGTCGGAGGATTTCCCGCACGCGCCGACGGTTGACCCCGAGAAGGTGCGCTATATACCCTCCGTCAACACTATCATCATCCGCGCGCGTGAGCGACTCTGACAACTAAATTCTTAAGATTGGCAACAAGGATGGGTGATTACAGAAAGCGAAATATCAGGAGAGATGATGTTGGTGTTGTTTCGGGTACGTTGCACCATAATTAGACTCCTGGGACACCCTTTGCGCCAGGGAATTTCTTGTAGGCGTCGAGAATGTTGATCTTCTTGTTCTGGTCAAAGGGACGGCAAGGGTTGTCACCGCTGTTTGCAGCCTTCGACCAAGGAGCCTTGAGGTTATCGCTGAGATAGCTGGTCACCTGGCCAAGGGATTTATATAAGACGTTCAGTTGCGTAGGTACAAGCTCTTCGATACCAGCTTGGTAAAGGAAGCAGAGGAGTTCCTGGGGGTCCTTGAGAAGACCGGCCAGGTTGAAGACACCTCCGGACAGGTCGCCGACGTCGAGTCCGGCAAAGGAGTTGACGGTACCAGTGTTACCACCGAAGGAGAGCAGCGAAGGGTCGGTACGTGCAGCAGCCAAGAGCGTAAGAGCAATGTCGACGAGGGAGAAGCTGGAGGCCAGGGGACGACGCTTCCATCCAGGGATAAGTCTCTCTTGACCGCGCTTGTAGACGAGCTTGCCGTTCTCCTTGTAGATACCGAAGAAGGCGTGCAGGTTCTTTTCATCGAGGTAGATACGGTTGTAGCCCTCGGCATCGGCAGTATTGTTGGCAGCGAACTCGGTGACGAAACGCTCAGCAGCAGTGGTCACGACCAGACCACCAAAGGCGGACTGGAAGAAGCGGGGGTTGTTCGCAACACTGTAGTGCCACCTTGCGGACTTGTGCTTGAGCATGACCTCAGGGGTAAAGACGTCCACGCCGTCTTGAGAGTTGTTGCCACCGTCGGCGAGCAGCTCCTCGTAGAAGGGCATGTGAAGGTCGACGTTGTTACCACCGCTAGCAGGGTCGTACAAGTCTTGACGAACGATGGAAGCCTGAAGTGTAGACACGGTGGAAGCGGTCAGTCGGCGGATTCTGCGGTGCTGACGTTGCCACTGCTACTCACATCTCCTTCGTAAACGTTGTGGGCGTTGATGCCGGCGGGGTCACCGAACAGCAGGTTGGTCAAAGAGCCGAGGCTCTTGGACTTGTAGGGGCCACCAATGGACCAGGTGCCGTCGAGGATGTTACCGTTAAAGATGACGGCGTAGGCGTTGAGGGCCAGCGCAAGGTCGGGTCCGACACCAAAGACCTTGTTGATGGCATCGATACCCTGGGTCAGGGTGGTGACACCGGAGCGGTCAAGGTAACCGTGGTTGGCGAGCAGGTTGAGACCAGGGCAAGGACCTGCCGATGTGGGACCACATAACGAGAACGTCAGACGCGTATTCTCGACCACTGTTGCACGAGCCACTCACCTCTGATGTCGTTGGGGCCGGGAGCAATGAACTTGTGCTCGTCAGAGGTGAGATCAATGCTCTGCTCCTCGTCGTTGAACTTGAAAGTTGCAGGGTTGATGAGGGCGGTAATGTCACGGTCACCACGTTGAGCACGGGGGTAGATGGGTCCACCGTTGCGGATTTCCTCAGCGCGCTTGACGAAAGCCTTGATTTCGGGACGGTCAGAGTTGAGGTCCAGGCCGCGAGCAACTTCGTCGAAGGACTTGCCAGCGAATGAGGGCAGGGCGGAGACTGTGGTCGAGAGACCAAGACCGGCAACGGTCAGCAAAGGGAGAGTGAACTTCATGACGAGGATGGTGCGAAGACGGCCACGAGAGGATGAGGGGGGTGATGGGAAGAGTGGAATTGATAGGGAGAGGAATCTGGATGGATAGATGGCAAGTGAGCTCCTTTATGTAGCTTTCGTGAGAGAAGCCATACAGACCGACGTCGCTTCGTGACAGAGCATGGTGCTCCACGCGAGGGCGCCGAGTATCTTGGAGAGATCTACATGACAGCCTTCTCTTCTCCCACGGTCTACCTCGCTCACACGGTGGTAGAATCACGAATGTTACACGCCTGCACTCCAAATGGCGCAAGCCCTTCGGGTCCAGGTCTTTCTTGCAGCCAATGAGTGAGGCCATGATCGTCAAGGGTCCATGGCAAGCAGTGCGATTGGTGCGAGAGCCGGTGACGTGCTCGTGCCAGCTTTGGACTCTGCGGAAGCTTCGCAGTCTTGCTTGAGGAGCGTGAAAACTCTCCGGCACATCGGTTGTACTGGCTGTGTGTCGACCTGCGCACGTAGCGCGATTGGTCATCAGCTGTATGAGAGCAGCCCCAAGTCACCGGCCGAGCGCCCTGAGCAATAAAGAGCCAAGAGCAGCTCGCGCATATGTCTAAGCGATGGAAGCTTGTGCGTTCGGTCCGAGGCATGCTCCAATAGAAGAGATCTCAGACGAACGTCTTTTGACGCTACTGAAAGCTTTTCAATCTATTCGTCATGTCTTGCGCCGAAGACGAAGTCCCTCCATATTGCCAGAGGATTCGACGATATTTGGACCGTTGCGAAGCGTCGCATTAGAGCTGCCCTGATCCGTGGGAGAAGCCTGTGCTCCAATCAGGTGTCGGACCAATGCTCACTTGTGCGATGATTGCACATCAAATGCGTAGGCTCCCACTGGATGACGAATCCACGAGTCAGCACAAATGCACGGAAGACCAAAGTTCGGGAGTCCGAGAGGGATGCATCAAATCTGCCATCCTGCTGCAACGCAAATCCAGCATGCGGCACGCCGCCGTTCCGAATGTCCTGCAAGCTCTACGGATTGCAGTAAAGCCTTCGCTGACTCGAACAAGACAGTCTAGCTGAGAACGCTGACGCGAACCCGGACTTTTGCACGTCCTACAGCGAACCTCGCGCTCCATTGCTGATCCCGTCCAAGCATGCTGAGCCGGGTCCCCACCCCATGAGATCTTGGCACTCGAGCCTATCACGACTACCCGCCACTCATGACTCGCTTCTCCAAGTTTGGAAGCGACCAAGATCGCGCGCGCGCTCCGCCTCCCCGGATCTGCGGCAGTGGGGTCCCCAGCCGACCGCAATGTATTCCTGGCTCAAACTTGCTTTCCGGCGGCCTGATCTGCAAAGCAGCCCCTCTTGCCGCTGCAATCCTCTTCACCTTGCAGCGTTGAGCCCGATTTCCGAATCGAGCCGCTCTGCAGACGCCGCCAGAGCAAAAAGGCTCCGAGTAGAATAGCTTTGATGACTTGTTCGGTGGGATGGTTGGGGTGACGCTGCGCGCGACGGTCACGCGAAAGAAGTGTGGATGGCGAAATCATGTGTGACGACTGCTCCAACTTGCGGCAAACTCCGAAAGCGTAAAGGCAGCGGCGCATGCGAGTGCGGTGTGTGCCTTAGCTCCGAAGCCGCATCTTTTTACTCTGCACGACGCATCAGCAGAGAGCATGCAGCAGCTGCTGCAGACGGTGGTGCACGCGTGCGAATCGATCCGCTAGTAGGGTCGCACGCCAAAGAAGGCGCAGCTCACAGATTTGCGCGACAAATCATCCATCCACGAACACTTGAAGAGTTTGGGCCGACCGATGTAGACCACTCGATACAGATCCCCGAGAGAGAGGACCCTCCGCACGTGAACAAACATCATCACGCTCTCCAATCACGTCGTTGTTGCTTTCTCAGCACAAGCGTGGAGCAGCGTCGAATCATACGATGCTACCCACAAAGTCGAATGCTGATTGGCAGCTCTTCTCAGCGATGGCGTCTCGTTGGTGGAAGGCGCCGAGCTCGCGCTCGAGCTTTCGCGCAGAGAGTGGGGGGAGCAACGCTCGTAGCTCTGGCCTGCACTCTGACTGTCAGCCACGCCGAGGACCGGGCTGGCCGAGCGGTCCTCGGCGTGGCTAAGTAGTGCTCCTCATCTCGACGCGCATCATCAAGAGCGCCAACGCGTCACCTTTGAACCGTGACGAGGACATTGTTCAACGAATAAATTCTACTAGGGCGCACACTTGCCCTGCATCAGACTCACGCCATCGTCTACATGACTCATTTGCTGAGCAACAAGGAATTTTGGACGCCAAGTCTCAGAGGACTGATAGACATTGTCAAGGGGGTGGTCAACACCAACTCGTTGCGAACGAGTGCACGTGGACATGAGAGCAGGGAGGCTGGTAACTTCGCACGCCACGCTCAGCCTGCTGCTCAAGGTGAGGCTTCGTGAGCGGTGCTACCGTCTTGGCTGCTGGCAACATTGGGCTTCTCGTTGCTGGTGCCGTTGCCTCCCTTGGACTTGTCGGTGGTGGCGCTGGTGGTAGGCGTAGTGTTGCCCACTTCACCCTTCGGCGCATCCACCTTCTTGGGTGGGGTGTTCGTACCGCTACCAGCCTTTTGGGGTTCGGCATTGCCTTGTGCTCCGCTGTCGACACCCTTGCTGGTCTTTGCTGGCGGGCTACCTTGGCCTGTCGTAGGCTGCGAGTCACCGTCTTTCGGAGCAGCAGTGTTTGGCGGGCTGCCATTGCCACCAGCATCACTGGTCGGTACCGTCGAGGTGCCACTCTGACCAGAACCAGGCGTCTGCGCCGGACCTCCCGGTACGGCAATCTCAGATGGGTCCTTGACTCCATCAATTGGAGGCTGCTTCTTCGCCTCGGCAATCGCGGCCGCCACGTCCTTGCCTAGGCGCGCGTCGATCTTTTCGAAGAGCTTGATGCACTCGTTCTGAGCGTTGGTGTTCTTCATATGCGCCATGGTGCCGCCAAAGTTGGCTGCGATGTTGACCTTATCGTGCTCTGCGAGTTCTTGGTAAAACGCGCGCTGCACAATGGACATCGTTACCGTCTGCAGCTTCTCTGTCTGACGCGCGTCCATGGCATACTCACGGGCTGGTCGTAGTCGAGCTCCTGCATCTGGCTCTCGAAAGATACGACTTTCTTCTCGTCGAGATCCTCCTTAGGGTAGACGTATGACTTCACGTACTTCAGTGGGTCGGTACTGCTCGGATAAAGGGCTCTCTTGCCCTGATTTCCATGCACTGCAATTTTGCCGTCACGTTGAAAGTGAGCAGTCTGAGACAAGGGACAGTTCACGGGGATCTGTCGGGGACGCACGGCAAAACCCTTTAGTACACAGCCGCCTCAGGGAGTGTCTCCAGTAACGCACCTGAAGATAGTTGGCACCGAGACGGTGCCTTGCTGCGTCGTTGTAGCTGAACAGACGCGACTGCAAGACGCTGAAGGGAAGCGTTGATCTGGAACCTGTGAGCACGGTTCGTCCAGACACGTCTCCGCGTATCTCATCGCTCACGGATCGTTGGATGGCGCCCAGCCTTCGATTGCATTCGAGGGGCTGAAGTGCACTTGTTCAATTTCGGCAAAGTAGCTGAGACCGAAAGAGGCTGTGTCAGTAAGCAGGCGATCAACCTTTTGCGCGCCAAGTCGGGGCGCACTTTTCCACATTCTGGGTCAACGTCATCTTGCCGACCTCGTGCCACTGGGCATCCATCCAGTCCTTTGTCAAATCGTTGACATTGTATTTGTACTGTCTGCCTTCTTCGATGGTCTTGACGGCAAATTTGACCGTCCACGATGGATGCTCGGAGCGCTCGATGGCTTCAAACAGATCTTGTGTGGCCCACATCTGGTTTTGACCCGCGATGTAATTGGCTTGAGGCCCAGTGAAGTTCTGTGCGGGTGTATGCAACAGCTAGTCAGATTTTGTTGCACCGACGGGCCATTGACACTGCTCTTCCACATTGCTCGCGGTCCTCATGCGTTCTTCCGACGCGATACTTGGCTATCAGACCCACCTTGACACCCTGATCACTTTCAAGCTTGACCTTGACGTGCACCCAAGAGCCGTCTTGTTGGACCAGTCTGTACGTGTGGCCAGACCAGCCGTGCATATGGCGGAAGCCAAAAGGCGTCCCCAAGTCAGAGAACAAGCGCAAGAATTGCAAGCTCGCTTCAGGGTTCTGCCAAAGGTAATCGAAGACCATGTCTGGGTCTCTTTGATTTGTCTGAGGATTGGTCTTCTGAGTGTGAATGAATGCTGGGAATTTGAGGGGATCGCGAATGAAAAAGACTGGAGTGTTGTTGAACACCTACATGGTTCCGAAGAGTTGCATCGTCAGGCGCAGGGCGTTACCGGGCGAGAGAACGAGACGCAGTGACGTGCACTCACCCAGTCCAGAATACCGTTGTCCTTCGTCCGAATCTAAGCAGCGAGCAAGCACGGGTTAGCCAGTCGCAGGGAAACGGAAAATCTGCTCGAGTTATCTACCTTGATGGCAAAACCTCTGAAACACGACGGGGACTGCGACGTCAGCTGCCACCACGGCTTTCGAAACCCCCAGACCACTCACCGAGGATCACGAGCCACATCGGGACCGCCGCGTGCAGAGCCGACAGTGCTAAAGCGAGCGGTGATGCTGTGGCTGCTGCCCTTCTTGAACGCTGGAGACATGCTGTACTTCTCAGCAAAGTCCGTGGTGACCTCAAAAGTACCATGAGCGCCGGCGCCTTGTAAGCAGAGAAGCAACGTGAGCCGCCTTGTTTTGCCGGATAACCTACTTGGCGCTACTCACCGACGGCATGTACCACGCGCTCAGGGATGCGTTCGCGGTTGAAATGAGCCAGATCATCGAAGATGTGAGGGCTGGTGAAGAGCAGTGGCCCATCGACGCCAACGCGATTGACGGCATAAGGACTTGGTGCTGCTACGCCGTTCTCGTGCGTAAAGGTAAGCTGGTTGGAAGGCAAGAAAGACGCTTCTTCCTGCGTTTTCGTGCCAGAGAACACTGCGCGAGGAGCAAGGCGCATTGACATTCAGAACGGTTCTCCCCACGTCGCCGACTTAGCCCTGGGACTTACTCGCCCAGGCCTGACCGGCGCGCTTTTTCAACCATTCGGCACGCTGACGAATGAAGCGGTCTTGGCCGGCAGCCTCGGCCTGAAGGGCGATGCTGATGGCCAAGGCAACGAAAAGGACCTGTACTCGCATGACCGGACAACAAGGCGGGGGCAAGGAAAGGGGCTGGGAGAAGACTGTCCGGAAGTAGGGTGAATGGAAGCCGGTTGATGGGCAGGCAGACTGGAGAGCCATTTATATGTGCGACGTGAAGCTCGCGGCTCAAGAAAGAAAAAAAGTTCAAGGTGCTGCGCAGACAGACACCTTCACAACGCAGCCCAAGGTCAATACGCTGTTCGCCGAGGTGAGACACAGCAATCCAGCGCTCAAATGCGTGGAGCCATGATCAGCGCCGGATTGCAAATCAGTCTTGGCCAGACGTGGCGCTGGCTCAGCCATCTTGGCGAAAGCACTGCCTCGGGGATGAAACACGAGTGGTCGACCGGATCGCGTCTGCGCGCATGGCTATGCGACTGATGCGCAGAACTTTGAAAGAAGGCTGTCTGGGCAAATCGATCGCAGGAAGCCAGAACCCCATAATGGCTGTTGAGTGGACCTGGCCCCGTCGATGAACACCGCTGCATAATTCAATAGGCCGTCTACACTCACGACTGAGGTCAAGAATCGCTTACCGACACGCGGGTGTCGCAGCATCATAATGGAGACGCCCGTTCCGCCTTTGCTGTGCCCGATGCCGCCAGGGCATGCCCATTTCAAAGACCGAAAAGACGTCAAGTGTGTGGCGCGGCTCAGGAACAAGCATGGTGCACAGTGCACGGCTCTGCCAAGTGTATGCGGAGCTTCTGGATTGTCCCTTTCGTGGCTTGATTAAGCCCGTGGCTGCCTCTCGATGGCTCATATTACGCGAAGCGCTCTCGACGCACCTGTATCCGATGAAGAAGCTCCAGCTGCCCAATTGAGTGCTTCTAGATAGGGGTATGGATGAATGAGAATGCCTTTTGAAAGGCGCGCAAATTGGTGTGCAAACGCAAACAGAGGCGCCAGACCTACCCGCTAGGAGGCAAAAGCAGCCAGCTGCTGGAGCTAACTTAGAGAAGATGAAAGGAACTCATAACGCATTTTAACGCGGATACGAAAGCTCGCAAAATGCAAAGTGTGGACCGATGGGGCTGGATTTGCTACCATGGTTACCACTACAGTCCTCTTAGACCCTCGAAGCGAGCCCCACTCTCCTCGCGTACCGAGGCCCGATCTACGCTCAAGACTCGAGTCCGATCGCCGGCTGCGTATCTCTGTTGCCGATACCGCCACAAGATAGACACAGCGCCTTTGTGCAACGACCGCCCCCGGCTCCACAGCCAGTCGATGTTGAAGCTGGAAATGCAATGGTCTTGATATAGCGATCGACATCCAGCGACATTTGCTCCAGCGGTGCTGATTGGCGTTTCATTTTTGAGGGTGTCATCGAGGTAGCTCGTACCGCTCGACGCGCCGTCTTGGGTGATTCGGCTAATTGCTCGCGCCTCTGCATGGGACGCGGCGAAGAGAATGCAAACTTGCGAATGACCCGTGGTGACAATTGAGGTGCAGGTGCATCATGCCTTGGCCCAGGCGGCTGATTGCGGAGCTTCTTCCTGCTCCGCCCCTCATCTGAGCTCGAGTCGCGATCAAAGGAAGGCTCCTGCGCTGCAGAGGTAGTGCCTCCCAAGCTCGAGGTTGGCGCTCTCAACTCTGTTCCATTCATCTGTGACTGCGTGGCGTAAGTGCCGATCTGCGCTTGCCACGGCTCGAGCTCTAGATGCGAGGCCTGGTCGACAACCCTGTGGGGCGACGCACTTCGATGCTCGGCTTGTTGTGGCCTGCGCACGCTCAAAGACCTGTATGCTTGGCTGTTTGCCTTTTGCTCATCAAGGTGCGATCGACGCTTTGCTCCGCCACTTCTTTTCACCTGCAATTGACTTTCTGCTTCGCGGGCGTCGGTCTCGTCGTCATCGTCACTGGAGCTTGGCCGGCGTTTAGAATAAGACAATGCTGTACCCGTACCCATGGACGATTGCCGTCCCAGCTCTCTACCAATGTCACCGCGTGACATCTGACCATCTCGATTACGGGATGCTGGATATCCTTCATCTCTCCTTCGGGTTTTGCAATGTCCCTCTGGCCACATGTCAGCGAAGACGCGCCGAACGTTGTAGCAAGGCTTTGCTCGAGCTCTGGAGCTGCGTCGGCGCTCGGGCTCCTCGTCCGGCGGTGGAGCGGAGGTTCCCGATTCTACCGACAAATTTGCTGAATGTGCCGAAGCAGGGGCTATCAACAGAGACGTGGATTGTTGACAGATTGCGCGTGATCTGAGGTTTGGTGCCAGCGTTCTCGCTGACGGACAAAATTGCAGGAGTTCTGCGAGGCCAGGAAGATCGCCATAAGGCAGTGACTCGCCTATGCCCTGCTCGCCCATTTTGAATCGCTTTGTTCTTCGGTCGAATGGCTGCAGTAATCTTTCCACGTTCGCTCGCTTCTCGTACAGCACCTCGTCCCAGTCGTATCCATCTGAGTCATCCGAGAGGACATCGAGCTCATCCGACGAGGAGCTTGCTTGCTGAGAAGCCACCTTTGCTGAAGGCAAGTTGACGGGCCGACGCCGCCTTTGGTTGTCGTAGTCGCTTTCGTATTCTACGCTGCTCGCCCCGGAATCTTCATCGTAGCCATCCGAGAATCGACGTTGGGCCTCCCAAACGCCATTCCTCGAGGTATCAGAATCGCCGTCAATGTCTCTATCACTCCCTGAGCTTGCGTTCTGCTCATCCTCATCGATATCTCCCATGATAGCCCTTCTGTGCGCCTCTGCTTCCAGGAATTCCGCTAGATGAGGATCGCTTGCGTGCTCACCGCTCGGCCAGTAGCCACGGCCATCGGGACATGATCCCATCTGATCCTCCTGCTTGATGTAGTCGCTGCGGAAGATGGCAGTGGCAGCACTGGCGCCCCAGATCCCGATCTCGTCCTCGTCGCTGTCCACCTCGCCCCACGGCTCGAGTGAGCGCTCTTCTCCATAATTCAGCTCCTCGTCTTTGATGAAGGCGCCAAACTCTATTCGCTTGCTGGCGATACCTTTCAATGTCCCTCGGTCTCGAATGAGCCGGGGTGGCCGAGCTCCCGAGCCGAGATGTATCTCATCCTGCGGAACCAGGTGGGCGTCCTCGAAGCGAGCAAATATGTCGTCCCAACGAGATTTGAGCCGCAATGTTGATGCGTACCGGGCGAACTCGACATTTTCGCTACCGTCAGGATTGAACTCGGCAGGTGGTCCAAGCTGAGACGTAAACTGGAAATGACGAGCATGGCTCGATTCTGTTCGACTCTGTAGAGAGCAGCCTAGGGTTAGCGCGAGGAGGAAAGATGACATCCCTTCTTGCGACACTCACCTGAATTGGCGAGTGTCCGTAGCTTGGTCCGGGTGTGTCGATCCTATACGGAGGCGGGAAAAAGCGCCAGTGGGGTTGTTGCTGAGGAGCTGCGGGAGAAAGGCTCGTTTCGCCTTGTTGCCAGCGCGGACTCGCCACCCCTTCTCCGGGTGGGCGGAGTGACATTGAGCTACAAGACGCTTGAGCACCCGCTCAGAATGCCTTGTCTGGGCTAATGCGCTGTTCAGAAGCCTCGTCGAGGAGAGCACACCAGCATGAGTTCCATGGAGGGTGACGCTGAGGGTAGCGAGGACCGAGACGAGCGCTTCGTGACGGACAAGGACAGCCGGGAGGTCTGTCAAGCCACGAGTGCTATTAGACTGACGAAGCAAATGCACCTGGTTCCCGCCGCTCCGCGAGTATCTGCAGGCCTGCGAGAGCTGAATCCAGAGGAAGACGAGTGGCAAGATGACGAAGTTTCAACGGAAAAGAACGATGGGGTACAATTTGCTGAGCTCGTTCTTGAATTGAAGTCATGGTCAGAAGAGTCACGGATGGAGTTCATCACTTCATCCAAAGTCGTGCCATCTGTGACCGTAACCCGTTGAATCAGAATCTTGAATCAGCCCGCCGCTTCGACGATGCGCGCAATCGTGAATCGTACGTGAACGTGAATGCATCCGCGTTCACCGCGCGCGTATACGCGCGCGGCACGCGTGCTGAGCGCGTCTTATTCCCGCGGACCGATCGCTCGTCCGCGCAATCCAAATCACTAATTCACGATTGTGATTGTGATTCTCTTTGGGTACGGTACCGTACCTTCCAGTTTTTTTATTATTCTGATGTTTCCTCTGGATCTGTGGAGTACCTGCAAGCTAAGTCACGTGCACCTGCCGTCGTCCGCTGGATGTCCTGGGTTGGATCGTGCATCCATGATCTTGACCGCGCCAGCAGGCATTCACGATTGGTGATTGGTAAATGATTCATGACACCATATTCCCTGAACGAGGAATGGTCCGCCACTGCTCAGGGAGCACGACAGGGCTCATCTGACTCTGACTCCCTCATGCAACGCAACTCACATACGACATTTCGCGTGCAGCAGCTTCTGACAGATTCTGCAGCTCTTGGGCGAGGCTGTGCTAGGTGTGCGCAGTTGGCGTCCCCCGGGCGCACGACATCGACGACGTAGGTGTCAAAGCTTCTACCATCAACGAATCTCGCGGACCAGACCTTGTGTTTCATTCGGTATACGACCTGGATACGCTTTCCACAAACGCATCCTCACTCGGCATGGACCGCGACGTGTACGCGCTGCTGCCACTCCCCGCGCTCGGGTCTGTGCCGCTATCTTTCCGCATCTCTTCGATACAAGGCTTTCTTGCCCGGCACTCTGCCGTGCAGCTCTTGGACGAGCCACAGGCGCGACTATGGGGAAAGCACAATGACGAATTTCCCGACCTTTACGTAGAAGTGAGGGTGTATGCGGACAACAAACCTCTTTCTGAGCCTGTTCGTACAAGCTACAAATCAATGAGAAATGGCTGGAGGTGAGCGAGCTTGCTGCAGCGAGTTGCACAACGGGGTGAACATAGCTGACTCGAGACCTGCGTATGCTCAGATTCAACGAGTCTATAACATTTGCGACCTTGCCACTATCCTCACTACCACTCAACTCTCAGGTAGGCTTGACCATCTGGGACTCCGCAGGAAGACTAGAGGGTGGTAAGAGATGCGTCGGCGGAACTACTTTCAAGCTCTTTGGCAAGAAAGGGTGAGCCGCAAATTGACACCCGTCTTACGCCAGGTGGATTCAAAGCTGATGGATCATCCCTACTTCTCCTGGGTAGCACCTTGAAAACAGCGTCACACAGGTTGTTCGTTTGGCCAGAGGTGCAAGCGGATGGAAGTGCAGAGACATCGACGCCATCGAAGGTCAGAGGTGCTGCTGCTGAGAATGTCGCAAGAGGCGGAGCAGCTCAAGGCTCAGATGCGGATGGGCTGGGAGTCGGCGCCAGTGATGAGCAGGGCAAGGATGAGATGGGTAGGCTAGAAAAGGTGTGTTCACGTGAGACAAGTAAAGCGCAACTGTACAGCGCTCTCATGGCTCCAACCATACCCGCCTCTGCGTTTCAGCTCATCAAGCTTCACGAAGCATCATCCCTCCCGCGGCTGGCTTGGCTGGACAAGCTGACCTACCGGCAGATTGAGAGAATCAATGCAGAGCAAGGTGTGCACTCTAAGGCTATGTGGCTTTATGTTGATCTGCCCCGTTGGGATGCGCCGGTCGTCTGGTGTGAGCTGGAAGGGAATCCTGCGCATACCATGGCATCGACCTCAGCAGCGCCTACAGGCGTTGAACCAGCCAACACCACGCCGGTGGTTGGCGCGATCGATACTGGCTTCTTCACAGTCTTTGACGCCGAGCAGATTCCCATGCAGGATCCTCTGGATGGTAGATGGGGACTATTGGAAAACCCAATCGAGGCCAAATCAAGGCGTCTGGCCAGAAGCCACCGCAACGGACCGCTCGATCGAGAGCTAAAGCCAGACGCCGCAATTCGAGACGAGCTCAATGTGAGTCGGCTACGTGATGGTCTCCACGTCCAAGCGCTGACGGAACCGCGCGGACGCGTCTAGGATATCCTCTCCTACCCACCCACTCGAGCACTGACCTCACGAGAAGCAGATCTCCTATGGTCGTTCCGCTTCTATCTGTCAAGATTCCCGGGTGGCCTGACTAAATTTCTCAAGTCTGTGTCCTGGTCAGATCAGGGAGAAGCAAAGCAAGCCACTGAGGTGCTGATGCCCATGTGGGCCAAGATTGGCCTAGACGATGCTCTTGAGCTACTTGGACCTGGCTTCCGTGACCAGCGTGTTCGGCATTACGCAGTTCAGACATTGGAGCGCGCCGACGATGACGTGAGTGTGACTTCGTGAAGCTCAGAGGATCTGGACGCGATCGCTCACACGAAGCGCACCGCTGCAATTTGTCCAGGAACTTATTCTGTACCTACTACAGTTGGTCCAAGCGTTAAAGTTCGATGACGCGTCAGCTGTTGGAGCTTCGGAGCCCGGACCATTGACCTCGTTCGGTCCAGAGAGCGGGATTCCCAGTGGAGCGAACTCTGCTTCCCTTGCACACACGGCAGCAGGCGACATCATCGGCGTCTCGCAGACTCTGAGGCCCTATTTGATCAATCGCGCTCTGAAGTCTGCTCAGTCCGGCGACTTGGTACTGGCCAACAACTTATACTGGTACCTGACGGTAGAGACGGAGGACAAGAGATGGGGCCGCATGTATCGAGATGCGAAGCAAGAGTTTCTGCGCTCGTGCGAGAGTGTGAGTCGTGCGATGTGAATCCTTGCACTGGCACTATAGTAACACAACAAGCTGCTTGTCCTCTCAGGTGAAGGTGGGCGATGCTCTGCTAGCCTCATTATTCAAACAACAAGCCGCGCTCGTTGCCCAGCTTAGCAAGCAAGCTCTCCTTCTTCGGTCCTCCAAGGACGCTCGCCCAAAGAAAATTGACAAGCTCCGAGCTTTCATTGCGGATCCAAAGTCAAAATTGCAGGATTTCGAGGCATCAGGTCTGCCGCTGCCGCTGGACGCCACGGTCCGCGTAAGTGGCATCAGGGCCGAGGAGAGCACAATCTTCAAGAGCAACCTATTTCCGTTACTGCTGCAATTTGACAGAGTACCGCAGCTGCAGCCGTCACACGAAACCGGAGAAGCGTCGACTGAGTCGTATGGCGTCATCTTCAAGAATGGCGACGACCTTCGCCAGGACCAGTTGGTGATTCAGCTTTTCACCTTGATGGATAAGCTGTTACGCAACGAGAATCTCGACCTGCGCATGACGCCCTATCGCGTCCTAGCTACGGCCTCGCTAGACGGAATGGTTCAATTTGTGCAATCCGCGAGCGTGGCAAGCATCCTGTCGACCCACAGCGGAAGTCTATTGAACTATCTGCGCTCATATCATCCTGATGAGACCAGTTTGGCTACTTATGGTGTGAAGCCAGAAATTCTGGACACCTTTATCAGGAGCTGTGGTACGTTAGCGGCAGCGAGACGATGACCTGCGCCATCTGACAAACGGCTAATTTGACGGGCCTCACCTCTCTGTGTAGCCGGATATTGTGTGGTCACGTACCTCCTCGGCGTGGGGGACCGCCATTTGGACAATCTTTTGTTAGCGCCTGATGGTCATTTCTTCCACGGTGCGTTGGAGGAACTGCGCTAGGGGCTGAAGCGTTGCCCTCACGACGCTAGAACTGACTTTGCATCTTTCGATTTGTGACCGAGCAGTGGACTTTGGCTACATCCTTGGCAGAGACCCGAAACCGTTTCCTCCAGCTGTCAAGCTTTGCAAGGAGATGGTGGATTGCATGGGTGGAACGCAATCGCAGCACTACTTGCGGTTCAAGAGTCTCGCTCATACGGCTTTCGCAACTTTGAGAAAAAACGCTAACCTCATTTTGAATTTGATCGCGCTGATGGTGGATGCCAATGTGCCCGACATCAGAGTGGAGCCAGACAAAGCCGTACTCAAGGTGGGTCGACTAGGCGGAGAGCTGCGATGGAATAAGCTGCTCATCTCCCAAATGACTTGGTGGTTTGCCAGGTTCAAGAAAAATTCCGCCTTGAGCTTGGAGAAGAAGAGGCAATCCAATTCTTCGACGGCCTTCTCAACGAGACATCGTATGTCACCATGGTATTTGATCGGCTACACGATGCAGCACAATTCTTTAGGTCATGAAATTTCGTCTTCGCGACGTCCTGCTCAAGACTATCATTTGCTGTTGGTCACACCCCAGTGGAAGATGTGACCTAATTGTCCGTGCGGCCGGCGCCGCTTCTGCGTGCATGCATTCCTCGGCGAAATTTTGCGCGCGGCTCGACGATTTTCTTCCGATGAGCGCTCGAGCCCCGCACTAAGCTTTTGCGCGCACAGACACCTCAGCAAGCGATATGTCTACAAATGACCGATCTCACTCGCTTCATCTTAGCGCCCTCATCACCAACATCAACGTCAGCAGACAGACAGCCTTCGCTAAAGTCATTCTGAGTCGACGTGCGTCTCTACGCCAGCAGCTTTACCAGCACGCCTGTTAACAGCAGGCTCAAATAGCAGTGGAGCGCTGGATCTCGAGACATACTCGACACCCCTGCATCCAAGAATCCGAAGGGGGAGGGGCCTGCGTGCATGCACGCACTCCTGTGTCTTGCGCAAGCAAACTCTCGACTCCTCCAGTCCCAGCTCGAGGAGCTACCACAGGAGTTTTAGTCGACCAGCAATCATCTATTTCTCTCTGTCACTCTCACTGCATCACGTGTCCGTCATTACTATATTACCAGCGCTATGGGGCTATAGACCCTCTTTGGAACCATTTCCACATCGGCCATCCCTAATTTCAAACGCGTCACTTCGTGCACGGATGGAAAGCAAATGCCTCTGCGCAGACAGGCAATCAAATAAGGTGCCCGGCTTCCATGGATTAGCGAAGGGGGCAAAGGCGCAGTGTGAGATGCTGCAGTCATTTGCAAGGTCGCCCCCCTTTCCGTCTCAGCGCCCTCTGTACCAATGAGATCTCGATTGGCAAAGCAGTCGGAGGGTTGAAGCGTCCGTCTCGACGGCTAGGCTATCCTTGGTCGTTGGCGCCCGGGACCGCGTTATCATTTGGCAGCTCATTCCGTCATACATAGAGTCGGCTCGCATAGCCACCCCGAGTGGCGCTTTCGCTTCTCCCATAGTGCTGGATCGAAACTTGGCGCATCTGCAGCAAATTGACAGCAATTTCGCCCAGAGGATTTGACACTGATGGGATGATTGCTGTTCACCCTTCGCACAGCACGGAAGCGCAGTCATCCGCCGCCCCCAATTTGGCACCGTCCAGGTCCTCTCTTTCTCTCCCTACCAAGATCGATGCTGAAATGAACATTGCTGCAGCGGAGTACCAGGGGTTTTCAAGTAGATCGAGCTCCGAACCAGATCCGTGGGCTATGACGACCCCTATGCGTGGCACGGCCTGGTGGTCAGGAGCTGCTTGCTGACTATCGGGTACGTGCGCTGCCACCGTGTTTGTGCTCCGATCTCAAATCTCGACAGATTGCCTCGGCGACATACCTCATGTCGCATGTTGCTCCCTGGGAGGACTTATGCGAGAGTGGATTCTGCGTCGAATGTCTGCGCACTGACGAGTCGCGCCATTTCTGAGAAGTGCAGCAGCTGGCGGCGCGATATCTGCTAGGAGGCCAGAGGCCAGTCTTCCCCTGTGTCTGACCCTGCTTGAGCACAAGCTAGGTGCTTCCGTAACAGAATTGCTGGGCTACCTCCTCGCCACTCCACAGCAGGTCAGCCCTGCCACTGCGAACCACCTGGCAATCAAACGACGAGCATCTACTCTTGAATGCAACGTTATCATGTCGACCGGGAAACGTCGCGTCGTCGTCAGGTTCACCACCATCTCCCGCTTTGACAAGGTCTAGTTCTCTCGCGCTCGACGTCCGCATAGCTCCCGCCGCTTCAGACAGAGCGCCAACCTCCGTTGTGAACGACGGCTTGGTCACCGCCGCTCGCCTGTCACGGGATCTCTGGAGGCGCCGGAGCGGCCCGCACAGGCACATCCCCTTCCTTTCTACGCAGACGTGATCGCTTTGGTCCCGCTCACGGTCGTGCAGTCGTGTTCGACAAGCCCCTACAATACTGTCACAAAGGCGACTGCAGCGGGAACAAAACGCAAAGATCGTTCGCGCAGAGCGGGCGTGCGTATTCGGGAACGCTTGCTCTTTGGGGGCGCCACTCAAAGTGGTGGCTCTGTCATCCGACCGACGCGTATTGACAGGCTCTGCATCTGACGCTCCAGCTCTGCCACGGCTACCTTATCGGCCTTTCGCAGAACGACACGCTCGTCCTGCTCACGTCCTTGTCGCCAAGCATGCCGCGACTTCGGGCCGCACTGCCTGCTACCGACGATGGCGACGGCGAGAGTCGACACGTCCCAACGTCACTCCCAAATACGCCTTCTCTGGGAAATCCAGATCCCTCACTTGGGCTGCGTCCTACATTTTCGGGAGAGTGGAATGTTGATCGGAGAGCCCGGACAAGCTCACCGCTCGTTGATGCCTCAGGCATCTTCCAGGATGGTCACCTTCAAAACTTAGGAGAGCCGAAGCTACGAGGCAGCTTCCACGAAGACACTAGCCATCCTAAAGATGGACGCGGCGTTCTGCCTCTTGTGGATCCGGCTGCCACAGCTGCAGCGATTCAAGTATCCGAGGCTGAATTGGCAACGGCTCAGCTAGCTGGTCCGGTTCACCCGGACGTGGTGCCATTGTTCACGCCCGTCGGTGCCATTGGCGCGCATGGGACACCTCACTCGCATCTTGGCCGTCTGCCGGACGGCCGACTAGTTCAGCTCTACCCACCTGTGGAGCGAGCTTCACAAGCATGTGAGCTGTGTCGACGGGTGAGTGGCACAGCAAACCTTTGCCAAATCAAGCTATTCTCGTCGCTAACCACGTCTGCTTCTCGATTTGACGTGCAGCGCAAGGCCAAGTGCTCTGGTGGCATGCAATGCGATCGATGCAAGAAGGCAAACAAAGAATGCGTTGTGAGTCGGCATCCATCATGATGTCCAGCTCGTGTTATTGACGATGTGCGATCGTGCCGCCGTGCCGTCAGTATGCACAAGTCAACCCTACAAAGCGCTTCAAGGAAGAACGTACAACGGATACTCTTACCAGAAATTCTGGTCACGGACTGCTCGCCGCTCGCGCGCGTGGTCGACGTCGTGGCTATGGAAGTTCCCGAGGCCTGAGAGGGTCAAAGCTCCGTCCAGACGGAAGCACGGCTAGCGCCAGTGTCGAATACAACACTGACGGCTCATCCACAATCCCATCTATGAGCAGCTACAATCACAGAAGCGCCATGCCCGCACACCTTCATGCTGCCAGCAACCCTAGTATGTCGAGTCTTATCGATGCTGAGCTTGCGGAAGACGCGAACAAGAGCGCTTGGAATCGCGGCCCAGGAGCTATGCTGCACCACGCAGCGAACTCTCAAGGGTTACCGCAGACTGCTTCGATGTCACCAAATGCTTCCGCGAGCTCGGTCAGTCTGCCGCTCAGCGCCTCGCCACAGACAGGCTCGCCGTGGATGGGCTATCCGCAGCACTCGTATGGCGGCCATGCTTATCAGATGCCGTATCCATCGCACAATTTCCATGGACAAAATGCGCTGGGTGTCCAAATGTATGCAGCTCACCCGGAAGAAGCAGCGAACAGCGGCATCTCTTCGAGCTCTTCGTCGGTCGCGCCCCCGCCATCGTATGACGAGTACCATCGAAAAATGCATACCGGCTCAGGCGCCGTCGCGATCGAGATGGGTCAGCACCATAATCCGTGGCTGCACACCCAGCATGCGCATTACAATGCGCCACAGCCCTACGAGTACGCTGCCCACCATCAAGCAGCCATGGGCTCGGCACCGTTCGTGGACCATCATTCATCGACCGATAGCTCACGCTGGAAGCGCGACTTCATCTCTGCGCAAGACTTTTCATAGTCCAGGGGCGGAAGGACAGTCCCGAGAGCGTATCTATTGTCATGTGCACCTCGAGTTGTCGGAGGCGCGCCGCGCCGTGCTTCACTGCTCCGACGCTCGCGCGTGCTCGAGCCCCTCGATCTTGCAATCCCTTTGCAAATTGATCGGCGCGAGCCTGTCGATCCTTCTCTCTCCCCTGACGATCAACCCATCGTGCATTGTCCCCCCGCATCATAGTCTCCGACGGTATCCTATCTCCTAGCCGTAAAGGCTCGCCCGAAAGCCCCCAGTAGTATTCAAGTTCTCCGCCATACTTTGTCGTCTCCCCTCGCCGTGACCACTTGACCCCTATGGCTCGTTCGGACCCCTTTCTTCCGCGCGCGAGCATGTGCCTTTTGTTTTGCCCCCCCTCTCGTCTTCACTGCCTGCACCTCGACAAGCGTACTTTATGATGCGAAGAACATTGCTCCTGCTTTTGCTTTACTGCGCCAATTTCGTGCGCGATCATGCTACTACTCGATCAGGGTGGCCCACAAGAGAGTCAAACCTTGGCCTAGATTGCTCCGGCTCCTCGGCACGCTTTGCAGCTCCGCCGGTTCGGCCTGCTCGCACTCGCAGTGACACTAGCTTCCAACTTTCAGTGGCGTCGTTTGTGTGTGGACTCCAAGTCAAGACTATTCGTGCGCACGCTCACTGACGTATTGCAATCGTGAATTGTCGAAAAGAATAGAGCAGTACGACGGTAAAGATTGGACGGTCCCGTCTGCTGATTCGGATACGCGATTGCGCCATTGTAAGGTGCAGGAAAAGCGATTTGAACAGGAAGGGTCAGGCTACGCTCGGTCGGACATTGCAGTCCTTCCTCACTCCACTTCCCTTCCCCCCCCCGGCTCTGGTCGTCGTTACCTCTGGAAAGTCTGAAAGGAAGGACCATGGCTTCTGCTGACGGGCTTCCACGATCCTAGAAACTCACTTGGGCATTCGGCGCACCCAGAAAATTGGAATGGAACAGGTCTGCATCTTAATTGCGCAGCATGCCGCTCAACGCACATGTCCGGCCGGGCGCGCACTCGATCGCACCATGTTTCGCACACCCGCCTAAAGTCGCGAACGTGCATGGTCGTGTGGCTTTGCCCATCTTTTCCCTCCCTCGTGACTGAGATACGGTATTGCCGCCAGCAGAGCACGCGGGGACAGAACATCACATCACTGACGCATGCGTCAGCAGCAAGCACATACATACAGTGGACCATCACATCTTCACTGTGGTGCTGGTACAGTACGGTACCGCTAGCAGACGGCATTTCGGCTTGGACCGTTGAGTTCCTGCAGAGCTTGCAGAAATGAAAAGGCCGGTCAAAATTAGCTCGTGTGTGTGTGTGTGTGTGCGTGTGTGTGCGTGTGTGTGTGTGTGTGTGTGCGGGAGACCGCAAAGGAGGCGCGCAATCATTGAGCGTGGTGCACCACCATCATCATCAGTCATTTACGTGTAGTGCTTGAGTATTCAGCTCAGCGCTTGATTTGATTTGCAATCGTCAATATGAACGACGAATGGAGCTAGCTTTTGACTGTTGGGGGGTATGTGTGCATCGAAGACGAACAACCTCTTCGCCCGAGGTGCGAGCACATGAAGGCAGACAGACACGAGTGCAGGCCCAGACGAAGCAGGGGTGAGGCTTGGCAGCCTGGCCCATTCTCAACGGCGCGCAAACCTGGTTCGCCGAGCGGTCTGAGGCTTTGAGCGGGCAGCGCGCGCGACTTGTGAATCTCATCGCCTGCCCGCTGCTGCTGCTGCCGACGCACGTTGCGCGACACGACTCAAAACATGACAAACTCCGCACGAGCCGGACTCACGGCCAAGTAATCGTGACTCAGACTGTGCGGACTTGCATCGTGGCATCAGCATCAGCAGCAGCATCAGCTGCCATGATGCAGCAGATGCGGAAGAGGCGAGGAGAGCGGGGAGGCGCGCCTTTCCACCAGCAGGGCAGTGCGGAGCTTGTATAGGATCACAGCACGCAGCCATGAGATCTTGGCATTGCATTCATGATTGATGCTCATGCACCGCACACAGTCAAGAGATGTGCGCACTCGGTCGCGAGTGTCGACGCTACAAGATCTTGCGCCGGCTGATGCATTGCATGCATCCAAGGCTCTGAACTGAGCTGTGGGCCAGCACCGGTACAGTCTGAGTAGAGACCCCTTCCAAATTGCCGTGTGTGGATGTGGATGTGCACGCTGTACTGCTACTCGTGACTCGTGACTGTATGTACGGTACACATGAATCAGCGAGCCGAGAGATGTGCCGTCCGTCGTGTCGTAGGGGCAAACTTGGACGCGCGGTGTGCTGCAGCATGCAATGCACCCTTACCTGTGACTGCTGCTGCTGCTGCTGCTGCTGCGTCTGCGTCTGCGTCTGCGTCTGCTGCGAAATCGCTCGATCGTCACCCAAACAAAGTCCACTCAGACTCAGACTCGTGGCTCACTCACCACTCACCATCTGGCTCCCAGCTGCTGCTCAAGTGTTTCGACCCATCCTCCCTACTGCCGACTTCGGCTTTCCATCGACCTGTGCGCTTTCGTGATCCTCGCTGTACCGTATCCTCTGCCCGCACCACCTCAAATGTCACTCGCATCGTACCCAGTCCCCAATCACCGTAGGCAAAGGCAGCAGCAGCAGCAGCAGCAGCATCGCCCGCATAGATCTGTGGCAGACTTTCCTTCTATTTACAGCCAACGTCTCATTCCTTCAACTGCGCGACTGCACTTCATTCTTTTGCGGACTTTGTTTCCTTCTCTGAATTCCGCCGCTTCACTCCGCTCTCGGACGTGAGCAGCGCACGCCAGCATCACCTCGACGTCAGCCCTTCACAAGACGAGCCAGCTCGAGGGGCAAGCCCTCGCGCAGTCACAGCGATACGCACTCCTCGGAAGACCTCGTCGCGCCGACGGCTCCCACTCGCCGCTTGGCCCACCACTCACCTCTGCTCGTGCCTGGTACCTACGCTACCTCTTCATCACACGCCCTTCACATCCACCTCGACGCACCTCGATAGACAACTTTGACGGATCTCCAAGGCGGCCTGGTCGGATTTGGTCTGGTCTGGTGTGCTGTCTTCGCGAGCACGCGAGTCCCGGGCCTCGGAGCAACATCTCATCTCGCGCGCCTCCTTAATAGCTGGATTCGTGGCCCCCCTCGCCGCACTCGCTGACGGCGGAACGCCCGTACGGCATCAATCATTTATCCACTCTCAGGGTGCGCTGACAGCCACCGCCCGCGTCGAGCAGTCGAGGATTGCAACCCCCCAAAAAACCGGTACCTCGTTCCAGCAACGCCGAATCCTAACTCACCACTTCCAACCCCGCCTATGGTGTGTGCGACCGTGGCACCATAAAAGGTGATCAGGCACGCTCGGCTTTGGACTGATCAGTCACGCATCACACAATCGCAGTCACGAGCGGACGAAGCGACTCTCGAGGGAGAGCACTTTCTCGGAACGGCTCTGTGATCTCACTTTCATCTCCTGTGATCATACTTTGCGAGTCAGCTTCTTGCACGGAAGAGCAACAGTCGCCCACCTTAATCAAGAAGCTTTCGAGAAGGACAAGGCCACAGCACGCCCAATTCATCTTCCCTTCCTCACATTACTCTCGAGGCATCAGCACACCGTTTGCTGAAAGTCTTGTCCGCGATCGGGAAGGGCGAGGCGATCAAATATCGGGGATACAAGCGCAATCCATCACGCTGGAGCAAGGCGGACCTTTCAAGAATGACCTTTACCAGCCCTTGCAAGAGGCGGCGTAGGAGGAGAAGAGCCGAGGAACATGAGCTGGCGCCGTGTTCCAGACATTGCAGCTTCCACAGGGCGCTCTACTCATCCTACCGACCCAGCGCTCTCGACAAAGTTTCACCACACGCACCTCAGCATCTAACGCACAGCAGCAATGCATGCACTGGTGACGCTTCGCGCCTGCGGTCTAAAGAGCTCACAAGCGGCCGGAGAAAGCTGAACAGACCCGAGGCGAGTCAGCGACACCTCAGACTCTTTCGGCCGCTTCTGCTGGCGTTCTGCGCGATCTCAGCTGCGAATGGTTTCACCATCACATGGCCAGCTGCGTTCGTGCAGTGCGAGCCTGCCTCTGTTGGCATAGCTACTGATGGACTGGCCAACGTGCTCGGCATAGACATCACAGTCAGAAAAGGACGTGAGTGACTCGAATGTTCGGCGCGCTAGCGCTACTAGCATCACCACTTGATCAGAGATAGCAGGCCTGCCAATCAGTCTCCAAGTCGTCACCAGCTTACTTGCTTTGCGATGCGGGCGCAACATTCTGCTGACGCTCGCTCTCCGCCATTCGCGCAGCGCGCTTGGACAGGATATTCATAGAGGAGCCGATAATCCCTACTGCAACGATCTGGAACTGGACTGCAGTGGACGTCCAAGCTGGCACACCGCTCGTCTTGTCCGTGCTCGCCTACGGCGCTGATAATGCGACCATCGGTGCGGCGCTCACCCACGCTCTCGTACGTCTGCCGGACAATGGCCCAGCACAGACCGAGTGTCTGCAGAAGAAGCGCAAAGATGAGGACACGAATCGCAAGGGCATAGGTCTGGAATTGCCTTTGATCGCAGGCATCTTGGGTGGAATCCTGCTCACGCTCCTCGTCTTGATAGTGTTCATGTGCTTGAGAAGACGCAGGGAACGGGCGAGGGAAGACGCTGGCAGTCTGCAAGGACATGGCCGGACCAGTCTGCTCCTCAACGGCGCCGAACCTGGCTCGGGAGGGTCGACTGCCGGTTGGGGGTACATGGCCGCTGTCGTGCCTGGCCTTGCGCCTCGCCCTGCCTTGTCTCCTAGTCAAGTGCAGGCGAACCGCAACAATCCTCAAAGACTGCCTCATCGTTGGGCTCGCAGGACGCACCGAGCCGATGATGGTGGAGATGGCGAGCTTCCAAGCTACGGCAGAAGTCAGTGGGAAAAGGCAAAGTTGCCCAAGTACGACAATGGCAATGCGCAGCCGGAAGAGGGCCATGCAGCCATGGGCGGCGATCACGAAGCTATCATGATGATGCCGCTAGCTAATCATACCGCTCAACAACGTCCCTACGGCCTCGATGAGAACTCCGAAGCCTTCGACGCTTCCACAGCCGAGCTGAACCCCGAGCATTCGGATCAGACCGATGAGCAGGACAATGCCGGCGGCATAGGCATGGGGACGGCGATTGGTTCGGGTATTTCCAACGTGCACAGGAGATCCCGATCCGGAGCCGCGGGTCCGCCCGCTGTTCGATACAATGCTTCGCGAAGCCCCCCACAGACTGCAGAGGCATTTGCTACGGCCACCTCGCAGGATGGATTCGACGACGCTTACGACCATCACCCGGCTTTTCGGCAGGCTGCTATTGCAGATGGCTCACCCGACCGATCAAATTCGCAAGTCCTGCATTCCACTCCTCGAAGTCACCGAGCCTTTTAGTCGTCGCACCAGAGCGGCACTCTGCTGAATTATTTCCTCAACTGCTATCCTGCCCTCGCACACTCTCCTGCACTTGCTTTTGCCTGCCTCGTTGCTTTGCATACCTCGACTGCTTTGTTGTATTTCTATACGATAGCAATTTGAAGAGCGAACACCAAATGACACATTGAGCTCGGACTACCCAGCTTGTGCGATTGTGCTGCGGCAGTCCAGTCTTCTGAGGTGTAGATCAGGCATCCCTCATTCCACGTTGATCGCTGGTACAGAATCCCCAGCAACCGGACCGTTCGGCCCGTCTGTTCGTTCCGAAGCCTCTGGCTCTTCGTAAACGTACCGATGTCCGGGCCGAACATTTTCGAGGTTTTGGCGCTGGTAGAGGAGCTGATAAGCGGTGCAGGAGAGGACTTCCTGAGCGCTTACCGGCACCACGCGATCGTCGTTTGCTCTGTACCACTGCGAGTCAAATCGACATGGGGGCCATGATCGGTCAGCACGAGTCATGCCATGCGCGAGAGCAGCGCGATCATCTGACCTGATCGTGATATCTAGTGTAGCAATAGTAGTGCTGCAGAAAATAGCGTGTCATCACCTCGTGAGCATACATTTCAAGCGCAACTTGAGACCTCCTTTTCGATAAGCTCACTCCTGAGTGAAGGCTTTTGCCAGTGTGCACGACCACGGCAAAGAGGGTGTAGAGATACGAGCTGAATCGATACAAGAGGTCGGCTGAGCTGTGCTTGGCTGGATTTGCCTCTGTATCAACATCTGGGCTCACTCTGCGTCGTAAGACAGCATCTCCGTGCCGACATTACTAGTGGTGTATTCTCGCAAATCTAGATGCACTGGGAATCGGACACGAGTTTCGAGCTTGGTTCCCTGTATGTTGTGCTCGAAACGCTGCCAATTGACCAGAATGCGGCAGATGAGCACAGGTTGCTTTCCCATGTACTTGCACAAGCTTCTCACCTTGAGCTGGAAGCAAAGGACTGGGGGCAGCCGCATGAGCGATAACTGCTTGAAAGCCTGAGCGGAGATGCGAAAAAGTCAGCGGGGTGAACGTTCGCCTGAGCCATGTCACAAGCGACCCACTTGTGTTCCTTGACCGCAGCTCGCGCAGCTGTACGACTCCCTTCCAAGCTTCTCGGCTGCGCAATATCGTCTCAAACAAGCATCTAGTGTCTGTTCCTCTTCCGCTGCGCTCTCTTCTCGCGCATCTTTCCCGTCCTTCTGCTTCTTCTTGTTATACTTGCGCTTTTCTTCGGCCGGTTGACCTTCTGCGAGCCCTGATTGGGCGCCTGCAGAGGCGCTCTCGGTCCTTTGACGTGCTGATCGAATGTCAAGAGACAAGTCCATGAAAAGATCGCGAGTGGTCGATCTGGATCCACACTGACTACAAGTCACGTCGCTTTGCAATACGCCTGAAAAGGCTCGATGGACCACACATGGACACCTCATGTCGTCCGACATGGTGGAGCTGTGCTCCGACTCATCGTCCTTTGCAGTTGTGATGCCGGCTGCATGATCGCCGTGAGGAAAATTTGGGATAGCCGGACGTGCTCCTTCCCCTGCCAGCATGAGTGAGGAGTGTATCGAGGAGATGGCGCTGATGAAGAGCTCATGGGCATCCTGTTCACCCGGATTCGACAGCTCGCTAGACCCTCCAAATTTGGATAGGTAGATGACGAATAGAAAACTTGTCGGCGCCAAAGGAGGACTTTCCTCGGTGGATGAGAAGAACTGTGAATGTCACTCCGTCAGTCCACCCACTCCGCCCTCAATGCAGTCTGAAGCTCCGCAGCACATACCTCATTGAAGATCTTGTCTAGCTCGCACGCCAAGCACTGCTCTTGCGCTGGACACAGAGCGGGATTGTGCCGGTCCGACAAGAAAAAGTTGCGTAGGAGAGGATTGTGGAGAAAACATTGAAGGACAACGTTCAGGAAGCAAGTCGCCCCCAGATTCCTGAAGCCACGAGGGACTACAGTGCAGGGCTGCAGGCATCAGCAGCGCTCAGCGGGACCAGCTCTGGTGGGCATCGCGCAGCGAACCTACCTCTGCACGATGCTATCGGTGGATGAGGTGGCTCACCGGCTGCTCGGTATTCTTTATTAATCAGTTGCTCTTGCCAGCAAAGTCGTTCAGCATCGATGAGGTCAACGAGGACTCACAGGGTCCGAGTGGAATCGCACGTCTCCCTCGCCGTGCTCGCGCCATCTCATGAGCTCTGATCCCATCGAAGCGAGCATCATACACCGTATCTTCGCAGGCATTGCAGTGTAGGTCGCCCGTCAGAATGTTCATAGCTAGCATGGGAGGAGTTGGACAATGATGAGCACATCGCGGCTCCACACTTTGGCAGTCTGCCTGACTGATCGTGCCGCGCTTACCGAAAGGATGCTGCGCAGCTGACAAGTGTCTATTGAGACAGTCTTGTCGATTGACGACGATGTGACACGCTGGAAAGGCACAAGATAGGCAGATCCAAGGTCGATGCAGCACGGATCGACACCCGCTACATTTAGGGTGGGGAAGAAGCTGGAGTGGATGGGGCCGTGTGAGCATTGAGGTGGCTACCAGCAAGCCCCATCGCAGGCTGTGCGATCACGACCCTCTCCGTACATAGGATGAACAGTTCGGCGATTTCTGAACGAGCATTCAATCAAAATCACCGTCGCTGGAAAAGTCCTTCCTTCTATGACCTCAAGTGCTCACCTTTCTACGCTTGGCCCTCCTGCGCTCTTCCTCATGATCCCTCCAATCATCATCGCTATTCCCGTTTGCTATCTCCTCGTCGTCCGCATCCGTCTTGACTTCTCTGCGCTTGATCTTCCTTCCCCACTGTATGCCCTTCCTGTACCTGTCCGTGATCACGTCTAATTCCGGTCCCCCTTCGTGGCCTAGCCTACGCTTTCCATCCGCATCGAGGACGGGCATCAAATGCGAGCATTGTCCCCTCTCTCGCTGCGGCACGCTGCTGTCCGTCTGCTCCCTGTTCAATGTGACAGTGGCGGATGTTGAAGCAGATGGCATGTGTAGCGCATTGCGCTCCTCCGCAGCTCGAGGAGAGATGGGAGCAGAATCTGTCAAGGTGCTCGATCGACTTCGGTCATCCGTCGTCCTTCCTACTCGTCGATCGGTCGCCGGTCCCTCGCGCACACCATTGCCCTCCAGCTCTTCCGTCTTGACCTGCTGGGTCGGCGCAGCTGCAACTGCGTCCGCAAGACCGCTCTGCTCTTGACCAGCCGGAGATGAACCTTTCTCCAGTCCCTTCGGGGACGTCTGAACAGGATTGGGCACAGGCGAGTCGCCAGGGGGCGAGTCGACATAGTCTACAAGGCCCATGACCAGACGCTGCTTCTAGGAGAGGTGCTAGCCGAGTGCTGGTCAGACGAGTGGCCTCGAGAGCCCAAAAGAGGCGAAATTCAGACCTTGCGGAGCGGCGTTGCCGGACAGCGTCACAGGCCGAATCACGAATAGAGAGGCGGTGTCAGGATGAGTGCGGGAAGGCGTGCATGATGTTTGCTGCACATCGCGCGAAGAAGCCCGAGCCAGCACCACACAAGGCAGCAAGCTCGGAATCGTCGCGTGAATTGGCCGCCCTTCCAGCGCGCCGTGCGCACAAAAATCCCTTCAAACACGCGCACGACTGTGATCTTTGCTCGACGATCCATTCTGTATTCATCAAGAGCGTATATCTCAATTTGAAAAGTCATGACGGTCTTCAAAAGAGAGAACCAAGTTCAGTCCGAAATAGCCTGGGAATTGAGTCTCTTTAAACGTCATCTATTCGGGGCATCGTCGTCCACTTCGCCCAAAGCCTGGCGGTACAGATCAGGACCGACCACATCCACCATCGACTGCAGATGCTTTGCGAGCCACGCTCTGACAGTCTGTGTCTCTGTGCCAGCTACCCTGACGATAGCGCCTCGCAATGGCGATCGCTTTTCAAGATCAGACTGTTGAGGCTCGCAATGCAGCTCGCTCAGACTCCAGATCAGATCATCAGGCTGCTTGCTCGCTGGCAAGACACCTTGCTCAATCTTTGCAAATTCCGCCTTGAGATGATGTATCGCCTGCTCGCAATCAGGCCCGACGAGCAAGAGTGTGGCATAGGTGGTGTAAGGATGACACCTGACGGAGAGAGGCACTGTTGCTTCGTTGCGTGTGTTCGTGCCCATGCGCTGATGCGTCGGGCTGCCGTTCACGACATCCAGAAAGTGACGCAAGCCTGGCGCAGCGGCTCGTGTGGGTTGTCCGCCTTGCGAGAGTTGCGTCAGGCTTGACTGCTCGAGCAACATCACATCCCGCGCAAACAGCCGACCTGCCACGCGCAGCTCGTTGCGACTTCTGTAAGAGTCAAAAGCCCACAATTCAGACCTCTTCGTTGGCAAGGCTTCCACGCTGGAATTCGACGCCGAAGCTGTCCCATGCGCATTGGCGGTAGAGTGTGCAGAACCGGTAGCGAGGTAGACACGCCCAGGTGTGAACCAATCCAGCATCACCAGCGAGCTTGTGTCGGCGCAACGCAGGTCGAAACGCTGCACTTGTGTATAACGCGCCCCAGCGAAACAAGTGACCGGATCCGGTAGAAGAACCAAGGTCGCGTTTGGTCTGACCAGATACCGCATGACTTGCCGAGTCGAGTGCGGTGAACCAGCATGCTGGTCATTCGATACCAAGGTGGACGCTTGTTCGATATTGGGTCGCCTTTGGACGCCAAGAGTGGCTGACCTCATCCGAAACACTTTGGTGCTACCTTGAGTCAGCATGATCAGCGCACAGCCTTGGCCGACATCCACATCGAGAAGCACTTCGTCGCCGCTGACTAGCCCGCCGCCGTAGGAAACAACATACAGGGCAGCCACCGCCTTTGGCCCTGGGCATTGCGCTGACTGCTTTGCGCTTCGAATTCGCTTTGCATGTACCCAACGTGAAGCATCTTGCGAGCTGACTCGGGGATGGAGCAGTTTGAGCGGAAAGGACGCGTACAAGCTGCTAAAAGTAGCGATGAAGCCTTGCGTTTCGATACTGTGCTCTTTTTTGCGTGGTCCAGCTGGGATGTCAGTGATATGCTGAGGCTTGATAGCGCCTGTACTGTCACGGTGCTGCTCAGCATCGTGGGCAAAGGCACCAGATGCTGAATGAGCTCGCACTACGGCGAGGCCGGATCCGCGGAAGCTTTCTGCCCGCTGCGGAGGAGCAGACACCGCCACCATGGAGTGCGTGAGCTCCTGGTAGAGAGATTGTGCTCAGTCTTATCTTTCCGAGTCGCCTCTCGTTGGCCTGAGTCTCGAGGGCGCAGAGCGCGGAGATGAACAGTCTCAGCCAGCGCTTAGCCCGTGCGGCCAGTGATTCGGCAGCAGCGAGCGTGAGCGATCTGTACCGCTACAGCAGGAGCTCCCTTGGTAGTTTGCAATATATGGAGTAGACAGGTGTCCACGGATCTGTAGCCCCTTTGTGGCTTCTCACACGGTCTACGGTACCCCTGCCTTCGCCTAGTTGTGAGTGCTGGAGTCCAAGTCAGGATCTTTCTGTTTGGCAGAGACGGCTTGCTAATCGCTTCGGCAGCTAAGGGAGCACGTGTGTGCCATGCATGGAGCGGGACCAACGACCATGTGGATGACGTGCAAAGTGTTTCGAAGCGAGCGAGGGAGAGAGCCCTTGCTTGTGTGATTTGCTTCGGCTGGCTGGAGTGGCAGATAAGGAAGGGTCGGTGTTCACCTTCGCGCCTCGGCCATGCATGCGCCACGAATTTGAACGTGCTGCTAGAATTACGCGCGACCTTCCACTCAAACTCTGACTGGATCTTCCGCGCGCGTAGCAGGCGAGCACACCCTAATTGCGCTAGGAGTAGCCTGTGTGGGATTGGGCCGAGCGGTCATAAGGGACAAACAGCACCAAGCTATAGGTGTCGGCAGTCGTGAGTCAGCCAGGAGCGCCAGTCGTGAAGGGGATCTAGACTCTTATTCACGCTTATTGTGAAGCGGGGAGGGCGAGCACTCACACTCGCGACTCTTTTTTTTTTTCTTTTTTCTTTTTTCTTTTTTTTTTTTTTTTTCCTTAATCCTCACTCCGTGAGCTGCAATCACGAATTCAAATCCATTCTTGATTGAGCCGTGCTTGTCTACGCTGATTAAACACCGTGCATTTCAGTACACAATCACGAGTTCGAGTCTAAATGGTGCCTCCCACTCTTGACTCGACTCAAACTTTTCCTCTTGCGATCGCGATCACGTCGAATCAAGAATGTGAATCACGAATGGCTGTCCTGCATGGAGGTGCTTGAAGGGTGATGAAATCTCTCAGCCATGGCGTCGAATAGGCAATCGAGAATCAGAATCTGACTCACGACAGAGAAAGTCGCGAGACCTTGAATATACTCGTATTCATTATTACGATTACGCATACAAATAGCAGCTAAACGTCCTCAGTGAGACTTACTCAAGACTCACAACTCTGACCAGCTGCAGAAGTCCCTTCAATTACCACTGGCATTTCCTTCTAGTCTTTGAGTGCCTAACTTTCAACTTCAACGGCTTGAAAGAGCGCTGCATCATCGGGTGCCTGCAACCAGATTGGCAAAAGCCATGCTGAGGCCAACGCGAGCTCATCCTGCATGGCAATCGAATCTCTTTGCTGCTCATCAGAGCACGGTGCGTACGCCGTCCACACAGTCACCACGCAGTTGAGTGGTGAGCCATGAGTCGTGAGTAATTCGAGGACCGCATCCATGTGATCAAATCGCCCATGCATCAGGCTCGAAGGCTTCATATTGGATACCGCACGAGATCTGAAAGCTTGTACTGTACGCACCAGAGCAGCAGCGACGGGACATGCGCTGTCAGCCGATTTCAAACCCCGACACCTATGAATACGCTAAAGTGGGCGCAGCTAATCGTGCATAGAGCAGTAGTTTGACCTTGGCGTTGCCGATGATGGCATCGCGGACCTTTCCCTCCTCGGATGCCAGCACCTTTCCCTCCGCGGCGGGTGTTCGCACTCAGACTCACTGCTGGATTACTGCGTGCGGCGAAGCAGCATATGCAGCTCCTTCGCAACCGTCGGCGTATCGGCGTAGGTTTCACAGGTACATGTACTGCTACGTTCCTTTCTCTTCCCGCTCCCACGTATTTCGTGACGCAAAAAGTGTCAATAGATTTCTTGTGCTCGTTGCGAGTGTCCTTGAGTCTATTCAAGATTACAGGCGCTCGAACGCGCGACCTCGTGACTTGGCGGCAGGGGTGCATATATGATGCCCCTTCACACGAGGTCGTAAGTTTTCTTCAATCTGAATAATGTCGCTGACTCGAAACGGCCTGGCGTCCACAGGGGCTGAATGACGCATATGCATCCTCGGAGAGTCATCCGCGGAAGGGGGCTGATGAGAAGCAGTCAAATCGAGCTCGGCGTGCCTTGAGCCTTGCTGTACCTGCTGCTGATGAGTGCTGGTTCGTCTTTTTTGCTTTCATGCGCCCTCTCGCGCAGCTAGCCCTCCATCCAGATGCGGCTGGAATTTCAACGTGGATGTGTAGAGTATGATGAATGCTGGCTTCGAAACAAGCGGCCAAAGTGCTGCCAAGTGCACCAAGGCGTCAAGAGGATGGGGAAAGGGACATTTGTGCCGTGCATATGATGGCGCTGCGGTGCTGTCACGGACTGCTCAGAGCAGGAACGAGGGCAGTCCCTAGCTGCACAATGCTGAACCCGTGCCAGGCACAGCTAGAGCGCTTCGGGTGAAGATAGAGGTGATGATGGCGCTAAGGCAGGTCGCTAAAGGAATGCTGCAGATCACCATGCGGTTCGTTATCGCTAAAGGTCTCAGGCGATGGCAGCAATGGCTGGACGCCGAGGAAGCAGCTCACCGCGGTAATAGCTATGCAGCTTGTACTCATAGCTAGCTGTGCTTGGATGCCCGATGGCCGCGCAGGACACCATGCTACGAAAGACTTCATAAGCGTGTCGGTTCTGTTGCCGTCGTCAATGCGCAAAGGCAACCCTCCAATACGTCTCCCTCTCAATCGGCCCTGAGGGCTGACCCCTGCGAAAGGTGTATTCTACCTTCTCATCCCATCCATCGCCACCACCTTCTGACCTTGCCGAAATGAGGTTGGCCGGCCTTTCTTGCGCCTTGCTGGTGAGCAGCGTTGGCTTCTTCCTCGCGCCCACGCATGCTTTACCAACGGGCAACAACACGTACGGCCTCGCTGAGCCGTCACGCAATCCCGACAATGGTCCGGACATTGAGCCAGCAGACATCAAATCGGGCGCCCACTATAGGGTGCTCGCAGAAAACTTCATTGCATCTCTGATGTACCCCAACAATATCCATGCACACGACCTCAAATCCAGCCCTCTGTTTGAGCCGAGCATGATTGGTCGGGTCGAGCAGACGACGACGTTTGCTGGTGATGAGCTCAACGTCGAATACCTCTACTATTTGTTCCAAGATATTGCTGCTAACGCTCAGAGCAATGGACCACCTCGAGCCATGGGCTATCCGTACGAGTACAACATCACCCAAGTCGCTGTGGAGAACAACGTCGTCGTTGCTAACGCGGTCACGCAGTGGAACTGGGGACGCGGCTTCAACGATACCCAAGACTTTGTGCTGCCCATAGAGCTGACCGCTTGGATATGGTACAGCAAAAATGACAAAATCCAACAGTACGACGCGAGCTTCAAGCGAGCAGATGTGAGTACCGCCGTCATGCTTCGTGGTGACCGTGCCGCGCCCCTTGGCTAACGATGAAAACAATCTCCCTCTTCTTGCTCCACCTCGATCATGCAGTGGGTGTTCGACATCGCCGCAGACTGGCTCTTGCCTCAGATCGCACATCGTGAAGGATGGAGCGTGAACACGACAACTGTTCGTGACGTCGAGATTCGGCGATATACCGCGGACTACGTCTGCAAGGCAGCGCTAGCCAATTGCCACGGTAAAGACGAACACTACGAATCATATGATGACTGCATGAGCGTTCTCAACGGCGACGATCCCAGTGATCAGGTGCCCCTCGGTACTCCAAGCCTCGCAGGCGAGAACACCTTATGGTGCCGGTGAGTTGACTGCGAATGTGAGACTGCGAGCGTGCTGGCGCTGATGTGATTGTCACGATTCTGCCCAGATTTGTTCACACCCCCATGTTGCCCATCCGTCCTGCCGAGCACTGCCCACATGTCGCACGGTCAGGCGGCACCATGTGCATCGATCGTGACTACAGGAATGTGACCAACGAAAATGTCTTCCCCAAAACGATGAAGGCGCCGCTCGTCGCCTTGCCGGCTAGCAAGAGTCTCGAGGGCACCTCTCCAGAGACGATCAGGGAGCTCGACTTTGTTTCCAGCGATAAGATTCGTCCAGAGACGCCATATTGGTTCTCCGTCAACGGTCTAGTCCTCTTCGCTATTTTCTGGATCCTTGCCATCGTGGTCGACATGGTGTTGCGCATCCTACCCATGACGCGCAAACGTTTTACGTCACTGTCATGGGCGAATCAGCGCACCACCGTCGTCTACGTCCTCAACATATTTTTCACCACTGCTGCTCTCGCTTTGCAGCTTGCTGCATCGCCAAGCTTCAGCGGCAACTTCAAATCCTTCCACTTTGAAGTCGGACGTGCAGCAGTGCTCATCATTTCTGAGCTGTACTTATTTGAGCTCATCTACCGTGCCAAGATGCGTCCGCCAATGATTGCTCATCACATCCTCACCGTGTTTGCTATCTGTAAGTCGGACCTCCGTTGCTTGTATCTCCAAGGCTTTGCTGATTTCTCTCCTTGCTCCAACAGCCTTCACCATCATCCTTGTGGATCAGCGGCATGATCCCGCGTATTTGTGCTGCGGCTTGGCTTGGCTCTTCCAAGCGACAACGGAGCAGACCACATTCATCGGGCTCTTCATGTACCGCATGTGTCCTTCGCGACCTAGGATGGTCCGGCATTGGCTCCACTTTGCAGCTATCCAAGGCCTGATCGCAAAGCTTGCCGCCACTGGTCTTGTAAGTGCTGGCCATGACATTAATCAGAGTGTGCAGCTGCTAATACTTTTTCTCTTCTCACTGCCACAGACTCTGTGGGTCTGGGCGAAATGGCAACGTTTCGACTCGACTGCTATTGGCCGAGCATACACCGTCATCTTGTGGATCGCCATGGTCGCTCTACTCGCAACACAGGTTTGGGGCGCCATGGTGACCTTCAGTATCGGGTCCACAGTCGAGAAGCGCTTCAAGCGGCAAGCGGAGGGAAGGGATTCTCGACGCAAGACGGTCGCGCCACCGGCTGTGTCATCCCCCGGAGCCGCCTCGACTGACTCGTTGGAGAAGGGCGGTATCGAGTTGAGGGACACGAGCACTGCCCCTTCTTTGCTTCAAAGCAGGAGAGGAAGTGACCAAGACGCCTCTGTTCCTGGCTGCGAAGCCGATGCCACTCCCGTTGTACACCATGAGAGCGCAGCTGCAGCGGCGACCGGCCGCAGTAGTACAGATGCCAAAACAGACTCACCGGCAGACGTCGACCCTCAACTGGCTAAACCTACATAGTCGTCGAAACATTTCCTCTCGTGCTCGCTTCCTCATCATTCATATTCTGTTTAGCAATACCTTAGACGAAATGATCAACAATGTCCGCTTTGTTGCCAATGCATCCTTTTAGATGAGAAGTTTCCGCGTTGGTGACTGATGAGAACACCAATGTCTCCCAAGTTGCCTGAGGACAAAGATGTTCACGGCCTTGGCCAGCGCAGGCAGGGACTTGCAGTCAGGTGCGGCTTTCACGATGTGCATGAAGCTGTTTAGCCCCGCCTCACACGTCTTAGCGCTTGTGGATCCCCGCCTTTGTGCACAAATGTACCGGAGCCATTTTGAGCTGTGCAGCGACCACCGCAGGAACCTCTCGTGAAGCTGTCGCGTGTAGGGTCTCAATTGTTCTGGAAGAGGGGCAAGACGGTGTGAAAGGTCGCCTGGCTCGGTGCAAGTCAAGAATCGTCACCGCACTGCGCGCGCGCACTTATGTACCGTTCAAGGCTCCGCAAACGCATGCGTTGACGATGTGGGAGAAGACGTGACCGATCCGGCGGTGAGCTGCGTCAGCTTCAACATCAATTCAAGATCGCCTGCCCTCAGATGAAGCGGCGTGAGTCTGAGTGCAAATGAATCGTGAATGGTAGAGGGGCTCGCCGCTGGCGTATAAAGCTCGCTGGAGAAGATGAAGGCTCGAGTGTCATCTGCTGACAGCGGGTCTCAACACAACAGTCAGAAGAGTCATCAGAAGACCCCTTTGGGTGTACTCTACACTGTAGCATCTTTCGCGTGATTGGACGCCAATCGCGAAGCTTCCGCTAGAGCACATGCTGCACCCAAATGTAAGGTGCGCTCAATGACTGTGAGGGGATGATCGGCACAGCGTGCATGCAGCAAAGCAGGCAAGAAGCAGCAGGTGACGAGGTGCGAACAAGAGCTTTCCTGCTGCTGCAGCTGCTTTTTTCTTCTGCAGCGCAGCGAGTTGGTGCGCGAATTGGTGATGAGCCATTTCCCGCACGGCCGCATGCTCAGGCTATGGTCGGCCATGCATGCAGTCGACTGGCCGATGGGCGCGTCACGTCCTTCGCTCGATCGCGTCTGCATCTGGCGCTGATGCTGGCCAGGCGGCTCTGCCACAGTCAGGAGTACTACTGCACCTGCTTAGCTGGCCCCACCCAATCCAACGTGCAGCCTTCAAGTTGCATGGCCTGCAGGCGTAGACTCTGCCTCGACCTACAACGGCTGCTGGCTCTTCTCCCAGTAGGAACACAACGTCGCTTGGCAGAGGAGCGTATCAATCACAAATGGGGCTCGCGTGCCCGAGGCCCCGGTTCCGAGGAAGTGTGAGGGTGTCTTTCACTCATCGGACTGGTCAAAGAGAGGTGCGCGTCAAGGTGAGCACTGAGCGCCGCCTTGATCCATCGACCGCGCTTGCTGGGAATTAAGTGACTCCGACTGACTGCACGAGTGTGAGTGAACTCGCCGAATTCGCATTTGCTCCTGAAAGGCTCATTTCGCAGTCCGGTCGGTGGGGTGCAGTCGCAATGACAGACGCATGGTGCGGGTGCTATACCGAGTGTAGCACAGCACCAGTGTAATCGCATACGATGCGACGTCTAGACGATGACGAGAGAACAAAGCTTGCTTCTCACCACCTGCGCTCATGCAGACAGGGACACTGTCGAGGTGCAGCGATGACGAGCCCACAACCCTTTAGCGTGTTCTAGCCTCAGACTCCGCACAAAGGTGCATGGGTCTGTCGTCACCAGCCGCTGGAGCAGTGGTGCGAGAGCAGAAGCCAAGCCTCGAGATCGGCTTAGTCCGCAGCTTTGGCGCTTCACTCATCGCAGCACGCCCACGATCGAACTTTTTCTTCACCCGCAGCGTCTCACTTTTGACACGGCGCCGTCTGGGGCCCTTCGGGTGTTTGACCGCGACTGCCCAGGCTCTTCTTCACACCCGCAGGCGGTCCGCTCGAGCTAGGTACGTCGCTCTCTTCCCTCTGCGCCTTTCCCCGCAATTTCCTGCGCTTGTTGGGCACCCTGCTTTCCTGTCCTCCTTCGTTTGCTCGGCTCCCCCTCTCCTCACACGCCTCGATCGCACCCCCCACCCCTCCCTCCCCCGCTTTGCGCCCTTCATCCGCCGGAACTTCGTGGCCTAGCCTGCACCCCATCCATTGTGTGTGTGAGCAGGTGTGCTGCTGCGCCGATCTCTCACTGTCTTTCAACTTTCCCTTCCGGTCTCATCTCTCCCTCTCACCTGCTCTCCGTCCGCAACCCCTCCTCCCCTCCCTCCTCGCCGCCGTTGCCGTTTGTTCCAGAGGTCCTTGTGTGGATCTGGATCATATCATATCACCCTGCTCACCAACCGACGTGCGGCGCCATCCTCACCCTCCTCTCTACTCCCCTTCCATCTTTCGCCACCCTCACAGGACACACCACCACGAACGAGGACTTATCGACAGACCTTCGATCCATTTGCTCCTTCGTCCTGGCCATTTCGCACATCGATTATCTCATCGTCGATCGCAAACATCCATCAAAATGGGTCTCCCTGAACGCAGGTCGGCCACTGTGGCCGCTCCACCTCGCAGCGGTGGCGCGCCAGCCATAAACCCCAACCTCATTCTTGCTTTGAGGTTTCTCTTGACCTCCCTCGTGTGCGGTCTTGCTCTGGCGACGGCCATCATGGCCATCCTGGTCGTACAGTACTACAACATGAACGACCCCATCATCAGACCGTCGTGGGGATCGCTCATCTTCCTGATTGTCCTCGGCTTCTTCACTTGCATCATCTACTTTGGATACAACATCCTGCTCCCCATCGCACCCTTCATCAACTACGGCGACTTCCTCTACTCTTTGTTCCAGGTCAAGCTCGAGCTTTTGCTTCAGTTCACTTTCTGCGTTCTGTGGGTGTCGGGCGCGATCGCATACGCTGCCGACCTCCGCGGTTACGAAAACTGCCAGTTCGACGGTTATCTGCATTACCCCAAGCCAGCCGACTTCGAGCACGTTTGCGACCTCACGAACTGGACCGTTCCCTTGGCCTACGCCACTTTCGGCGTGCAGACCTTGCTCTTCGTCGTCGAAGCTCTGTTCGGCCTCTACACCTTCCTCTACCTCGACCAAGAGAGTCTCAACGAGCCGCACTTCGCTTGGGGTCGTCGTGCTTACGACTACAGAACTGGGGCGGCATCCAGCGGAGCAGCCAGTCGTGGCAATGCTTACAGAGCTAGAGCAGTGCCCGCCGATGCCGAGACTGATGGCCGTCAATCATCTTCGGAGGGACACCGATCCGGTCGCCGTGGCGCCGCGTACAACGACCCAGAGAGGGGATCGGAGGAGATGGCGGAAGACAGATCGGAAGCCAGGCCAGCTTCTTTGGGTGCTCGCGGTCGTCGCGGCTACGACGAAGAGGAAGCGGATGAAGCAGATCACACTGCGGAGGAACGCGGCGACGATGACGGTTGGCATCTGCGCCAGGAGAACGGTAGCCACCGTGCTTAATTGTCTAACTTGAACCGTCATCAGGTCCACTTCTAAACCTTTTGTCTTCTACTACAACATACCACAGCACCCATGCGATCGCGCGCGACTCGTGTAGGATCGCCGCTCGCAGCCACTCTTGCTCAACTTGATGCACCAGCGCAACGATACGACGCTCCATCTTTTCTTTCTCTTCACACAGACTCGTCCTTCGTCACCTCGCCTTTCGTTCTTCACTCCGGCGCGCGACACTGAGCGCGGGCTTCCCCAAAGCACAGCCAGGAAGACTTCGGCACATGTATCCTGGCCGCCCTTGCTATTTCTGTCTTTACCTGACCCTCCAATCACTACCCTGTCTCCGCTCTCGCTCTTTGCAATAGCTGCACTCGCAGCTCTTGTACTACTGGTGCTGGGCGTCGAGCTTGTTCCTCCCAGATTTTACCGACTCGCGCACAGATGCAGCTTCCCGCTGTGTCTTGACTGGGTACGACGCTCTTTCACGGATGCAACCCCTCAACTCAATTGCAGGCCGTATGGCCTTGCAAGTTGACGTAGGTGACGTCGTCGACTCTGTCCAACAATTTTCCATTTTGATCCCCCTATGCTCCTCCCTTCTGTCCTCTCTATACTCCTTGGCTTTGCTGTCTTTCTCGGCTCATTTACCACTAGGCTCATTGGATGAAGTATCAATGCACGCATGTTGAACCAGTTGGAGCCAGTGTGCTCGCTCATCGATCTGAGATACCTCTTGCGGCTGTTTGTGACGGTGCACAACTTTGCAGCCATCAGCGTGTAGCATGTTGACATGCCAACTGGACGTTCTTGGTGTGTGAGCTGCCTAGCGCCCAGAGACAGGTTCTTGAACTACCCAGCCGACACGACCGGGAAGAGGGTGTTACTCACGCGTTCAATTGTGAATCATCACACGATACCATCAACCATCTCACAAGCCCGCCGGTGGGCAAACGCTACATCCGTCACACCTGTGGCCCGGCTACCGATACTTTTGCACATCGGAGTGGCTTATTGATGAGTGTGCGACGGGGGCCTCGCAAGCGGTTTTATATCAGTCTGCAGTGGACCCTCTACCTGGGCGCCCTGAACTCAAGACTTGCGGTACAGCAGTCGTGAGTCCCAGCTAGATGAGTCATGAGCCTGACCGCTTTCACGTCGGCCGCGTTTTGCCAAGAGACTTTCAAACGAGGGGCTCCTTGATGCGTGAAAGGGTAATTAATTAATGGATGCATGGAGCAGTCTGCTGCGCGTATTCAAGAACATTCTGAGACGAAGTCTTGTGCATGGCAGCGCAATTCTTGCCGGCGCAAGCTGTATATGTGAGCGCGCGCGCGCTGCATGCTGCAAATGACGCGCGGTGACCCCGCACCGCGGCGGTCTGCTGTCGCGACGTGCGCCTCTCAAGTGCATGCATGGATGCTGCTGGATGCCGATACAGCGCTGCTGCTGCTGACGACGACTTCGTAACTGTTCTGTTGCCTCATGTGCTGCTGTGTGAGGATGAGCTTTTGCTGGTGGCGATGTGTTGTGACTTTCCGCTTGCCTGCATGATGTGCGTCGATGTTGACCACACAAAATCTTCACGCTGCAGCAACCACGCAAGCAATTCAAGAACACGAAGCAGGCAAATGCATTTGCACTCAGACTCGTGACTGCGCTGCGCTGCGCTGCAGACGGCCTTGAGAACGGCCGCTCGCCATTCCTTCTTCGCGCTGCTGCTGCTCTGGCCCTCACGAGCGCACTCATCGTGACTATTTACTCGCGACGTTTGCAACTCTTCTGAGCGCAGCCAGCCTTTGTGTGCATGGTGACTCGAATGGTGAGCGATGCGTCTTGAGCTCGATCTATACATATGATTGGGCGGCGCTGGCGCATTTGCGTGCAATTTCACCTGGTCACGAGGGACAAGTGCGTGGTGCGGCGGCTCAGCTCCTATAGGTAAAATATCGTCCGATGACTTGACTCAGACTCACCCGCCGCTGTGGATTGCTGCTGCGAACCATTCAAGGCAGGCAGAGGCAGCAGCAGCATGCAGACACGCGATGCTTCATACTACTGCTGCCGGTGCTGCACTCAAAAACTCGTGGTCAGGCATTCTGCGCATGCTGCTGCTATATAGCTGACCGCGACTCACTGACCAGCGCTGTACCGCCCGCGCCGCAACGCAACGCATCGCGCTGCGTTTGCGACTCAACTGCTGCACGCGAGCGTGCGCGCGACCTTCGCAAATTTGGCGCAAGGCTCGCTGGCGCTGGCGCTGCTGCATGGCAAGCGGGTAAGCTGTGCGCTGGCGTGAGGTAACCACTTTGTCCTCTTCTTCACCACATCTACATCCACACAATCCAGACTCGAAAGAATACGCTTCGTCGTCGTCTTTCCTGCCTCCCGTTCCCGGCTCGCGTTCAACGATCTCGTTGTGCTTTCCGTTGCGTACCAGACTCGTCTTCTCGTGTGCCCGTTCCGACGAAGTTCGAGTTCATCCAACCAATTGTAGTCAAGCAGTACAGTCCGGCTTCCGTCCGATACTCTAAGCTCAGTCAGTCAGTCAGTCAGTCAGTCAGTCAGCCAGTCGAACCGATTCTCGACTTTCTTGCTCTCATACTTTCTTCGTTCGGTCTCCCACTCCTCGGCTCGATTCGACTCGCTTCGCTTCGGTCGTTCTCCTGCTTCTCAACAGTAACAGTAACTCTAGCGTTTGGTCTAGCGTTTTCCAGTTTCCCGACTCGTACATTTCTCGCACCTCGTCAATCTTTTCAAGATGGCTACCAAGGTTTACGTTGGCAACCTCTCGTGGAACACCACGGAGGACAGCCTCAGCCGTGCTTTCTCTGCTCACGGACAGCTGACCGACTACGTGAGTCTGAGCATACACTTGAGCAGTGCGGTTGGCGATATGTCAGCCTCTCGTTTGCATCTGGGTCTCAGGTTCAATCTGACGAAGAAGTTACGGCGCGCCTCATGCTTTCAAATCCTTCTACCATGATCTGACTCCTTGCGTTCGTTCCTACCTGGCTTCTCTCCCGCTTCGTTCTTACACCTTCTGCAGGTCGTCATGCGTGACCGTGACACTGGCCGCTCTCGCGGTTTCGGTTTCGTGACCTTCTCGTCTCAACACGAGGCCGACTCTGCCATCGCTGCTCTTAACGAGACTGAGCTCGATGGTCGTCGCATTCGTGTCAACATGGCCAACTCTCGTCCAGCTGGGTAAGTTAGAGCAGCTCGGCGCTCAGTCTCGCCATCAACTCTTGTCGACCACAGGACAAGATGAATCTACAACATGACTTGAATCTGGTGTTGACGTGGTCTTCTCCTTTTCCCGATTCGACATGTAGTGGCTTCCCCGGTGGCCAAGCTGGTGGTGCCGGTGGCTATGGTGGGTACGGCAGTGGCTATGGTGGCGGAGCCCCTGGGTTCGCTGGTGGGTATCATAATCTCATAGAGATTATGCACCACCAAGTGTGCTGACTGATCCTTGTATCCCTCTACGCCTAGGCGGTGCAGGTGGCTACGGTCAGCAAGGCTACGGACAGCAGGGCTACGGTCAACAAGGCTATGGACAGCCTCAGCAGGGCTACGGACAAGGCTTCGGTGCTCCTCAGCAAGGCTTTGGCGGTGCCGCTACTGGCTTCGCTGGTGCTCAACAGGGCTTCGGCGGTGGACAGCAAGGCTTCGGTGGTGCCCAGCAGGGCTACGGCGCTCCCCAGGGCGGCTACGGCGGTGCGCCTCAGGGTTACGGCGGGTGAGTTGGCGCCCTTGACTCCATGTCGCTGGCACGAGTCGATTCCTAACAGGTCTACTTTCTTGGCCGCTCTCACCTACAGCCCTCAGTAAGCGGCGCGCTTATTGCACGAAAAGTCGTCTTGGGGTCTAATCGTTCTCGAGTCTCTTGCCAGTAATGATCACGAATGAATCAGCATACGCTCGTCTCCTCGTCTTGAGCGAAGCCGACACATTTACCCTTCTGTAGCCAAAGAGACCCTGCAGTAGACCCAGTCCCACCACCTCGTCAACAACCACGTGCGGTGTTGTTCGTGGAGTCATCAAGCCCTTCTTTTCATGAAGCCTCTTGCCCTCACCTTTTCCGCTCGCACCTGGTGCCCCATTTTCACCCCAAAAAATTCCTTCCCACTGTCTCCCATCCCACCGCCTCGACCCAACTCGAAATCCCAATTCAATCACCCGACCACCCTTTTACAATCACGCCGAATTAAAATGGAGTTCTGAGCTCACACGATACCTCGCAGGGCGTTGCGGCCTCGAGCCCGCGATGTCCGGCATATGCGATGATGTCATCTTTCCTAGCCCGACGAGGGCACACGAGGGAGGCATCGAGATTCACTATGCTGTGGACAGCCTGAGAGCTGAAGCCTGCTTAGTGGACAGAGTTGGGAAGAGGTGGGACTGGCGGTATGGTGCGCGAAGGTCCTCCGCTGCTTCCATCACCTTCATTCTCATCGTCGTCGTCGTCGTCTTCTTGGGCTGCCAGAGCAGCTGCGAGTTTCATACTGAGAGTTGGTATGACGAAGATTGGTACAGCATCAGCAGATGTATCAACGAAAAGCGCATTTGGTGCTCGATTGTCAACTATCGGCAGTCGACTTACGCCTGAGCCTCGTTGCCGTAGTGTTGGTGGCGTTTCTGAGCAAAGGCCGCACGATTGGCTTTTTCTGTGAAGGGCACGGGCGGCAGTCGCGAGATCAGCATGCTGGCGTGGTGTTTGATTGGCAGCAAAGCTACCCTCGTGGCTTACCCTCTGGATCCAAATCCTCGTCATCCTCGTCGTCGAGAGTCTCGTCGGGTCGGGTGTCCATGTCGTCGGCGCCCCTGCCGCGCGCCTCGTCCCTCACGGCGCCGCGATCGTTGTTTCTAGCACTGGACGAGCTGCTCCTTCTACTGCTGGGCGGCAAGCTGAAGCTGGGGCTCCTGCTAGTGGCTCTGCCAGCAGGCGATGGGTTCTCTCCGGTCGAGAGGACAGACTCTGCACCTGATCCTCGCCTGGTTGAGAGCGTCGAGACATCTGCTGCGTCCAGACCTACTGCTAGGCCTGCGCTGCCAGCTCTGCCTCCCGGACCTGCATTGGCTGAGGTGTTGGCTGCCAACAGATCGGCGGCTGAGGTTCCTTCTGGCAGGCTGTTCTGACCACCGCCGCTCGAGCTGCTATCTCCCCCGCCGCTGCCTTCGAAGTAGTTGTGCTCATTGTCCAGATCGAGCGCTGAGCAATCGGAAACCATTTGTCAACTCATTAAACTGCGCTGAAAAGCTGGCTGCACAGGATATTCTGACTCACCGTCGACGCTTCCCAAGCTCGCACTTCTGACGAAAGGTGTCTTGGGCTCATCGATCTTCATACGAGCTGCCGTATTCTCCCTCTCGATCTCGTGAAGCGTGAGGTTTGTCTCGTCCCAAGCCAACCTGAGCCATCATGTACCGGAGTCAGTCCGATTCGCCACTACAGCGAGACGAAAGCGGGAGCAGCACAACAAGGATGACCGACTGAGGATGCTCACCTATTTCCATGCTCATCGACTGGAGGGCTCTGAGCATCCTGGGGTGCAACAGCGCTTCCTTGACGTTCAAGGCCGCCTGCACTGGCATTCTTGAGGATTCCCTTTGGCCTTGGTGCCGCCGCAGATGGAGGAGGCGAGTGGCGAGGAGATGAGCTGGACATGATGGATGACCGCAGCAAGCGCGGCGAGTGTACGGTCGAAAAGGATTGGACGTGTAGCGTCACCAAGTCGATCGTGGACTCAAGATCTGATTAGCGAACAGGAGGAAGTGGGCGTATGTTTCGATGTTGAGCCTGTTTGCATCGGCCGCTTCAAAGAATGGCCCATCCAGCGATGAGTGGATGGCGATAGAGAAAGCGATGTGGATATCAGCTGTAGGCATGTGATCCGAGCCCTAACTCCATGCGTACTTGTGTGGGGGCCTCGAGTCGTGAGACATGAGAGCAAGCGGCGACGCAGCAGCTCGTTGAGCGCATCGTGCAGCCGTGCAGCAGCAGCCATGCACGGTGCAAGAGACGCGGCGGATTCACCACGCGTATATATATATTCACGATTATATCGTGAGCTGGACCGCGCTCGATCGCGCTCGGACCACGCACGCGCGGCTTACTGCGCCTGCCTCAACTGCCATCCTTGCAAGCGCCGCCGTTGTGCTCGCCTTACGGTCCCCCACTTGTGAATCTGAGCGGAGCACATCCATCGACGATGGCACAACACAACTTCCGGCAGGGCAGACATTGCTCAAGACCCTTTGCAGATACGTTGTCATTGTCAAATATAGATGTCTGATGCAATGTCACGGGCGCGATTACAATGCGTGATTGCAAATGTGATTGAAGCGCGGCAGAGAGGTTAGAAACGGGAGGAGAATAATGGGAAGTGCGCCAACGGTGGTGGCAGTGAGGTTGAGATCCACAACGGTATGAACGACATGCTCGCGGACTGTGGCGTCACGTCACCGACGGATCCATGGCAACATGTCGGACAATCTTTGTGAGGCGATCGTCACAAGATTGACGCATCCTCATGGGGCTGCATCGGCTAGTCGAGGCCTCAGATCCTTCGTAGATCGGGTTGCTGTGCCTGACGGGCTGCTGCGCGAAGCTTGAGGCATGCTCGGTGCTATGCCGCGCTTCGGTACTACGATTTTGAGTTGACTACCATCAAAGCTAGCCGTGGTGCGTTTCAGATCAGCGTCGTGACCAAAAGTCACCCGACGCTCGAAGTGGCCGCCCGTCGCTTCATCCCATTTATCCGCGACAATGACCAGCTGCCTATGGTGTTTCGTTGCCAGCGTGATGGCATCGAGGCTGAAGCCAGGCAGAGATGTGATCAGCGTATAGCAGAGGTCGGACGTCTCTATCGACAGGTGCGTCTCCGGTGGCGCAGGTCGATGATCCAAGAACGGTAAAGAGGGAGGCGAAAGCGGCGAGACGCTGTAGGGCGAAGCGTGGGACGTAGCATTGTGAGACATGCTTCGCGACAGTGATTCACCCCCATGCATGACTGGTGCCGGTGCAGATGGAGCGGAGCTTTGACTTCCGCTGCTACTCAGAATAGATCCCAACTTCTGGCTCAATGATGCCCGCCCCATGGGTGTGGCCGATGATGATGCAGACGCATGTCTCGTCCTGACGGTGCCTTGAGGTATGGGGAACGAGCGAGTAGTCGTGGTCGTCCTGGTCGTCGTGGTCGTTGTGATGAAGCCTTCTTCATCTTGACGACTCGACACAGATGTGGCTTCATCCATTGCAACAGTGTTCTCGGGAGGACTCGCAGCAATTTGAGTGTTGAGCCCGGCGCGCAAACCGCTGGACATCATGCGACCGAAGCTCTCTTCATCGGTGGCTTCCCCCACTTGAGATGACGGCAAAGAAGAATTGCTTCTGCTACAAGGCCAACTTTCGCGCTCCTCTGCATCTTGCATGCCTATGGACGCTCGAGTCGACACGGAACCGCTCAGCTGGGATCTGAGTACTGGTGGTGCATTGCCGGGAGACGGAGTCGGAAAAGCTGCAGCTAGCCCGACAGCAGCTTGATTTAAGCTTGTGGTAGGCGCTCGGAAGTGCGTCGAGTGCGCATGACTGGGCAAAGTGCCGCCGGAGCCAGCCTCTCTTGGTAAATGGCCGGTACTTCGATTCTGATTCAAACTCTGCAGTATCGCTGAGGGCCGACCTGCACTTTGGCTTCCGCTCTGAGTGCGGGCAAGTGCGCCTCTGAGACCATCGCGAGAGTCACGATCGAACATCGAGAAACTGGCATGCCGTTTGGCAGCCGCCAACGCGGCCGGGTCATCTGTGTTGAGGATACCGATCCCAGGACCGACGCTGTCTAGCGAGCCAAATGCACCTCTTGCGCCACTGCCATAGTCTGCGATGGGACTGAGCCCAGGTGAAGCTGGTGAGCTTGAGAGCATGCCAGGTGAATCGGGGTTCGAGGCTCCAGCTCCAGAGGGCATAGAGGACCGTGAGCTTCTGGGATCGTTCTCGGGCAAGAAAGATCGCCACGAGTCTCGGTCGGGCCAGCTTGGACTGGTTGGCAAACGAGACATTGGCGCCAATGGCTGTACAGCGGTCGGGCCCGGGAGTGAAAAGCTGCTCAACGTGCTGGCTTGACTGCCACTGGACAGTCGCCTCCAGTCGACGGTGCCAACGCCTGCGATGCTGCTGACAGACTCGCGCTTTCGGTTTTGCCCATCTTTGCCGAGTCCAGCCACTGAATGGCCGGAGGTGCTACCGGCCTCGCCTGGGCTTTGACTGCCACTAGAGACCCCTGGCGCAACGAAGAAGGGATCGTGCTCCGGCAGCAGACTGCGCCACGAGTCTGGACTCGCCTTTCCGGATTCGGGGGTGTCGGCGGCTGATGCGTGGTCCGAGTTTGCGAGGCCCTGAGGCGAAGCTAGTCCTTGTCGTAGATCACGTCCACCTGCGCTGCTCTGTGGCCTGTGTGAAAGATGTCCCGACTGCGTTGTCGAGTCGAAGCGACTCGACATCGTGGGCACGGATTCGTCCGACATAAAGACAGGCATGTGTTGTGAAGGTCGTCGCAGTCGGTTGCTGTCGCACGTGGCGGACGTTTCCTCTTGAGACATTTCATCACCGCCGAAATCCAAACGCCGATCTGCTCGATAGCTGCGAGAGGGCCGCCGATCTAGACCAAGTTCACGTTCAAGAGGATTGGCCCTTTGGGCCGCAGGAGTCTGCACGGCGCTGGAGCTCGAGCTAACCGTCGCAGGTGGCGAAGCTCGGGCTGTGTCGTCTGTGTTCGAGCTGCTAGGTAACCGATGGACCGCGGGTCGCGCACGGAGCGTCGCATTTTTCCGAGCGTCAAGGAGGTCTTCGCTCACGCTCAACTGTGCGAGCTCGTTGGACAGACCATCCTGCTCGATTCCGCTTCCCGAGGCCGAGGGGGAGGCTGCATCTCTCCACGCCTTCGGGTGAGGCCCTTCGGGTGTCGTTATCTCGCTAGCGACGCTGCTCTCGACCGAAGACGTGGATAATCGTGGCGGATCTTCCAGAGGATGGACTTGGTTGCTGACGGACGCTTCTGCAGGCCGGCGCTCCGAGTAAGCCGACAGAGCGTCCGCGGGCGGAGCGCCTGCTGCCGTCGCAAAAGCGGAGACACCTGCTGCCGCGGCAGTAGAGGAGCCGCTCCCAGAAGACGGGGGAGAAGAGAGCAGGGCAGCTTCGGGAGCGACCGAGGAGCTTGGCAAGGTCTGACCAACATTGGCATAGGCTGCTGCTTGCTGCAGTCGCTCTCTCGAGGCCTCGTCGAGCCTGGTTGGTGGCGAGAGAGCCTCCTCTGTGGCGCTTGCGATTACCTCCAATTCACTGGCCGATATGTGAGAGCGCGCGGCGTCGTTGAGGCTAGCGCTAGCGCTGTACGACATCATCGGAGGCTCGTACAATCGGACCGGTTCCGGACGATGAGCCGAGGGCGGCAACGTGGTTGCCTCTCCCAAGGTCGATTTGCCGCGACTTTCGCGCGTGCCCTGGATGGGATGCGTGAGCGGATGCTGAGGAGCGTGCGCAGAGAGCCCCGAAGACGTGGTAGAGGTGCTGGAACGCTGAGAGGCAGTGGACGACATGAGATCCGGCAAAAGCGGGCTAGCGCTGTCTCGCACGGACATGGCAGCGACGTGCCCAACCTGCTCTTCGCTCCAGCAGCTTGTGATACACCGAAAGGTATTTTGAGCTGAGTACGAAAAGACCTAGGTGCTGGGCGAGTGTAGCCTCGGACACACCACAGAAGTGTCCACTCCACCGCTTGAGAGGTGTTAGTTATAGTGCGAGTATACTGTGAAATGATTGTAGGGTGGAGAAGCGTGTAGACGGCGTAAGAAAATAACGAACACAGCAATACAATGCAGATAGGAACGGTCCAAGACGGCGCGAGGTGCTGACTATGCGATTGTAGAAGCTGACGCTGTTCGAGGTGTTGCCGACATGGAACGCCGTGCCCGCGCAGCCAGAGAGTTGTTGTATGAGGGCAGGCAGCCCTGCACCACTCCGACTTTCTAGGCGAGGATCTCGCCTGCACCACGACGGAAAGGAAGACTGCATGGGCCGCTCTGGTACAATGGTGCCACCGCCACAGCTCGCCAAGCACGCGAGTATAATGATGAGGCAGGAACGACGGCGGGCGTGGGGAAAGAGGCAGCCTTGATTCACGATCCACAATTCGTGATTGGCACCGCATGTACACATGTGTAGCCCTGATTGACATCATCGGCACGGCTCTGCAACGGAGGTCCGATGACAAACGTGAACGATAGATCACGCCAATCTTGCTGCGCTGCTCAAGCCGTCAAGGTGCGCAGCCGAGCGGCAGCCCCCTCTCCACGCTGCACCTGGCGAAGTTCGCATGCTTAGCAGCCCATTTTGCCACGGCAGCGTTCGCCATGGTCTAATCCACCATCTGCTGCATTTGTGCTCGCGTGCGACGGCGAGGGAAACTTCATCCTCGAGCCTCAGTGCCTGCCGTGGTGAGGGAGCTTGGTTTTTGCCGATCGATCGATTGATCGCAAGGAGGCACGCTGCATGCTCGCCTACTGCGAGCTGCACCTCGGCCCCCGCCTGCGCGTCCGTTGCGCGTCGGCGAACGAGCGTGGCCGTTGTGCCTGCTGCGCCTGCTCCTCGCTTTGCCACGCGTGCTGGCCTTTGAAGGAACATCACAAATATGGGCACCACGCACCACGTACAGAATCTACGATTCTGAGTCCAACGCAGCAATCCAGCAAGGCATGGAAGGCATCCCAGATATTCACGGAGCAGCGCACGCACTCCCAACGAGGTGTCCACAAGCCCACAGGCACTTATTCCCGACTTTGGCAAGCCTCACTAGGGAGCCAGTAAGCCAAAGCGCTCTGTAAGGCCAAAGCCGTGGCTAAACTTCCGGTCCCACGTTTCAAATCGCCTCGCATCGGGCCCTGGGTCGCGCGAAGACCGACCAAGTTGATCCTTGGGCTGCGTCAATGCGCAAGCCCCCATTCTGCCGCTTCACCCCGCAAATGTGATCTCCGCCAGCTTCTGCCGAGATTTGCACCCTAGCCATGGCTCTTTGTGCGACTCACGGGTGGTGTGTGCGCACTGCAAGAGGCCCTATCCTTCTCGCCGTCGAGCCGCGACTAGCGCTGGAGTCGGGCAAGCGGAGCCACCTTCTCTTCTCGCTCCCCACCGAAGGTCGTCTCTAGCCTGGGGTCTTGAAGCACTGTGTTTCTCTCTCCGAGCGCGAGTGAGGCCGGAAGACGAGAGGGTCGTTGGTGAGAGTGCAGGTCCAAATGTAGGCAAGATGCCTTGCTCGCTTGACTGGAACAGAAATGCAAAGCTGTGCAAAGCGAGACGAGATAGCCTTTGCTGAAGGAAGGCTCTTAGTTGGAAAGTGTCGCGTGTAGAAGTCCGTCCGACGCCCACCCGAGATCGAGATTGCCAGAATGTTGGCGTAGGAGAGCGAGCGATGCGGTCCATCCAAATGCGCGGAGTGAAGTCGGGGGCGCGCAACGAGCGGACGTGTCTGGTGCCCCTTGGTCCGGCTGGCTGGCCGAATGGCCTCGGGGATCTCAGCACCGAGAGAAGCTCGGTGTGGTCATGACTGAAGATGAGAGTCACGACGTGATGAGGTGTGAAGGAATTGATGAAGCGGTAGAACAAGTGAGACTGCCAGAAAGGTCAAGGTCAAGGTCAGGTGCTTTGGTGAAGACTTGCATGGTATGTGTGCCTGTCGGCCAACAACGTTCATGTCAGCGAAAGTCTGGAGTCACGATCGAGTGTACCGGTACAGGTGACCAAGCAATCACGCATCGCCGCGCGACCCCTTGAGGGAAAGGGGGTGGAGGGCATGGGAGCTGTGTATCTGCGCTCGATCGCATCTACTCCCGCGAGTCCCGACTGCAGATGAAGAGGCACGATGAGTTGCAGATCGCGACAGCTGCAGCTGCGTGCCACTCGGCTGTCAAAGTGGCTCATGCAGTGACGGATGGCATCCAGAGCTGCTCAATTGCTGCACGCGCGCGCTTCTCGACCGGCAGATGCTGCATGCACCCATGTCCTACGAACTGGAGCGCACCTCAACCTTGCTCTTAATTGCGTCCCGTCGTCTTCTCTGGCCCGGGCTTGAGTCGCGACGGAGAAGGCTCAAATAATTTCAACATTCTCATTCTGATGGAATGGTCTGTCGTTCAAGTCAATCGGACACTCCCGACCGACATCTTCTTACCATCCTCAAACAGCAAAGCATTTCAATTTCATCGTGAGCGATCAACAGCTGGACAGGCACAATCACCAATCAGAATTTGAATATAGGCGAGATCGCCACAAGTCACGCGTGCGTGCGCGGGACGACAGCAGCCATGCAGAGCACGTATTCTGAACGAATCTTGCTCATGCAGTCCAAGTGGCATCGGTCGTGATTTGTCTGCTTTGACCGACGAGCTGCGGTGATGTGCGGATGGCCATGCATGCACACGCCCGGCAAGAATCACGACGGGGACGCTAAGAGGGACGCCAGAAGCCAAAGTTGCTTGTGGGCTTCACGCATCGTGACGTGAACAGCGCGTTGCGTCCTTTTGACAACACGCTCCCATAGATGAGCTGCTGGGCCCCTTTGCAATCAATGAATCAAGATTCGCTTGCTCGCACACGTTTGCCATCCACCATCCACCTGCTCTGCTGTGACTTGATGGCTCAGATGCACCTTCAAGCCACTCTTGACGGTGTGTCAGTGTATGACTGCAAGGACAATCGCTTTGTGGGACGTGGGATCACAGCAGTCACTGCACCTGTCACCCGTTCGCTCCGCGCGACTGCACGCAGTGTTGGCCCGAGACCGTGTCGAGCCACTGTTCTCCTGCAGACGGGACCGGTGCTGGCGAGGACCCTGACTAGAGTCGCGAGGTGCTTTGCCGCTACGGAAAATAAGCATCTCGACGTCATACACCTATACGCACAGGTCCACGCGCGGGCCTCCAGAATTTGAATCGAGGCTCTCGGGTCACGCCAACTCGCGCGACACGTGACAGCCCAGACGGTGAAGGTGATCCGTAGAGCGGATCCAAAATCGTGATGTGTCACCCTGGCCCCACCGCAACGAAGAGCTTGGCAAGAGCCAAGTCGCGTCGATACCAGAGCACCAAGGTCAGTGTCCTTGCCTCTGAATCACAATGTACCGAGCTCCTCCGATACCGAGGCCTTTTCATTCGTGATTGCAAAGGCCTCGGCACAAAGGACGGCCCTGCGCCTCGAGAGATATTCGCACGCCTGTGACGCATGGCAAGCCGGCGGCGCATGCAAGATGCTTGCTTGCGTTGACGGACGAGGCAGGGGAGCCTCATCTGCCACTTCGAATCGCCGGTGCGGTGGCCTCGTTTCTGTGCTTTGCGGTGCAGAAGAGCTTCGACACGAGGTCTGCCACCTTCAACAAGCTCATTCCTCATGTTATTGCTCGTTACAGCTCCTCGTGCGAATGACTGGACTCTTTGGCAGGCTCGCCCCTGGTCGCTTTCCTTGCAAAGATCTTCTCGAAAGCTGCATACGCACACGATTCAAGAGACGATCAGAGGCGTGGACACCAATCTGCATTCGAGAATGAGACTTACCGGTCTGGATATCGCCTTCAATCTTGTCGGGCATGACAACCTGCAGGAATGGCCGGCGAAGGTATGAGCACCGGCCAAAGGAAGGCTCGCCATCGCATCAGACGTACCTGATACTCCACAAAGAGGTCGCCGTGGCCGTCGTCGTCTCGCTTTGGCATGCCCTCGCCCTTGATGGTTTGTGTCCAGCCTGGTTGCGTGACGGTCGTCCGCCGCAATGTCACGTTGTGGTCATCCATGTGGCGCAGCTGATAATCGAAGCCCAACAGCGCATCGGCCAAAGAGATTGGATATGTGGTGTATAGGTGATTATCCCTGCGGCGAAAGTCTCCCTTGTGGCGTACGGACCTACAAGATGCGTACATGCTACGTGAGCCTTTGCAAAGCCAATCGGAGGCCTGCACATTGCGAGTATCATGCTTCTCTTCTCACCTGAGCTTGAAAGAAACATCTCCGGGCTCAAAGTCGGGCCCTTCATCCGCATCTCCTTCAAACAAAATCTCTTCGCCTTCTCGCGCACCCGGCAGAATTTCCACGTCCAGATCCACAGTCTCCGCGGTGACCTTCTGACCGTTGCATCTAGAGCAGAGGTGCTGGATGACCTGCCCTTGGCCGCCGCATCGGTCGCATTGAACCTACCAGGTGAAAGGTGGACATTGGGTCAGCGAATTCCGTATCCTCTGCTGCACCCCAGTTCCATCGGCCACACCGCTCACCTGTGACCGCGTAACGAATCCAGGCATGATCTGCTGCTGCACAACCCGAATACCTTGCCCACCGCAAGCCTCGCAAGAGTGGATGTCGCTTTTTTCCCTCGCACCGCTTCCATCGCAGGCTGCGCAAATGACGTTCCTCTGATGCTGCACGCTAACCCTCCGTCCTCGATACATATCCTCCAGCCCCACCTCGAGGTTGTAATTCCGATTCGGCCCCCGTCGTGGGCCTTGCTGACCAAACGGCCCGCCACCCCCGCCAAAGAAGTTTCGGAAGACGTTCATCGGATCATTTCCGGCAGCTGAGCCTGCTTGCTGCTGATGCCGCTTCACTCCATCCTCCCCGTACCGATCGTAGATCTTGCGCGTCTCGGGCTCAGACAAGATTTGATACGCCTCTGATAGCTCCACGAACTGAAAGTAATAAGACAAAGGCATGGTCAGACTGTTTCAGCAGATGCTGAGCGCGACCTACTGACCTGATCGCCCTTCTCCGGATGTTTGTCAGGGTGCAGCTTCTGAGCAAGTTTCTGTGAGGGCAACGATGGAGCATTGAGCTGAGCCGTGCCGTCTAGAAAGAGACGGAAACTAGTGCATGACGCACTCTGTACGCTCGCTTGATCGTCCTATCATCCGCTTGTCTATCTACCCCCATGATCTTGTAGTAGTCCTTGGCTGCTTCCGCTGAGAGTGCAAACACCGCAATGAAGAGAATGGCTGCGATTGCAAGGCTTTGCCAAGCACGTGGAGTAGCATGGCGAGAGCGACGAACCGCCAGGAGGCTCTGCTTGCCCATCTCCCCTTTCTGGCGCAAGCCGAGGTGCTGCCTCGCCATCACGAGCTTCTATGTCGCACGACACGAAGTCAACGCGCGTAGTCCCTCGCCTAGGCAGTGCGTGTGGAACCTTGCGGTCGATGGAGAGCACGTTTTGGCGAGATTAGCGGGAGAGTTGTCTGAGTGCCAGCTGTCGATGCTTGATGGTAAACAGCTCTTCAGGATCCAGATATCGTGTCCGCGAGTCGAGGAGAGAGGAATAGGGATGTGTACACGTGGAAGTTTTGCAGTCGCAGCAGGTGCGTTCGCCTGCACGAATCACAATGTACGGTACCGCGCTTCTCTTCTACCGTGAGTCGTGACTGCATGGATGGTATCACGCGCGCGGCGACTCTTCGCAACTTTTGACGCGTGACTCTGCATGACTGCGTGGATGGGTGTTGACTCGTGACTTGCTTTTTGAGGTTGTTGAACGCTCATATCATGCACAGCAGCGATTTGAATCAAAGGGCGGCCAAAGTTGTGAGTCCGTGCACCCGCCTAGCTCGAGCCTGCTTGGTGGTCACGCGGGACGTGACGGCTCCGCCTGGTGAGACAGCCACGAGTTCCACCAGCACTTGTGACTCCATTCAAGGTTCAGATTCGCCTCGATACGTGGTCGCGATGGCGCATATCTTCCCTTCCTCCAGATCGATATCAGATAGCGAACTTCGCGGACTTCAAGGCCGTCGATCACCGCGCGCTGCCCGAACTGGTCGAAGATCACCTCTCACCGGATTGCGATCGTTGAGCAGGGCACACGGAGAATGACTTCGAGGTCTTCCTTACCACACATGGCCTCGAAACACGCCACCGCCACACAACTTCGGCCATCCTCTGCATTCAGCACATTGTACATTCCAGGATAGCTTGCCGGCGACGCCATGACCAGATTGGAAAGACCACAACTGCCTAGCGAGCTCATCTTGCTAGTCCTAGAGCACCTTTGCGGAGCACGACCCAGCTTGCTCAGTCGTACAGTGGTGCGGACGCTGCGATCTCTCTGCCTCGTCTCGCGCGAAGTGCATGGTCTTGCACAGGCCCTGCTCTACAACACACTTCGACTCTGTGACGGTCACTCTGCCGCTCTGCTCACTCGCTCGCTGCGAGCTCGGCCACACTTGAAGCAAGCCATTCGTGCTGCGTGGTGGGGCAAAGTGGATCCGCTCGATCAGACCTGGCGAACGCCACCCGTTCACCAAGCAGCTTGGTACAGCGTCAGTCGCATAGGTGGTCTACTTGTCGGTCATCACTATTGCACAAAGCCGGTAGGATCTTGGTGCACTGGCGAAGATCTGAGCACAGCGCTAGAGTGGAATGCTAGGCTCGAAGGCAGGGCTGATCAGCTCCGCGCTCCTTGGGCTTATCACCTCGTCGTCTGTACGCTCGAGAATTGGATGCCTCTTCTGCTACGCTCGGCCGAATGGTGCACCATCACTCATCTCACCATCACTCTCTATCCGTCCCTATGGATCGATCAAGATCTCTTTGAGCACGTGCTCAGGACGCTACTCTCACAGTCCGCTCTGCCGCTGCTTCAGCATCTCGTCTTGCTGGTGGGACACGATGGATTTGCGGTCGGCTCAAGGGTGAGAAGGATCGATCGGTCAAGAGCTATCGCAGCGGCTGCTTCCCGCATCGCGGACCCTCGTCTCAGAGTTCTTGGGGCGCCCACGCACTTCGGCACCGCTGGTCAAGGTCTGGCTGAGGATGTGGAAAAGTACACTCGTAGAGGGTGGGAGGCCAAGATCCGTGGAGAAAAGGGACCGTGGATAGGTATGGACAGCATTGCCGCCTTCACACCACTTGCACATCAAAATCAATGTAGCGATTCTCCCTAGCAAGTGACCGCATTCAGGTACGACCGCAAGTCGACAGTCGTTGCATCGCAAATCATGGCTGCTCTCCACTGTGACTAGCTCACATGAGCCAGCATTTGTCGCTCGTCCTTCCTCGAAGGGATCGCGAACCTCAGCGCACCCTCATCATCAGAGCGAAGAGCATCTCGCCTTGCTGCTGTAAAAAGGCGCGGTCAACAGCAGCTGCTCGGCTGCATCTTGATGAAACACGCACAAAACAAGCATGAAGGCGCAGCTATCAATCGTGAATCAGGAACCGGGAATTGTCCAGCAAGTACAAAAGGTCCGGCATGCAGCAGGCGACGGCGGGTCGTTATTGCAGCATCGCTCGACTCAATCGTCGCGGCGGTCGCGCGGGATCAGGACAGGCGCAACAGTCAAGAGTGAAACAGATCAAGAGATGGCAACGGCGCTGCTGCGCCGCGCGATGGTATTTATATATATATATCCACATCATCTTGCATCGAGCATATGTGATCCAGCAAGTTCAAATCAAGAATCAAGAATGGGAAGGATTCACGATTCAAGATTGCATCGGCGCCTTGCATTCAAAATTCAGAGTTCAAGATTCAAGATTATCTCATTTGATGCAACAGAATCAAATTAACCGTTCCACTCAGGCTTAACTCACCACTTAATTTGATTGTTGACTCAAGACTCTGACTCGAACTTCGAACTCTCGACTCCAAAATGGTGAAGCAAGTTCAATTCTGACTGAGTCAGAGTCAAGAGTCAAGAGTCTTTAGTGAAGAGTGTCTGATCACGTTCAATTAAAATGATTCCAGAACCTTGAATGGCTACCTAGCCAGGCAGCTCCGCCTTGCATGTATGCTTCTGCTTTGCAAGATCTTGTAGTCAAAGATGTTTGTATTGACTTAAGCCTTTCGACTCAAACACGGAGTTCAGGAGCGACATCAGGCACAGCTACGAACTCAAGACCGGCGGCCAATTGCCCAAGAGGTATGAGGAGAAATCGTGAATCTTCTCCCCTTCTTTCTCCCACTTCAAGGTGTATCATCCACTCCTTCCTCTCCTTCTCGGACGGTCAGCAGCCATGTCAAATCTAGGAATTGATCATCCTGGAGAAGAAACACTAAGCGATGATGAGTGGGCCACATCGTTTCGAGTGGGCGTTCTGAACGACTCGGACAGCCAGACCTCCGTCTCGGAACGGAACGATCTCTCAGTCTCAGGCGCTGCAAGGCACCAGACACCAACGCATGATCAAGGGCGCCAGTGCGCTCAGGTAAGTGTACTGGCGCTTCATAAGAAAACGTCTTGCACAAATACTTGCTCAATTGACCGCGATCCACAGACCGCATACATCCCGGACGAGGATGAGTCTGATGTCCTTTTCTGTGATACGCCATTGTAAGTATCGTCATTTGCATATTCTCAAGCTCGGTGCTGATCTCTTGCTGAGGCTCGCTTGTAGCACTATCGCCACTCGCAACGCTGCGAGCCGCAACACTCGTATCAGTGCCCACAAAGACGGGAGTAAGCGCGACAACAGCTCGGTGGTCGGAGAAGCCCCGAACCGTGTCTGTGTGCCGAACTCGAACACAGACACGCCATTCAAAATGCCAGACGACGCCGACAGCTCATCGAGTTAGAACGGACCACAAGCAGCTGGTTCTCCGGCCCCTCTTCAAGTTCAAAGACCCAAAGACCCAGCGCATACAAGCGGCTCCACTGTTTGCGAACCAACGAATCCGGCCAAACGTCGCACGCTAGGCATTAGACCTATGGTGATGCCCATTAATCATTTCAAGCCTCCTCAAACGACTTTTGCCTTCACACGCCCATCATTGAGACCACCGCCCATCCGACAAGAACCTGCCGAACATGCATCGGACGACGCTCGTACGTCGCCGGGCCCTTCATCGCCGAACACCGTCGAGCCGTCGAGAGGTCCGCGCAAACTGGGTGCCGGCTTGCAGCGCGCACGCGTCGGATTAGCAAAAGGAAACATCAGCAAGGGTCAAGCGACGCAGGCAAAGCTCTGTTTCATCCCCCCGCAGGACAAGCATCAGATGGTCCAGGACGAAAGCAGTGTAGATCCGAAAGTCACCGGAGTTCCGTTTGACGACTATTCGGAGAGTATTCAGAGCGACGAAGAGTGGCTCGAAACCATGCAAAACGTCGAGGACGTCTTATCCTCGAGCAGAAGCCCGCCTGTCTGCTCTGAGCCACGTGCAACCTCAGCCTCGGCTATATCGACGTCCTCACTTCATGAGCTAGGTTCGACTGGGAATCGCCGATTTCCCGCGGCAGGCGTCGCGAAGTCAAACGTCGGGACACCAAAGCAACATTTCGGCTCGGTGCCGCCCTTGGGTACACCTCACCTCCCAGCAGACCATGAAGCTCATGGCGATGCTGCGCAGTATCGAGCTGCAGTATTTGAGGTGCGCGAGCCCTCGAACCCGCGATACACTGCTGAGGAACGGGCAAGACATGGCTTTGAGCTGGCAGCCGCTAGCGGCTTCAAAGTTTACGAAGACCCTGTCCAGTATCCGCCGGCTCCTTGGAGCTCTGTAGAGTCGCCGCCCCGTCAAGACGACAATTTGTACATGCGCCCCGGACAATTCTATCCGTCCATGGCACGACCATTGCCTCTGCCGAACAGTCCTACCTCGCAACACGGTTGGAGTTCTGCACACGATCTTTCGTCACAAGGAGACCGTCTTCGTGCGCTGCTTGCGCACCAAGAGACGGTGTCCCACTCCTTATATCCTGACCACTTGACCCACGGCGAGCCTAACAGCAGCTCCTATTCTACCCAAGATGCTGACATTGTTGAACATCAACCTATCTATGACGCTACTGAGGACGATGGCTGGTCTGATACAAATCCCGGCCAGGATGTTGTACACGGAGGTCGCGTTTCTCGCCTGACTATCGAAGCTGGCACGGGGTGGAACCAGGCTTCGCGCTCTTCACGGGTACAGCCGCGCACTGACGCTACGAAAAGCTACGGTAGTCCTGCAGACAGTGCTCTGGCATTGCTGTCCTCTCCGAATCGTGAGTAGCTCCCTCAAAGTTGATTCCGGCGCGAGCTCCACCGATGACACAGATCTTCTTACGCGCAGATCGCCGTGGTAGACGGACCTTGCCTATGCGTCGAGAACGCGCTTCGCCAAAGCTATCCGGTGCCAGCGCTACTCGAAGCGACCATCGTCTGCGTAATTTCCGTTATCGCGCGGCTGCTCACGACGAGCAACTCGCTGACGTGGCCTGGAGCGGAACTTTGTGGGCAAACAAGCTTGGTCGATCCGTTCAGCTGCGACAACGCGAGCAACCGTCTCAGCGCTTACTTCCGAGCGTTGCTCAGCGCAAGGGCAGCGGAAACGGCGTTCCTCGCATGACGCCACAAGGTCGTGCAAACGCAAGCAAGCGCCTCAGGCTGCCACTTTTCTCGAATCAAGCAAATGCTCTCAAAGGCCCAGCTCGGAGGCAGAGCGAGGCTGATGGCGCGCATCAGAGGTACGACACCAATGAAGAACCCAGCCGAGATGATGTAGCGGCCTTTGATAGCTACATAGATCGCCACGCTAGCATTGGTGAAGGTTGCGAACCACAGCGCCTGACGCTCTTCGAACCTTCTCCCCCAGCCAAAAGAAGTCGCGCGTCGTTACATCGTTGACGATCATCTTCGCGCGACGTGTTGCATCCCGACCACTCACCATGTTCAAGCTTGTCGGCAGTTTTGTACGACACGACAATCACATGACACTCAGAGTGACTTGCATGCTGAGTTTTGTTCCCCAGGACTCTGCCGTCTTCTTGGTCTCAGGCTGATAGCCCCGTCCGCAGCGAGCGGGCACCAGCTTCGTTGGCGGCTTGCCCTATCCGCACGAGTGCAGGCCTGACGCGAAGCAGACCAAGCATTGTGACTCGGTGAGGCCGATCCGAGCAGTGCCGGCTCGCAATGACTTTTCAAAATGGTGACTTGCTGCGAGCTGGTCATCACGCTGTGCTTTCGCACGGAGCCATTCGTGGTTAGAATCGGCAACTTCTCGCCCCTTATTGGGCATGAAAGCAGGCGTGCAGCCGATGTGCGCGGGAGCGTGGGAGCAGCTGCACGGAGCGGCCTGCCAGACCGTCCTACATCACCAGGCGCCTCTGCCCGAGTGCCTCGTTTCGTCATCCATAGCATTCGCGCTAGTGTCCACGTAGTGCAGGGTTGGCCGCCGGCACGGCGGTTTCTGACGGCGATGCAAGCTGCACGCCACGCAAGTGACGCAACCGAGACCTCGGTTGAGAGATGGATGGATGATGATGGCATCGATCGATCGAGAGATCTGGCGCCTGCACGCTGATGTGGTCGACCGAGGCGGCAGGCTTTGTGGAAAGACTCTCGTGCTGAGGTCAGAAGCGTGGCCTGCTGAAGAGAGATGCGGCCCGTCGTCACGAGTCTGCGACCGCGTGATTTCACGCTCGGGTCGTGTGTGTACAGGTAAGATCCGCTCCCGTACCCATCGCAGGTCACGGATGCAGACCGAGCAAAATGCTCACTGAGAGTCCACGTATTCGGCACAGAATGGGCGGCGGCGAGCGAACATGCACATAAAGTTGCGAAAATTCAAAGGGTGATGCGGAAGGAAGGCTTTTCTCAACGACCGCCACCAAGCGTTGGAGCGGGAGCGGCGGCGGCAAGTCGGATTCCATTTTGTCAGAAGTGCGAGATCCCTTGCCGCGCGCTTTACAACCGTTGACTGATGAGCAAGTGATTGCGGTTGGGCCCTGCATTGAGGGAAAGATTCTGCGACCGACAGGGCCTGCATGAGCCCCTGCTGCAGAGGGGTGCTGATGCTGTACCTGCCCGCCTTCCAAGCTCAACATATGGGCTGCGTCGACGGCGCATGCTGGAAAGCTGCAGTGCGGATGCTAGACTTGGCCAGGAGCCTCGAATCGGCAGTCCCGAGCGCTGATCCCAGACGGACAGACCCCCTCGACTTGCTGCATGGGCAAGGGTCAAATGCGACCTGGGCATGTCTGCTCTAAGCAATGTTGAATGGGACAGCGATCAGGCCTCCTTCCGACTCGCAAGGTTTTTGAACGCGCAATCGGTGGCACTTCAAGTCCAAGACTTAATTTCGTTCAGGAGCTCTGATTGCAATTGAAACTTGCACATAATGAAGTTCGTATACGAACGGATCGCTTATGATGACGCTCTCTCTCGTCGGTGCACGCGGGGCGCGAGGTGGATGCATGCCATGGTGCAGACACGCAGACAGAGCCCAAGGCGACTGCGCAAGTGAAGCAACTGGCTGTCAATCTGTCTCTGCTTCGCTGCTACACTCCCTGTTGAGTGCTGATGGGCCGTTTGGACGAGGCAGATTTGAGGACTGATTGCCTACACAGAACAGTCGTGAGTCAAAGGAACGATAGCTCTTGGCTATGACTGCAGGAGCAGGAGAGAGTGATGAATTGCCTGCAGCGCTTGCGGTGTGCGGCTGCCGCGCACGGCAAGGCGTGCGTTGAACCGTTTCAAACGATCCAAGATTCAAATAAGCATCAGCAGCACATCCCCGCCCGGCGCAGCACTCGGTCGAGGGAAGGTCGATCAAAACACTCGTCACTCACCACTGGCGAATGGCCTGAGGTCGGGTGGTGTAGCGGTGTGTGTGTACCTGATGCTGCTATATACGTGTGAAGCTGCTGCAGCTTTTCCTCAAATAGCCTCGCGCCCCTCACCACAGCACACACAACAACGACGCAAAAGTCCGAATGAACCTGCGTGCCTGCTACAGCCACTCGCTACGGTCGACCGCTTGCTGACCCCGATAGCGAGAACACCTTCATGTCACCAGGTCGGCACGCCCATTGCAACGTCCTGTTTCTCCGCCCCTCTCTATCACACCCCACGCCGACTGCCGACCTTTGACATCGCACATTTGACAGCGACCAACTCGCTCAACATCAAGCTCTTCAGCAGCAAAGTTCACCTTCACAACGCCCTCGCCTCGGCGGACAAGTCGGCTCGCTTCGGCTCAACATTCCGCTCCTTGAACCGCGCAGAGACTTCCCTCATTGTCCTCGCTACCCGCCGCAACCATGCACAATACCTTCTTCATCTCCATCCTGTTCGTGGCCGTTCTCCTTGTGGTCAGCCCAGTCGTCGCTGGTCTTCACGAGGACAAACGCTCGCTGGTTCATATGCGAGCGAGGGATGGCAATCATCATCACCATAGCCACAAGAAGGCGAACAATCGGATCAAGACTGGTGCCAAGATTACCTTCTACGCCGGTAAGTCGAGAAAGAATTTTGAGCTCAGAAGCTGCCGCAGACGCTGTCTATGAAGCCAAGCGGAGCGAAAGAGTACGCCAGAGCGTAGGGACGTACTGTAGCGTCAGAAGCAATATGGTCGGGGACGCCTCGGCAAGAAACCCCACGTGTGACGCCGGTTGCTGACCAGCGAGCAGTGCGCCCTCATCACCATTCAGGCGAACAGCTCGCTAAACCCTCTTGCGGCGGAAGCACTCCAAAAGACGAGGATATGATCGCTGCTGCGCCCGCGAACAGCCCAGCCAAATGCGGTGACCACGTCACGATCAAGCACGGCAGCAAAGAGGTCACAGTCAAGGGTGAGTCGTCTGCTGTCAAGAGTCAGCCATCCCTCACACCATTGGTTGAGTTCCACTGACAAGGCCGCTCTTCTCACTTGCCTGTCTCTCCTCGGCAGTCATCGACACTTGCGAGGGTTGCCCCAAGATGGGCTTGGATCTTTCCAAAGGAGCGTTCCAGAAGCTTGCCACGTTGGACGCAGGTGTCATTGAGGGCGCCCAGTTTTGGATCAACTAGACAACGACGCGCGATGATGCACCGGCATAGTCTACCGACGCCAAAGTCGTGCGCAAGACATTTGAAGATGAGGCAGAGCCCCATCCCGTCCCTCTAACTCCGCTCGCCTTTGTTCGCATGCGTTTGAGCACCGACTTCGGTCCAACCGACACTTCTTACTCTGACACCATCGAGCCAGTTAATTCCGAAAGCTTGCCCTGCCCGAGTTCTCCAATTGTAACCCACGTTCTGTCTACTGGGCCTCTTGTCGAGCTTTGAAGGTCAGCATGATAGCTCTGACCCATACCCTTTCACAGGTACCTATGTCTTCCATCATCCCACCTTCCCTCGTCTGAAAGAGCTCGCTCTGAGCTCCAATGAACATTTTAGCCCGTCAAAGCTCAGCGTGATCGGTAGCAGGTCCCGTGCCCACCACCAGCTATGGCACCCGTTGCGTCTAGCCCGCGCAGAAAGTCGACACGCGTGAATGTGAAGAGAGCCCGACACAAGTTGACCTCGTGTGCGCGCTTTCCGCCCCCCCCCTCTGATGGAACAGCTGCCCATGCTCAAAACAGACCGTAGAATTGCTTGTTTGATCGCCAGACGTGCGTGTGCTCATGTATGCATTCCGATGATCCATCTTAAGCGGCCTTGACAAAGTTCGAGGCCTTGATCCGTTCCCTATTCTTTTTCCTAAGCTGCTTCTTGATCTCCTCTGGCGTCTTCGGGACCTCCTCGACCTGCTGCGCCTGAGCACCGGTCTTGCTAGCCTTGGCATCCGCCAACCTTTTAGCCTTTTTCGCCCTCTTCAAAGCGATTCTGAGCTCTCCCTTGGTGGCAGCTGCACCCAACGACGTAACGTCCGAGCCTCCTCCAGTTGTCCCTGCTAGCGACCAGAGCCATGTTGGGTAAGAGGCGTCTGGTAGAGCAACAGGCTCGGGCTGATCCTTTAGCAACGCGAGACCCTTCAGCAACGTTCCTTCTGGGCATGACGAGACGATTCCTGCAGGCGGACCGTATCCTGCCAAGAGACAGAGGGACAGCGCATGTGTCAGACATTGTACGGTGTCGGACATTGGTCTCTCCCTACTGCTTTACTTGTTGGCGCTTGAGCTTTCCATCACACCAGAGCGAGGAACTCACCTGCAGGAGCAGCTTGTGGAAGCGCTTGTGTGCTAGATGGACCAGCCTCGGTCGCAGCGGTCCCAGCTTCGGCTCGCTTCGGCTCGCTAGGTGAAGAGTAGTGCCTCAGAATTGCCATAGCGCTCATGCGTGGGGCAGAGGAGACACGACAAGCGCAAGCTTGACGAGCGGTGGAGGTCGAAGCCAAGGCGGTACGGACCACAGACCGGGGGGCGCTTCGGGAGGCCATCTTTGCAGCTGCCGGCTGGACGAGCCCTTCTGCCGACAAGACCACGCCTGTGCGATTCGCTTCTGTAGCACTGAATGAGGCGTCGACCAGGTCGCACCAAGTAGGATGATGTTCAAAGGTTGGATGCTGGCTCCCTTGTGGTCTTACCCGGTCTTGCTCTTTGAAGAGGCGAGATCTGGTTTTGTCCCAACTCGTCTGCACGCGTGATTTGCAGACGAATTAAGTCACTGCTGCGTCGAATCCAGTCCGGCACGTGACGCGCGCGCGGGGCGCCGGGATGTGCTCACCGTGACTCTGCTTGCATGGCTGTGCATGCCTACCATGACATGCCCGGCTTTCTTCATGCCACGAAGCATCCATCGAGTGCGCTCGCTACATGCACGATTCGCTCGGCGCTCGAGTCTTGTATGGCCGCCAATCTTGAATCGTAAGCCAAATCGCTCGATCCTTTTGTCTGTGAACCACGCCGTCCGGCATCGTTTTCGACGGAGCTCACCTTCCGAGTGTCGACCTCGGCGCAGGGCGAGTCGGGCGTCGCGCGCGAGAAGGACAAAAGGACGATAATGTAGGGCGTCCAGCGGCAACATTGGGCGCGCTGGCAAGCTGCTTCTGCTGCGGGTGGGATTGGGTCTCCAAATCGTGCACCCAGACTTCCTCACGACTCGCCAATCTACCACCGCGCACAGCCCATGGGACAAAAGAATCCGACCATTGGCGTCGCGGCGTCGCTCTCTCGCCATGGTCACTCTCGACAGCAACGTGCTAGATGTTGCTCCTGCTGGGCCATACACCTGACAGACAATGATGGTGCTGAAGCTGGAGCTCAAAACGTAATGTCAATCCCGCTACTGGCTTAGAGACGCTCTCGTCTCTACTCTCACTTCTCTCGCTCGCTGTCTCCTGACCCGCTCACTCGTATCGTTCAAGCACAACTCGTCCCTGATCCGATCCCGCTCTTCTCACTCTAAAAGATCGTGTCTTAGACTCGCGCTCACTCAATAGCTCTTCTAATCTCATACACAGCGCGTGCTAGCTCGGCCTCTTTCCCTCGTTGCCCAAAGGTGTTTGAGACACCCCATCGCTTATAGACAGAGGTGACTCGGTGCCATCGCCTGCGGCGATCCTCATGCAAGTCTGCCAGTAGCCGTAGCCCCGCAGATCATCCTAACCAAGCAAAGCACGCAACAGCATCCACATCGACTTTCCGCAAGGTCAGGTCGTATCAATCCAGCCTCTTCTGCTTTGGGGCCGTGCTGGTCACGACATGGTAGCTCCGTCAGCTCTCAAATTCATCGGTCTAAATGCGCTCAGACTTCTCAGCGTATGTATCCTCCTCCTTACCGTGGCAGCGCTGATAGACTTGATGGTCATCGATGCGAAAGCCATCAACGAGCTATCGGCCGAGGAGAAGAGCGACGTGGAAGAGGATTGCAGCTACTTTGCGGGCACCAGCGTACCCACTCACGTATGGGGTCTATTCTGGTGCCAGCTCAACAGAACGTTCCTCATCATCCTAGCATTCATTGGTCTTGCTTCCGGTGAGCTGCGCATGGTTACATGACAGACAGCACACGGAACGGATTCGAATTGACATGATGTGCCACAATGTCTTCCGTCAACAGAACTCAACTGGGGCGGTCTAGCTGAGCGCTTCTTCAATCACAACATTCCAATGCTCAGCTCATCCTTCTCTACCATGCCCTTGGGTGTACTCGAAATCATGGTGCGTGTCATGATGTGAAAGGCCCCTGCGTCACGCTGACTGAGTGCTCGCCCTGCACCACTCACCTTCGTCGCCCAGATTGGCACTTGTATGCTCAGCTCTTTTCTCTGGATATTCCCCCTCGTCGTGGCGTGGATGCTCGTTGTCATCGGTCTGACGAACGTCATCCTTGGCGCGCTTTTCCGATCGAAGGGCAAAGACATACGCTCTGTCGTGGCACGCAAGCAGAAGAAGGCGGATATCAAAGAGGTTCGGTGGGCGCCCCCAAGCGAGAAAAGATTGACGGTGCAAATGCTAAGACCGACAAACGTCCGGGAGAACGCGTGGCACGCTTTCGAAAAGCTTCGGAAGGGCAAGGACAGCACGGCTGACAGAGCTGCGGTCGGGTTAGCCAGCACAAGGAGCGGGACGTCTCACTCGCCACCTTGGTCAGATCCGAACAGCGCAGCGCGTGATTCTGCTGGGGCGGCAGACATCAAACTTGCTAGAGCCAATTCGCGGTCAGCGCATCCGGATCAGGCAAGCGACTTTCCTTCTCTAGAGACCAGTGGCCAATCGGAGCTGCTGAGACAACGAGCTCGTGAAGCCAATGTGCGAGCCGAGCGTGAGCAAGAGGAAAGGGAAAGAAAGATGTTTGAGCTGCGTAGATTGATGCAGCTCGAAGATGAGCAGGAGTACAACGCGGAGCGCGATTTGGAAGCTGGCATGCGACGGCTGAGCGAAGAGTATGAGTGGAATGATGAGAAGAGCATCGCAGTGCCGCGCGCTCACGCACACGACGACAAGTCTGCAGATCAAGAGGACAGAGCGGCACTTTCAGCTCCAATCTGGGCTGCTCATCGAACTCCTGACGACGCGCGGGAAAGGAAGGAGATAACGCAACAAGCTGCAAAGAAGGGCGCGCACGACTTCATGCACAGGGGACGAGTGAAAGCTGGCGAGGATTCGACCGCTTGGAATGAAGGGGCTGGTGATCCTTCTCGTGCAGGAGCGTCTGTTCCGGCATCACGAGAGCCTCAAGTCAGCGGCAGAAGATGGCCCAGGTCACCTGGTTTCGGTAGCAGTGCAAGGGAATTCACCGCGAGAGTGGGCAGACGTAGCCTTGTGCTGAGTCGACACCTGAAGGAGCTGAAAGCGACAGCAGTATCTCCCAAAAGCCCGAAATTCACCGTCGGAAAGGGCAATCCCAAAGCTCGCGTCCCACGTCTGCCCTTGAGCAAAGCTTCTGGCGGCCAACCGATTCCTGGAAGGTTTCCCAAATCTCCGACGAGATACGTAACGCGTCCTAGACGGGCAACGAACGCCTCGTCGACTGCAAGATCGTCCTATTACGAATCTGCAGATGAGGAACCTGCGTCCCCAGCCGATCGGCAACATCCGACCCAGGATGCTGTAGAAGATCGTCAACCAATTTCGACCCACTACGACGGCGCCAACTTTGACGTTATCGAGGTGGGATTACCTCCGCTTCCGATCCGTGCGGAAGAAGTATTCAAATTGGGACGGTCAGCTTCATCCGTCAACAAGCAAACGATGCCAAGAATGCCTCCTCGAGCTTTTGTGGAAGCAGGCGGAGGTCGCGTGATGAAGGCTGAACCAGACGACGAATTCAGAAAAGACTCGCTCGACTCTCTCTCTTCCACGATCCAGCCCGGCGTCAACGCGTCGCTAGGCGAAGGGCACATCATCATCCACGAAGCCGATGGCAAAAAGAACACAGCTTCGCGGTACCCAGTCGCTCGACAATGGGCCAGCGAATGGAATCGCGATCGCCTGTTGCGCGACGATACCGACGACGAGATTTCGAAAACCAAGAGACCATTGAACATTCCTGATGGTCGTTCGTTGAAGAGCAGAGCACAGCAGACCTCGCCAGTCGCAACATACCGTACCGATGCTTGGGCTCCCAAGAGCAGAAGACACGTCCCATCGAGCGGTCCACCCATCTGACCCGGCGTGAGCGCGTCCTTTCCTCAAATCCATCATCCACTCACTCCTTACCATCGTAGGACAATTTCTTTCTCCAGATAGTTCCACATCTTCTCACCTGATAGCTTGCCGAAATCCACCAAATGTGAATGTTTGCTATCCTCGCGTGCCGCCATCTCTGCTCGGCGTTGCGCGCATGATCCGTGCCTGATCGTTTTGACTCTTGTTCGATTCATGAGACTAGCGGTTCAGCTCGCACTAGACGAGAAGTCACGCGCCACCACAAGAATCCGATGAAATGCTTTTGAACGAGCCTGTTGAATGGCTCTCGTTGATTGCGACTAAACTTCCGAAGAAGCCTTTTTGTGTGTGTGTGTGTGTGTATTGATGCGATGTGTTGATACATTGGTAGGCTCGGGTCATTGACTCGTGGACCGATAGAAGAGAAGTTGGCGTTGAGCAGCAAAAAGATCTCTTGAGGCGCGGGATTTCGGGGGATAATTGTATGGTGATGAAGCGGAATAATGGCAGGTTCAAAGAGGATGTGACTGAGGACAAGAAGCGTGAGAATCGGTGTTGAAAGATCCTGTGCTATGCGTGTGTGACGGGCCAAGAAGAGAGACCAAAGAGAGCATTGTGGTGGACACCAAGCTCCGGCCGACAGGGGCTTGATCGCTTAGTAACGGTAGTGCTCCTGCTTGAAGGGACCAGCGCCGTTGGGGTCGAGGTCGAGATACTCGGCCTGCACCTTGGTAAGCTTGGTGAGCTTGACGTTCAGCTTGCCAATGTGGGAAGCGGCGACCTCCTCGTCCAGAATCTTGGGCAGCATGTAGACCTTGCCGCTCTCGTACTTGCCATCAGTGTTGTTCTTCCACAGCTCGATCTGAGCCAGGGTCTGGCAAGTGAAGCTGAAGGACATGACACCCGATGGGTGACCAGTGGCGCAACCCAGGTTGACGAGACGTCCATCAGCCAAGAGGAGCACGTGGCGGCCGTTGGCCATGGTGTATCGGTCAACCTGGGGCTTGATGTTGACGACCTCCTTGGCGTTCTTCTTGAGCCAAGCGACGTCAATTTCGACGTCGAAGTGACCAATGTTGCAAACAATGGCGTCCTCTTGCATGTTCTCGAAGTGCTTGGAGGTGATGATGTCACGGCAACCAGTGGTGGTGACGAACACGTTTGCGATGGGGGCAACGTCGTCCATAGTGTTGACTTCGTAACCGGCCATAGCAGCTTGCAGAGCGTTGATGGGGTCGATCTCGGTCACAATGACGCGAGCACCGTAGCCACGCAGAGACTCGGCGCAACCCTTTCCGACGTCACCGAAACCAGCGACCACGGCAATTTTTCCGCCAAGCATAACGTCGGTGGCACGCTTGATACCATCGAGCAGAGACTCTCTGCAGCCGTAGTAGTTGTCGAACTTGCTCTTGGTGACGGCGTCGTTGACGTTGATGGCAGGCAACTTGAGGGTCTTGCGCTTAGAGGCGGTGTACAGGTGGTGGACACCAGTGGTGGTCTCCTCAGAAACACCCATGATGTCAGCCAAGAGCTCAGGGTGGTTCTTGTGGATGAGCCAAGTGAGGTCACCTCCATCGTCGAGAATCATGTTGAGAGCCTTGCCGTCAGGGAAAGCCTTGAGGGTCTGCTCGATGCACCAGTTGTACTCGTCCTCGGTCTCACCCTTCCAGGCGAAGACGGGCACACCAGTGGCTGCGATGGCGGCAGCGGCGTGATCCTGGGTTGAGTAGATGTTGCAAGAGGACCAGGTAACTTGCGCGCCGAGGGCAGTGAGGGTCTCGATGAGCACAGCGGTTTGAATGGTCATGTGCAGGCATCCCGCAATGCGAGCGCCCTTGAGAGGCTGGTCTTTGCCGTACTTCGTGCGAAGGGTCATGAGACCAGGCATCTCTGTCTGAGGGGTTGCGCGCGCAATGGGTCTGCCGGTCAGAGCCATGTTATACAAGTGCGTTGAGCTGACGATCATCATCGACTTACCTCGGCGATCTCAATCTCCTTGCGCCCGAAGGCGGCGAGCGAAATGTCTGCGACCTGAGTGTTGGAAGGATTGTGAGGACATTGTACGGGCTGAGCAAACACGACGATCGCTGCACTAACCTTGTAGTTGTTCGACATGCTGGGCAGGGTGATCAGATGACTGCAAATACGAATATGTGCTGAGTGCAAGAGTGTTACCAGAAAGGTGTGGTGTAGAAGTAGAAGAAGATTGATAGCGCGCACGGTCAAAGAATCCCAAATTTCTTCTTCTCTTCTGCGAGACGTGACAATGCCCCTCTTGCCTGGCACACCCACCGCTTCTCACTACAGTATTCGCGCGTTGAATGCTTGATCATCGATTGAGGCTTGATACAGCTGCAGTCACGAGTCTGCAGAAGCTCGTGCATCGCTGCTGATGCACGCGCTGCTGGTCACGAGAGAAGCGCCGCGAACCGCGCGGGGGGCGCCAGGCATGCACCGACGAGCGCTGCATGGGCCCAGCAGCAGAATTTGCACAGCAGCTGTAAGCATCAGCGCGCACGAACCAGCAAGCCATGCTGCGCGTGGGTCAGTGCGAGCTTCGCATTTGCCTGCGCTGCTGCTGCTGTTCCGTCCGCGACACATGTACAACGGCCCAGCAGCTGAAAATTTGCCTCTTGCTGCATGATGCTGGGTTGCGCCGGCGCACGTTGGCTTCCCAGCTCGCGACAAGGGGACAAGCTATGTATCGCACGACCGCTCTGATGCCGAGCAGAGAAGTCACGAAGTTCGCAGTAAATTAGAATGTAAGCAGAATCATGAATATTAATCGATCGTTAATCATGAACTTTGAATCTTGGTCACAAGTCTAACTCACGTGATCCGCGTCGGTGCGACCTTCTGCGGATCAATCTTGAATCAAGGCTCACCAATCAGCAAAGCCCACCTCGAAGCGGGGAAGCCCAATGACGACAGACGCGAATACCACACTGATCACCAGGTAGACCAGACGAGAACAGGATGAACACTCACGTGATTGCAGCGCTTGCCAACCTTTCATATATGTCGATAGGCTGCGCCGAAGACGAGGAAAGACGTGACCGGCGTTTCTGTTGCGACGTTGGATTCCATGCTGCAGCAAAATTATTTGTTGTGTTTGTTTTGCCTAGCTGCTGCTTTCAAAGTCGTGATACGGGCTAGCGCCTGCGGCAGCACACTCAAATCCGGAAGAAACGTGCGCACCGCTTCCAATCAAGAATAGGCAGCAGCAGCAGCAGCAGGCACGAGAACCGCGCCAGTGCGCGCGCGGGTGAGCCCTTGGTTGTAGTCACGAGTGGAGTGCAGCCGCGGCTGCAGCTGCCAGAACGGCCCGTGCGGCTTGTCGCCCATGCAGCAGCAGCAGTGGTGGAAGCAGGAGCTTAGGGGTAAGCGCACGGAGGCTCGACTTGGCCATTCTTGATTTGCATGGTTGGTGCTGATGCACACTGCTTTTGGGAATCGCGAGTCTTGAGTCTGAGTGCAAAGAAAGGAGACGAGCGCCGCGTTGGTTGACGCGTATACGTGGTCTGCATGCTGGTGTGTGAGCTGCACCCCGAGGCCGAGGGGGCGGGGAGACACGGCAAGACGATCGTGCGCTCATCTCGCGCTTCATATCCTGCTCATTCGTGATTCATGCTGCTGGTGCTGCTGCATGCCGTCATCGGTAATTCGCGCTCTGATTGGCGATTTGTATCCAGCAGCATGGCAGTCACGAGTGCAGCGGCATCCATGCACACCAGCGCGGGCGGCTTGATCGCTTCATAACGTATACACATACAATACTCCAGACTCTGACAACAGCGCATGCAGTGATGGCATGCAGTGCTGTGCTGCTGCTGATGGCCTGAGCTGTGAGAGTATATATGCGATGCGAGGCACTGCTGCGCCTCGACCCTGACCTGAGACGCCTAGCTGCTGATGAGGACCACAACATAGGGTGCTGCTGCCTATTTCTGATGCAGCTCCGCGCATACACACATATAGCGGGCACACCTTACGACCGCCGCGATGTGACTCAACTCTGACTCAGTGGCTGTCGTTGATCCGACTTCGCGCGCGTGTGCTGTACGTGCGTCGCGGCATGCATGCAGCAGCAGCGGTGACCAGCCAAGTTCGGCGCGCAATGACAATAATGATGAGCGAGCGAGCAGCAGCAGCAGGGGCAGCGCGACGATGCGTCGGTCGTTTCGTCAACGATTGGCACACGAGCCATCCGTCCGAGTTGGCTTTCCCCACGTTCCGAGCGAACCATCTATCTCAAAGGGACAACCGGTCGTGTGGCTTTTGCATCCGCACCACCTCATCTAGCATCGTCAACGTAAGCGGATAAGCTGCTCCTGACCCTTGCTCAATTCTCCACCGACGCAGCGTCACTCTGACGCTGATCATTCGATCTTCGGAAGCTGCTCTCGCCGCTCCGTATAGGGATCAAGACAAGCTCTGCTCTGCGCGGGTAGCACCTCATACCACAAGCTCACTCGCCGTCCACTTGATCTCCTCCGAAATAGCGCTTTTCTTTCAACCCGCCCAAAGTGCTTGCCGAACATGCCGGGAACTAGCACGGCGACAACGGACAGTGCTTCGACCTCGGCTACGACTGATGCCACTTCCGTGGGGGGCAGTCAAGCTCAGAGCTTGTCCAAAGAAGGAAGCGGCAGCAATGCTGCTGCAGCCTCTACAGCACCAGCCGAAGCTGCTGGCGATGTGAGCGCGGAAGAGTTGGAAAAGGCGCCCGAGGCTGTGCAAATGACGGACGAGGAGGAGCTGACGGCTGCTGGTGAGAAGGACAACAGTGAAGGCTCAAAGATCAAGACGCTGCTCGGAATTCTCAAGCGCATGATCGGCGTCAAGGATATTGCTGCCATGTGAGTGCGAGGGGCGCGTTTGCAGAGTTGATCTGCCAAGACGCTCCCTAGCTTGTCTTGTGAACCAAAGCATACTGCTGGGCCTCGTCCGGCTTTGACCAAGCAACTTGCTAACGCTATTCCCACCACCCTTCAACAGTCGACTCTCCCTCCCTGCCAATCTGCTTGAGCCAGTGCCTAATCTGGAATACTGGAACTACCTCGGTGAGCTCGCAAGCTTGCCGGTGAACACTGAGTCCAGCGCTGACAATCGCTTGCTATTCCTGGCCTGTGCTTTTAGACCGAGGCGACCTTTTCACTACGTGAGTCTGCGCTCCTACTGGCCCCTAGCCGGCTTTCGCTGAGCTTGCCATACTGTAATCCCATCTGCCCTCCTTGCAGCATCCCAGACTTTGACGATCCGCTAGACCGAATGCTGGCAACGCTGCGATTCATGTTCACGAAGGAACTCAAATTCGTAGTGCGTGAAGTAGCCCCAAGCGCAGGGGGCATACGGCGGCCATATCTTGGTGACAAAGCTGACCGGCCTTTGTGGACTTCTGCAGCGCGGCAAGATCTGCAAGCCTTACAATTCAATTCTGGTGAGCGCGCACACCTTGTTGCTCTGCAGTCCAGCCTGCCTCGCACTGACGCCCTAAGTTGTTTCTCACTGGTGTAGGGGGAGCATTTCCGGTGTCATTGGGATGTGCAAATCCCTCGTATCACGGATGAGGGAGACATCGTGCCGCTGCAGAATGTCTCTGTAAGCGAGCCTAAGCCTTTGCAGCAGTCTGCATCCACGAGAGCCTTCAAGTCTACATCTCGAGCCTCTCGGCAAGGCGCTACCGAGACTGGCAATTCGCTTAGTCCAGCTTCGGCAGGCGATGGAGGCAAAGCTGCAAGCCGACCTGGATCTATCAGAAACGTGAGCACCAACACAGTTGCAACCTCTGCCAGCACGGCCGGATCTACAGATGAGAGCAAAGCGAAAAAGGGTCTGAGCAGGTTCCTAGGCAGACGCACGACAAACCAGAGTATCGCCGAGGCCAGCCAAACGGCGGAGACAACCGCCGCAGCAACACCGAGGATAGAGACGACTGACTCAGCAGGCAAGAATCAGAATGGCGATGATGACGACGACGACGACGCAGGATCCTTCAAGACTTCCAAGAGCGACGGGCCCGAGGCGCCTCCCGGCCTGTCACAGGGCCAGCGCCGCATCACATTCCTCACAGAGCAGGTTTCGCACCACCCTCCCATCTCTAGTTTCTTTGTGGAGTGCAAGCAGAGCGGCGTTCAGCTCTGCGGCGTTGACCAGCTGAGCGCCAAGTTTACGGGCACATGTACGTGGTTGCCGTGGGCCCTCGCACGTGTCAAATGTACCACGCGCGTGCTCACCTTCATCCTGATCTCTCTGGCAATGCGCAGCTGTGCGAATTTTCTCCGGAGACCAGAATCAAGGCATCTTTGTCAAGCTGCTCGACAATGCCAAGGGGCCTGCTGGGGAGGAGTATCAGGTGGAACACCCAACTGCGAGTGTCAACGGATTGTTGAGGGGTTCTCTCTGGGTCGCGATCTGCGACACCCTCTCCGTCACTTGCCGAGGGGGTGTTCGAGAAGGCGAGACGGCCGATGAAGATGGACGTGGAGCTGGACCTAGGCTTAGAGCGCTTTGCGAATACAAAGATGAGGTGCGTTTGGGCAGAACAGCCTTGAAGAGCTTACCTGCATCGCTGACGCGCGAGGTCATGAACTCCCATCAAAGAGCTGGGTGTTGAAGGCCAAGTACGCCTTGGAGGGTGTGATCTACGAGTACGATGAGAGCAAGGGTCAGCCTGCCACGGAATTCGACAAGGTCCGACAAGTCCCTCAAGATCGCATCGTGGCCACTTTTGAGGGCTCCTGGAAAGGCCAGATCACATGGAAGAAGAAGGGCGACAAGGTGAGAGGATATGTGCGCTTTGTCGTGATAAGCATTCAGCGTTGGCTAATGTCTGACCTTTGATTCCCTTCTCTTGCAGGAGCCTCGATTGCTCATTGACTTGAACGAGCTCGAACCCGGACAAAAAGCTGTCAGGCCCTTGTCCGCTCAAGAGCCTTATGAGAGTCGCAACATCTGGGAGCCGGTCACTACTGCTATTCTTGCCAAGGACTTTAGCGCGGCTACCAAGCATAAGCAAGAGATCGAGCAGAAGCAGAGAGACGCCGCGGCAGACAGGAAAAGGAAAGATCAGCAGTGAGTTTGTGATTTTCACCAAACTTTTGAATTTCACGAGCCGATCGAACGATCTCGCTCATTCCCTGCTTGCCCCATCGCATCTATTAGATTCGTCCCGAGATTCTTTGATGCGGACATCACCGATGGCAGACCTAGGCTCACCGCAGCTGGACGTGAGGCGCTGGATGGCGAAGGCAGACTGGAAGGCTACTGATACACTCTTAAACAGCATCTATCCTGTTCACATACGGTTTTCATGTCACGGTCCTGCACCTTGCCTGAGGATGGGATCCTCGAACTTCGTGATGCCACTGCTTCATGTCTCTCCTTCTCCGCTGACCACTGAGGCTCTAAGAGTGGTCAAGGAAATGCAAGGCAGAGGCCCTGCGTGGCATGTTCAGACCTCCTTGCCCCTTGCTCCTGAGATCGAAAGACACATACCAAATCTATGAACTTCGCACGCAATCACATCAACTCGCACGCCCTCTCCCGTCACCTTGTGCGTCGCACGCAGACGAACGCCAGAATCGCTGCTGGAAACGTTCAGATGCTCGGAGAATCGTATGTTGATTACGACTGCTGAGCGATGGCGGACGTGTGCAGTCTGTGCAGCCAAGTACTGGGTGAGCTCACAAGAGATGAGACCAAAAGATAAAAGTCGATGCGTGGGAAACTAGGAGAAATGCTCGAGTAGTAGTAGGTCGAAGTGCTGTTCAAGAGAAATTTTGACGGTAATGACGGTAAGGAAAGCAGGAATAGAGGATCGGAAAGATTTGTGAACGCGAAAAAAGTAGAAGAGCTGCGGGAGGATTTGTAATGCGATTGCACGCAAGAATCGAGGAGCGGAAAATGAATGGTTTGTGGAGTCGCCAGATGAATGGTCGTGCAGCCTCGTGGGCTATTGACGGCGGCGCAAACGCATCTGCCCCCCGTCGTTCAAGAGCATTTGTGCTTTATGACTTTCTTTCAAATCAACCTGAAAGCTCGGTGTTTGATCACGATGGAGCTGTTCCTCTCTTTTGCGCGCACCGAGGGTGCAGATCGCTCCCTCATCAGGCAGGCAGATGGTTGTTTCGCTTGCTGATATCGAGCGTTCCACCCAAGCCTTCAGCGGCGATGAGCCCGAGGGTCTCGCCATCCTGCAAGAAGGACAGAGTCCAGATTCAAATCAGCTAAGGTTGAATTGAGGGGTACTTTACGCGTGGCAGACTCACGTCAGAGAGCTGGTCATTGTCGCTGCCGTTTGTGGGCGCATCTCCGTTTTGAGAGGCAGAGTGGCTTCGGCCAACAGAGCTGGGCGGGCTCGAGAGCGCAGTAGAAGACTTTGATAGGCTGGCGTCCGTGAGCACAGTGTTTGTTGTGGATAGCCCGTCGCCGTGACTCGCGTTGCCGCTAGGTGTATCCGGACCACCACTTGCTGTGCTGTCCTGACGCTCTACAGATGGCTTGGACGAGCGCGAAGATTCGTTTGAGCCTAATGAATGATACATCCCTGTGTCATTCTCTCCTTGCTCATCGGCACTAGATCCTGCTTGATACAGAACGTATGCTTGCCAGTCGTCTATACGCCTTACGCGCATGCCTATCGAGTCGACCTCAAGGTAGGGTGATTGCAGTACTGTATCACGTACCGCATCGATGTCCGAGGTGATCCTGCGCACGCGGTTGAAACTGGCAACCGTCGCTATGGGGACCCAGCCGTGAGCATCCATGCACGATCGGAGATAGAAGTCTCCCTGTAGGTTTTGGTGACTGAAGTAAAACTCTATCTGGCGGAGCAGTTGATGCGAAACTTCGTCTTGAGAAGCGGACGGTTCGCCGTATGCAGCCGATGTTTGTCCTTCAAACGGATATGCGGGAGATGCCAGCTGTTGATATGGTGCTTGAGGAGAGAAGTTTGGGGCTGCCGCCCACCCGCCGACCATCATCGGACTGTACGTTGGCATTGTAGAGTGTGAGAAGGCCCTGGATCCCTCTTCAGGGTGGGTAAAGAATCGCGGATGGTAAGGGGAGTCGTATGCAGGCCCAACTTGCTGACCAGAATAAGCGCCGTTCCATTGCTGACCTCCCGAGGTCAGAGGCTCGTTACGTCCTGCTTCGTAAGGCCCAGTCTCCACGCCTTCAGCAATGACCGGATGATACAATGGTCTGCTGTCGAAATGGTTGGAGTAGGCACCAAAGAAGCCTGGTCCTCCTCGTCCACGTCCTCTGCCACGTCCGCGACCGCGGCCTCTATAGCCTACCCGATTCCCCTTCCAAGCGTCTGATGCTAAAGGAAGGTAATCGCTCGCGCGCGTCGGAGAAAATGAGCCGTCCTTGTTGATGTGAGAGGGCATGGGTGGATAAGCGAGAGGCATGACCTCCTCGGAGTCTGCTCTCGCTTCCGTGTCTGAGTGGTGAGGCGCAAGGGGCGTAATGAGAGCTTGATCTTCTTTAGACCTGGTGAGATCGCTGCTTGGCGCTGATTGTAAGTCACTGGCGATGCCACGAGCCCTTTCAGCTCCATTCGATGGAGACTGTGTCAGGGTATCATTGGACGAAGATGAGCTAGGCTGATGACGCTCTGCGTCACGTGCTGCAAACACCATGGCGCCATGTGGCGTGCTCGGTGCTGCTTGTGTGGCATTCGAGCGCGCTGGGTCAGCAGACTCGGCATCGAGAGTAGATCCCACAGCACTAGGCATCCCGGTATGAGCGGCCCCCTCATCTTGCCCACCATTATCAACCTTGAACGCGCTCCCTGACGGCTTGGACAAAGCTGAATGCTCTGCTGACTTCCCCTTGTTCGCCTTCTCTACCTTATTTCGGGAAGCTCCTTTCTTAGTCGCAGGAGTCTGTACTTGCGCAGAGCCTGCATTAGGTTTCCCTGCTGTGCTTTGCGTCCTCGAGTCTTTGTTCGCGGGAGTTGGTCTTTTGTGTGTTGCCGACTGAGCGTGTGTCAGCGTTGGCACGATGGAGATCCATTGCTTCCCTTTCTTGTTGCCGCCACCGCCTTGCTTCGCCACTTCCACGTCCAGCTGCTCCAACTCTGCAGTCGTGGCTTCGGCATTGTGAGGAGCGCGGCTCTTTTCGCCATCGATCGACTCCTGCGTTGGCCCATGCGCGTCCACTCGGCTCTTGCTTCTCCTTCGTTCGTGATTCCTCTCCGCACTAGCAGCCAGCGGGCTTGGCCATTGCGCCGATTCATATTCCGCCACTTCTTTTGTTGGCAGAGATCCATCTGCCAGTCGGGGGTTCCGACCACGAGAAGCTCCTACAGCGCTGGCCTCATCGTGATACGACGAGGCATCGCTCTCCCCTCTTCTACGTCCCCTGCGATCTGCGGTCTGGTTGAATGCAGCTTCAAGCGGAAAATGTTTCAGAGTACCCCAAGCATTGGGGCGTGTCTGAGCCGTGGGTGACTGGGCACTCGGCTTATCGGTACTCTGGGCATTACCAAGATTAGTGCGGGTTGGAGAACCAGAAGGGACGAACGATGGCATATTCTCGCCTCCATTGAGTAGATGTATGCGTTTCAACCAAGCATCATCATCGGCAGCGGCAGCTGGGCTTTCTCCGAGTGACAGACTAGTAGCTTCGGCAGTGGCACTTACTTCTGGCGCTGGCACAGCAGCGACCGTTTGGCCATCAGCTTTCTTCGGAGCACACTTGGGTATCGCCTCGTCTCTTGTCCCTGCTGGAGTATCATTCTTTGCTTGAGGCGGCATGTCGCCCGGTAAATGTGCCAGAACCTGGGCGGAGAGATCCGCGCGTGGCGTACCGCCTTGCACCAGATTTTCAGCGCCGTTCTGTTTCTTGCGAGGAAGCGCAGCGGTTGCTGAGGCGGGATCCTTTGCAATTGCATTGGTAGCAGATCGACCCGCTATGGCTTGCTTAGGGAGCCGAGGCGGCGCAGTCGTGTCAGTGGCTGTGTCGAGTCTTTGAGCTGAACCAAACATGGATGAAGCTTTGGCCGAAGCCTTGTGAGCTCCTTCGGCGCTTCGCAAATCGGCTTTGTTCGACCTCTGATCAGAACTTTTGGTCTTGCCCTTTTGAGCGCCCACATGTTTCTGGATCTGAGCTGAGCCGCTGCTCTCCACCGGTTGGCCCTGCTGCTGCTCCTTCCTCCTTTGCGCCTCCTGCTCGCGATGCTGGTGTTCCTTCTCTGCTTTCAATCGGGCCGCTTCTGCGTCCTTGGCGGCTTGTTGTTTCCTGCGCACTTCCCAAACATTTACTGCTGGAGCTGGAGCCGGGCCTGATGCGCTGTGCTTAGCCTTCTCATCTCGGTGTCCGTCTGCCCCAGCACCGCCATTGCCTTCGACTTCCCGCTTCTTGGGCCTCTCTGAGCTCTCTAAGGATGAGGTGGCTTTGGAGATTGCAGAAGTCTGCTCAGACGTCACCCCAACCCTTGCTGGTGATTCTGAGGGTGCGCCACCACGATGTGACCCGCTTGTGGAGGGCATGGCTGATGATGCCAATGTTCGTATCCTCGAGGGTGAAGCTGGAGGTTGCGAATGAGATACTGTACCAGATGCCTGAGCGGCAGAGCTAGCTGTGACGCTCGAAGAGGCAATGCCATTTGCAGCTGACTTTGCTGAAGTGTGTTCCGGCGTCGAGAGCTGGGAGGGGCGCCTAGGCTGAGCACCAGAGCTGGAGGAAGTAGATGCGAGGCTTTCCTGTGGCTGCGCCTGGCTACTAGCGGCAGGTGCCGTCCCGCCCTCTTTCGCTTTCCTGAGGCGCTCAGCATAGGACAATCCTCCCTGGCCACTCGCGATCGAGGACCACGCGGACATTGTGGCGAGCCTGCTGGGCCAGTAGTCGTGAGTGGTAGCTCACGTTCCCAAATTTCGCCAGATCGCGCGCAGGCAGAACGGGCGTTCTGAGGTCCCTGCCGTACACAAGCTTTTCGAAGCTGCCACTGCCGATGCGAACGAATCGGTACGACGGGTGTGCAGGGGAAGGGGAGCGATGGCGGCGTGAAGCAAAGGCAGAGTCGAGCTGATGCGGTTAAGAGGGTTCGACAACCGCGGCAAACGCAGATCGCCTGTCCTCGTGACTGATGCATCACTGAATGCGTGATTCGTGAATGCGCATTCGAAGATTCGCGCGCTTGCGCTGCTCTCACGAAGGCGCGCGTGGCTCAGCCTCGGAAACGTGTTGCGTGCGAGTATAGGGTGCCACGCTAAGCGACAGTGTGAGTCACAACAGGCTGATGAGTCAAGAGTCCCCGCACGCCTCCCCTCGCGACCCCATAAGCTCAACGTGATTGAGGGCGGGTGCGGTGAACTCGCTCCTGATCTTGATGTCATGCACCCTAGCTGACGAAGCGACGACTGCCTGCCGGCTCGCCGAGATTCGAGACTCACGACCAAGTTGACGTGTTCAGTCAAAGTAACCACAACAGACGAGCATAGCCATTCGTGATTCTTGATTCACCTTGTAATCAGAATGGGAATGGCACAGCCTGCCAGACCAGCCACCGTCCTCCATTCATGCAATCACGATGAGCCATCTGACGCCCATTCATCAAAGCATCAATCCTTGAATGCGGGGCTGAGTAGCGCCGCGTGCGCTGCTAGGTGTCCCGGTCGTGACATCTCCGTCGTATGTGCTGTCGTGCTGAAGTCGTCAACATCATAAGCCGCTCGTATGTCTGTATATGAACATATATAGCTAAGCCACATGACACGGCTATGTCCTTCATTTCCGCGGGCCTGTCCTCGATTGTGAGACCGTTCGTGACCCGCCGCTATATGCGTGTTCAAGATTCAAATTTACAGCTCCGTGTCGAGTCACGAAGACGAGCCAGCAGCCAGAAGTAGCGTATCGCTTTACGAGGGCCGCCTACAGCTTCGCGCTGTTCGATTCGTCTCATCGCAGAGCACAGCCATCAAACCCGACATTGGGATTGACTGTTGCACTTGCGCGCTTCGGTGCGGCCGGTGCCCATGTTGACAGCCTTTTGAAGCTGCGGATCCTCAAAAGAGTCCAAAATCCAGAGCAAAGCGCAAGCTGACAGCCCCGCGCAGGCTGTGCACAGCTGTCAGGACTCAGGCATGCATTCTCTTGAATCTGCTCTAGGATATGGCATGTGCGGCCTCCACACCGTGACCCAGCCCATGTCTACTCACGACCAAAGGACTGCGTGGACACACAACGTCACACTGCCACGGCTTCTCTGAACCCACCGCGCGTCAAACTTGCCGGCGTGACAACAGACGTCTGCCCACAACAGTTGTGTCACTTGAACTGAGCTGGGTTTGTGGGACGGAAATGGAATTTTGGGAAGGTGACGTTGAAGACAGCATGCCGGGTGCGGGATTGAAGGTTTTGAGGCGACCTTGTAATGGATTTGGAGACGATACAATAAGAGGCAAGGGAAGATGCTTGAGACGATAGTTGCTCCGTTGAGGTGCAATAAGTGCAGATGGGATGGGTGTTCCGAGGAGGAGTCACGCAGAGTGCGACTCAGGCGTGGCCATTGGCACCGCTGGGCCTCTTGATGGAGGAAGTGTCTCTGACACCTGGCAGAGGGAAGCTGGTAGCAAACGCCTCGACCTCCTTCTTGAGCTGCTTCACGCCCTCGTGCGTGTGAGCAGCCTTCTTGAAGTCGACAAGCTTCTTGCCAACCTTGCCCTGGATCTCGAGAGCGATCTGGGTCATGCGGTGCAAGAAGTCTGCCACCTTGAGCATCTCTTCCTCCTTCATACTGCGGCTTGTCAGAGCGGAGGTGCCGAGGCGGTAGCCACCAGGGGTGAGAGCAGAGGTGTCGCCAACAACGGCGTTCTTGTTGACCGTGACACCGCAAAGATCAGCAAGCTCCTCAATCTTGCTTCCGGTCAATCCAATGGGCCTCAGATCAACCAGGAGCAAGTGGTTCTCACTTCCGTCGGTCTGCAGCTTGTAGCCGTGCTCGATCAAGCGTTTGCCCATCGTCTGGCTGTTCTTGATGACTTGGGCAGCGTACTCCTTGAAAGCGGGGTCAGCAGCTTGCTTGAGAGCGACTGCAATACCTGCGATGGTATTGTTGTGAGGGCCACCTTGGCAAGCGGGGAACACGGCGGCGTTGATCTTGCCTTCGACTTCGGGGTCTTTGTCCTTTCTGAAGAAGATGAGGCCTGCACGAGGGCCACGGAGGGTTTTGTGAGTGGTGGTGGTGACAATGTCGCAGTATTCAAAAGGGTTGTTCTGGACTTGGGCAGCGACAAGGCCGGAAATGTGTGCAATGTCGCTCATCAGGTACGCCTGTTGGCTCTTGGCGGTCTCGGACAGTCGCTTGTAATCCCAGTCACGAGGATAAGCAGAGCCACCAGTGATGAGCATACGAGGCTTGAAGAGGTCGGCGTTTTTGTGCAGACCCTCGTAGTCAAGCAGTCCCGTCTTGGTGTCGACCTGGTAAGGGAAGCTCTGGAAGTAGATGCTGCTAGCGCTGATCTTCTTCTTGGCGGTGTAGTAACCGTGGGTCAAGTGACCACCGCTGGGCAGACCAAGACCCATGATGCGGTCTTGGGGCTGCAGGAGAGCAGTAAAGGTAGCAAAGTTGGCAGTGCTACCGGAGTATGGCTGAACGTTGACGCCCCAGACGGCAGGATCAAGGTTGAAAGCCTTGAGTGCGCGCTGCTGGCAGAGCCTTTCAAGTCGGTCAATGTGTTCGTTGCCACCGTAGTAACGAGCTCCGGGAAGACCTTCGGAATACTTGTTGGTTAGGATGGAACCGTTGGCCTCCATCGTGGCCAGAGAAGTCAGATTCTCTGAAGCAATGAGCTCCAGACCAGAAAACTGGCGCCAAGTCTCATCGTCGATGATCGACTGAACCTCGGGGTCAGCCTCTGCAAGGGGCGTGTACAACGCCTTGTTCTGCGCCAACGACAAAAGAGGGGTTGTGAGCATTGCTTGAGTGCAGAACATGGGACGACGGCGACCAGGACTCACGTAGTCAGAGGGAAGTGCAGTGGCCATGTTGCGCGCGAAGTTGAGCTGCGACGACCGAAGTGGGGTGGTGTACGGCGGGAGCGCTGACTTGACCAGGGTGGGAGCAAGTCGAGAGGTTGAAGCTGCTGCACGTGCAAGACCTGGGATGGAATTCAGTACTCGAGCGGGCATGAGCGTCACTGAGAGCGAGGTGGAAATTTGGTACTGGAAGATGTGATGTGAGGGAGAGATTGGACAGTGGCGGTAACCTTCGCGCGCGATGACTTGAAATTCGCCCAGAAAAAGCTTTCTTTCCTCCTTTTGGCCGCTGCCGTGCAGCCACAGAGATCTCAGTCACGAGTGACGGCCGATGAAGTGCCCTGCTGCCGGCCTGCCCCGCGCCACGACGCGACACGACACGCGGCACGGTCTAGGTCGTGCAGCAGTCGCAAGAGTCTTCGTCCCTCGCGCCTCGAGGATTCGAGGCCCGCGTTCATCACGAGCACAGACATGCAGCCAGGGTACGGTACCGCGGTACATCACCGGCGTGGCGGCGTGGCCATTCAAGATTTCATGGTGAGGGCAAATCCATGCAGCTAAGCTCGCCTGCACGTGCGATCGCAAGAAAACCGCTCTCCGCACGTGACTAACTCCCGATACTTCTGCCGGCCGAGTCAGCTCATCAGTGGTGTAGCGTAAGCGCGCGGAGTGTGAGTTGTGAGTCGCGAGTCTGATGAGGGATCAACGGCGGTGTAAGATCCTGACCCACATGAAGAAAGCACGCTCGCAGGCTTGATGGGACGCCAGCGAGCCAGACAGCCCGCACGGCCTTGCTGACTACAACTTCACAGCCAAGTGGTCGTTCAGCTCAGAGGGAAGGCCGTGCCAGCAGCTCAGGTGCAAAGCTGAACATCAAGTCGGCTATCACTACGCAGCAACGGATCTCACCGCAATTTACCACGACCAACATCGCGAAGAAAAGATGGCGCAGCAACAAGCAAGGCAGGCACTGAGGCGCCTGTCCCAGCAGTTTCAAGAGCAGGCCAGACAAGGCTACCAGCGTGGTGGTGGAAGCAGCTCAGGAGGCAGTGGCGGAGGAGGTCCCGGAAATGGGCTTCGCAACGCCTTGGGCGGCGGGGCTGGCCTGTTCCTCCTTATTGGTGGCGGTCTGGCGATCAATGCTAGCTTGTTCAATGGTAAGTAACGCTTCTTGATGCATGTAGGAGACTCATCGAGGTCTGGGAACAAGATCTGTCGCTCGACCCGCATTGCTGGGTAATTTTAGCCGTCGCGGGACTCAGGACGGCGCACCATGCTATGTGCCAGCGAAGTGATGACAGCAGGGCCACTGCGGCTAAGAGAGCCCTTTTGTGACCCTGTAACCCCCTGGACGCTGCTCACGCGTGCTTGCTCGTCCTCGCAGTCGACGGTGGTCATCGCGCCATCAAGTATTCTCGCCTTTATGGTGTCAAGCCAGACATCTTTGGAGAAGGGACGCACTTGATGGTGAGTCTCCTCGCTGACCCCCCTGATGCAACGCTGCGACATCTGACCGGGCGTCGTGCGTCATATCTTGCTCAGATTCCTTGGTTCGAAACGCCAATCGACTACGACGTGCGAGCGAAGCCGAGAAGCATCGCTAGTCTGACAGGCACAAAAGGTGCGCATGTACGCGACTTTGTCCCGAATCGGATAGTCAGCTCACTTTCTGTCGGTCTTGATCTCGGCTGCAGACTTGCAAATGGTCAACATCACCTGCCGTGTGCTTTCACGACCTAGCGTCAATGAGCTGCCCATCATTTACCGAGAGCTGGGAAGCGACTATGATGAAAGAGTTCTCCCTTCAATCGTGAATGGTAAGTATGTGCTGGCTGTGCCTTGCCCAAGTCTCCCTATCCTGGCTGCTCACACACAAGCGTGGCACACAACTTCCGACCACAGAGGTGCTCAAGTCTGTCGTTGCGCAATTCAATGCGTCTCAGCTCATCACTCAGCGAGAGATGGTGTCGAGATTAGTAAGGGAGAACTTGACACAGAGGGCGAGACGATTCAACATTGTTCTCGATGATGTATCTATCACCCACGTCGCTTTTTCGCCGGAGTTCACCCACGCCGTCGAGGCCAAGCAAATCGCACAACAAACCGCCTTGCGTGCTGCCTTCCTGGTCGACCAAGCCATCCAGGAGAAGGCGTCGATCATTGTTAGGGCCCAGGGTGAAGCCAAGAGCGCTGTGCGTGTGATCCCAAGCGTTGTGCCACTTGCCAAGCTGAGACACTGTGCTGACTTCGCAACCCTCAAACTTTCGCACAGGAACTTGTTGGACAAGCAGCTCGCGGGGGCTTCTTGCAACTACGAAAGCTGGAAGCCGCGAGGGACATCGCCGCTATCCTCGCAAACAGCAGCAATAGAATCATGCTGGACGCAGATAGCCTGTTGCTCAACACGTAAGTACCGAATGCATTCCATCGTCTCGTGTTGGGGTGTACAATGGCGGCTGATCCATCCTCTCCTTCTCCTCGACGCAACTTATACTGTAGCCAAGACATGGACCCGGATGCTGCCAGGAAGAAAAAGTAGGAACTCATGCCATACAAGTGCACGCCTTCGCATTGTTGACGCCGCTGATCAGCACGAGCGACGCGCAATTCACACCATTCATCCGATTTGCTCTCTCATAGAGAGCTGCCCACGCGTGTGACCCAAGCGGACGACTGCGTCGCGTCATTCGCGCTCGGTGGCCCGTTCCAGAAGGCCTGCTCAGGGACTCGACCGATGCCAAGGTTGGCAGCTACTGAACGCTGGTGTCTGATGGAGACTATGAGTTGCATTAGGTGAGGGTGTTTGATTACAGGTGCAGAATAAGTGAGGGCTCGTCTTGCAAATCGTCCGTGAACGCTGGCAACGTGCCCGGGCTGGACTTCAGTCTACTGAGGGCAAAAGTTTACCAAGGAGCAAAGCCAGCGAAATTGATTTGGTCTTGATCCTCGAGCTTTGCGACAATTGACAAGTGCTCTCCGTCGATCTTGAGGATGGCTGTTGGCGCAAGAGTCGAGTAGCCTTGAGCGGTGTGGCGTATAAGGTTTGCGAAAGATGACTTACCAAGCGTGCCACTGGCCTGGTTTGCTGTGGCTAGATAGCGACCATCTGGAGAGATGGAGAACTGCGAAGAAATGATAGGTCGTACCATGTGAATCGATTCCGACACTGTGTGGTACGAGACGAGGAAGCTCAATGACTCACGTGGCGGGTGTTGCGACCTCCAGATGGATACCAAGCTAGCCACTCGAGGCTGTCGTTGGGCAAGCGTCTCAACACGCTGATATGGTCCTCAGTAGAGTCGCCACGGTTACTGACATAGATCAGCGCGCCATCGACCGAGGTCTGGACCTCTGCCAACGTTCGAGCTGGTCCGTTCTCGGCGTCGCCACCCAGTTGCGTGCCAGGAGGGACGCTGGGGATGCGTGCACCGATCTGCGACAACTTGCCAGTCTGTGGATCTTGTGTGAATGCGGTCACTGTGTTGGCAAATTCGCTGGTCAGGTAGGCAACATGCTTGACGTCATGGGAATGGCGTCGAAATTGTCCATTCGCGCTAGCGCCGTGACCATGTGTGTAGTATTTGGCATCTTCCACGAACTTGAGATGTCGAGGGCCGCTGCCGGGCTCGACAGGAGTCTCAGCCAACAGTTCGGCCATGTCGGCTCTCTCGCCGACTTTAATGGTCCTAATCACATCGCTGCCCAAGTCGGGGACGTACACGAATTTGCCATCGGGGTCAGCCACGGCATCATGCGCATACGGTGCATTTTGACGCTTGGTGACTGGACCGGTCCCTGAGCGTGTAAAGTTGAAGACCTTGGCTGGGAATAGCGCAGCCCGATCCGGAGATAGCGGCAGGACGGCTGCTGACCCGCTGTCGTAGTTGGCTAAGTGTCGTGTAGCAAGGCGCAGCGGGTCGTAATGGACGGGCAGCAACGCGCAACGCAGAAGAAGCTCGCAAGTTTCAGCTCGCCTATCTCATCGGGCCAAACCCTGACTCGCGTAAATTATTAAAGCTATGGATCGTTTCCCGCATCGGCTCACCAACGAACAGCTGATCTTTGACCAAATCACTGGCTACAGGGCCATTGCCGCCCGTGGAGGTGCGGGTGATGCCACCCAGAGCTGTTAGCTGTCCGTCAGCTCCACTTGTGAGCACATTCACTTCGCCAGGCGTCGCCTCGTTCGTGGCGTAGATGATGTGCGACTGCTCCAGCTTGCCTCCGAACGTCAGCCATGAGGGCTTGCCGCCTGTTGTCTCATTTCCTACATTGCCATTCTGTGTGATACCGGCAGGCGGGCGGAATGTAAAACTCTTGCTGTTTTTTGAGTCCATCGATCAGCATGCAGAGACAGGCGTGAGGGTAGGCTGATGTCAGTCTCAGCTGAATTGCATCCGCAGCCGCTCATGGGCCAAGCCTTCTTCCTTTAGACCGAAGTGGCAATCGCCCTGCACTCACACATCCCCTGAGTAGCTTGAAGTGTAAAGCGCGTACTGGGTGGTGAGCTGCCCGTTCTGTTGCGCGCTCATCACGCCCCGAAGCAAGCTGCAAGCGGACAATAGCGCCAGAGCCGCGATTGTAGTTGGGCGCATCAGAGCCACTGATCGTCCTGGTCCAAAGGCCTTGCAATCTCGCCCGCAAGAAGAGCGCCGGTAAATGTGAATTGCGAGCTAGGCGTCCTGCTGCTCACGCATCTGCTGCTGGATAGCGATGCGAAGCGATTCCAAAAGAGTGTGAGTCGTACAGTAGTCGCCAGAGGCAGTGGGCAAGTTCTAATGAGTTGAACTTGAAGCGTTTTAGAATACGTTGGTTGATGGCTGGAAGGCGGCTTGTCTCTGTTGGGCCAAGTCACCATGCACAGATACCAGTTTTGAGTTTTGAGCCACAGTCACGAGTTCAGCCACGCCGCCGTCCGGAGTCAATTCACGTGATTGTATGCCAGTCACGATCAAGTCCGAAGACACACAAGTTGCTCGAGATCCACGCGTCGCAGCTAGCCAGTCAAAAGTCTGAACGAATCAAAATGCAGGCGCACGTCACTCTTGACTCTTGATTCTTATTCAGACTTTTCGTCACCAGCATGCGCGCGGGAGTGTCGGTGCCTGCTGTTGTATTCCGGTCAAACGCGCGATCGTGAACTCGTGACTCTAATCAACATTTAATCCCGAACATTCAAGAATCAAGGGATTCAAATTTAAAAGTCAGCAGTAAGTCTTGATCGACTCCCAGCATCAGCACGACTGTCCACGAGCGGCCGATCATCGGGACACACATGCACGGAGAAGAGCAAGACATGTCAAGACCCAATCTCTAGGACAGCGGTCCACGCGCGACGGCCCAAATTTGCGGGAAATTACGATTCAATGATTCAAAATTGCAACCACGATGTTCCCATGCATGCGAACCGGGGACTGGGCTTGGCTGTTGAGAGACCGTTGGCAGTCCGCCAAATAAGCTATAAATTCCGTAGCAGGGACCATCATCGAAGCCTAGAGCCGCCGCTGCACTCACACTGATTTGACCAAGGCCAGGCACGGTGCGGGTCGGAGGTGCAGAGCATCAACGACTAGCTGCCGGTACCTTAGCGGCACGATGCTGCTAATCATGACCAGCTATCACACAGCTTGATCTGCCTAACACCACGACGACTGCTACTACTACTGCATCTGTCGTCCAGCTTGTGAATAGACGGCTCGGAGAGCGCATTCGAGTAGTGCGCCGGCCAAGACGTCACATCCGAGTACTTCCAGCGGCCCTCCGAAACGGAAGCAAATCGTGAATTCAACGTCGGTCTGTCTGTGATTTTTGAACTCTCGTGACTGCTGTCTGTCCTCTTTCCATCGGGTCTCGGCGAGTCTGCAACCCCCAATGCTCAACGATCGCCCTGACAAGGAAGGGTGAAGTCCGTTCGCCAGGTGTTGTAGACTGTTCAACATGGCTTGACGGCAATTCTCAGTGCCTTATCTTGCATGCTGAGGAACCCGGTCGTGTCAGGCTGTCCAAAGGTATGCCGACGAGCAGCAGTGGTAGTCTATAAGTGGAGGTTAGGCCCGAAAGTACAAGTGCCCATCTAACCGAGGATCAAAGTGCTCATCTGAGTGGGAACGTGGACAGAGGTGAGCTCGGAGATGGGAAGTACTAGCCGAGTTGCAAGAGGACTATCCAAGTCACAAATGTCATGCCATCACAAGTCCGTGTGACACCTTGACAGCGCTTCCTTGGATCCACCCAACACGACCGTGATTGGGTGCTAGTTGCATGGCGGCATGAAGTTCTCTACCCAGACGCGCAGACTCCGACCATGACAAGAGGAGCTGCCTCCACGCTGCTCTGTGGTGTACATGTGATGGACGTCGGCGGGTGCGTGAATGGCGAAGTCGAAATGTGAGATGCGAACTTGCCGAGTAGAATCAAGAATCACGATCGACACTTCCGTGGCGAAGTCGGAAGTCGGCCGTCTAATTTCTTCATCTCCACGACCGAGCATGACACGGCATCAGGCAGGCCAACGGCCACTTGTAACTGCGATTTCCCAAATTTTTCGAGGGGCACAGTGGTCTTGAAGCGATGGAGTTGCAATCATTTGGGAAACGGAAAAGCCCTAAGAGTCGGAGTCGTCGGAGTCGTCGAGCCCAGCCGGCGCATGGTCGTGAGTTTGTGAGTGGAGTGTCCGAAGCGAGCTGCAAGGTGGAGGGGTTTTCGTGGCAGGCAGACAACGGAAGGGAGATGTGCTGGACATGCACCCGCAACGCGGAGCTGGCAATTTGAGCAGCTTTCTTTACGCTCGCAAAATTTCTACGCGAGGGCGCTAACGCCTGATACACTCACGACTCGACTGTATATTCACACTCAACTACATGATGAGCGGCGGTTGACAGAGCATGTGCATGAGCAATGGCGACAGTCGTGTTTTGGATAGACAAGGACCTGTTCGCACACTCACGTGACTCATCATATATATGCTCATGCTCACGCTCACGACTCGCAACTATCGGTATACAGAGTACTCACGCTGCTCGCGTCGCTGATGAATGGCCACTCAAGGAACTCACGACTCTCCGGCAGCAGCTTCTACGCTATGCAGCTTAGCCGAGTAGTGTCTGATATATGTAAGCCACAGCTCCGCTCGCTCCAAGCCGTGCTACTTCAAGATCAAAATTCAAATTCATCAGCCTAGGGGGCATATGGCCTCCATAAGCAGCTGCATGATGATGACGATGATGTTGCATCGGCTGGCTTTGTCAGACTCACGCATGCAGTCATCACAACTCAAGACTGCATGAGAAGTCTATGACTGCTGTCGTGACTTTAAATCATATGATTCGTCTCCTCGCGCTGCGCACCTCGACGAGCGCCCCTGGCACCTCGTAAGGAGCGCGCGCGCATATGCCGCATGCCGCACGGTGCTACGCTGACTGCTGGACTGCCGACTGCAGCATATTTTACTGATGTACAGCTTTAATGAGCTGCAGCATGCTTAAATGGTACAGTCGTGAGTGTAGAGCATCTAGAGCACGCACCGCGGCCCTCGCTGTATATACATCCTGGACAGTATGTGCTGACTTGGCGCGGCACCTGTCCGGGCTTCGATCGGCGAGCGTCGTGGCGCGGCGTACCGTGCCGTGAGTACCGGTAAGCTGCTGCCATGCATAGGCGTCAAAGGAGAGGCCGAGGTTATGCATGTGGAAACCCAAACAGCATAGCGAGACGCGGCTGGCGGTGGGCATGTTACTCTGACTGCATGATGACCACGCTCTTGATTGCATTCGTGATTCGGAGTACAGTACATTATATTATTGCAAGTAAGTGGTGTATTCAAGCGCGCGACGGAAGGCTTCATTCTTGATTGCATGAGTATTCAGGATTTGTGAAGCGCACCGCGCCCAGAGCGCCAAAGATTATTCAACTGGTGGTAAGATTGCGCGACTTCCTCACTACCTCAATACTACCATCCACCACGCTTCCCTGTCTGTCCGATCGCGTTGCTCGATCCACACGCTACAATCGACACGACACACAGCTGGCGCTGCTCCAGTCCCCTCTCCTCGCGCAAGTCAAGCTCGCGCTCCCCCCCTTCCTGACCAAGAGATCGCCAGTGCGGTGCCACTCTTGGTACGATCACACACGCCTGATCCCAAAATCAATCCCTGGCACGCTGGCTGTAAGCACAGCACCATATTTTGCGAATAATGTGCGCCACGCAGTCTTTCGCCTCCACCAATCTTCCACTTTCGCTTGGTGCACCCCTCGCCTCTTCATCGTCAGCCAGCCAAACTGGTAGCGATCTCTTCGCTCGCAGATTGACCAAGAGCTTGCAGCGTCCAACGCCAGACCCGCAACAGAATGAACATCAAGCGCTTCTGGCTCAGCTGAATGAGTCGAATGGAACACCTTCATTTGAAGCTCAGAGAGCCGTCGCCATGGCCTTCATCTCGCGTCGTGCAACCGAACAGTCCAACGTTTGTGTGCAAGCAGAATCTCGTCAACAATTCGATCAGACCCAAGTCAATGAACCCCCTCAAGGTCATCAGCCCACGCAAGCCCAGTCTAATCACAACAGCAGCATCGCAGGTTCTCGAGCTGCAACGCCTCCCTTGACAGGTGCAGTGCCTGATGCTTTGCGGCCGGACGTGGTCAACCGTCAGGTGTCGGCGCCGCGCCCGGATCTGCCGATGCTAGCCTTAGGAGCCCAGGAGCACCGCTATTGTTCTCCGGGGCCAGCGGCGGACCTCGTCAGTTCTAGTGCTGAATTCGCTAGGGAACTCAACAGATGGGCTGCGACGCCAGGAGGCGGTATGGTCTATCCTTGGTCTGCGTCTGCAGCGACGCCACCGTCCGCATCATCTCAGCGTCATTTCTCGACCTCTTCTTCGCTGATGCCTTCTCACACCATGGATAACGATTTAAGCGTACTCGATCCGCGCTTTGGCAATCTCACTGCCGACACAGCTCTTCGCATGCTACCAGAGGCACCAGACTTCGCAAGCATGTCACGCGCCGACTCTGGCAACACGTCCAACAGCTCTGAGCACCAGTCGAGCTCGCACTCTGGCTTTTCCATTTCGGCTGGCTCAGCTCCTAGCAGCTCTCTCACGACCTTGGCGTCTCCTTTCGGTCAATCCTGCGAGCCTCACGATCATGGTTGGATGCAGTCGCCCAAGCGAACTTCGTCTGGTCCCCTACACGATCTGCAGGAAGCTCGTCGCAACGCTGCACCGCGTAATCACTTGCGACAGAAGGACGAACCTTCCAGCGTGCAACCCGACTTCACCGAGCTTGACGCTTCAACAGCTGTCATGACCTCTACATCCACTGCACCATCGAAGACGCAATCGAGACGAACTTCTGCTGTAGACTCGAATGGCCGATACGTCTGTCGCCATCCAGGCTGCGACAAGACGTTCAGCACCAGCGGTCATGCCCGGCGACACAGCCATGTGCACTCGCCGCTCTGCCCCTTCATCTGCCCACACGAAAGCTGTGACGCGACGTTCTCCCGGCGCGACAATTGCACCCAACATCAGCGTGCCAGGCACTCACAGATCTTGGAAGCTCATCGCCTTGACGATCAAGATTCTGGCTAAGAACTTTGCATATGTCGATTTTCACAACTCTACGCGGACCTCGGTTACGAAAGAGCACCTGGTGCGTTCGCTCGGACACTGTCTTTGAGCCGTCATCCTTCTGCACCGAACCGTTATGAAACCCTTGGCTTCCTCCGCTGGCTCCAACCTCCTGCTGAGACCCACCTATCATGTACCTCACTTCCCTCGGCATCGCATCCGCACTCGGACCTCCCCCCGTACCCCCACACTCCCGCGCGTCCGTCTACTTGTCTTGGTGTCTTCGCAAACCCCTCGCAAATGTCTCTGGATCCCTCGTCGTCACCTCGTCTCGAACATTTTCAGCAACGATTGGTGCTCATACACGTATCACCAAGGGCACGGCAGTTCTGCCCACTTCATCGTTGATCTAAACACGTTTCTCGGCAAATCCTTGCACCACCATCGATCGCTCTGGTCTCTCTCTAGGTCTCTCTAGCCACTCGTCTTCACCTCATACGTTCCGGTTCTCTCGCACCATGATGCATGGTCCTGTAATACACGTGCACCTTGCAATTATTGGTCAGGTACGTCAAGCCGCAAAACTCAGTCCGCCCGCAATTCTATTCGCATCGTTACTTCTCGCGTGATGTGCGCCGTGGCTTTTAGCTGTTGACTGCTTGCCTCATTGCGACGTGCAGGGCGGGCGATGCTCTAGCACCACACCTGTCTCTGGAGATGGTACTGCCTATCTATCCCAAAGCCTGCTCGAAAGAGCTCGCGCCCTTCAGCCTCGGAGTGATTAGTGTCCACACGGACGCACTGTGCGTCTGTGGTGAAGACCAGAATCAAGACGGCGCATGGAGCGGCATCGACGATGGTGCAGCACTCAGTCTGCTGGTCTACTTGACGAAAGGACGCTGCTTCGATTCGCCGCGCGTTCTAGCGATGATCGTCACTCGCAAGCAGCAGAGAAGCTCCGGAGCCAAATCTGCAGACAATTGGTCATCGCAAGCGTCAACCCCGTCAGGCCTGGCGGCTCCAACAGCACGCAGCTGACTCAAAGTGCATCATCAAGACAGACAGAGGTGAAGCATATTAAATGGTGCATTGAGCCGCGAGCAAAGTAGGTATCTCGAATCGTATCAAATGTCCATCAGCGCGTCTCGCACTGGGTCGCCCTTTGTCTAAAGGAGCTTCGCGTGTAAGCGCTAGCCGAGGAAGTTTCCCAACTGGCCACCGAGTCCGCCCTGGCTACCGTGACCGTGGTGATGATGTTTCTCGTGGCGGTGATGTTTCTCATGGCGATGATGTTTATCTACGATCGTGTTGAGATGTGGGTGAGATGAGTCAGCATGCCGAGAAATGCCAAACAGCTTCGAGCCACATGCTTTTCCACCTTGTTGTGTTCCCCAAGACCGCGACTCACGATGATCCTTTTCCTTCCTGTCCAGAAGCATCTTCACACCTTGCGCAGCAAGTGCGCCACCAACGGCTCCCTTCAAACCACTGCCACCGCCAAGCAACTTCGTGCCTGCAAAACCTGCGGCACCGCCCATTGCCATGGTGCCGATGCCTCTTTCTCCGGGAGGCAGTGGGTTGCCGCGTTCATCGTACTGCACTTGACCCTCCTGTCCCGCTCCAGGCTGTTGACCGTACTGCTGCTGGTGAGGTGGCTGTCCATGTGCGGGAACCGAAGAGTAGTAATCGCTTGCGTGGCCTCTGCTCTGCTGCTCTGGCTGTCCATATGGGGATGAGGGATAGCCGCTAGGTGCACCGGATGAAGAGGGATAACCATAGCCTGATTGCTCGTGTGGAGCACCACCATAATTGGGCTGAGAGTCGGGATAGCCGCCGAAGCCACCGGCGGGTGGGTATCCGCCTTGCCCATTGTTTCCTTGACCGTATGCCGCCGAGGTATCGGCAACGGGCATTGATGGTCCGTTGGAATAGTAAGACATGACTTGCTATGCTGGTGTATGAGGTGCTGAAGTGCGCCGTTGGTAATGTTGTAGATCTATGAAAGTGATGCCTTGCTCGCTCGCGTTTCCTGTGACAGTTGCTGGAGATGCGAATGAGTAGAAGATTCCTTTCAGTGCAGAGACGATGAAGTTGAGTGAGGATGTGGAAAAGAATTCCGGTAGCGAAAGAGACGCCTTTTGTACTTTTGCCGTCCCGCTCGATCACTCACATTCACATTCATTGAGTGATTTGGGAGCGCAAGACGCAGATGTTCGTGACCAAGAGGTCTCACGTCGGCAACCGCGCCACCGTTGTGGAGCTTGTCTCATGCACGTCATTATTATTATCGCAATCGGCGGCGTGGCAGTGCTGCGTGCTAGCTAGCTAGGCGCCCACGCGCACATGGGCGCAAGTTGCCTCAAGCGCCGAGGATCCGACCGCCTGGTGTCGATGATGGGCGCAGCTATAGCACCGCCAATCACGACTGCAGCAGCGCGCGGCCCCCCCCCACTCCTTGCGGATTCGCGTCATTTGCATGATTGCATGGATGCTGAACTGCAAGGTGGCTGTGACTTGCTGAGCTTTAAATCTGGCACGAGCCACTTTCTGAGCGCGTCCGCTTCGAATCATCGGCCGAAGCGACGCTGCTTTCCGCGGGAAATTACCTTCACAGCCAACTGATGCTGTGTACAGCCGCGAGCTGTCGAGGTCGCTGGACCATATATCGATCAAGGATGCAGACCGCAATTATGAAAGCCGCCGGAGCGTTGCTGAAGGTGCATGGAGTTAGGAGCTGTGCTGGGCAGGACAGACGTAGCACAGCCTTCTGTCTGGGCTGTGGGGGAAACCGTAGGTGTATGATGCGAGCGCGGGCTCTCTTGGCTCCATCATGGAGGGGATGACGTGTGTGCAGCATTTGTTCGCGACCTTTCTGTTTCGCGTGCTGGCAGACGGCAGACTGAATCTGTCAGCCACGTGGACTTCGCGTCGCTTCTCGGTACGCGTTCCGGGCACGGCCGTGCAGGGCAGCGCGACCGCACCGCGCTCACTGATGTGTGATTTCTTCCAGCCAACGAGCCTCTCGGCTTTGTGAGCGCGCCCATACGGTAGCTGTTGCAGAAGCGAGCGTAGCGCACGCGCCGACCGAATCCAGAGCTTCTGAGCGCGAGCGTGACAACTTGGTTACAACAGATCGTAGTCGTGAGTCGCACGTTCAGTCAGTGCATGCTCTTTACGATGCTCGGTACCTCGAAAGCCATTATCACAACACACTAGTCTTGACCTCTGTCCCAAGCAGCTTTGGCCCTGGCAACTCAGCTCATAAGCTGCCTCAATAAGCCTCAGCTTCTGCTCTCCGCTTCCCGCCATGTCCGTCGTTTCTAGGTCCACTGCGTCTCTGCGAGCCGCAAGGGCTCCACTTTCTCTCTCGACGAGTCGAAGGAGTTTCACCACCGCAAACGCCGACGGTATCCGCGTAGCCGCTGCTGTAAGTGACTACTAGTCGGGCAACAGCAAGTGCTTTGCTCGCTCAGGACGCCGGGAGAGGGGTCCCTTCAATTTGATGCACAAGAAGGTCAAAATCATGCCCGGAGGCTCACGCTTTCCCTCCCCACAGGACGATGGAGCGCAAACTGCTGCGATCACGGTGGCTTTGAACGCTGGACCTCGATTCGAGAGCTCTCCCGGTGCCGCTCGTGAGTAGGCCTCAAGCTACGGTTGTGCCGGCGCTTGCGCGCTGCTCACCCGAACCGCACCCGATTTGTGCTCTGTCTGTCCCATTAGACGCTCTCAAGACGTGAGTCTCCTCCCTTTGAGGCATCGCCGTGTTCTCAGAGGTACGCGGTACTAACACGACCTGCTGCGCGGATCTGTTGCCCGCTCCAGCTTCGCCTTCAAATCGACTGAGAAGCGATCTGCACTCGCTCTGATCCGCGAGACGGAACTGTACGGCGGTGCCCTTTCTGCAACGCTGTCCAAGGAACATCTCTTCCTGACTGCGGAATTCTTGCGTGGAGATGAGTGAGTGTGCACGACTGCAGGATGAGCATTGCAGGGGCGAAGGACCAGATGTGTGGCTCATTTAGGAGCGGAGAGTGTGGAATGGCACACCGGTCCACAGCAAGGAGGGCTACGGCGAACAGGAGCTCAGAGTAGAATTCGAGTCTGTTGCCCCATTTCACAAGGGCATCGCGAGCTGATGAACATGCCATGCACCACAGGGAGTTCTTTGTGGAGATTCTCGGCGAAGTGCTCGGCAAAAGCTCCTTCTTGCGTCACGAATACGACGAGGTAGTTGTGCCCTCTCTCAGCGACGAGTACCAGATCAACCAATCTACTCCAGCCGCTCTAGCCCTCGAGGACTTCACGCAGACCGCCTACCGTCAACGTGGGCTCGGTGCCAGCTTGTACGCGACTCCCGTCTCCCCCCTGAGCTACGACACGGTGACCTCTTACGCGAAAGCGGCTTTCGCCAAGTCCAATCTTGCTGTCCTTGGCACCGGCATTGATGCTTCAAAGCTGTCATCGTTGGTTGGCAAGCACTTCAAGTCCATCTCCGCCGGCAGTGCTCTGAGTCCCGCACCTTCGAAGTACTTTGGCGGCGAGAACCGCATCGCATACCTGCCTCCTCACGGCTCCGACTTTCCCCGCGCACACGATGCGCACCTTGTGCTCGGCTTTGAGGGTGCACCACTAGGATCTCCTGAGCTTGCCGTTCTGCGTGCACACCTCGGAGGCCAGGCGTCAGTGAAGTGGAACGATGGCTTGTCAGCGCTTTCTAAGATCAGCGCCTCCAACTCCACCATCTCTGCGAACGCTTTCAACTTGGGTTACTCTGAAGCAGGCTTGTTTGGCGTTCAGCTTTCTGCTCCTCACGCCAAGATTGCAGAGGTTGCAAAGGCGGCGGCTCAAGCAATCAAAGCGAGCGCTGACAGCCTCTCCTCTGAGGAGCTTGCTCGTGCTGTTGCAAAGGCTAAGTTCGAGACTGCTTCCGCATTGGAAAACCGCGCTGGTGTTCACACTCTTGCTGGCAGCCACGTAAGTCCCGCCAAAGACGCTCGAGAGTTGAACAATTTTGACGCCTCGACACTGTGCTTTCTCCATGCGCGTAGCTGTTGTCGGGCAGCCCCGTCACAACGCTCGAAGAAGTTTTCTCCAAGCTCGAGGGCGTTAACGCTTCTGCTGTCTCATCGGTGCGTGACCCTGCAAGCTTGCTCAAATCACCGCTGTGGAGTGCCGCACTGACTACTCTGGCTCATCTTCGGACCCACAGGCCGCCGGTAAACTCCTCAAGAGCAAGCCAACAGTTGTGGCAGTCGGCGACGTGCACAAGTTGCCTTACGCAGACGAGCTTCTGTGATCTGATCCCAGCGAACTCTACTAGAAAGGACGCAATGCATTCGATTCACATTAACTTGACGCGGCAAGTGCTCGCAGCCTGCGACGACCGGTGTTCAGGGCGCCTTGACCAACGATTTGATCATACCTTGATGCCGCCGAGTCCTGGCTGGCTGATTTCACCTCGCCGACCTGCGTGCGCATCATTCGCCTTACTTCCACTCATGCGTCACGTCAAGCTTTCCATACTCCAGGTGGGGAACGCTAGCTTTTGGATCATGCAATTTTTGCGGTTGTGTAAAGGCCGCGGCGTACTAATGTGACATGTGAAGGATCGACCGCCAGGGCAGGCCGAGTGCATGAAGCGATGTGCGCACCACAGTGCATCTGCCTGCCTCTCTTCAGAACGGCAGGGTCTGGTGAAAAGAGTGTGGCATTTCGTTATGCGAATGAGCCACACATCTATTCGGCGGGGACCTCGATCTCTCCCTCGTTGATGCCATCGATGATGTCGTGGGGAGGTTGACCGTCGACAGCTAAAGTAGCAAAGAAGTGCGAGAAAATGGGTTAATGTACTGACTTGCACAGAAAGACTGGCTCTACTCACTGCAGCCAACAGATTGCGCTGTGCCGAGAATCTCCTTCACCGTTCCAGCAAGCTCCTTGGCGAGAGACTTGTACCTCATCTTCCTGGCAATCTCGACGATTTCGTCGAAGGGGATGTTACCAGCGTGCTTGATGTTCTTTACCTTCTTGCGGTCACGAGGGGGCTCTGATGCACAAAGGAACACAGCGACAGCGTAAGCGATGATGGACGAGGACGAGACGGCCTCCAGCGCGGCGCTTGGTCAGGTCCAGCGATTTCAAGAGCAGAGAGAAGTGGTCTTGCTTCATCGGCTCTAGCACGCATCCCGCATGACCCAGTTTGCCCCTGTTGCCGCATGTACGTGGCATCAAATGCGATTCAAACTCACCCTTCAGCGCCTTGATTACCAATGAGCTAGCAGCGGGGACGATAGAGACGGCAGCCTGACGGTTTTGGACGGTGAGCTGGACAGTCACTCGAAGACCCTTCCAGTCACCCGAAGCTTTGGCAATGTCTTCTCCGACCTTCTTGGGAGACTGTTGCCACGAAGGGAAGCTGCATTAGAGGGACGCTTTGGAGAGTCCAATAGCAGCGTGACGCCTTACTTACCAGACCAAGAGGACCGATCTTGGGAGCAAGCGCAGAAGAGGCACCGACCTCACCACCGACGGCTCGGAGGTAGATGATCTTCACCTCATTGGGGTCAATCTTGGGCGCCATCTTGGAAGAATGTCTTGAGGTGTCACTACATTATGGGGCGTACGAATTGTCGGGTTGTCAGCGATGGGCCGTGCCACGCCAATCCATTGGCACCAAAAACAAGGTGGCGCGGAGAAGGCGAACCGACGCTCTGACTCGAGAGGTGCAACACTTGTCTGCCTAAGCCTTTGCACAGGCTTCACGACAAGTCCTCTCGGCTGTCTTGCGTGAGGCTCCTGAGCATGTCTTAGCGAGACTCGAGTATTTGGAACATTGGCCGACCATCCCGCGATCACTACCCCCTCTGTCCAACGTGACCAATCTTCCGTGTGCAATGCGCCGTCCTTCTCCTATCCGACCAAGACGCGATCCAATCCTTCATGATTGGTCAACATTGATGTCCCCCTCGCGAATCATATTTCCCGGCTCCTTGCCTGTTTTCCGCGTGCTCGCGACGTTCGCCTCTGGCAAGCCATGTACTGATATAGCTCCAGAGCGCCTTCCCTTGGCAATCGAGAGCAGAAGAGTGAGAAGCGGAGAGAATTGATACTCACGTAGCGTCGACTGAAAGTGGGTAGACGTGGTAAAGTCCTGAAAAGTCGAAATTGCCCTTGGGAGAAGTGTCGTGTCCCTCGCTGCAAAGCCAGAAAGCACGCACCCGCGGCGCCCGGCTGATTTGAATCCCTGGAAGTTCGCGCCGCGATGCGTGTTAATGCCTGTGGCGCGTTTGTATTGAGTCCAGCGCGCCATAATGATCCGGCGCGCCACGTGGTCAGAGCCGCACGCACTGCGGTTCGAGCGCCCCGGCAGCGTACTCGTGAAGCCTGCATGAAGCTTCTGGCCAGGCTGATGCGATGCGGCGCTCAAGCCTCAAGTTGATTGAACTGAGTGAAGGATCGCGGCCATTGATTCCACCATCTTCAAGACCCACCCAAGAACGATCTTGTGAGCTTTTCATCTGTTCAGGCGCCCCAATGGCTTGAACCCAATCAGCTAATCCAGCCACTTCGCTCCAATTGTGCCTTGACTCCTTCCCCCCTTCTTCTTGACGTTTTACAGCAAGATGACTAAGAAGAGAAGAAATGGCGGCCGCAACAAGCACGGACGAGGCCACGTCCCCTTCGTTCGTTGCTCCAACTGCGCTCGATGCGTCGTGAGTCACCATCTGGAGTCTCAAGCCTATCCTCTCGGCTCAAGTCACTGACAACCTGTCAACTTCCTGCTTCTTGCGATTCTCACAGCCCAAGGACAAGGCCATCAAGCGCTTCACGATCCGCAACATCGTTGAGGCTGCGGCTGTTCGTGACCTGAGCGACGCCTCGGTGTACGCTGGTGAGTATCGCTGCTTGCGTAGATGCCCAAGCGGGAAAGCGAGGTGGCAGATGGTCAAGGCGGCGACTGTGAGGAGGTGCGGCGGATGACATGGACAGGCGAGAAATTGTGGTATCAGGATGCATAGGCTGCTGGGCATACCGATGGATGCAAGCGGCTGTCTGAAGAGGATGCTGTGACTTGGGCCAGCCCATCGCCAGCCACTCGGCTACATCGCGCACATGCTCATCACCAAAGTTGGTCTACTTTTCCTTTCAACAGAGTACGCTCTGCCCAAGCTCTACTTGAAGATTCACTACTGCGTCTCCTGCGCCATCCACGCTCACGTCGTTCGTGTGCGTTCGCGCGAGGACCGTCGCAACCGCGAGCCCCCTGTTCGCGTTCGCTACAACAAAGACGGCAAGAAGATCAACCCTGCCGTTGCTGCTGCACAAGACCGTGCTCGCACTTGAGCGCGCGTCTAGTGTCATGACCAGCCATCCTTCGGCTATGGGAGATCACGGTCGAGGGCCAAGCTGGATGGCGACGGGTGAGGGTAGTCGTGATGCGTAATACAGGTGCTTTGCGCGCTGTACTTCTCGCCTCACTTGCGGTTTGGACAAAAAGGGACACAAACACAACCATTTCCCGAAACCAAATACATCCATGTACGCTATGACAATTGTCGAGTAGCTCTTCACGCATTGAAATAGCTTTCGCTTTCGCTCCATGCGAGTCGCATGATTGCCCGAACCTCCCTTCCAATTGCATCGCGCTGAGCGGTCATGGGTGACGGAGAGTGACCAATCCTGTAACCACCAGTGTGGTCACACCGCTCGACGACGCCTTTCTGCGCCGCCGACTGAGATGCTTGGCCGAGCGACATGGACACGTTCCATGCATTCCCAGCCTTGCTCAAAGCGTTTCTACCGGGATGCGATGACACTGTGAGTCGTCACTGGTCTTACAAGTCGCCGGTCTGCATGGTGATTGATAAGATCCGCGCTTCTGGTGGCCACACACCGCAGGCTTGTCAGATCTGTTGTCGGATCGAGCTGAGTTCGGGTGTGGTTCGCGACACGATTTGTCAAGCATAGGTCCCTCCGCCGTAGTCGTCAGTCTCGAGTGTGGGTACGGCTCGAGGGTCATGGAATGGACCCTGACGCAACGCCTTTTGCGCCTTTGGTGAGGGCGCAGCTAGGCGGGCTGCGATTGGCTGCTTGCACACCGGCACACCGCGTACCGGTCTTTGCTGGGCATCTACAGCAACGGTCACGAGTGCGTGCCAGGACCAATCAAGTCGCGTTGGCGCTCGATGGGAGGGAGTCGATCACAATTGTAGTTGGCCAAGCTCCAGCGGTCGTGAGTCGTACCTTTTCACGACATTTAGGCTTTGTGTCTCGTGGGTGCAGCTGGATGTGGTCTGTCTGGATAACCGTCTCCCATTCGTGCCAAACACCCTAATCGCCCCTCGAAGATCTTGCACGCCATACTCAAATCTGACTCGTCCCGACCTTCTACGGCTCGAGTGCACCTCTCACATTCACTCAATCGACGAGCAAGCTGCAATTGGAGCTTTGAACATCCTCCCCTCGCAAACATTTGTCTGCAGCTCGTACTCGAATCGCGATCATCCACGCGACTCAAATTCAAAATTGTGTTTGTTTGCCTGCAGGTCTCTCCAGCTTCCTCCAGCTCCTCGCTAGCTTCCGCCGCGGAAGAAATTCGCTTCCAAAAGAACGAGCGGGAAAGAAGGAGGGAAGCATTTGGAGAGGGTTGTACCCGCCCAGCTTGCGCGAATGCATGCGCTTCTTTCGGCACTCGACCGGCATCTTCATTCTGCGCTAGCCGAGGGGAGCGAGCGTGTTGGGAGGCGGGCAGCAAGCTGCTCATCAAAGCGCGGGGAAAGCGCCGAGAACCCTGCCTCGTATCACCCGTGGATGCGCGAGCAAGCTTGCACGCTCCTCACCAACCTTCCTCATCTACTCCTCGAGCCTCCTCTCCGACGGCCGCAGGGAACAAGGAGCTATGCGATCTCAATAGATAAGGCTGAGCGCCGCAGCATTCGTCCCGCCAGCCATCTCGAGGACCAAGCACCTAAAAGCTGCACTGCGTCCACACTTACCCGCGGCCCTTCATCAGACCAGCTGGCATCAACCACCCTTGCACTCCACTCACGCTCTGCAACAGACGTCCAAATCGCCCAGATCTGCTCTCTGTACGTACTGACAAGTCCAGCGCTGCCATGCCTATCAGCCTTGGAGCTCGCAAGTCTCTGGCTAAAGAGGCTGCCCCAAACGGAAAAATGGGTGCAATAGGATCCTCCCCAAATGCAGAGATCAGCACTGAGGCTCCCTCCATTCTGGGCGCGCAAACGCGCATTCTTCCTCGTTCGGTCTCTCACAACCGCACTGAAAGCGCTCAAAGTCGACCGGCTTCGGCTGCAGGGCCCTCCTCCGAAGCTGCACACCAGCCCTCAAGCAGCCTCAGACCGCTGCGCCTCGTTGCCAGCTCTAGCAACATCTCACCCAAGCTCACTGCTACTGCAACGAATGGAAGGGGCAACATTGGGGGGTCTGCTGATGCTGATGCTGCCTCTGCTCTACGTCGGCCAGCCTTCAAGCGCGTCGAATCTGCATCCGCTGCTATCCTTCGCTCGAGAGCAGCTTCTCCAGCACCGAGTGCCGCCGAATCATGGACACAAGCAGGTGATGCAGAGGGCGCATACATCCGCAAAACTTACGCACACTTTGACTCGCGCGGCGTCGAAGACGACGGATTCGTGGAAGGGCAAGAATGGACGCGAGAGAGGGGTCAAGGCCATGCGTGGGAACAGCCAGATCTGGGCAGAAAGAGGAATATTTCTCGTGCACGATCCGTGACACCTTCGGTAGTTGGAGCAAAGACAAGGATAGCGAATAGCCAACAGCGAAGGGATGTGGCTAGATCAGTCCCTTCTTCCCCGTTGGTCGGACATAGGAATCTTGCGCTCTCTCCCGCCTTCGAAGGGTCCTCGTCTAGGCAGATCTTGCCTGGTCGGCTCAGACCTGGCCCAAATGGCTCGGATCGCCTATCGCCTATCCTCGCCGAAAGCTCACTAGAATCCGATAATCCAATGCACCGCGCTGCTATCTCTCCAACACTTGCCTTGACGCAAGACAGGCCCTCGCTCGATCCCATTGTCACTGATGGCGGCGGCGCAGGCCTCGGACTCGTCCACTCCGCAGGCCTGTCGTCGGCAGTGGAGGAGCTGGCTCCTTCGCCTTCGGCGCCGACTCTCGACATCATCCCCCCGACACCAAATCCAGCCTTGTCACCTACCCAGCCATCTGACCAGAACGCTCAGCAGAGCGGTGCTTCAAGCACTCTTTCGCCTCGTGACTCCTCGCATCTTGGCAGCTCGTCCACAGAGACCTGCTACACTACCGTCGATCATTTCTCCGACTCGTCCGGTGCTTGCCGGCCAGATGACGATGTAACGCGGCCTTTCAGCAGCGAAAGCATCGTCAGCCTCGCACGCAGTGAGGAGAGCGCCTTAAGCGGCTCTAGACGTCTGGAACTGCTGCCAGGGCGCGTCTCGGGAACCGAGGAGCAAGACCCTGACTATGAGGGAGAGTCACACCAAGAGAGAGAGGCGCGGATTGCTCGCGAGGAAGTCATGAGCAGCATAGACCGTTATGGGTTCTTCGCCAAGGAGTTGAATGGCAGCTCATCAAGGCCCCCTAGGACTACCATACTGCCCGCGCCTGCGTTTGCCAAGCTGCCTTCCAAGCGGAGATCAGCTCTGAAATCTGTCAAGAAGAAGCCTGCTCCTAAAGGAAGTCCGACAGTGGGCAGCGAAAAGTCACCCTCGCTGATCGGAGCATCTGGCTTTGCCAAGGGTGTCAACGACGATGTCAGCGCTATCGATAGAGTGCGCACACATCGTACTGCGCTCGAAGAAGCGGTGAGAGCACGCGAAGCGTTGCGGGTCGAGAAATGGCAGCGCATGCTTCGAGTCGATTCCAGGGATGCAGGCGGCAACGTCAGCGGCTACAGACTTGCGCCGAATCTCGTTCAGAGCAAGAAATTACGGAGAAGGGTTTACAAGGGTGTGCCTGATCGATGGAGATCCGCTGCTTGGTGGGCATTAGTTTGCGACGGCCATCACTCAATCTTCGCGAATGGGGATGCGAGGCCTGTCGCAGCCGCTGCGAAAGCCAACCCAGGGACGGGACACGGCCGCCATGAAAGCGAAAGGAGCAACACCGGCACAATTGCCTCCACCTCTCCAGTAGGGACGGCCCGCAACCGGAGCGTAGCGAATGGGTCTCTGGCAAGTGACGCTGAGCATCGATACGCAGAACTGATCAAGAAACCCAGCCCTCACGACGTCCAAATCGATCTGGACGTGCCTCGAACAATCAGTGGTCATGTTCTTTTCCACACGCGATATGGACAAGGCCAAAGAGGTCTATTTCACGTCTTGCATGCATTCAGTCTGCATTGCGATGACTGCGCTTACTGTCAGGGAATGGGCCCGATCGCTGCAACGTTGCTGGTCTACTTGCCGCCGGAGAGGGCCTACGCATGCCTGACCGCCATGCACGATGCGCGCGAGTACGGTCTGCACAAGACTTTCTCTCCTGGCTTTCCCGGGCTAGTGGAGAGTTTCTACGTCCAGGAGCAGTTGGCTCTAGCGTATATGCCCGACATAGCGCGACAATTGCTGGAGCAAGACATCACGACGTCAAGCTACGCCACGCGCTGGTACATTACGCTCTTCGCGAATGTCGTGCCCTTTCAGACGCAGATTCGTCTGTGGGACGCCCTACTGTTGGACGGTGCAGACGTGCTCGTCATCTTCAGTCTAGCGGTGCTGTGGGCGCTCAGAGATCGCCTCATCCATCCCAATGCGACGTTCGAGACCATCCTGGGTGCTCTAGGCGCCGAGCTTTTGCCCGAGGACGATGATGCGCTCATGAGATGGGTGGAACATTTCAGTGCCCGGGACGATGTCAAGAAAAAGATCGCAAAGGCGCACAAGGAGTGGCACGTCCGTGAACTTGCCGGTGACGCTCATCTGACGTAGACTGGGGCAAGTCGCTATGACGAGACGCACAAAGATCATCCAATGCACAGATCATCGATTCTGCATCACTTGTACCTCGCACTATTATTGCGCCTTGTCTTGAGACTTGAGGACCGAATCTGCGAGCGACGATGGTCAACCTCATGATTTTCCTTGGTCAATTTTCATGCTTGCTGATTTGCGAAAGATCTGTATAAGCCCGGCCGTATTACATAGAGTCACGGCGACGAACCAGCAGATAAATTTCGGTGAGGGGGAGCAACGGGGTGAAAGGTGCATTTGGAACATACTAGCGACGCGTGTGCTGAGAGTTGTCTGAATGCGTAGAAACACTATTTCGGAGCCCCACGACGCCAGGATGTCGACGTGTCAGCTGGTTTTGGCGGTGGCGGTCCTTGAGGCTGGGCTTGCCCTTCCGCAAGGTTGCGTAGTGCACCCATTTGCCTCGATCCGTTGGATCCGTATGGAGGAGTCGCAGGCAGTCCTGACCCTTGCAACGCAGCAGCGGCCATAGGTGCGTTTTCGCCCGATCCGCCTCCAAAGCGCTGTCCATGGGGAAGCGCAAAGCCCTGATCGCCGTTACCTGTCTGTGCAGCACCACCGATGTGGAGGTTGCGGAACGAATTCAGACCAGCAACTTCCGAAGCACCGAACGAGCCTGAGCTCCGATCACCACCGCCCCGCCCATGTTGTGGGAGTGCGGAAGAGCGTGAGACCGGATAGTTAGGCAGAGCTGTACCAGGACCGGGTCGAGGTCCCAGCGCTGAGCTGGCGATTTGCTGCTGCTGCTGAGACGGGAGCAGGCTAGCCTGTCCAGCTCCTGGAACGAGTCCGTGTCCCACGCTTCGATACCCGGGGGGATAAGAAGGAGCAGGCGTTTGGTAGCGTGACTGCAAGCCACCAGAGCCACTGGATGCGCTGCTATGGTGACTACCGTCAAAGGGCGAGACCGATCTCGTCGAAGATGCGTTTGCAAAAGCGGCACTTCCGGCGAGAGGATGCCGGCGCGGAGCTGGTAGTACTGCCCCTGGCAATGGACGATGTACGCCGTGCTGAGCGCCTACCGCGCCGGTGCCGCTCGGTCCGAGCTTCAGTGCAGGCGCCCCACCGGATCCCGAAGCCGTCCCGCCCCTTGGATAGGTGGGGACTATCCGCCTGCCCATCCTTTTCACCTTTCCATCCTTTACCTTCTCCTGGGGATTACCAAACATTTTGGATCCTACACCTTCCTTTCGTTCATAGTGCTTGCGCCACGTTTCCTCCTCTACCATGGGCTGGCCAGGATACGAGTCGTAGGATACGTCCATGGCAGTGGATTTCAGACCGTAGGACCGCTTTTCGTCTTCGTCGAGTAGCCAAGGGGTGTGCACGAAGTCGGGATGCAAATTGCGCAACGCAGGCAACCACAACTTCACGAACTCTCCATGCGAGTCGTAGTCTTTCGCTTGCTTGATGATGTTGAATTGCCTAGAGGCTCGAGGATCGTTGCCAACGCCTGCGACATACTGCCAATTGCCGTAATTACTGGTCGCATCATAATCTATCAGTTCACCTTGGTAGAACTCGGCCCCAATACGCCAGTCGTAACCGAGGTCCTTCGTCAAGAAGGAGGCCACATTCTGACGGCCTCTATTCGACATGAACCCGCTTTCTCGGAGCTCTGTGATGTTGGCATCGATAAATGGTATACCCGTACGGCCCTCAAGCAGTCGACTAACGGGATTCTCGCGACCATCCTTGACCGGATCCCACATCTTCCACCAGCCCGGTTGAAGCTTCTTCTCAGCTTGCCGGGGATCAGTCGCGCCCTCGAATCCTTCGAGCTTGAAAAGAAGGTCACCATACTTTTCGCTGACGCAGAAAAAGTAGTCCCGCCAAAGCAGCTCGAAGCGCACCCAGTACGTGTTGCGATCTTCACCAAACTGACGTTCGTGGATGTCCAAAGCCTCCCATATTTGCCGAGGTGAGATTGAACCGTAAGCCAAGAAGGGAGACATCTTGGTCGAGTATGCGTGGCCAACGAGGTTGTTGCGCGTTTGCTTGTATCGCGCGACTGGAGGAGGATCCGCGCGTCCCCATCTACTCGAGTCGGCGCTCTTGCCCCTGATAAAGTACCACTCCAATCGCTCTAGGGCGGAGCTTTCACCTCCACGATTTGGAAACGCCGAAGCGGGGTGCCGTTGTTGGAGAAGCTGACGAGAGGCGATGGGTTTACCCGCGCTCAGTATGGTCGGAGAGTCGCTGAGGGGCGCCAACAAATAGCTGAGAATGTCGAGAAAAGAGACTTGACTTTCCGTCTGTGCTTGATCCTCTGGCGGACGAGCGAGAAGGCCATCAACGTCAACCTCGTACGATACATCGAGAGAATAGTCGGGAGTCTCGGGAAGGGCGGGCGGAAGCGGTTTGAACCGTTCAGGTGGTCGAAGGGTGGGCCGAACCATAGCTGCCTTCATCTCTTCGACGCGTTTGCGGTATGGTGTGAACACGTCGGGCGTCTCGCTGATGTCGAACGGTAGATCGGCTGGGTGGACCAACGTCTTGCCGTGGACGAAGCGCATCGGCACGTTGAGACCTTGCAAGCGTTCCTGAAGCTGCGTCTCCACCTGTTCCTCGTCGTGCGTCACCTCCTTTTGCAACCATACGCCCTCGACCTCATCACCCCTAGCCTGGAAAGCTTTGACGAAGTTCTCAACTACCACCTCTGGGAATCCAAAACGGATGACCAAGTCAGAGCCAGCGGCGCGAAGACGGGATCGTAGATCATAGACAGCTTCTGCGATGAATCTAGCACGGAACCCGCCAGTCTTCCAAAAGCCGTAGTTCTTCGTTCTTGCCTCTGGTCCATTCCGTTGATATCCAGGCAGGCCGCTGAGCTCAATAACACGCTCGTCGAAGACGTACAATGGCATCAGGTAATCGGCACGGCTGAACAACGCTGATCCGGCGAGAACGTCTTGATTGAATTTGGTAGGAGGCCTCTCGGCTGCGGGTCCAGGAGGAGGTTCCGTCATGTGTGCACTGTCGGGCGTGCAAGGCGGGCGCGAATGGGTGAGTGTAATAGTACAGCTGACAAGCACGCTCTGGATCGCAATGACACAGTAGCATTGGAATCGTGCAGATCTTCGGCTAAGCTTGCAATGACTCACTAGTGGAACAAAGCATTGTCGTTGACTCGAAGATCCAATCGCATCAAGCATATAAGTACCCTTCTGGGTGCCCCCTCCTCGTGAGTGTCATCGCCAGTCGACATGGCAGCTCCAGTCCATGCGCTCGACGGCCTGTGATGCCGACCGACCGAGCGCAGTGCGGCTGGATCAAGTATGCGAGCGACAAATCGTTGATGGTATCAAAACAGTGTAACGAGCGTGCGAAGGCCGGGTGGGGTGCCTCGACCAAGTGCTGAGAATGATTACTGTGAAGCCCGAAAGAAGTGTTGATTGCTTTGGTGGATCTGCGTCCCAGCGGTGTGCCGGAATTCGGTGCGGCAGGTGGCAATGTATCCTTGGAGGTAATCTCGCACGAAGACCTCTATTATGACGCCGAGAGTCACGAAGAGCGTGCAGAGTTCAGCTTGGTGGAAAAGCCGCCGCAAAATCCGCCGACTCAAACGTAGGCGGGAGGAGGACCACGTCGCGGCCCAGTTGCAAGCCGAGGATTGTGCTGGAGCAAGCTCGCCGAAATGGAGCTGCAAATTGAGGACAATGCAGAAGAGGAAGGCCAAGGCAAGATGAAGGGGCTGATGCGATGAATTCACAGTCAGAGGCAATCTGAATGCGGCCGAGGATGATTCAAAGTTGTGACAGGAAGTCTTGAGTGAAGAGCCACGCGAGAAGGGCTTGAATCAGAGGATCTAATGAGAATCAAATATCAGACCTCTCTACATGCCACGCCCGAGATGAAATCGCTCAATTGAATGCGCACGAAAGAGTCAAAGACAACTTTAAAATTTTGCACTAGCTAGACGTAATCCTGAGAGGATTCACATTCAAAATTGTAATTTACGACACGCAAGTTTGAATACTTCGTGGGGCCCGCGCCCGTTCCGCACGGCGGTCACGTTGTTGAGCTGCATGAGGTTTGATGCCTCAGTCTGACAAACGCTTACACAGCTGCAGGCCCGCTCCTCAACCAATTGAGTCCATTCAAGGGGCGTTTGGCCAAGCAGCAAGTGAGGTCTCTAGACCAACTATGACCTCTGAGGACTGCTTCACGGTGGCAAAGCAGCTGTTACACTTCTGAGTATGAGTCAAGCCTTGGGGATCTGGCATGGGGGCAGCATGCAGCCCCCCTGCGTTGTGTCACCCCGCAGTTCTCGATCGCTTGCAGTGGAGCAAGGGTGGCCGCGATCAGTGCGGAGGGAGAAGCGCAGATCGATCGAGATTTGACATGCATGAGCTTCGTGTGGCGTCGCGTGACTGCTACCGGCGCACAAGCATTTTGCATGAGTAATATAAACTTCTGCGGCGTGTGATTCATCTAAATCGACGGCTCGCGTCAAAAATACACCAATCACAGACTCAAACTCTTGACTCCCTGGACTGAATCAGTAGTGAATCAGAACGCGAGATACGAGAGACAGTGGGAATGGAAGAAGCTAATCATCACCGATACAAGCAGTGGTATTCACAATAAAGCGTCCCATCTCTCTTACCGAGGCCATTAGCCATTGTAAACTCACAATTTGATTCGTACATCCTAGCCGCTCTCGATCGAAGCGCAGCCTTGCCGCTACTTGAGTCAAGCATACTAGTAGTAGGAGTAAGACTAGCATCAGTCATGGGTAATGTGAAATCTAATTTGTAAATCCTTAAGGGCTCATTCAAGATTAGAAGCAGACGATCGTGACGTGGCGTTACGTGACTTTGTCAAGTCAAGACTCACGACTGTCGCCCGTGACTCAAGACTCATCATTTCTTCCAAACGTGGGCCGCTGCCGCGCATCAAGGCGGCATCCACCTCGCGCAGACCCCGGCCATCCTGGCGCCTTGAGCATCGATCGAGCGGGACCAGGGCAAAGCGGGCCGATCTCAGCTCCTTCGACCGATCGTCGCGCGCTTGCAGCAACCATGCATGCATGCGTGCATGCATGCAGCACCAGCAGCAGCAGCACTACCGGCACACAGCATCGTCGCACACGAACCGCGTGCGGCCAGCAGGCGCACGTCGCAAAGAATTCACGAAGCGGAGAGAGACGAGCTGCGGCCCACAAGATGGGCTGCTGATCTCGAGTTATTCCCGAGAACATCTTGTGTACAACAGTCGTGAGTCGCGAGTCATGAGTATTCACTCAGACTGGTTATCGGGGCATTTGAGCCACATCAGTCAGAGTGGCACAAGGCATTCCATCCACGCTCATTCACGTGATTGCAGGGCCGTTGAGAAGAGCTGTCAAGAGGCTCAAATCACCCTCGGACCAAACGCGGGGCGCCTCATTTGCTCGCGCGTCTATATCATCGCAAGGCCGCAGCGCCGTCCAGCATGCAGCTCGCGGCTGAAACGATCACGCGACGCGACGTCTTCCTACACACTCGGACTCGTGACTTCTGACTCTGACTCGATCGATGCAGCTATATAAGGGCCGTCATGGCCACGCCTACTCCCGAGCTGCCTTTGAGCAAGGCAGACTATCGGCACGTATACGAACCGGCAGAGGATACGTTTGCGCTCTTGGATGCGCTCGACGCTGATGCGGATCGCCTACGGTCGCTCAACGGCGGCGCTGGCATGCTATGCGTCGAGATTGGGTGTGTACTTCTGCTCCAGCTCGCTGCTAGCTAGCTGCCTCTGCCCCAACCTGTGCATTTGCGCGGTATGCGGTCGCAAGATGTGCAGAGATTTGACTATGCTCCATTCTTCTTTTTTTTGGAATTGTATAGGAGCGGAAGCGGGTGCGTGTCTGCGTTCCTTGCCGCGCTTCTAGGCGCCACAAATGCTGGTGAGAGGCCCCCTTTGTCGTGCTGGCGGACCAGCAGCGTGTCTCTGACGAGATCTGGGCCGCTTGCAGCTTTCCTGACGTTGGATGTCAACGACAAGGCAAATGTTGCGACGGGGCGCACAGGCACGGCAAATGGGGTGCGTCACTGACCGGGCAGGATGAGAAGATGTCATCTTCGCCACTGATCTCGACTTCCTCACGGATGAACGCAATGCGTAGGTGCACTTGTCTCCCATTCGCTCGGATATGTTGTCGGCCCTCTTCTCGAGGTGCAGCAGTCGCAGTGAGAGCGCCACATCCGGTCTCGTCGACATTCTGCTCTTCAACCCGCCCTACGTACCCACGACAGAAGCCGAAGAAGCTGCCGCACAGGCAGATCAAGCCATTGCAGGCGCATGGGCCGGCGGATCAATGGGCACCCGTCTGGTCGATCAACTCATCGAACAAGGCATAGAGGTGAGACAGACCTTTTCGCAATTGCTCAAGAAGCTCGCGCGCTAGAATCTTCATGTCAAATCCTTTTCAGACAGTACTTGCTCCTCGAGGCATCTTTTATCTCGTAGCAATCAGAGCGAATGATCCGCCAGCTCTGATTCGGCGACTCGAGGCCCGCGGGCTGTCAGCAGAGGTGATTGACGCTCTTCCTCGGCCGCCGCGAGATTCTCTTGACTGACCTTGGTCGTCGCTTACCTGTACAGATCGCTTTGCAGAGGCGAGCTGGGGGAGAGCATCTCTTTATCATACGAGCACAGCGCAAGTGAAGGAGTGCTCCTCACGCGCGCATTAGCGCGATCAAGACGAAGGGTCTTTCGGCGAGTGCTAACACCTCGCTACTGAGGATCAAGGTGCATAGCATTTCAGCTCAAGCTACAGTTTCGGGACGATTCAACGCCAAAGACGCCTTGGCCTAGTTCATATACGTCGAGGCCTCGATGGTGTCGGGCATCTCGGGGATCTTGACAGAGAAGCGACTTTGAATGTCCTCGAGGACCTTCTTGTCGTCCTCCGAAGAACTGAACAAGATAGCGAGACCTTTCGTGCCGAAACGCTAAAAGGGCCAGGGAAAGGTCGAGTTGGTCAGCGACGACCGCGCCTTTTGAGAATGTATGCAGCACGGCACTCACACCAGCACGTCCAGCACGGTGCAGCCATTCATCGGCAGACGTGGGAGCATCGTACGAGATTGACAGGTTTACACGTTCGACATCGATACCTCGCCCAAACACGTCGGTGGCTGTGTAACGCGACTGTATCAGCTCATGTACACATTCACGTGTTGCGCACCGTGCCATGCAAGTACGCACCTACGAGGATACGCTTCTCAAATTTCTTGAACTGCTGGTATCTCTCGATACGTTCGTCCTGTCTCATACCGCCGTGCACGCAGATCGAAGGGAAGTTGCACTCGATCAAGAGCTGGTTGAGCTGATTCGCTCTCGCTGTGCTGCGAACAAAGATGATGACCTGGCGAGAACGTGTAAGGGGTCAACTCATGGTCGCTGCCTGCGCATGACTTGCGCGCTGCTCACCTGATTGAACTCCAAAGAGTCGAGCAAGTCATTGAGCTTGCGGTTCTTCGCGTTCTCCTCAATTTGCACATAGTATTGTTGCAGGCCGTGCAAGGTGAGCTTAGCGCCGTCGTCGACGTAGATCTCTAGAGGCTGTGTAGGCAAAGCGATGCCAACAGGGGTTCAGCCGGACGCATGTCGAGCGATCAGAATTTGCACCACTCACATTCTGCATGAACTTCTTGCAAGTCGGTCGGACTGCCTCAGAAAGTGTAGCACTGAACATCATCACCTGCTTGTGGTGTGGGGTGGCCCGGAAGATGTCCTGCACATCTCGACGCATGCCTGTCAAGACGCAAGGCGACCAATATCAGTCACACTGCGAGCTACTCTTCGTCCTGGCCTGACTTACCGATCTCTTCGAGCATCTTGTCGCATTCATCGAGGATGAAGTGCTTAACGCCGCTAGCTTTCAAGCTCTTGTCTCTGACAAGCGCGTTCATACGGCCCGGCGTACCAACAACAATGTGAGGGCACTTCGTCTTGTCCTTGAGCGTTGCCTGATCAGTAGCAACGGGTGTGCCGCCGTAGAACACCGAGGTCCTGACGTCCGACATGTACTTAGAAAAGCGGGCGTACTCGTTGCGAATTTGGAACGCCAGCTCTCTGGTGTGGCACAAGACGATGACGGACACCTCCCCATCGACGGGCTCAATCTGCTGAAGAGTGGCCAGGACGAAGACGGCAGTCTTTCCCATACCCGACTTGGCCTGGCAGACGAGGTCCATACCGAGGATAGACTGAGGAATGCACTCCTGTTGCACTGCAGCGTGAGGAGCATGATGTCATTCCAAAGCTCCTGCATGCCGAGAACCCTTGAGATTGCTCACCTTCGGAGGGATGCTCAAATCCGAGATCGGCAATGGCGCGCAGAAGTTCTGGCTTCAAGAGGAAGTCTCGGAAACCTGTGGAGTGAACACCAGCATAGGAGTTCTGTGGAGGTGAAGAAGGTGTGACAAGCAATGCAGGGCGTGCCAGTAATATGCCGTCGTGCAGATTGAAATGTCGACGAAGTGGAGACGGAGTGAAGTGGAGGGCAATAGATGAAAAGAGACTGTAAGAAGGATGCTCGACATACGAATAACATGAGACAGGCAAGTCTTCTCCACTCTGACAATGTCGACAAATGTCTTGCGCTCAGCACGCGCACTAGGTCTCTGCTTCTCTTCGAAGGTCGTTAGACGCCTTATCGATGTTGAGCCGCCAGTCCGGCGTCCTTGAGCCGAATTCCGAACACTGCTCGCAAGCAATTTCGAGTTGACCAATGTGAAAGGGGTTCTTGTCTTCGACATGTGCATCTCTCTCCGTTGTATTACCACGACGAAGGATGTCGTTATGGCTAAATCTCCCAAATTTGTGCGTTTGCCCTCGACTTGCGGTCCAGAGGTCACAACGAAGAGAGACCTGCCCTATCCCGACGCCAAACTTCCGCCACATGCCAATTGTTGAGGGTCTTACACAACTGGACCTAAAGCATTCTGCCCCAGATACGCCGGGCGCTCGTCCCCATGGACGAAGCACCAGGGAGTTGACAATATGGGTCTGCGCCGCGACTGCAGACCAAGCTTCTGACTCGAATAGCCGAGCGCGCACTAGACAGCAGGAGGCGGTCGAGATGAAGAACAACGACTAGAGATCCCGGAGCTGAAAAGAAGGAAACTGAAGAACGGTGCTAAGATCTGATGCTCGCCTTTTTGGTGTCTGTGGCTCCCTCTGCGCCGTTAGCTGCGCCGTCGGTGGCACTGGCTCCATTGGTGGTGGTAGCGTCGGCGACTTGAGGAACCTCCTCCTCGTAGTCGATAAGACTGCAAAGTCAATGGTACGCATCGATGAAGCGACGAAGAGCGAAGCGAAGAAGTAAGAGAGGGTGGCGTTGCCAAAGGTCAGCAAGAGTGGAGCATGGTTCTAGTCGTCGGCGAGGCCCATGATCTCGGCGGGGCTGTAGAGACGCTTGGACCAGATACGTACTCCTCGTTGTCCATGATGGCAGCAATAAGAAGCGTGGGCGAGGGTGGGAATCTGAAGAACAAGCGGTGGATCTGACCAATATTTCGTCGCTGTGCGCGTGGCGGATGGTGATGGTAAGGATGGGAATTGTGAATCCAGACTCGTGACTCTGGCCTCGCCATGGACGCATGCGTGACGATGGCGACGACGCGCCGTGGTCCAGCGTGCAGCGTGCGCGGCGCTGGAGGCACGAGACACCAGCCATGCATAGGCTCCACAGCCACGTGGCCTCTCGGTCCACGCTGTGACGGATGGTCCGAGCAAGTCCGCGGAGGTGCGCTTGCACGGTCCTCCATTCACACATTCGCGATTTGCTGGGGTTGCACGCGCATGCACCACGTTCGCCGGTTCGCACAAACACCGAAGCGTCCCGGTGTCAAATCACGCGCCGTCTTGAGTGTAAGTAGTCAGGAGTACTACTCACGACTCGAGCCCCTCGACTTGACCACCACCTCTCACGCCACATCGGCGGATGGCGATCCAAGGATGAATGGCGCATCAAAGTCAGACTCCAAGGCCCTGCCTGGCAGCTCTGGCACAAGCCGGCACGCGCACAAGCTTTGCGAGCACTCGCAGCTTCCTGAATGGGCACACGACAATGCCTTCATCATTGGCGGCTATCGCAGACCAGGCGGAACAAACGATGAAGCGCAGATCATCCATGCCTCAATCACATCGGCTGAACAGACGGCGGAAGTCCCTGGCCTTCGCAAACGCGTCAAAGGCAGCAGCAACCAGGCCGAAGGCGATTTGCCGATAGAGGCCTCCGCGCAAAGGCCAAGACTTTTTGAGCACAACTCAGTCAAGGCGTGTTGGGATAGCGTTTGGCTTTACTGGCACAACGAGACAGGTGAGAGGCGTGCGGCGCAGCACAGCACTCGTTGCGAGCCGCGGAGCGTGTTCTCTCGGACGCGAAGCTCACTCAATTCAAGTCCATCCCGTCGCCCTCTTCAAGTCAACATTCACACGCATCTCTGGGGCTGCATAGTCGCCATCGCTCTGCTCGCTCTCCACTTCCTCGCACATTTCGATCTGCTTCCCCGAGCTTTGACCGCGCACCTGCCTGGCAGAGCACTTCTGCTTGCTCACGCGCCTGCACCTGGATCGAGCCTCGAGAAAGCCCTGCTTCGAGCTCACTCCTCCCCCAGCATCCCAGCAGCCGCAGCCTCGGGAGGATTGTCGCGCTTGCTGCGGTTCAGTGGCAATGCTGCAGCATCAAGCAGTGGGTCTCGCGATCTCTTGCAACAGCAGTTGGCCACACTGTGGACCTTTGAGAGCGCCACCAATTGGGCTCCTAATGGACCTCTCGACGTCTTGGGCTTCGCCATCTTTGGTCTCGCAGCTGTAATTTGCTTCGGTTTCTCCGCCGCATTTCACACGCTTCACGCTCACTCGTGCGACGTCTCAAAGCGAGCCAATGCTTTGGACTACATTGGCATCGTCGTAATGATTTGGGGATCTTTTCTGCCAGGTCTTCACTACGGCTTTCAGTGCCACCCGAAGCTTCAAGCATTTTACGCGAGCATGATCACGGTTCTGTCCACCTGTGAGAGCAGACCATGCAATTGCGCTCGTTCCTCACCTGCTGGTCCTTACCACTCTACTCGCATCTTCCGGCAGTCGCTGGTGCAGTGGTCTTGTTACCCAAATTCAAGACACCTGCCTATCGGCCATGGCGGACATCTGTTTTCATACTCCTAGGTTTGAGTGCCGTCTTTCCCGTCGCGCACGCATGGGCTCTCTACGGCGTGAGCAAAAGTCATGAGTGCACGTCTCATGTCGAGAGGCGCCGAGATACCGCTTTGCTGACGTCATGAAGCCCGCCTTGCGCAGATCGAGATCCTTGCACGAACGATGGGAATATATTGGTTGATGTACGTATTCAGCTGACGACCGGCGCCAGTGGCTTGCAAACGAGTGGCTGACCGAGTTCGGGTCAATGTGGCGTTGATACTAAAGAGCGAGTGGGGCCATGTATATCATCGGGGCTCTCCTATACACTTTGAGGATACCAGAGAGATTCGCTCCCGGCAAGTTCGACTACATTGGAGCAAGTCACCAGATGTGAGCAAACATCAAGCCTGCTTGTTGCGCCGTATCGTCGCTCCCGGCTGAGCCATGGCGAATCTTCTCCGCAGCTTTCACGTCTTCATCCTATTCGCAGCTTTGGCGCATTATGTGTGTATACGAAGAGCGCACAGCTTCTGGAAGGTGGCAGCGTCGCTCTCCACATCTACCACGCTGGAAGGTGTATGCAGGGCTCTAGAAGAGTTGTAGACTACCATCGGATCGAGCACCGCAGCGCATTGGCACGATTTGACCGAAATAGAAGACCTGTTAGACGAGAACACTGGCTCGAGCTGCGTTCGCCATCGGATGGCTGCTCGACGTTTGCACACCGGCGAGCCGACAGGCTTGTACCTATGCTGCAGTCCCCCTAGGACGGGTGCCGAAGGGCCTCCAAGTTCAAGCAATGCTGAGTAGCTGAGCACGAGCCTCGTGATGGACTGCTCGAGCCGACCGTTTTTGATTCTGAGCAGAGGCAGACGGGCTTGTCGTCCGCAAGGCAGGAGCGACCGAAGACGAGACGAGAGTGCTCAGGGTCAAGGATCTCTTGCGGGGATAGGAGGGCAATGTCTGCGGAAGCTCGAGGATTTCCACGCTGGCAAAGGGTGACGTCTTCTCGGATTCTGCACTCGGAGCCGGAATCGGCGGCGGCGGCGGCGGTGGTGGCTGCACGAAGGCTGTGAGGGGATTCATCTTTCGCCACATCTTGCTAGCGGGAGATGGGGTATTCCGTGCTGGCGCTTTGCTGTGCTGTCGCTGTTCCTCGAGCGACGTTGCTGGGGCGGGCGGATAGGACAAGTCTTGTACCGGCGAAGAAGGTGCTGACGGTGGCATGCGGGCACGGCGTTGGTCCGGCGTACTTGCTCCGGGCCTAGGTGCGCAGATTGGATCTTCCAGCGAAGTGCGCTCACGGATAGGATGGCAGAAATTTCTGACCGGGATCAAGCTCCTGTCTTTGCCAGCGTGCGGTGCTGCGGTTGCTTTCGGGCCGTGTACCATGGGACCAGTGAGAGCGACTGGCACGATCTCGTTTGGAGCGCGCTGAAAAGCGCCTCGGGGAGAAGGCGATTCGTCGGCATTGCTCCATGTGCTCGATGTGCCTCCCCTGCTCAGCTTCAACTCCAGGCTCTTGGCGCGATTCGTCTTTGACCTCTTGTCTTGTGCAGGCCGAGATCGAGCATCTTCATTCACCTGCGCAAAGTGCGCGTCGAAAATGTCGATGATCTCTCGAAGGGCTCTGGATCCGGCGACTGGATCCGTCTTGGCTCGCTCCTTGCGCGTAACGGCCAACGGGACGTCGACCCTCATCGCGGGTGCGCTGCGCATAGGCTGCAAGCGTTGAGCGTGCTGCACATCGTACCTGAGCACGCGCTTGGACAAGTTAGAGTCATCCGTTTGAGCTCCCAATGGTGAGTCGCGATTGAGCTCGTGGGGATCGAATTCGTGCGGTCGGGTCGCAGCCTGTGCGGACGACGACCGCTGGGAAGAGGAGAGCGGGAGTTCTTCCACACTGCGTGTAGCCTGTCTTCGGTCAAAGTATCCAACGGGAAGCGGAGATCTGGCTGGGTATCTCCAATCCCTTGATCCAGCAGCTGCCTTCTTGGGTGAAATTTGCATGGTGAAAACAGATGTTCGTGCTGCGCAGGAGACCTCGAAGCGCTTTGGACAGGATGAGCGCCACCAAGCCTGCAATTGGTGAGTCAAGTGCGTGCGTGTATGGTTGGAGAGTGAAAAGATGGTATAACGGAGGCTCAGCGAAGGTGTAAGCAACTTATGAGGCAGAGGAGGGTGAGGGCGTACAGGGACACCTTTGAAGCACAGTCACAATCCTGAGTGTACCGTTCGCTGACATGCCGAGTCGAGGTTCCAGTCAGACTTTTGACCAACATGACGCCACGACGTGGGAATGAAGCGGTATCAGTGAAATGAGGCAGCCAGCTGACCGTCAGTTGCAACAGTACAAGGTACCGCTGCGCGGTGGAGGGCATCGTCATCAGCAGAAATATGAAGCAGATGAGGCCGCGCGTGCTGCCGGTTCCGGTCCAGCGACAAATTCAGACGCGAAGCCGAAATTGGCGTTGTTTCTCAAGAATCATCCTTCGCGGTCCACCGGCTCCGTCGCGGCAAATGAGACCGATGTCTTCGCAACCGCGGCTGTGTAGCTATGTAGCTATGGTACGCCTGGCCGCGCCTTCCTCCCCTCAACGCAGAGCTTGAAACGCGAGCCGCCGCACCCTTAATTTGCTTAGCCGGGAAGCAGGGACCGTGCGGTGCGGACTTGACGATGGTCGCACGTTGATGGCAACAGTGCAGGCGCGCAGCCAGTCTACATCATCATCATCGGTCACAGTCACACTTTTGGCAGCGTGCTTCAAAAAGCGAAGATGGTCGGGATCGCCACTGCCTGTGGGTTTCGCGGAGTGTCGAGTGGAGCAGTGCTCCAAGCGAGTCTCGGTTGCTCCAAGCGAGTCTTGGTGTACGACTGTCGCCTGGATGCGACAGTGCTGTCAGTCTGAGCAGCCATCAGTGCTGTGGTGCGACCCAGTGCTGATATGAGCCTCCTCTCCTGCAGTCGTCAGTATTGGACGGCGAGCACATTCTGAATAGAGACCTCCACCAATGACGAAGTCGGGGAGATGGGAGAGGCGCGGGGAGGTGCGAGCAGATGATTTGCAACCGCCAGTCACATCGCAGTGAGGAATTCCTTGAACATGAGCAGGAGACACGAGCCGCTGCGATACATCCTCCTCCGTCTTGACGCGCGTTGCGGCGCCAGCAGCATGCAGCTGAAACCGGGCCGCCCATGCCCGCCGCGAAACCCATATAATATACGTATACAGCATGCTTGGCAGAGATGAGCGGCGCGGCGCAGTCACATAATTCAAATTAGTCATCGGCATCGATCACGCCAAAGGATGACAGCTATAGGATGTTATGCTCTTCTGACTGTGACTTGATTATGCGCGTATAGCGCCTGACCGGCGCGCACCGTCGCCGCACTTGCTGAACCAAGCTTGGCGCCTGTCATCACGATCTACTCGTCGCTCATGACGCGCGACAACGGCTCAATTCACTCAAGACTCTCGATAGGACCCGTGACTCTTGAGTCATGAGTCACAAGGGTGAGTCGTGGTCCATCAGCAGGCACGTTGGTCTCGTGAGTATGAATCAGGATTGGCCATCTCCATTCGTCACTATGATGAATTGGTGATCAAGTGAGTACGGGCGCCTGACCGGAAACGCGGCACCGGCCACCAACTTCGAGCTGGATTGGTGACCATCAGTAAGTATTTGCGACGTGCGATCTCGTCGCTCGCGGCAGAGAGAGAGAGGGCCGCTGAAGAGCTTGAATCACCGATGTGCCGACGAGGCGGTCGGGACCAGCCAGTGGCAACCGCAGAGTCCACCGGTGACTCACTTGGCCGAGGAAGTCATCCTATATCCTCGCACGGGGCCGCGTCAAGGCGGACGGATCTTTGATCGGACTTTCTTGACCCCCTCACAATGACTCGAGATTGCTGCAGGACTGAGCTTGGTGATATTTCCTGAGCTATATTGCAAGCTGCCCATCGCAAAGCGTTGGACCAAGGTACGCCATTCAGCTATACTCAAGCCTCGTCCCTTAACGTTGTCAAGGCTTCATCTTCATTCAAATTGACATCTTTGCATCTGCGCAGCACTGAGGTGGGACCTAGAGGGCACGAAATGCGAAAGACGACGAAAAGGTCCAGCGAATACGAGAGCCAGAATGGTGTACCATCTTGTGCCAGGTGCTTGTCGTTGGACAATTCGAATGAGCCGTGACGTCGGGTGTTGGCCACGGGCTACTTGTGATGCGGTCGTCGAAAGGCAGGAGGTAGGAACGATAAGAACCACGAATCCGCGAATATGCGAAATCAAAAATCACGAATCACGAATGCGAATCAAGAATTTGAATGTTGTTGAACCTGCATCCATCAGCAGGCGGAAGGAAGGTTGCAGTCTGGACACGTGATCGCGCGCGACCCACGCGTGTAGCCAGTTTGGGTCGTGAGTCTTGAGTGTTGATGCAGCGCCGCGCCTTCCGTTCTGGAACAGCATGCGCTTGCGCGCACGCAGTCAGCAGGCGATGCATGCATGCATATGCAAGTCAAGAGTCACGGTGCTGCTGCTGCTTTTACATCAGTAGATGGGTGTGCGATGCGATGCGAGGCGCTGCAGCAGCAGAGCAGATGTTGATTGTGATGTGCAGGAATTTGAGGGGGACGATGATGGGTTGATGGATTCGGCATCCCTGAAGTCCGCGAGCGTGTCCGATACAAGCTGCCAATCATTGCGGCCCACGACTGTAACTGGCGCATTTCACGCATCCGGGCTTGGCTTAGGGTGAAAAGGTGTGATTCTACTCACGACCGCCGAAGGTCTCTGAGATCTTCACAACGTCCATCGTGCGGATCGAAGCTCGGTCATCTCCTCAACTTGGAACAGCGCCCGCGCCACCTGACCCGACAACAAGATTCACAACTCGACCACGCCCAAGCGTACACCTTCTCTGCTGCTTCTGTCGAAGTTGGTCGGCTCATCAACAATGAGCCGCACTCCTCTCGCACCTGTCCAAAGGGCGAACAACAACAACATCGACGACACGGCAGGGAGCTACAATCTTGCCCATCCGCTGGAAAGCGATCCGCCCATCGTCAGCTCTCTCTCAGGCCTCAAGGCTCGTCTCTCGCACATTCGTCGATCCACTAGCCACCAGTCGGAGAACGAGCTCCCTCGAGACTCTGGGAGCGAAGCAGCGTACACGAAGGAGAACAATTCCAACAGTCACCTCTCCCTCAAGACTCCTTCATCATCACGGGATCGTAACCTGAATTCCGTCGCACCCACCCGACCCGCTCTTTCCAACGCTACTCTGCCACCTTCACCACCCGCTTCCAATAGAGAGGCCGGCAGCACAGAGCCCATGTCGCACCCCACTTCTCGCGATGCAGAACCAAGAATGGTCATCAGCAGGCCATCACCACAACCCCATCCAAGCCCTCTCAGCTCTCCACGCAAGGTGGGCGCCAAGTCTCGCAGACCCCATCTCAGCGTCGGTGCAGAGTCTCCAAACCCTCGAGCTCGCAAGAATGTTCGCTCCGAGGACGAAGACGATCCTCAGGGAGACTTGCCTGCAAGTCAGAGGTCCGACATAAGCACGGATACACGAAGCAAAAGGTCTCATGGTGGCCGAGCATCCCGCGGATCTTCAGCTGGACTCGGGGCTAGCGAGCAGTCTTTCATCCGCGAGGCTCGCAAGCGCGCCTGGGATCAAGTACATACCAGTCCTCCCACGATTCGTTACCTCGAGCCAAATCCTCTCCCGCCCACACGCTACAATCCTCTGGCGCACCGCCAGCGCTCAGCAGGGAGGGCATCGGCCTCTTTGGACAATCCAGACAACTCACAGGGTTCGATGGGCTCTCGCAGTCGTGCAAGCTCCCGGACCCAGGAGCTTCGCTCCGAAGGCGCAGCAGTCAAGCGCTCGGGATCTAGGGCCTCGGTCTCAACTCCACCTCCAGCATTCAGAGATCGCATCAGTGCCGATCCACAACGCCCACCTTCACCGACTGATGACCCCCTCCTTCTCAGGGGCAGGTCGGGCGTGCCACGTGCACGCTTGCCGCGAGCGGTCCAGATCAAGGAGGACCCTGATGCTCAATACGACTGGTCCGTAGGCGATGCTTCCGTGGAGATGGTGCCATCGCACCCGTATCACAGCGGTGGTCCTTCCCAAAGCCGCTCTTACGCTGCAGACGCTCCTCCTCCCCAGGTCGTCTCGGACACCGAAGGGGCCTACCTTGATCATGACGGCGGGGTGGACTTCTTTGGCGTGGACGGTCCAGCCGGCGATTCGCCTTCGCCTTCGCCTTCTCGTTCTCCTTCCCCTGCGCCACCGGAAGCTTTTGCAGATGACAGTATAGCCAACGCAAGCTTGGAGGGGAATGATGAAGAGCAAGACGAAGCGATTGAAAAGCACAACGGCAGGCAGGACGAAGACATGAGTGCGAGTCTTTTGGATAGCACTTCTCGCTACAATGAAGAAGAGGACTCAAAAGCGTCTACAGATCGCGAAGCAAACGACGATGCGCCCCACGCACACATCCAAGAGTCGGATCTCACCGACAGCTTGCGAGACGCCAGTGGGGAAAACGCCTCAGAGGAAGTTTCCGCCCAGTTGTTCGGTGCTGCCAGCGCTTCTTACGATTCTGAAGAGGAGGATGATGAGGCTTCAGTCCGGGAGGACGAAGTGGCACTGATCAGCCTGAGCTCTAGCTCTGGTACGGATGACGCGGGCAACAATTCTCAACTGACTGCCGCAACCTCGAGATCAAGCAATGGAGCGGTCGAAAGCACGCGAGAAGACAGCTTCGACAATGCAGCCAAGAGCTTCGCCTCTCAGCTTGACGAAGCTGAGCGAGGTGAAGAAGAAGCGCACGTGGAGGAAGAGGTCCTGGAAGATCTCAGCGTCTCGAACGAGATGGAGCACAGCGCGAGCGCTGAGACTGATGCAGGCGCGGACCCAAGCACCTCAAGAGACGTACAAGAGGACGAAGCTGCCGTCGAGGATTCTCTTAGTCTCTCAGAGACCTCCGAAAGACACAGGTCCTTATCTCCTGAAGAGGCAGAAGGGCCAGAAGAGCTACAGACATCCGAGGAGATCCCTGATGGTCAGCTCTCGGCCTCCGGTGACATCGTCGAGGAGCCACAAGAGCCAGACTATGATGGGGATGCGGCTGCAGCTTACGCATCGCAGCAAGCGTCTTCCGCGGAGCCTTCCATCAATGAGGCTGAACGAGGAGCCGCCGACGCTTTGAGCTTGCCCCGCCAGCACTCCGAGCATATCGAGGACGCTTCGTCGGTCGCGAACGAGGTGCGAGTGCCAGAGCATTCTATGGAATCGGTCGATTTCAGCTTGGCGGAGACTGAGGAAGAAGATGGTGATGAGCAGGATGTAGAAGACTCAATGCACGTTGAGACCCTATTACAGTCCGCCCGCAAGATCAGGCAGATCAGCGGCGAGTCAGACGCTCTCTCCAGTACCCCACTTTCTCTTCCTGCTCGCAGCCTGCTGCCTCTCGCAGAGGCGACTAGAGCTTCGCCTTCGCCTCTTCTGCGTGAGGCTATCCTGCACAGCTCCCGCGTTGACGCCACGGAAAGAGAGCTGTCGACCGCCGAGCAGAGCATCGCAGACATGACTGCTTCTTTCAGCTCTCAGCAGAACGCAGAGGCTCGGGCGCGTCTGCACTTGCAACACTCTGACAGGCCGATCGTGGAGGTCAGCAGCACCGATGGTCGGGTCGCGGACAGAGCTATGGCTATTCTCAACCACTTTGGCGGCTGGATAGAACGTGGCGGGATGCTGTACGAAGGTCAAGCGGAAAGTGGTCAACTCGCACACGCGGGTCCCATCCTGCCAAGTGACTTGGCCGGTATCCAGCAAGTGCTCCAACAAATGGACGCAAGCACCCAAGCCAGTCGACCCACCAATTTCGGCGTCACAGTCTCCCGTCCGGCCCCTCAAGACTCGATCATGAGCTCTCTACAAACGCCCATCAGGGCTAGCCCGCCTATTCAGCTGACGCTGTCTACCGCAAAAACGCCTCGCCCACCAGGTGCTTTCGTAGGCTGGACGCCAGTCACAGACAAGCGAGTGGAGCCGAATCGCATGGACAAGCTGGTCGAGAGTGCACTAAGCGATTGCAGGTCTCTGAGGACCGACATCAAGGGCAGTGCAGGTTGTGTAAGAGATCAGGACGGCAACCTGACCGATGACACGATGCGATCGCTGATGCGCGTGTTCGATCGTGCTTTGGAACTGGACTACAAGAGCCTGTCCAGAGATGAGCATCTCTCAAAGGCAATGAGACGCAAAATTGCTGCGTACGACGTTCGAGCCGAGGAAGTCGTTAACGCCTTTGTGTGCGCGCATGAGATTGGCGCGCGATACGGCGGTGGAGAGACCCCGAACAAGGAGAGGTGAGTGCTGCGCAGTGCCTGATGACTACAGAGTCAAAAACTGACCTGCTGGTCATCATTTGTCAGGCGGATCACGAATCAATTAATCAACTCGGTACCGAGCCTTCGACGTCGCTATCTCTTGCGTCTCGAGAAAGCCTGCCCAGGAACGCTCACAGCAAAGGAACAGGCAGAGCTGGACGCCATGGTCGATGCAGCTGAGGAGCTGAGAAGGCTACAAAGAGAGGAGAGCGTCTCCACTCAAGCGTCCGTGTCGAGGAAGAGGGACCGCGAGCCTGTACCGAGCGTGCGGGCTGCGGCTCCCTCCGATGCCGCGCAAAGTCTTTATCCTGCCTTGCTACCATCTCCAGCGCAAATCCACGACGCGAATGCAACGCCGAATTCCAGTATCCGGGGGCGCATGTCAGGCTTGATGAGTACGCTCACGGACAGATTCCTGCGGTCCGCGCCAGAAGCTGCGCGAGTTGAAGCAGCTCCTGCGATGCGAAAGATGGCGCCTGTAGTCCTCAGCTTGCCTGTGCGCAACGAAGAAGTTGAAAAGTTGGCCTCGACGGCAACCTTGGCACCAAAGACGCACGTAGCGTCTCCTCGTAAAGCGCGACAAGAGCCAGCTCAGTCCGCCCAGTCCGCCCCGTCTGTTCCTCCCCGCGCCCCCGCACCTATAGATTCAGCACCTCCTCCCCCACCGCCGCCACCCGCACCAACTGCTGCGAAGCTACAAGAAGCCATTCGCCAGACCAGTAGGCGCGAGAAGATCACTCCGCCATCCCCGAAGAAGCCGTCTGACTCACCACGACGCCGTCACAGGGCCAGTATGGATCTCAACGAGATTAGAGAGCGAGCCGAAGCAAGACATCGGCGAGTCAGCAGTGGAAAGACATCGACGTCGGGCTCTGACAAGCTCGCGCTCCGTCCTTCAGTCTCCACGGAGCAACCGGCACATTTGCCGCGTTCTCTCAGGTCAGCAGAGGAGACGCAGTCTGCTCGAGCGAGATCTAGCCTAAACGATAGCCAGCTCAACAAGGCGCGGGCTCGACTGAGTGCTCAAGGCACGTCTCACCCCAATCGAACCCCCGTCATGAACACGGCGCCAATCGAACGAGCAACAGTCAGCGCTGCGCGAGCGCGACTCTCTGTGGGCAGCGAAAGTTCCACATCCCTCTACCCTGATTTGAGCAGATCGATCGGGCCAGGCTCCCGCGCTCTTGGTCACACGAGCACATCCGTAAAGGGCGGAGGCTTGGGCAACTCCTCTTTTGTCCAGCTCACACCTTTGGCTTGTCTCAGCCCGGACTCCCACCTTCGCGCTGCAGAGGCAGTCGCGAACTTGGCGGAGCTCAGGAGGCACACTGCCTGGGTCAGTCCTCGCAGACGTCGGCAAAGCGCGGCCGCACCAGTTCGTTTCGCCGATATGTCCGTCTCCATGTCTGCGGACGGAGCGCAGACGCGTTCTCCCTCAAGACGCAGCCCTCGCCGAGATCACTCCTCATCAGAAATCTTGCCTTCTCGCAAGTAGAGCGCTACTGCTATCCACTTTGCGCTGTCAGCGTCTCAACGAGAACTCGAGCAGTGCGCAGCGGTGTCCCTTTTATCGCTCTATCTCGTGTCTGTGAATATATTCCAGAGGTCTCAAACACGCGCTCTATCTGTCATACTATCGTTGCTACATGTATTACCTTCTCCGATCGATCTTAGTTCTTGGTCGAACACCCCGCTTCGACTACCGAAAGCTCTGAAAATTGATGTCCTTACGAGTCGTGGCGTCGTGAAATGACGCGTAGACTGATACTCATGCCATTCGCGACCAGCAGGCCTTGCTTGCGGAATGGTCGGCCTCGCTTCGCGGTGGTCACAGAACGTTTGCGACACTCATGACTCTAGCTGCAAACTCGCCGAAGCCGAGCGCGTCAGGCTTCAAGGGTCAATCGGCAGTCGGCCTGTACCGTAGCTGAGCGTCACAAGCAGCTTTGACAACCTCTCGCTCTTGTGGACTACCATGCAGATGTGTGGGGCTCGGGTACAACGGAGAGCACATGCTCATGGGATAGCTCGCGGAAATTCATGGGGTAGACGGTGGTAAGGAATGATGTCTTGAAGAAGCTGGGTGACGTGCATATCGCTCTAAAGGCTTGTGGGAAGATGTGTCTAAAGGGTCATGTACACCACATCAATGTTACTCGCGGTCTTCCTCTTCTGGCTCGTCTTCGTTATCCTCATCGAAGATCGCCTCTTGCTCGTCGTCTCTCATCTGGTCGAGGTCAAAGCCCTCATCCTCTTCCACATCGCTGAGTGCGTCCGAATCTTCCGCCTGGCCAGAAGAGGACTCTTGCTCGGAGTGCGAGCTAGGGTGACCCGGAATGGGAGTGCTATTCGCGGAGTCTCGCTCGCGCGCGGTGTCAAAAGACTCGGAAGCGGTAGAGCTTGGAGCAGCTCGTCCTGCAGACGTAAGATGGATACCATCCTGATCAGCGCGAGCCGGCTCTTGACCGGACAACGCGTCACTACGCGAAGGTGCGGCAGAGCCGGCTCCATGTCCGCCTGAGCTACTGCGTCCACTCTCTTGAGCGCTTCGGGAGGGCTGCACCATCTCGACGTCGGAGGATCCGCCCTCGTCGGAGTCGTCCAAAGAGATTACTTGAATGTTGTTTGCCCGGCTGGAGCCAGGTCAGAGAGGTGAATCAGCACAAGAATCTCTGCGAATGGTGGGAGTACAAGCACAAACATTTACTCAACTCACTTGGCTTGTCGGTTGCGCCTTCTCTCCGCCAAGCGTCGAGCAGCATTTGAACCGATCGCATTGTCCTCGTCCTCGTCCTCTTCACCATCTTCCACCATGAAGGCTTCGTGGTCTGCGCGTTCTTCGTCGTCAATGAAATCATCGTCCTCTTCGTCCTCGTCATCACTACCTATATCGTCGAGGCCGTGCTCAAAGAGCCTTGCAGCTAGTCTGTGGTTATCGTACTGCGCAGATGTGCCACGTTGACGATTGCGACGATTGGAGCCACCAGTAATTGGCAGCGTGATCGGCCCGACAGGCAAGGAGGGTCGAGCGTTAGAAGGACCCGCAGCGGCAGCAAGAGGAAACGAAGCAACACGAGAGGCACGCGAAGGGCTAGCAGCGGGGGAAATGGGAGCAGCCTCGAACCTGACAGATCTGACGACACCTGGGGCACGTGTGCCAGCAGCGCGGTTGGCGCTCACAGTGCGAGGAGCAGTGGCAGGTCGCAAAGCTTGCGGTTGCGATCGAGCCGCCCTCTGCCCTGCAGTTGCGGTGCTCGAAGAGGCAGCGGACGGACGAAGAGTACGGACAAATGCTTGCGGATGCGCGCCTCGACTTACGCTTGCTGCTGCCCTCGCGTACCTCTGAGCTGCCTCCTCCACTCCACTGTTCCACATGGGCACCCCCGACATGCCGAGCCTCCTGAGAGCATCTGACATGTAGCTGCGCCAGGTGCCGCCGTACGCTAGCCTTCGAACGGCAGTGGCTGCGTCACCGCGGAAAATTGGCATTGGCTCACGCAAATGTGGCCCCGTTCCCTGCCCATTGAGGGACGTCGATCTGCCGGTTGTTGTAGGACCACGACGAATGCTCACAATTTCGAAGGGGTTACCTTGACCGTCCCAGTCCGAATACGGAGAGAACCCACCGCTGCCGGTGTAGTCATCGGCTTCTGGGTATTCAAGAGCACTGCGAATGGCGTCGAGATCGGTGAGCTATCCTTGACAGCGGGCAAGGTTGACGGCAGGGCTCACCAGTCAGGGTTGGTACAGATGCCCCTTACGACCTCAGATGAGCAATCGCCGCAGCGCATGACTCCATCTTCCACATCGTGGATGAGCTTGTTGTGGCCTGCCTCAGGAAAGATGTCTACCGACCAAAGCGGGGCAGTGGTAACAGGCATTAGACTTAGGGATGGCGGGAAACGCACGAGTAGCACTCACGCTTCCAGAGATCTGTCCCTTGAGGCATGTCGTCACCCTTGTCCTGACGCGTCGAAGGTGTGGAGTCCTCGCCGCCGCGACCGTGACCAGATCGTACAGCTGAATCGAGTTGATCGAGAAAACCCTTGATCATCCATACCTCTGCTGGACGGGCCTCCACGCGCGCGCGACAATGTGGGCAGAGTTTGACTCTGCGCTGTGTGGCGCGGCGCTCAAAGGCAAGCCGTTCTGCGGGTGTGAGAGATGCCCGGGGCTCTGATTCATGGGGCTCGCGTCTGATTCGGGAAGTGAGAAGTGAGGTCAATAAGTGGCCGACTACGCTAATGAGCAAGCACTCACTTTTCAAACCAGCCCACCAAGCAACGTGCGCAGAAGGTATGCCCACAGGGTGTCAGGACGTGTGGGCGCCACGCAAGATCGAGGCAAATGGTGCAGGTGCACATGGAGTGTATGTTTTCGATAATGCTCCTCGAAGCCTCAATGAAGTTATTCTTCGACTCCATCTCTTTCTCAGCCCTGACGAGGCTGAGCTCAAGCTCTGTGGTACCTCGATGGACTCCTGAAGCGGCGCAGAAATGATGAATTGGTGAGCAAGGTCGAAAGTGCCACCTTTGATATGGAGCACGGAACTCGCGACTAACCTAGAGAGGTTGCAACTTTCGAAGAAGAATCTGGAGCACCTTTGAGAGGCTTCTCGGACGTCGAAGGCGAGGCAGATCGAGCCAGCCCTGTGTGGCTCTTACCTGCCAATGCCACCTTCTTCGGCTCGTTTTCGTCTGAAATGGGAAGCAGGGACTCCTGCTTCTTGGCCTTTCCATCTGATGAGGGAGAACCAAGCGCGACAAGCTTTGTTCTCGGCGAGTGCGAGTTGCGTGATTGTGAGCGCGTGCGTCTAGGTGGGTTTGTTACCATAGATGTGGGAAGGCGCGAGGCCTGATCCTGTGAGCGGGCCGCGATAGCTGGCGGATATAGCTGTCCAGAGGTCGTAGAGCCTGAAGCACAACAGGGCGAGGCAGATCGTAACGACGACGTCAGCAGTCATGTTGTGCAATGAGATATGCACCTCGCTTCCGAAACCTAAGTGTCAGAGCAAGACTTACCTTGGCCAGAGCGCGTGTCCCGTTTGGTTGCGGGGGTGAAGGCGAGGAACTCAACACTGGAATCTGGATCGAGCTTCCGTCTCCCAGATCCGATCATGTTGTTATGTTGAACAGAGGGGCTTTGTCGCTTGCGTGTGAAATTTGCGCCTGCTGCACTGGTACCAACATGCTCAGCCGGGTTGGGAGGCGCTGAAGGCGAGCGGCCCCCAGCTGGGGTGGAGGCCGGCCCAGCGTCGTCCATCGTTGTCGATTAAAAGAGATCAAGACAAGCCTCAATGGTGTAAGTGGTGCGCAGCAGCGTTTTCGAGGCAAGGAGGCGAGACTGTCGAAAGGACCGCTTCCACTCTCTTGCGAGATGGGTCGTTGTCAAGCGTGAGAGATGTACAGAGGTGGCGAGAAGTCAAGACATCGACTGCTTTCGATTCGTGTTGGTGCCCGGGCGCGCTCCATGCAGCAACGTCAGCATCTTGCATGCAGCCCAAATTCTGGTGACGCTGCTGCCTGCTGCTTGATGATGCAGGCGGTGGAGCCGGCAAGCAGTTCTGATAGTCACAGTGCGAGGTATCTCATCAGCCTTGACTCACGACTCTGACTCCAAAATGCTGCCGGGCGGTCAGGTGTCGCGCGTCAACAAAGCGCGCGCGCGCGTTTGATCATTCACGACTCGCGAGTTTGAGAGCGCGGGTAGTCGTGAGTGGCCCGAGTCTACTAAGTGGCTTAGACTCGTATAAGGTCAAGTAGAGTCACAGTGCCTTGATATCCATAGAACGATATCCTCTATGGTGGGTCAGACTCATGACCACCAAATTCCGTAGGATCCAGGGGCGAAAGGAAGGAGCTGAGTTTTTGATATGATTAATCGATAACCCGCCTCAATCAAGAAACAAGAACAAAAAGCAAAATCAACAAGTATGTATGCAAGCAGACAATCTTGAATCTTAAATCTTAGTCGAAATCCGTGTTACAACAAAGGGATATCATTGCTATTCAAAATTAGCAAATCCAATCTTAATTCTTAATCTGAACGCGCGCGGTAAGCTCAGCTCTCGCTGGCCTATGCGGCTGAATGTGAGAGCCACGTGGGTTTAGGACGAGTCGCCGCGCATCCGGCCGTGCACTGCGGAGTGGGCAATCTTCCTGCTGAAGCCAAGGCCGTGGCAGCTGCGACGACGGTCACACATTCTTCAGGCTTTCGCTCCATCCATCAACCCAATCGCACCTTTTATCTCTCTAGCCGCGTCTCATTCTTGAGTCACAATGTCAGAGTCTTTGCAGTACCGTGGCGAGCTTGCCGCTCACCGTGGCTGGGTCACCGCCATTGCTACCTCCTCGGAGAACCCCAACCTTCTCCTGACGGCTTCTCGTGGTGAGTACGATTGAGACTGGCCCAGGTTGCAAGGATTGCTCGATGGGAGGTTATAGGACTTCTTCGAAAGTAGTAGCTGCTCTTGGAGATGGTGTTGGCTACTTTTGCTGACGCGTACATCGTTCCTCTCAATTCTCAGACCGCACCATCATCGTGTGGGAGCTTGGCCGCGATGATGCTAACTATGGCTACCCCAAGAAGATTTTGAGAGGCCACAACCACTTCGTGTCAGACATTGTCATCAGCAGCGATGGTCAATTCGCTCTTTCTGCCTCGTGGGACAAGACTCTCCGCCTTTGGGACCTCAATACCGGTACGACCGCCCGTCGCTTCGTGGGACACACTGGCGATGTTCTTAGTGTCAGCTTCAGCGCCGACAACCGTCAGATCGTCAGCGGAAGCCGTGACAGGACCATCAAGCTGTGGAACACCCTTGGTGAATGCAAGTTCAACATCCAGGAGGACGGTCACACGGAGTGGGTCAGCTGCGTTCGCTTCTCCCCCAACCCTTCCAACCCCGTCATTGTGTCTGCTGGATGGGACAAGGTCGTCAAGGTGAGTTGCAGACAAAGTTATGCAGCATCACATGGTTGGGGAACACTGCGATGAAGAGGAAATTAGTATTTGCTACTTCAGAGGTGCACAAGATGCATCAATGAGACAATACCTACAACCACCAAGATCACTGAGCATGCTTCCAGTGCAAGCAAGAAGCGAGTCTAGCAGCTGTCGAAGCTGTTTGCTGACACTGCGCTTCTCGCTTCCCAGGTCTGGGAGCTTTCCAAGTGCAAGCTGAAGACTAACCACTTCGGTCACACTGGCTACATCAACACCGTCACTGTCTCTCCTGATGGTTCGCTGTGCGCTTCCGGTGGAAAGGACGGTATCACCATGCTCTGGGAGCTGTCCGACGGCAAGCACCTGTACAGCCTCGAGGCCGGCGACACTGTCAACGCTCTTGTGTTCAGCCCCAACCGCTACTGGCTTTGCGCTGCCACCGCATCTTGCATCAAGATTTTCGATCTCGAGAGCAAGAGCATCGTCGACGAGCTGAAGCCCGAGTTCACGGGCGTCGGCAAGAAGGCCATCGACCCCGAGTGCATCTCCCTCGCTTGGTCGGCCGACGGCTCTACCCTCTATGCCGGTTACTCCGACAACCTCGTCCGTGTCTACAGCGTCTTGGCCTGAGCCGATCACGCCTGTGCGCTTGACGGCTTGGCAGCCATTGTGGAGGATCAGGGGCTGTCGTGAACGCAGGGGGCGTTTCCAGCCTTGAGAGTTCGGAGGATGAAAAGTGATGCGAGCGCAGGGGGCGCTACCACTTTGGGAAGGAAGTCACATCATTTACTTTCATGAGGTCCTGAACGCGACGCGTGCTGGAACGGCTTTGAAGGTCGCAATTGCCTAGTCATGACTGAGGCAAAGAGCCCTGATGGCTCAAGCGTCTGGACCTCAGAGTTGCCGCAGGCGCAGGGGGCGTCTCCACCTCTTTCTCCCATGTATTTTTCACTCACGATACAAAATTCAGCATGTGCACTGAAATTCGACTGAGGGTACGAATGGGCGGATCCTTGTGATCCTTCGACTCTGTTGCTTTTCAGTATGCGCTCACTGGTGCTCAGTATCAACCCTTTCGACTAGGCTGAAATGCGGGCACGGTTGTGTGGACATCAAGAGCCCAGTTTCCTGAACAATCGTGAATCTCAAACCACGTGGTTTCTCCTCACACGCCGCGCAATTCTCACTCTCTCGTGCGAGAAGGCACGCAACGAGCTGATTTTTTGGTGAATGCATGCATGCACGCGTGCACCTCAACTCGACTGGATTCGCGACCAACCCTCACGACTTGCTGGGGGCCTGTTTGTGCACTTCCTGACATTTTAGCTGAGCCGAACCTCGAATCGTGGATGACACTGAGCAACGGGCACGATCCCACTTGTGGACTCACGACGTCTTTCATCTGATTCTTACAACCTACTCCATCGGAGTGTCTAGACCACGAGGGACCACTGCAGGCGCAAACTTGAGGCTTATTACCAACCAAGACCACGTTGACGGGTGCCTCGTTCTCTCCCAAGCACCTGTCACATTCCGGCAGGATGACTGATCAAGACGTGCCGAAGACGGAGACGCCGGTGGAGACTACTGCGGAAGGCTCCACTGCACCCGCTGCGCCTGCTGTCGATCCTCAGACCGCTGCCGCGGCTGCCGGCGTTCCTGATGCTCTGGACCCATCTGCCATCGAGAAGCATGTGGCTCTGAGCGAAGTAGCTCGCCAAAGTGAGTGTAGGCAATATGTAGGCGCCGGAAAGAGCCAGGAATGCCGTTGTCGTGCTGTAAGTCCCTCCGAGATGGTTGTTTGCTGATTCCTTGCGTTCCTGTTCTTGCTTAGTCTCCTTCTATTTCGGCGATGCGAACTACCCCTTCGACAGGTTCTTGTTCATGCTAAGCAGGAAAAGCCCAGAAGGTTGGGTGCCAATCTCCATCATTGCTTCTTTCAAGCGTATGAAGCCCATGCGCTCTCTTTTGACCGACGAGGAGATTGCCGCCTCCGTAGAAGAGGCCATGCAACTTCAGGAGGATCCGCTCGTGGAGGTGGACGAATCCAAGACCAAGATCAGACGCAAGAGGGAGCTCGTGCCAAAGAAGGATGCTTTTGCCAGAAGCGCATATGTCGTGAGTAGCTGATTAGTGATCTGGTTGTGCCGGTCGCACATGGGTATGCTCCGGAGCTGACGCGCAGTTGCTCTTCGCTAACCTCACATCAGAAAGGCTTCGGAGAGGAGACTGGCGAGCTTCAGAAGGATTTGGAAGCTTTCTTTGCCGAGTACGGCGACATTGCTCAAGTACGCTTGCGCCGCGACAAGGGCCGTGGGTTCAAAGGGAGCGTCTTCGTCGAATTCAACAATTTCAAAGAACTTCAACAATTTGTTCAATTGGGCCAGAAAGCTGACGACGATGACGAGCGACCCAAGTGGGAGGGCCACCCACTGCAAATCATGACAAAGTAAGTATGTGCATCTCAGCCCTTTGCGTGAGCTTGCCATCTCAACCAGTGCTGAATTTGGCTGAGCATTTGCGACCCAATTGACCTTCTTTCTGACGCAGGGAGGCTTACTGCGACATGAAAATGGAAGAGAAGGGCATTGACAAAACCAAGAGCTCGGTGTATCGTGGAAAGGAGTCCAAAGAGACTGGCCCAGTGCGCTTCAACGCTTTCAGGGAGATGGAGAGAGAGGCCGCTGGGCTGCCGGCATGGCACGATACCGACTCTCAACAGTCGGGTGCTGCCCCGAAACCAAACCGCAAGCCCGACCGCAGCGAGCCTCTGGAGCTCGAGTTCAACGGCAAGACGCTCACCACTCGAGCTGATGGAACTGTTGATCCTGACGAGGTGGCTTTCCCTGAGCAGAGCGTTCTTGCATTTGAAGGAGCTGGGGAGGGGGGACACTGGCGGGACCTGAAGGTGAGTTGTCTTCATGCATATTGTTGGCAGTATCTACGCCGAAAAGCTTATGCTTTGGATCCACTCATGCCCTGATTGCGACCTTCAGGAGACTCTTTTGACCATCCTTCCGACGTCCTTCGTGGAGTTTCCCGAGGGCGCCGTGAAGGGCGCGGTGGGCTTCACCACCCCGGTGGCGGAGGACAAATTCAAGGAGATCATCGATCGCGCCATTCTTGTTGGTGGGCAGCCTGTCACCTGGTCTCGCGTCGCTGATCAGGACGCCAAGAAGTTTTATATTGACAGGGCCAACTTCAGAGCCAAGTGGCTTCTGGATGCGCGCTCCAACCCGACAAACGGGCATGGCCGGGGCGGCAAGAGCGGACGCGGTGCCAGGGGAGGACGAGGAGGTGGCGGCGGTGGTCGCGGCGGACGGGGTGGCAGGGGCAGTGGAAGAGGTGGCGGACGAGGTGGCAGGGGTGGTCAATCCTTCTCGAGGAGTTCAGATAGGAAACGAGAGAATGGGGACCAAGGCGATTCTGACAGACCCAATAAGCGTCAAGCCACCGATGCCCCACCAGTCATTGGATCGGCTGTCAAGCGCGAGGAGTAGAGCGCCCCGTTCGCAAGACCGTATCTGGATGCAAGAGGACCCCCACGCCTCGCCTCCACAGCACAATTTGATGTCGAGCCGATGTCGAAGAATGCATCACTGGCTCGATCTCAAACAGCTTCGCGCAAACTCAGGAGGCGGGGAGCGCTCTGCGTCGTGTTCGAGGCGAGGTCCAGAATCTATGATTAATTTCAGACCCATTACACTCGAGATAGCGTGGTTCACACAATTGATCATCATTCAGAGAGATTGCGCCAGCTTCGTGATGTGAGATATAAACAATGTGGGGACGTGGAACCATGTCGGGAAGGGTCGGTATGCGACAACATCTTCGCAAGTGAATCTGCTGCGTTTAGCCGTCGGAGAGTGGAGCAGATCAAAGCACATTCCAAGGCTCTTATCATGATCGCGTCGGGCGACCACCCATGCCCCTGAATCTCGTATCTTGAGCCAAATTTAGAGAGCTCCGGACCCTGCCCTTTGTGAGACCAAAAGGTTGCAGACACGCACACAGCCAAGTCTCAAGGCGGTGGTTTGGGGCCGCTCGAACCCTTGCCGCTCGCACCCTTGCCGGGTCCTCCTGCCGCCTTTTCGCCCGTACCCTTTTCAGATCCTCCACCCGCGCCTTCGTTCCCGCTTTCGCCATTCTGCTCCTCATCTCTCCTTCCCAAATGGAAATGACGTGGCAAAATTGTTGTAGCATGGCTGCCAGTGTCGCGGCGATGGCCTGCTCTTGGCTCTGGCCCGAATCCGCTCGGTGCTTCTCCAGGATTGGCGTGCGTGCGGACAGCGAGACGGTCGGCGCCGATAGGCAGGGAGGCTCGTCGATGATGACCTGGGTCTGGCTTGTCCGGATCTCCTGGGCGGGGCTTAGGGCTTGGCGCTTTGCCGCTGTCTCCTCGTAGCTCAAGGGCATCACTGCGAGGTCTGAGCCAATTAGAAGTGCTGCGAGCGCGTACTTCGAGCTGGTATGGGCTGATTGGCAGAGAGGCTCGTCGACGACGACCACGATCTCCTGGATCTCCTGGATCTGCTGATTCGCCTGGTTCTCCTGGATCCGTTGATGCTCCTGGGCCTGGCTCTTTGCCGCCACCGTCTCGTTGCTCAACAACATCATCACCTCGCGAAAGCCAATCAGAATTGGCGTGAGTGCGGACTTCGAGCTGATCTGCACTGATCGAGAGGGAGGCTCGTCGACGACGACCTGGACCTCCTGGAGATGGAGCTTCTGGGTGTCCTGGCTTTGGCGGATCTGCTGGGCTGGGCTTAGGGCTTGGCGCTTTGCCGCTTTCTCCTCGTAGCTCAAGGGCATCACTACGAGGTCTGAGCCAACTAGAAATGGCGTGAGTGCGAACTTCGAGCTGGTCTGCACTGATCGACAGGGGAGCCCGTCGACGACGACCTGGATTCTCCGGATCCTTGTTAGGATCTGGTTTCGTGCCTGTGCCTCTTGTGCCTGGCACCGATACGCCTGTGCCTGGCCTTGCTGTTGCGCTTCGTCCATCCCCTCTCACCACTATGTGCTGCTGATCAAGCTTGCGATCGTTGAGCGAGACGTCTGTCGTGAAGCGTAGATGAAGATCTGCGACACCCCGACCACCACGGTCTCTTCGGTCGAGACTTTTAGGAGGCTCAACAGGCTCCGTTGCAGCCTGCTCTCTTCGCGTGATGATGGTAGAGGTCTCGCTTCGGTCCAAAACGGGAATCACGAGCGGCCGGTCTGCCCCATCCGCTACGCTAGAGCGCTGGCGAAGGGCCACGAGATAGTTGTCGTCATGGTCTCTGCGCGAATTGCTGCCTGGTGGTGGCTCGTAGGGTTTTGATGCGCCGCCTCCGTTGCCTGCCGAGGCACCGTCGTCTCGTTTCGTCCGAGCGAGACGTACTGGTTGGGCATGGACGCTGGCTACGGCAAGCGCCAAAGCCAAGACGACGAATGAGAACAGAACTCCCTCCGGCTTCATGATGCAGCGCCTGACTCCGAAGCCTATGGTCATCGGGTGTCGAAAGTACGAAGGGACCGAAGAGGCAACCGGCTGTTGTGACGAAGTGCGATCGAGATAGCGCTCACCACTGATGCTTTGCCTGACCTTGATCTCAAGCCGATTGAAGAATCCGATAAATGTGAGGTAGATCGTGTGAGAATGGAGGATCAGGAGCTGTGAAGTGCGACTTGAGGGACGTCTTTTAAACATTTGCTCGCGTCCCTGCCACGGCGGCGCAATCGCTGCCATATCGCAACGTGAGCTGGTTCAGGCAGCAGCGACATTGCGCCTCTCACGGTTCGGCAGCGTTTCCCTGCCTAGTGAGAGTGAACTACAGGCTTAGCAATCTACCTTCATCGGGCAAGCTACCAATCAACGACTGGTTTCTTGCAATTGTACCTCGATCCTCTCCGCGGAAGCTCCTATTTGCGGAGCGCGCCTCCCCTTTATCCCTACTCGAGCCGCTTCATCCGCCTCGATGGCGTGATTATCCTTTCTTAAAAGGTGCCACACACTGTGTCAGGAAGAAGTGCGTGTACCTGGGCGAAACGATGTTGCACCGGATTCACACCTCGCGCCACCCAATCTGTTGCCTGGACTACCATCAGACTGACATTCAATTGGCGCGGGGTGCATGCCTGCTGCGTCTGGGGCTGCGCAAGGGCAGAAACTAGTCTCCGCCATCCTCATCGCCTACGGAACGATCTGTTGACACAGGCTTGCGTCCATCCTCCGCTCTCCGTTGCTATGTGGTCTGGCGAAGCGCGATGCCGTTTCTTGCAACGCCTCGTGCTCTCCAAGCACTTATCGCCGATTGTGGCGGGGACCTCTGGGCGCCTGATCGCGATCGATACTGAGCCAAGCGCGCTTTGTTTAGCAATGAGAAAGTGGTCTCTTGATTGCCATTCTTCGTTGCCACTCGGGCCCAGCGATGAAAGCGCTTATGGCGGAGAGGCGTAGAAGCGCCGGGGTCGGATGCCAGGCAAGCGCTCGCCATCGCCTTTGTCTGGATGCTTCGATCCGCAAGGTGCGTCTCTGTAGACCAGACACGACCTTCCCCCGACGTAGTGTCAAGCCTCCTACCTCGTTCACGCAGCCTCTCGCGAGCTTTGCACAATGGCACTCGTGACTGTGCCTGAGATCACGACATCACTTGTATGCTGCATTCGTGATTGGCCCTCGACAATCGGCCTCGGTATGCACTCCGTGCCCGGGACAGCTGGGTAGCTTGGTGCGTCATGTGGCGCATGGCCAATGTCCTGAGTTAACCGCGTCCTCTCTCCCCCAAAGTGGAGCACCTCTGCCCAAGTTGAACAGACCGCCCATTTCTGCGCCTCGTGTCGCCCAAATTACGATGATACGCGCACTCAAGTAGACTTGAAAGGGAGCACGACGATGCATGCCAATGCTACTCTTGGGTAGCGGTGGGGCAGGCGTGTCGAGCAGGATGGTGGAGGGGAAACAGGAGCATCACCGTCGGTCCAGCATCTGCAAGTCGAGCCAAATCTTCTTCAGATTCACGATTGAGCAGAAGTCGAGTGCTCTCGTCGAAGTCAAGAGTCACGTGCTAACGGCTCACCAAACGCGAATGCAAGAATTTCCGCGATTGTGATTCGATCTTGATCCGTGCTGCAGCAGCTAGCCGACGTCATGCTGTACCGGCATGCGATCGAGTCCAGAAAAGCGCTGCACTCTTGACTCTTGACTCAATCAAGATTTAGAGTTGTGAGTGACTCACGACTCAAAGTCATTACTCGAAACTCATCACTCGCCGCTCATCATTTCACGATCCACAGTCTCGCATTTCGAGCCCAACTCGGCACACGGCACGCAATCACTTGCACATGCGGAGGAGGAACGACTTGCAAAGTCCTCACAGCTGCGAACACTTCCAATACACCAACACTCAACGTCCAAGTGCGAGTGTAATTGGACGCCCTTCCACTCGATCAAACAAAGCAGCGAACTCGTATCGGCTCTACTGAAGACTGTCGCCCCTCTGGAGCGCACTCAGTCAATGAAATGAGGCCCACAACACTGACGATAAAGCATTTGGCCAGACGCACAACTCCGCTGGCTCATGATGGGCCTCTAGAAGCGGTGTCTTTCCGAGGAGCGACTTTCGGCTCCCTCGGCCGGACGAACTTCCTTCGCTCTCCCACAGCGACGAGGAGCTTCAGGAGATGTGCGCCATCTGAGAGGATTGCAGCTTTGGCTCAAGTGAGCCAGCATGCCGGCTACACTGCGCAGCATCGAGCGCTTCCCTTTCCGGAGTCTTGCTCCACCTTCCACCTGCCCTCGCGCTCTTACTCCGCCACGTCTGCCGGCTCGTCAAACACCTCCAAAGCTTGTCCGGAGTGCGGCCGTTCTAACCCGCTACCATCGCTCGTTTGCACAGAGCAATCGTGCGGTGCAATCCAGGTTCCGGCAGGAGATGCAGAGGGAGTGACCCCTTACGAGCTGCTGGGATTGCAGCTGGACGGGGTGGAGGGAAACGGCTGGAGGGTGGATCTTGATGATTTGAAGGCGAGATGGAGGAAAGCTATTGCTATGACCCATCCCGACCGAGCGCGACAGAGGGGAGAGGTGAGTGATGTCGACCGGAGGAGCTCATTGAACTCACCAATCTCAAATGTCTTCTCGCTTGTCTCGCTTTCGGCTAATGCGTGCATCGCCTACGTGCACAGAAACAAGAACAGCTGGCATTGGCTCAGTCCAGTGTGTTGAACAAAGCTTACCTGACATTGCTAAATCCCTTGGCAAGAGCGACTTGGCTGGTGGGTGCATGGGCGAGGGGGCCGCTACGTCGAATCCTTTCACATCACACTCTGACCTAGCCATCGTCGGATATCTTCGCTCTCGCTCAGCTGGAGCACGGCTCCCATGCAGCACCCGGTGAAGAGGAGGGTGTCGAGGATCCCGCCTTACTGATGCAGGTGATGGAGTTTAGAGAAGCTTTGGAAGAGGCTTCAAATGAGGAGCAAGCCGAGCAGGTGGGCAGCGACAATCAGAGTGAGCAGACGGATCGCCAGCTCTTTCCCGCTCTCCGTGGTAGCTGAAGAAGCGCACTCTCGCCTTCTCTCAATCTAGTCCAACTACAGTCGACATTGCAAGCTCTGGACGAAGCGTTCACTAGAGCGCAGCCTGAGTACGAGAAAATCAAGAGCTTAATCATACAGCTCAGGTACTGGATGAACATAGACAAGGCAGCAAGAGAGTGGAGCCCAGGGCAACGCGTGGAGCTCAAACATTGACGTCGCTTGCAATGTCGGATTTTTGCTCAATGTAGCTTGCATTATCGAGTAAAAGGGGCACGGTGGGCGTTGGGCGTTTGGGAGGCGAATACACAGTAGAGTCTCACCGATCTTCGCTTCAGGCGCGGACGCAAAGGGCTCACAAACTCGGCGAGACGAGGAACGCAAGCTGAGCGGGATGCGCCGAGGCCATGGCGAGGTCTTTGAGCAAGGAGCGCAAGCCCTGTGCTCGAGGGTCGAAAACTGCAGGCAAGGAATTGGAAAATTCACTCTGCTAGCCTTCCCAAGCACATCATGGACATGCACCTAGCAGCACAAACATCCCAGACCTTTTGCGCGTCTGGCTTTGTCCGCGTTCGCGTCGCAAGATCGAAGAGGACTGAATGCTTCCGATGTGTCCGGAGCCCTGGTGAGCTCCAAGCAGGCAGTCATGATGGCATGACCCTAACCGACGTTGGCAGCGGGCGCCGCTCTGCGGTCGGGAGGGCCAAGTCCGTCAGCCAGGTAGCGCACATTATGCGCATCGAGCATCTGCAAGAGCCCTCCGCCACGACTGCTGCTTCAATTCCATGTCGGCCTTCCTCTCACCTGATGATCATTCGAACGCTATTCAAAAAGACAAGAATAAGATCTTCATAGGGAGTCCACTCCTCGGGGGACGTCCGATTAGGAGACACTTCTGACCTGTAGTTGTGCGCTTCTCGGAGCAGGCTGCCCGCATCTCTAAACTCCAGCTCCAGCTCATGAGAGGGTACACCCGGCTGCGGAAAGAGTGTAGAAGTGTGTGGTTCCGATAAGCAAAGCTCGCAACACGAGCTCAAGCTTCTCTTATGACTCAGATCAAGTCGGTTTCCAAGCCTGAAGCTAGCAGTCGCTCCAACTCACGTTGTCCGAAGAATCGACAGCTGTGAGGTCCACCTGGAAATGTGGGTTCTGGTAGCACAGCCTGTTCTTGTCTCGCGTGAGCTGCGGCTGGTCTTGCGGAGGAGACTCTGGGAGCGGGATCAGAGTGCCTGTCAGCATCGCACGCGGCGCGCTTGATCGCAAGGGCTTGATCGATACTGACGAATCGGCAATTCCCAATTCAAGCTGATCCTGTAGTCCAAGTTGTGATTGGGACAGAATACGTTCATGTCCGCCACCCTCTCTTTCCTGATGATACCTCCCGGACCAGATTTGATCTCTTTAGAGCCATGCTCCCTGGTCACTCGTACTCGGTTGGCGTGCAGACTGTCGTGCTCTCTGAGCCTGGAGTAGATCATCCTCTTCGGCACCAGAGCATTGAGCGTGGTGTTCAGCGACTTGTGCTGTTCCTGTGAGCGTAGCAGATCAGGGTGAGCATTACTCGGCGGAGGGTTGTTGGCTTTCCCACTTCGACATGACCGGCTCGTGTGGACTCCCCACCTACCTGCGTCATGTTGGACTGGAAGCGCCAGCCAGGCTGCATGTGAACGACTGTCGAGTAGGAGAGCAGAGAGTGCATGCATCAATGGAGCTGCTGATCATGCCTGCGTGATGCTCACGCGCATGTCATTCCCTAGATTCCTCACTTGTCTCGTTGGCGACTGGGAGATTGAGCCGCATGCCCTCGTTGTCCAAGATGATGCCCACCTTTGCCTCAATCTGAGCGATCCAGTGTTGGAGTCGAGACGGTACTTCAGCACGTCATCTTGTCCACATCCACACTTCGCACTGAGCTGCGCTATTCCTCACCTCCAGATTGTTCCAGCTTCTCCCACCATTTGACGCGCCGGCATCCTCGTCTCCTGCCGGTCCTACAACATTCCAGATCCAGTCAGACACGATCCCAGCAAACTCGTCCTTGGGATCCCAGCCAAAGATGGACCTGTCGATTGGTGGATCTGGAAAGACCGTCGGCATTATTGCAGCATCAGAGTCCCCAGCCGTGCAGCTTCGAATATAGGGCGAGTCGACACTTGGCCTTTGAATTGTCGGCGGTCGCGCGAGTAGGCTGCGTCTGTTGGAAGAGACTTGGCGGAGCTCAAGAGTGAGATCTGCGACGCGGGCAGCCGGTTGGTCTCGCAAGAATTGATGGAGTCGGTGCAGCGAAGGCCTGGCAGCTTCCTGTGGTGATGAGCTAGGTTCATGGTGGAAGTCGGAGCAAGCGCAGAGCAGTCCTCCGTTGCAGGGGATTTCAGCTAAAGACAAGGCGGTGCACCTTGCATATAACGCATAACGCACGATCTCGAAGAGTAGTTTTGAGTTTGAGTGTCTTCGAGAGGAACGAAAGTGATCACGTGACGCCTCGACACTCTGTGCGGTTGCACGCTAGTCTGAGTGAGACTTCAAGACTTTCGACTCTTCTGACTGCCTTGATCTTCTCCAGTGAGATGACAGCTTCAAGAACATCACCCAAGGCACCACCTCCGTGCTACGTCACATGCCTGTTCCAGTACACCGCACATTCGAGTGAACAAAATTGCCTCTTGTTAACGTCGGATTGCATCACCAAGCTATGCATTGCGAAGTGCGAGGGGTCGGGATGAAGAAGACCTGATAGAACATCTCTCTCGCGGACATGCGCGAGCCAGGTAATACATGCGTAATAAGCAAGGACCCTGATTGAAGCAGCCTCGTCAATGCAAGAAGAGCTCCGACGAACCCTACCGTGACCTTCGCCTACGAGCGGCTGATTGACAAGGCAGCAGAGCCAGACGAAGGTAGCACGCCTCCGACAATGGTGCGTACCTCTTCCAAGCCTCGAAGTCTTCGCTCTTCGAATTCGCCCTGTTAAAGTGAAACGTAGGCATGATCAGCCAATCAAGATCGTGCTGCCAAGGATGTAAGGGCACTCCAAATTCTTCCGCCCCAATGCTCACCAAATTCCAGCTGGCTTTGTCTTGCCAAGCGCCTAGACCCCTGTTGTCTTCCTTGCCGACCCCTTCTGCTCTGGCAGGATCGTATACACTCATGATGCCAGCCTTGCGATGCCCACCGCCTTCGATGATACCATCCCGCGGCATCGCCTTGCCATGCTTGCTCTGGTATTTGGCTTGTTCGCGAGAGAGAATGTTGCGTCGAAGACCTTCAGCCCTTTCCCAGTTGGAGCGCGTCGATGCAAAAGTTCCATAGCCGGAGGTTGCAACGACGAGCCAAGGTGGAATGGTTCTGCGGCCAGACTTGAAACAATACCTGCTCACAGCCGTGGCGTAGATGGTACGGCCCTCCAAGCTCTGCTCCACTTCGCCCTCCTGCAATCCAGCTTCTTGCTCCTCGTCCGGCTTGGGTGGCCTGACCGGGGGCTTGCCTTGAGGCTGTGCGACGTCGATCAGCATAGCCTTCAAATTCTGAGCTGATCTAGACCGCTTCCTGACTCCTGCTTGTCGAGTTCTGGCGTGTCCCTTGGCAGGTGACACGAAGCGAGCCAGCACGTAGAACCACTTGTCATCCCAAGATGCTACCTGCATGCGGATCTCGTATTTTGCCATGAATGGGATTTCCTTGTGAAAGGTCAAGGCTGCTCCGCCCAAGGCCATCCAGCCTCCATCGAAGTGGAAGCGTAGGATGCGGGAGCTGAGGAAGGACATGCGAGCGTAGTCCAGAGCTCGACTGTATGCGCTGTTCGAGACGTGCAGGCTGTGTCGAGGCAGTAGATCTGTCAGCTCTTGTATCCGCAATCTGGTCAAGCATGACGGCGCACGCTGTACCCAAGAGTCGAACGTCCACTCACTTCCAGTCGCAGTCATCTGGCCATGCCCGGCAGGTGTATGTCTCCACATCGTTGAAGATGTCTTTGCCGAGGGGTAGCGCATCCAACCTGAGCGCAGGACTCGTCCCGGGCTGAGTGGTGGCATGCTTGCTGCTCGAGATCCAAGGCAATAGAGGATGAATGCTAGGTCTAGCTTTGAACCTGGCCCACACAGCAGGCAGGAATACTCTGATGTGCCAAAAGAGGGGAAAAGAGCGAATGTTAAAGAGCAACAGTATAGCGATGATGCGCTGCACCAAAGCTGGAGGTCCACTTTTCAAGATGGCGGGCAAGTAGGGCGCTAAGAGTGATGGCGTTGACAGCACCCGCAAAGGCCTGCGGAGCCGGTAGTCTGGGAAGACTATTGGGTCCGGAACCGGGCCAGGGTTGATCGAAGACATTCTTGCTGTGGTCGTCAAGGGATGCCTTCGAGGGCTTGGGGCTTTGAAACGTAGCGATGCTCCTCGAGCCGAGTTCAATGCGTCGTGAGTGTCAGTGTAGGTCGGGCGCCTTGCGGTGTCGCGTGGTCTGTCTCGCGTCTTGCTTGCTTGGTAGAGTCGTGGAGTATCAGCCGGCCTTTATTTGCAGGTCTCGAAAAACGGTGTGATGGTAGGGAGGCAGAGATGATTGGCCACGGTTGCTTGCGCTGCAGGATCAACAAAGTCGACAGCCGCTGATTTCACATTGTGATTCGTGGCGCCGAATTTCCGAATTACTCGCGCTGTAGCTTCAATCGCGGAGCTAGCTTGCTGCCTCACACACAAAGACGGAGCGATCTCCGAACCACATATGTGAGGTCAGGCGAACCCCGCAGCATGCTATATCCACCTAAGCAGCGTTGAGCTCGAAGAAGACTACTAATTGATCACGGACCCAAAAGCAGCGCACTTTTGGACGAACGTGTGCTCGGCCCGATCTTCATTCACGATAAACGATCTCAGAGCTAGAAGGGCGAGCTGTAGGCAGCCATTTCATGATCAGCAATCGACCTCGAGCGATCAGCAGCGCCATGGTCACTCGATACGATCGTGAATTGAGTTGTGACGTGGGTACGTTAGAGCTGGGGTGGTCGGCAGATGGGCAGTGTGCATGCGGTCCCGTGCCCTGACAACCCCCTTCCCCGCACTCCACTCAGACTCACGACTCAACTTCTCACCTGTACCTATCTACAGTATAGCTGACGTTTGTCGCTGAGCTGTGCTGAAACGTCTCATGTCGCCCGGCCCGTGCACAGACAGCATGAACACTTAGCTGCGGTGCAACTTCCAAATTGTTGGGGCACCAGCAATCAGCCTTTGCGTCCCTGCTTGCATGTATGCACACTCACGGACTATAGTACACAACGATCAAAGCTTCCGGCGGTGGGGCAGCGCCTCCACGTAGCAGCAGCGGCAGCAGCAGCCGCAAATCGCGAAGATGGCCATGTTGCTGATGCTGCTGCGTGTATACGGTAACTTGATCGGAGACGCGAGTTGAAAGGTCACAAAGCGACGACCACGACGCGCTAGCGCGCTCGCAAGTTTTCCCGCGGGTCGCCCCCAAAAGGAAGCACTCGATATCATGTGCGCTTGTGCTGCTGCTGATGCATGGCTGCTGATGCTCGCGCATATATGATGCATGCCTTGTTGCTGCTGCGTGCATGCATCCGTCATTCGAGACGACGCGCGCGTCATCGAAGCATCGATCGTCGTTATACAACGCTTCGTGCTTCCACCGCGCCAATCCCCACCATGCAGCAGCAGAGCAGCGCTCAGAGCCGTGGAGTGCGTCCATCATGCTATACATGCTTCTCACACGCCGTCACATCCCAGAGCAAGCAGCTAGACCCATGATCACATCTCACGAGTCCCGAGTCACGAGAGTCGGAAGCAAACTTATCTCCGAGGTGTTTCACGCTCCTGGCCCGAATCAAGAATAATCACGAATCATTGACGAGCGCGCAAGTCAGCTGGCAGCCCTGCCTTTGCTTCACAAACCCCAACCAAGCAATCTTGAATGATTACGAATCGACCACGCACACCAAGGCGTACACTTGCTGTTTGGGCTCTTCCGAGCCAGGGTGATGGCAGCAATACGGCAGGGGCGCAAGCAGATCAGCTCACCGCAAGCATCCACTCTGGACGAGGACGATGCGTCCAGTATCACTGCTAATTGCAAGACTCGCTCAACAGTCGAAGCAGCAATTCGAGCCGACGCTGATGGCAAACATGAAGGCTGTGAAGAAGAGACAAATCATCAGCTGCACTCTCCTCATCGCGAGTGGCGTGGTCTCTTGACGCTCTCTGCACTCGCCCTCGCTGCTGCTCTTCTCATAGTCTCCCTGGGGGCTCGTCCGGGCTCGATCTACGAGTCAAAAAGATGGCTGAACAGATCTCAGCCTGTGCTGTCGAATGGCACTCATTCTTGGCATCGCACTGTGCTCCTTCTTTCTCTTGATGGGGTGCGGCCAGACTATATCGCACCCTCGAGTGGCGGCATTAGCAGTTCAGCGTTGCCAGACAGGGAAGAAGTGTCTCCGACTACCAGGTCGCTGCTTCCCACGCTGTCGAGGATGCACGCCTCTGGCAAAGCTCTTCTGGCCGAGTACATGCTGCCCGTCATGCCGAGTCTAACATTTCCCAATCACTGGTCGATCTTGACGGGCCTGACACCCTTGTCGCACGGGATCGTTGCCAATGACTTCCATCTTATCGAAGATGAATCTGCTCCCCGCAATGCTCCATACTTGCCTCGGCAATTCTACTACACTCGACCTGAGCAGTCGTGGGATGGAGCTTGGTGGTACGGCAGCCCGATTTGGGAAGTCGTACAGAATGCAGGAAGAAGAGCGGCCGTCTTGATGTGGCCAGGTCCACCCGTGACGCGTGATGGCGTCTCTCCTGATTTGTTCCAAAAGTACGAAAAGGGTTGGTCACCTCAACGGCGTCTTGACAAGATGGTCGAATGGCTCTATTTGCCGACCAAAGAACGACCAGAGCTGGTGTGCGGTGCGTCTTGTGACGCTCATGCCATCGTCCTGTCTCCATATTAACCTTTTGATGTCGGTTCTGCGCAGCATACGTGCCGGACATCGACGCTGTCACACATCGCAAAGGGCCCGACGCCCGCATCGACGCAGTCGCCGATGCTTTCAAGCGAGTCGACGAATTTCTAACCTCGCTACTTAGATCTATAGACCGGATCAACGCTACAGACCTGATAGACGTAGTGATCGTGTCAGACCACGGCATGACTACAACTTCCAATGAGCGTTTAGTCTACCTCGACGAAGTTCTAGGAGAAGACCTGTACGACCAGATCACTTACCAGGATGGCTGGCCGCACGTGGGCCTGCATTTCAGCGATGTGAGCGCAGAAACGGAGGCAATCGCAATCTTGGAGCTGGCCCAAACACGCATTGGCAATGGCAGCGCCTTTGAAGTGGTTGACAGAGAAAATCTACTTCGGAAGTGGGGTTGGCTAGCTTTTGGGCCTTCGATGTCTGCCAGGGGCGTCCCCACAGCAGACGAACTCACGAGTCGTCGTCGGTTGATCCTTGAAGATCGAATGGCCAAGTTTTGGATTGTGCCTGCAAATGGCTGGGCCATTACATCACGAAAGGAGATGTCTGGCTTTAGCGATGGCGTCTACGAACCTCGAGGGTGCGTGCTGCCCCTTTCCATCTCAGCAGGTGCAGCAAGATTGCTCACTCACGGCGGTCTTGTCTTCCCCTCCGCAGAAACCATGGCTACTCCACCAACGCTTCAGACATGCGCGCGATATTTTTCGCCACTGGTCCATCATTCAGATTGCCCGTAGGCGGTCAACATCGCAAGACCGCCGAGTGTTCGGCTCGACCAGATTCTCATGAGCGGTCCTTGATGCCTCCATTGCGCAATTTGGAAGTGCACAATCTCATCGCTGACATTCTTCGAGTGCCGCCGAACAGGCGAAAATACACCGAGGTGAGCTGCATCCGTTGGCGCCTCGGAGCCTCTCTGCCAGCAGCCTGACGTGTATCCTCCAATGCCTCCTCAGGGCACACCTGATTTTTGGCGCCCTTACCTCCGTGCGCTCTCGTGATTCACGCGACGAGCTGGCGGTTCCCGCTACCATGCAATCCGGCTCCTCAGCTTCCATGAGTTATGCTTTGCATACCAGGAATTGTATAGCTTGAGCTTGTGATGAATATATCGTGCTTTGCGGTCCATTGTCGTCTCGACTGCTGCTGGATGCCTCGAAGCTGTGCTGCCTGCCCGCATTTGGAATTCGGCCTCGCATGCCGTCAGGTGCGAGTAGTGATGTGGGCGCTGTGTTGCGAAGCCTGATGCATGCCGTGATCTGCTTGCTGCTCGTACACGCGCGGATTCTGCGAGGCGCCCGCGTGCTCACAATGCGCGCCCAAGCGCAACTCCATCATGTCGTACCGGCGACGCACATGCTGAAGAGCGCTCAGGAACATGCTCGCTGGGTGATGCGCGAGATTGCAGCTGTTTAAAGGGTAGCCTTTCCTCGCCCGTGGGTCAAAGGGTGACGCTGATGTCCTCCTCAACATCTCGTCTGCTGCTGCTCGATGCTTTCGGCACGCTCTTGAAGCCTAGGATCGACCCCTGGTTGCAGTACGTGAGTCGCTCGTCGCGCGTCCCGGATGATGCAAAGTGCTCACGGACCGTACAGACTCGATCGATGTTGCCTGAAAGGCAGAGGAGGCGCACCTTTTGGGCATCCATACGCGCTCCGATCGCCTTCAAGATGCTTTCAAGCAGTGTGAGGTGCGATTCGAGGGTCAGATCCTTTTCGGTGCTCATCATCTTTGGCTTGTCGAACAGCTTTCAAGAGGATGGCCATCAGGGCGCCAAACTATGGCTATCCACCAGCGGATCCTACTCGATGGTGGACACAACTGATCAGCGACATGTTCAGTCAGTCAGATCTCTACGAGGACAACAAGCATCATCTTCCAACGCCGAAAGAGCTGGAACAAACACTAGCTCCAAGGATACTGCAGCGTTTCTCTTCAGCAAAGGCATACACACTGTTCGATGACACTGTGCCCTTTTTGCTCGCGCTGCGAAATCTGAAAGAAGAGTTGCCAGAGCGGCATCGACTTGCAATTTGTATAGCTAGCGATAGCGATAGCAGGATCATCAGCGCGCTCAGCGAGCTGCTCGATCAGGCGAGTACGCATGGGCGCGTGCCGGACTTGAGACCGCTGCTAGGCATCCACTCGAGCTCGTCCAAGGGGAGCCCCGCTTGCAGCCTTGCGTCAGCCAGACCAATATTTGGACACGAAATAGGCTACACCAAACCGGACGCGCGCTTCTTTTGGACAGCTCGAAATATGGCTTGGCCCGTTGTCGCAACAACGCAGCAAGAACAACGCACCTCAGATGCAAAGGCGGACTCTGCAAGAGATGGGAAAACGGTATACGTTGGTGACTCGCACGAGCTGGACTACATCGGTGCACGAGAAGCTGGACTAGATGCTCTGTGGATTGGCAGAAGCGCTCTTGCGCCTGATGACTACGCTGCTACTCGCGCGCAACACCGCATCGAAAGCCTCGTGGACGTGGTCAACGTCTTGCGAACATCCTACGAGGAGGAAGGCGTGATCGTGCGAAGCTAGAGAGCATCTTCACCCGAAATTAGCGCACCCGAGACTCAGAACCTACGTCTTGCGTCGCTGAACGCACACCAAGAACTCTGTATCTCTCTCTCTCGATGCTCTTTGCTTTGCCCATCCATTCCTATACATGCATCACGGCAAAGGCGCTTTGCCTAGAGCACTAATGGTGAAGTGCGCAGTGCCGAGGAACACAAAGCCTCCCCCGCTGATCCACAGCGTTCTGGGCACAACTCCAGCAAAGAGGGCAGCTAGACCCTCTGTCCGTGCCACGTGCAGCAAGGTGGGTATGATACGCGAATTGACTCCGGAAGCCTTGAGAGCTGGAGCGGAGGATTTGGCGGGCTCGGTCGCCTGTGTTATCGATCGCTAGTCGAGCACGAGCGGGAATGTGGATGAACGGATCAGCGCTCTGATTTGCCCATGCGTGATCAAGATGCAAGCCTCTCACGCACCCTTTCGAGCATGATCCGAGTCTTGACCACGTCTAGCGGCGTGGTGCTAGCAGCTGCGATTCCTCCCGCTGCAGATCCAGCAAGGCCAGCTTGCCAAGTAGGAAGATCTGCAGCCGAAGCTGGGGAGGCAGTAGTGGCGTAGCTTTCAGATACAGAGCTATCCCGCTGGCCTGAGCGCAACGCATTTGACCGGGCTATCCGTCGCTTCAACGCTTCGTACAAGGGAAATTGAATGCACGTGAAGGGAATCTAGTCGGAAATCAGAGAAGCGCGTATGAGCGGGACGCTGGGCCATTGCGTATCTCTACGAGCAGTGCGAGAGAGATGCTCGAACTCACTTCTCGCCCTACGGTGCCGGCAAAGCCTCTATACAGACCGCGCAAGCCGCTCTCTGCAATCACCGCTCGCAGAGCATTGGCGCTCGATGCAGAAGCTCCATACGAGGACGTCTGTTGTCGAGACTTGATCACTTCTGTAGGAACGCGTATCAAGCATGCTGCCTGGTTCGACCACGCGAGCCGCGAGTCAGGGAATCGAGATCAATGTGGACCAAAGGCGCATGTATGCACTCACCACCTCTCCCAAACTTCCGGCCAGCATGTGCGAGGAAGCACCATCTCCGAACAGTGGGGCCAGCGCCGGCTTGAGCGATTCGTAGGTGACAAAGAAGAGCGCAGCTGGAAGGCGAACCGATCGCAGCGGCATTTGCAAGCGCGTGGATCTGGCTCAGCACCTCTCCTCATGAACCAACTCCATCTCGGCTTTCTTGAAGCTGCTCTGATACAGAGATCGCCCTCGTCCGGCTCTCCTCTTATAACAGCACCGCAGAGCAGCGGCGCGCGCGTGACACTCACCTCCCGGGGCGCTTCCCACAGCTACGCTGCCGATTCCTCTGTACACGCCCTTGAATCCTCCAGCTTGCAGGAAGCCACCTTTCGCTTGCAAGCGCGTTTTGATGGTGTCGATGGGGTAGAAGAGCAGGTCGACAGACAGACCCGCTAATGCCCCACCCTTGCCGCATACACAGATAGGAACGAGTGATCATTTGCAATTTGAGGAGTGAGAAGTGAGCTATGCTGCGAGACTGCTGCGCTCGTGTGCGCCCTTCACCTTCACTCACAGTCAAGGAAGCGACAAAAGGAGGAGCTTGAGTTGGTGTGCCCTTGACGAAGGAAGCGATCTTGGCCTCAGAGCGGGCTGTGAGAGGCGCACTGGGCCCAGCTTCAGCCATGCCTGCTGCCGCGTACTAGCTTAGAAGCTCAGCAAATTCGATGTGCTAACAACGCTCTTGATTGCTACCTCGTAGGCCGTGGCTCGGCGTGGAGGAAAGCGCGAGGAGGGGCCAGAACGAGATGGACCTCGACAAATGGCGGCGCGAAGTAGAGATGTGGGAATCCCGTCGTCTACATAGACTTTAGTGCATCCAAATGTCGCGACAAAAGGTGGATGTAGGACGCCAGACAGCAAAAGGAGCGCATCAGATTGCCAGCATCACCACCACCACCACCTTCCCACATGAATCAGAATCGCGAAGATCAAGAATCAAGAAATCAAGGCCGACAAATCCGAAGAGCCGTTTTGACGTCTGTGCGCGGCTCGTTGCGCGATCACGTGTCGTGTGTTGGCCGTCAGCGGTATCCTAGCCCGACGAGCGCCATGCATGCGAGGCGAGGCGCGAGCTAGCGCGATGCGTCTTGGCTGCGAGGTCACGCAGGACAAGCCACTCACTCACGACTCTGACTTTCGAGGTTGCTTGAGTCTTGAGTGCCCAATCTTTGGTCTCATCATCCAGTATTACATTCGTCGTGCTCGGTTACCGCTGGGTCTTGTTCACCAGGCACTCGCCGCCTCTAGGATCCTAGCTGCGTTGTGTGTTCGACCGACACGAAGGACCGGCAAGAGTCGAAGCTGCTTCGATCGCGACAACGTCATGGCGAACACCACGCTGTACACTTTGGGTGAGTGGCTTGCTCAACATCATATGCCGCCTTTGGACCAGTGGGGCATGGCCTGACACGCTGGTTCGTTGTCTCAGCTGTTGCCATATTTGCGCCTTACGCATTGCGTCATGGCCTCACATGGCTTGCCAGGTATCGAAATCGAGGAGCATCTGTACCGAATGTGGCGACGAATGCAGTGGGTAAGACGAAACTCTTGGATCGATCTTCGCCCAGCGACTGGATGATATTGGCCATCACCAGCTTGACCATCCTCATCTCGCTCAACAACCTGTTGCACATCCCGTGGGACCTCGTCGCCTTGGCTAGAGCGGATGCATATGACCCGTCAGTCACTATCAGGGCGAACACGATGGGAAGAAGTTTGAGCGAGCTTAGATGGCCTTATGGAGAGGCGGCCTTGGATGCCATGTACGGCAAGCTGGGACAGTACGAGAGCAGAGTGAGTATGGCAAGGAAGACTCGTCCAGCAAGCAAGCCTACATCTCGCTCACACTCAGCCCGCATATACGCCTGTCCGCAGCGCTTGTACCTGCGCATCGGTGCAGCGCCTTTGATGGAGTGTAGATACTGCACATCAGCAAGAGAGTACACCGGGTACGCCATGATCCAGACTCTCTTCTTCCACATTTCGAGGCTGCTCGTCTTGGGTCTCGTTACCTGCTCCAGCACCACGCTTCAATCTCTTGACGCTGTGCTGCTGCGTCTGGCGGGCAGTGAGTTGGTGCTGAAGGAAGTGGGCAAGGATAGGAGCATGTGGCGGAAAGTCGGCATTTGGACCATTGCTTCTGCGGTCGCTTTCGAAAGCGCCGTTATGAACGACTACGTCGGAGAAATCCAAAAGAATCAGGGCTGGCTCAATCACGTGGGTATCATTTATTTCCTTTCGCCGCACGGACTCCTTCACACCTTACTCGAGGCTGTCGCTGACGGCCAAAATAATGTGCTCTTCTCTGCAGATCCATACCAATCTCTTCATCGCACGCAATCTCCTCGTCATCGCGCTTTTCGGTCTGATCTTTTTGCAGCCATCGGCGCTACATCCCGCACCTATCACTAAAGTGCAGCTCTCCATGCGCTCCATAGCCACCTCTCTAGAGAGCACGCTTCTCCTCACGCAAGCCCAACACATTGGCACCGACGTGTTATGGAGAGATCCAGGGTTGAGGGAGATCGTGGGAGGGAGAGCTGCACATAATCCATTGAGGAGAGATGAGGAGGATATCAGAGAGGCGAAAGCGAGCGAGGCGCTGCCCAGAGCTTTAGTCGAAGGTCACTGGAACACTGCAAAGACTGCTGCACAACGAGCTTGGGCAGAGTCAGAAGTGGCGAATGCGAAGGCTGAGGCGGGGCAGAAGTGAAAGCAGAGGCGGTGCAAGCCTCATTTCCTCCCTTTTCTTGGCAATAGACATACATCAACCGTGTGCCAGGTCGAGTGAGAGCGCAGATGGCAGCTTGTTGGAGTGAGCTCGCCTACCCGACGGATAATGCTCCAAAGCACTGCTTGTAGCTTGACCCTACAAGATGATTTGGGCTCGAATCAGATCAGCAGATCAGCAGCCTATCGGATGCGGAAGCAAGCGCTGTGCCGTTGTCTGCAGAGATATCGCGTCTGCTGCGTGTCGTGACGCTGACACTCACAATTTTGACAGCGACTGCAATTGTGACTGCGACACTCAGGTCATCCATCACAAATCAGCCCGCTCCTTCATCTAGCCCGTCTGAAAGCGTTGCGAGTACGATGCTCTCTCATTGGTGATTGGTGATTGCGGAGGCCGCACCTGCACACACCGCACCACATTCGTGATTGTTTGTTCTCGATCGCCGCAAGGCGCGCGCGCACGACTTGCTCGCTATGCGAAGGTCCTTCTTGTCGTGTGGGCGCGCATGCAACACTTACACAGTGACTACTCTGCTGCTGCTGTCCTGCTGTCCTCCCCCTCCACTTGACACCATTGACGATCAAGCCTGAGTGATTGCAGTCCTCCCTTCGCGACATCATCATCATCCTTCAAAGAAACGCGCGAGCTTGGCCTCAATTTGCCAGAAAAGGTCTCTTGAGCGGAGAAAAGCGTGACTACGAGGATGCCTTCTCCACACCCTGCAGCTAATGGTCATTCCGAGTCGCAATCAGTGGCAGGGCCCTCGGATCTGTCCAGAGCCGCGCGAGCGTCGCACGAGGATGAGCGACCTCGTCCAATCTACACGCAAACATCGCAATATCGGCACTGGAACATGTCCCCTTCCGCCTTGGCAGAGCAGAAAGAGAAAGAATGGCACGCCTCTCGAAAACGCGTACAAGAATCCTGGGAAAGGGAGATGGGCTTAGCGGGGACTTTGCCAGAGGAGGTAAGGTTGAGGGCGCCAGAGGTGTGGCCGGATGCAGCAGAGCTGGATACGATGGTCAGATTCTACCTGGGCAAGTTGAGAGGCTTGGTTGGCGTGTTTGGGCTGCCTGATCTGGTCGAGGAGACGGCCAGCACGTACCTCAAACGCTTCTTTGTCAAGAGGTGCGCACTCGAATGGTCCGTCAAAGACATCATGTGAGTGTTGCTCGCTCTCGCATCACGTCGAACCTCACGCGTTGGCCTTTGCGACGCCTGCTAGACCCACAAATTTGTCTTCTGACACGTCGCTTCACCCTCGCTTTCCATGCGACAGGTTGACCTGCCTCTATCTCTCACTCAAATCCACCTCTCACACCGTGCCGCTCTCTTACTTCGCAACAAAGATTGCGGGAAAGGCTCCAGGAAAAGATGCCGTCAAGGAGATGGAGCAGACGATCCGAGGATTAGAATTCGGCGTGGCGGATGCGATAGGCTGGGAGTTGAGCGTTCACGGGCCCGGAAGAGCCTTGAGAGGGCTCGTGTATGATATGCAGGTGGGTGTTCTGATGAGCAAGCAGATTGCAGCGCGAGTCTCCGATCCGATTTGACTCTTATGCTGCCTTGGTTGGCGTGGGCGAAACTGGCTTCAGAGCCTGCAGCCCAGCCCGCTCTCAACGCTACACGCTTTGCTGCCGAGAGCTCAATCTCTGCTCTGGTCAGCGCGTCTTACGGACCTGGAGCTGCTCTATCCTCCTTCTCAAATAGCTCTTGCTTGCCTCATGGGCTCCGCATCCTCCTCCTCTGCAAATGCGCAGACGGAACAACAGGACGAGGCTGCGAAGCTTGTCAATCGTTGGCTGCAGGACAAGTACGAGCGTGGGGAGAGGGAGCATCAGAGGAGGCAAGAGGAGTATCAGAAGATTCAAGCCAAGGCGAGCTCGAACAAAGAGGGATCAAATTCAGCTCTGGCCGACACAGGGAGCTCTGAAGCATCGGACGCACCCAAAGCACCTTTTGATCAAACGATTGAAGAGTTGCAAAGCTCGCTGCGCAAAATATTGGGCGTCATTGTAGCTCAAGAAGCGTTGAGCAAGGAAATGTCAATGCCTGCAAGTGCAGAGGAAGACGAATCCGCAACTGGTGGCAAGGCGCCTTCTCGAGAGCTCGTGGAGGTCAAGAGGATAGATGCGTTGCTCAAAGCCTCTGCTGATCCCGCAAAGAGGCCAGGTAGTGCCAGGTGAGCCATGCAAAGTTGCTCGATCGCTATTCGCGCGTCAGGGTCATGACCAAATCATTCTTGCCAACGTGATTTCTCTCCATGAACGACAGCCACTTGCAGACCCGACGAGCTCAAGATGCTTCGGATGCCACGAAGCGCTCGCACAAAGCCTCAAAGTCTAGACCCGCTGCTGCTCTCTCCAGCGACCCATTCGACTCGCCGGATGAACGACGGAACGTCAAACGCACCAAACTCGAAGCACCTCCAGTGGGACTCGGAGATCCGTTTGATGGTCAAGCATCGCAGCCGGGTACACAGAGCGCGCGAGCAAAGGGGGCAAGCGAATGGGACAGCGATGATGACGTGCCCACCTCGAAGGATGCGCTCAGAAAGTGAGGCGGAAGAGCTGCAATACACGGGGGGCTACTAGTCAAGGTGCCGTATTTCGGACAAACGCAATCACGATGTGCAATGGTAAACGTCATCGTTCCAGGATAGGCTGCATCGTAAATCAATCACAATGTGCAATAGTAAACGACGTCGTTCCAGAGTAGGCTGCATCAGATAGCAAATCTACATCAAATTGGGCAGGGCACGACCAGGTGCCGTGTCACGTCCACATTAGCGGTACAGGGTCATGGAGGGAAAAGGAGCTGGGTAGGGATACATGCCTAGAGAAAGCAACCGCGTGTGCGTGACTCGGTTGGCCAGAACAAAAGACGGCGACTCGGGAAAATAATTGACATTGACCTGTCCAAGGTCTTTAAAAGCTGGGGCGACAATTAGCAAAATCCTCGATCCTCGAGTCGGGCAGAGTCGGACGTGTCGAAGAGTGTGACACTTGAGACTGTTGTTCGCATTCGATCTGGGTACGGAGAAGCGGATGCCAAAGGTGGCGACGAACGATGAAGCATTTCGGGAATGTTGACGGTAGCGCTGTGCTTTCTCACATCAATTCTGAAGATTTCAAGTGCCGAAAGTCGCGCGGAGGTGGTGCTGCCGAGGCGGCGCCAGCCGGAGCAGATGCAGGCGGGGAGGTGCCTAGAGGGGAGAAATGATGGGATGCGGTTGGTGCCTCCATCCAGTTAGTCCATGTAGCTGCTGAGCGCACCATACCGCTGCTTGGTGTCATGATGATAGAAGGAGGAGCAGATGCAGAGTCGGACGAGCTCGTGGGGGTGAAGGGGATGGGCTGAGCAGATCCTATCTTTATCTGACCCGAACCACGAGATGCGGAGCTGAAGCTGCGCGAGTGTGACCTGATGACGCGATGCAGCGGGATCGGCGCCGTCGACGAGTGTGGGACCGGTGCTCTGGTGCACGTGGAGGCTGTCGTATAAGCCCCATCTCCACACTGGGGAGCAGCAAACTTGAGATCCGCGTCTGGTGCCTTTCTCTTGCGCGACTTCGCCGTGATAGAGAGATCAGGACTAGATTTCAAGACGGATGGGATGTCCAAGTGTCCGGGTAGATGTGTCGATCCTATTGATATACGTGCCATCTCATTTGTCATTGAGAAGCTTCGCATGCGAGGTGCTTTGGCGTGACTGTCAACGCTGCTGTAAGCGCGCATGGCCCCGCTCTGAGCGACGTCACGCGACTCGTCGACGCCGTTCATCGAGTCGTCGGCATCAACGAAGTACGCCAGGCGATCCTTCTCCCTCAGCTCACCAGGAGTACGATCATCGTAGTCTGCTTCTTGCATTGCTATGACTCGTGAACCATCGCTCTCGAAAGGTGTCGGTGATGGCATTGTCAACGGCGGCAGAGCGTGTCTGGAGAAGGTGGCTGATAGTCCGCCAATAGCATACCTGACCGTCTCGCTACTTGACCCATGCGCAGCGTTCAAAGTGGTGCGTGGATGATGCGATGATACAGTATCGACCTCCATCTCAATCCCGTACTGCTGAGATTCTGCTGTTGATTGGCGGTGATGCGCGCGCCCGCTGAAGCGCTCCGCATCCTTAGAGTCGGGTAGGTCACGCCACACGTCTCGATGTCGTATGTCATGAGGAGAAAGTGGCTCACGAGGGAGTATCGGAGGTCGCCTCCTGATTGTCTCCTCCGGCAGCTCTCGCAAGTCGGGCAGGGACACGTTGGAAAGTGGCTCCACGCTCAACGTGGGTCGAGGTCGTCCAGCAGAGTCCAGCACTGGCGCCTGATAGAGAGGGTCGATGGGCGCAGGCGGAGAGCTGGCACGCAAGGAGCCCCGTGTTTGACGATGCATGACATCGCGTTGACCAGTTGCTCGTGCTATCGAACTAGAGCTTGGCGATGGTGAAGGTGCTGGCGCAGGCAAGTGTAGCCCGTGAGGCCAGTAGGAGGGCAGCTCCAGCGAGGCAGACAGCGAAGATCGCCCTGCAGGGCTTTGAGATCGCTCTGACATCTTTGATGAAGAAGGCGAAGGCCAGTGATGGTTGGGTTGCGTGTAAACACGGTGGTGAGAGGGTGAATTCATGTAGGTTCGCTCCCACGACACTCTGATAGGCTGTGCCGTAGAGGGACTTTGCTTCGCGTGAGCAGCGATCGAATCTTTGCTGGACCGGACGCGGCAATGCAGGTCGGACCGATCCGTGCTGAGAATCGTGTTTGGAGCAGAGTAGAAGCTTCGGCTTTGTGACCCATGGTGAGGTGCGCTCATGGGCGCGGGTACCCAAGGGCGGTGGCGAGGTGGTGTGAGGGCGTGCATACCGACGTCTTCAGGCTGCGGCTGCACGCTCTCATGAGGTGCGCCTGCAGTTGGCGAAAAGTGCCTCACTACACGCCGCTTAGCAGAGTGGCTGCAACCTTTGTCGTCCTCGTCTGAAGATCCAAGGCTATCGTCGCTGCTGTCCTGCATCATTGACTGATCTGCGTCGTAGCGTTCTAGCTGGCTTTGATGTGCCATCGAAGAGCCTCTCGAGATCGTGACCATGGTGTCGTAGCTTGCAATACTATCTGCTCTGCTTCTGTTGATTCGACTCCCACGCCGGCTCGGCGATTGCCAGTCGCTCCAAGGCTGAGAGGTGACGCGTGAAGTTGAAGCTCGCGGGATGGACGCTTGAGGTGGGTATCTCTGTGAAGTGGACGTCCGACTGTGGGGGCTTCCGGGGCTCAGTTGAGCAAGATTTACTGGTGGAGAGCTCGTTTCGTAGGCGCACTCCTTTGCGCGACCTCGCCTAGCGCACAGCTCGCAAGGCAGGGTGCCAGAACACCGACGTTTGTGATTTCTGCAAAAGTTGCAAGCTTGCGCTATTCTCACTCGAGTCCCTTTCTTGCGCTTCTTGCTGCTCGAGTCGCTTCCGCCGCTACTCGGAGTCCTGATACCTTTGCCCTTTGTCTGCGTCTCAATCTCTTCTGCTGCTGTTGACCGTTGCATGCGATCGCGCTGTTTGACCATTGACGAGAAGGAGTTTCAGCGAATAGCGGCGACACTTGCTCCTCTCGCGATCACACCTCTTCACCAGAGATGCTGCTGATGGGACAAGGACTCACCTCGGCACTTTTGCGAGGCATGGTGAGAGGCTTCAAACAGGTGACAGAAAGGAGCGAGCACAAGGATGAGAAGATGGAGAAGAAACAGGGTATCGCTGCTTGGAGTGACTAATTTGTCGGCGAGACTCTTGACGTCTCACAGTCTCGCATGAGCCTTGATTTGCTCACTGCTCACTGCTCAGCGATGGCCTTGGTCGGTCATCTCGACTCACCGACTCACAAGAGGCTCAGCCGATGTTTCGCGAGAAACAAAGGGGTATCGGCGGCGGATGGCGTTGTGCTGCTGGTGCTGATGCAACGCAGACTGACAAGGCAAGGCGAACCGCGCTGATGTGTCTGCTGGACGTGAACAGACAGTCGTGGATGCGGGAATGCGGACAAAGCCGCCAAGTGCAGCGGGAATGGTCTACCGAGGCGTGGAATGGAGCTGGGCGCTGCTGTTATTGTTGGTGCTCGGTGTTTGACCTGGTTTCAGGTTACCGCTTCGCCTCTTGATGGTACCGAATAGAAAACAAGTAGTCAGAGTAGGGATTGTAGGAGCTGCAGAGAGGCTGATGATTTGAAAGGGCGTCGATGGTGGGTGAGTGCGTGTATCTGCGAACAGGCACATACACACACACACATACATGTATGTACACACGAGAAACAAAATGGCGAAGCGGGACGGACAAGGCGTCCCGAACAGGTGGGCGCAATCGCGAATCGCGTCGGAGCGCAGCAGACGGCCGGGCGGGACGGTTGCGGTCAATCAGCGTGGAGCGCGGGCGAAAGACCGGTGGTGGCAGCTTGATTGGTTCGGATCGCAATTTGAATGAAAATGTATATCCCTCGCCTCGTCTAAGTGGCGCGCGGGACGATGGAGGATGGTACGAGTGAGTGATGAGAAGGAAGAAGGGTTGGCTGCAAGGGCTTGTCTCATGTGGCTGAAATTTATGTTGCTTGTCTGTGCTTCCATTCGAGCGCGAACATCACAATAAGCAGATACTGCCGGCTATACTCATGATACAGCGATCATGCTGTGTCTCTTCATCTGCCGCTCGTGATGAGCCGCTTCCCTCCGATGCAATCTGAATGTCAGACTAAACTCTGCTGCGATGAGTGTCGCAATGCCCTCGCGTTTATGAGTGTCTCAGCGCCGGCAAACGCGGTCGTCAGGGCACCCCCGAAACGGTAGAGATAGATGGAAGGCGGGCTTTGGCAAGCGAAAGCGTGTGCCTGTTGGCGCTCTTGACGGCGGACACCAGATGCGACGTTGTTGACGCTTTGTGGAGGGTCGCAGCAGAGCTCGTCTTTGTGTTGCCGCCTTGACCATCAGGTGCTGCGCGTCGACGAAGTTGTGGGGCGCTCTCAGCATCGCGACTCGATACGCCCAGCTGAGTGATCTGTCATCAGCAGCAGGAGGCTTCGGGCGCGTGAAGCGTTGTTCCTCGGGAAGGCGGCGGCCCGACGGCAATCGTCTTCCATTCATCTAATTTAATTTGCGTCCAAGAGCGGCATCACACCTAGCTACGCCTGTGCATGTGTGCATGAGGACCGCTGAGAGCGCGTGACGACGATGACATTGGATTGGCAGCATCGTTCCGCTGACCTGAGCAGATCCTATACCTGACGCTGATAAGCCAGCTTGGCCGGGCGAGTGCGTTCGATTCCGTGCCGGCCCCGAGTGTCCTGGTAGGGACGCCGCTACTACGTTCCGAAGGGGGGCAAAGTGGCTCAAAATTGTTGATCTTAGAGGCTTAGGTGGGCCAGTAGCAGTCTTGAGTAGCAGTAGTGAGCCGTCCTTGCTTCTTTCCGTTGTGGTGTTGTTGGCTGAACAGAGAGCCAGAGTGCCATAGACACACCTGATGTGTGTTATGACCTCGAGTCGGAACACGACGCATCCGCCTCCTGCTAGGCTATGCTCCTGCGCTGAGACGCGCCGTGTCTGACCCCGGGTCGGCGCGCTGGGCACGCAGAGATCTTTGCCGCGGCGTAGCTAGAGGTTTGACTAAGGCATCCGAACTGAAAGTAATTTTGATTTGGACAGCTGCTTTGACCCAACCGATGCCGCAATTGGCCCCGTCGGCGTGCGACCTAAGACTGATCACGCCCAGCTCAATCTTTTGTCCCACTTGGCCTTGCCTTCTTTCCCTCTACCAAGGACTTCAACAAGAGCAGGGCACGCAGCCGGACGTGAGATCTTTCTGAGAAACAGCCTGGCAATCCCATCCTTCGTGCGAGCTTGGTCGCCGCCTTGCAAGGTATAGTTGTGGTGCAGACACAACAGCCATTGCACCTCCAACACGATCCGATCCGTCCACCAGGAACTTGCATATCTGGGGCATACGGGTGTGGTGCTGGAATCGATGCATACCGTACCACATCAACGCGCGCGGTATGCAACACGCACACACGTGCGTCTTCGCTCAGCAGAGGTTAATTAATTGGTGGTGGAAGCCTGATTCATGTGCATCGGTTGCAAAGGCTTCAGCAATTGTGGATGCTCAACCCAGCAGACCAAAAAAGCTATATAGGCGTCAGACTCAAGACTCACGACTGTCTAAAAATGAAGCGCTGACATGATTTCGTGGCGTGAGAGGAGATCTTTGCTGATTTGCAGCATGCACACGTCGGTCCGATGCCTTGCCGATGCGTGGGGTTCAAGCGCTCAAAATCTTAGGTGCAAGAGCAAGAGCAAGCGCTGCGGCATGATGTTTGTACGCCATCGTGGTGAGAGCGACGTGGTCAGCTGCTTAGTTGTGCCTGGACACCGTGTCAAAACAATTACAGCGTGCTTTAGTTAGCACACTACTGTATTCACATGGTGATTAGAAGAAGCGAACCTTCCGGTGACGACTGAATTACAGCATGTCGTTCCTGACGCTGCGCTACGTACACACGCAAACATTAATTAGTGTGCAAGCATCCACATTCTTGAATCGTGACTGACCCACGCCTCGTCTCACGCTCCGGGCACGGACATTGCTTTCATGCTTACCTTTGACTCAGGACTCCACGTCCGCCGTCCGCTATAGGATACGCTTGTAGTCTCGCGACGTGATGCTCGCAGCGAGAAAGACATCCACGCAGCACGCTTTGCTCTTCTCCTCGGACTTTTGAGATCTAGCGTTCCTCGTCACTGTACTTCGGCGTTCTAGTGGCAGGTATACGTCTTCCATAGGCCAGGACTTGTGCCAGCACACCTTGTTGGACGAAGTAGGGCTCTAGGTCGACTTCTAGGACAACGTTTCGCAGCACTTCGGATAGGAAGCACAAGCCGCCATACTTGATATGAATGGCGCAATAGTGATTGAACGAAGCCGTCAAGTGCATCACCGTAGGGGCGTGTTCTTCCGAAAAGAAGATGGAACTAACGACACTGTGCCTCAGCTATCAAGGCCTGAACAGCTCGCACGCAGAGTCGTGTAGATGCTGAGGGAAAGACGTTGCGACAGCGTTTCCGCGCGGATGAACGTGTTCCACCGTGCCTCGACAAGGACACCCCGCTCCCCCGCCAGTCTGCGCAAACGAGACGTCGGACATCGACACTCATCTCGCCCCGACGCTTTTGAGCGACGTCCGGATGGTGCACTACTGCTGCAGCTTCACCGTCATGCTTATCGCTCCGAAATTCCGCGAATCCTTGCTCGATGACTGATCTCATCGGACCGTCTGTGAAATTTGCTTTGGGATTGACTTGATCTGAGATCGTCGACGGGCCGTTGATCAGCTCGCCTTCCTTTGCCTATCGTCTGCAAAGACGTCGTTTTTCCGCATAGCAGAATTTGGTACTGATTACGCTGTCATTTGCGAGCCGGATAGCGCTATATACCGGAGACGGACCGCGTCGGTCATGTGCCTCCTCAAGGTCCACCCACAGCAACATCTCGCGGAGCGTGCGCATGGGCGGAATCTTGAAGTTGGAGTTCATGTGCGAAGCTGACCGATAGATACATGGCGCTTGCGTCACGACTCGGACCATCGTGTATACATAGGCATCAAGCAAGCACGGGGTGTCAGAGAGGCGAAGAGTGGACAAGCTAGGTGGCCTGGAAACGGAAACAAACTGCGTTGAGCGACGATCGCGTGTATGGACGTGCAAACAGTTTTGCGATTCAGGCAGCCTACACATTCAAAATTCTTGTCGAATACAATGACGAGTCTCGTCAGGCGTGCAGGCGCTCAAAAGACGCGACTGTCGCTCGTTTTCTGGCTGAGTCTTCTCTCTCGATCCCCGCGTAGTCTGCTGAACGTCGATGGGAAAGCTCGCCAATGCTGTGCCGTTGATTGATGCTAAGAAAGTACGTCCGTACTCGTTTGAGGCCATCGTCTGAAGCGGCGTTCGGAGAGCGTGAAAGTCCTTCCGCTCATCATCGAGGCAGCCAAAATCATAGCTTGCTTTCGCGGCTAGCAGTCTCGGCCACTTCTGCGCCTTCGACTGCCTCGCAAATCTGCGATGAAAAGCAGCGAGGAGTTAAGTCATCAGCACTCCTCCAACACCAAAAGCGAATTTCCAGGCACTCACTCCGTCGACTGTCCTGACAACCCACAGCGCGCCCTCCTCGGTCGTCAGCCACCTCTTCCCGATCTCTTCGTTGTCTAGCTGCGTCTCCGCATTTTTCAAGCTCGACGCGGCCTTGAGCAGACCCCAGACGTGGCTGGTGACTTGAGGTCCCACTCCACCCTGTGCTCGAAGACTCGCAACAGCAACCAAGCTGGTCCTCAATCTTCCTACCTCCCAGACAGGTTCCAGAGCAGGAGGCTCCTCAGACGAGGCTAGACTGGGGGGTGGGTTCGGAGCTGCGAAGGTGTGCGGAGGGCTGAACAGTGGTCCGTACTCTCCATCCACGATGAAGACCGGCAAGTCGGGGTGCGATCTGCCCAGAATCTTGAGCAGCTTTGAGGAGTGAGGAGTGTAGATGTTGTCCCAAAGCGCATTCGCCGCCTCTTCGACTCGCGGCAAGAGCTCGGGCGTGATTTTCCTGATAGGATCGAGGTATAGAGAGAGAGGGTGGTAAGTGACATTTGACTTTCTTCAGCTGAACCTTGAAGCATCACTCTTACCTTCGCGGCTCCGTGGGCAGTGCCTGAACTAGCTCCTTGTCCTCTTCCACAGCTGCGCGAAGTGCAGCGAGATTATTGATGACCTACGAAAGAGCATGACACAGGCCACATCGAAGGAATTCAGTCAAGTGACGTGTGCTGCAAAAGAGAAAGACAGCGACATGGAGAAAGGCACGCACTTTAGGTATGCCAATGAAACCGATACACTTCAGACCCGTCTCTCTCATCAATTGAGCTCTGTTGAGCTTCTCTTCCAGAGAGAGTCGCAAAGCTGGCGAAGCGACAGAATGTCTGTGCAAAGCCGCCAAGGAAGAGCTGGCGTTCAGAGTGACGAGGGTAGCGGTCTGTGAGGTGCCCAAAGCATCCATCTGAGTAAGCCATCTGGCAGAAGGCCAGGCAGCGCGAAGATGCCTGCAGCGCATGGTGCTTCCAGACTTACTGCAAAGCAGCCCCACTCGTTCCATCCCACCTTGCGATCCTTTGCTTCCTGGTCGATCTTGTCAAATAGCGCATTCAACTTCTCATCCCCCGGGCCAGCAAGGGGACCCGATTGTCTACCAGGCGGCAGCGTCTTGCCCGTATGTACTGCCGAGGGTCTCGCAGCGAATGTGGGCGCTTTGATGAGCGACTTGAGCGCCGTTGGTAGCGAGCGCGACATGATCGGGTGCGCCTTGCCTCGAAACGTGAGATGCCCAGTGTCTCAATCAATGCGCTGCCAGACTCAGAGCTTCGAATGCCTCGATGGTAGCTTACCTTTAGACGTGGGGCCTGCAGTTGGGTCTCTTTCTGATGGTCTGTTAAGCGTATAGGGTGGATGTACGTCCACAATGATGAGAGAGAGAAGAAGGCTTTGATCAAAGTACAGCTCCGTCATGTGCAAGCCAGGAGGTGGAGGACAGCCGCGATCACCTTAACGTGCCGACTTGCCGGGTGCAGGGGCGCGCGGGGGGCGAGGCGGCGAGGCTGCTGAATAGTCATGCATGCAGAGGACGCGACGATGTGCAGCAGGGCCGCCGGAAATTCCGCGGAGACCGTCGCCATCCCCGTCAACGCGCGGTACGCGGGTGAAGAGCTCACCACGGCGGCGATGCCGTCGCCACGCGATGTGCGCTTTTGAATCGCAAATCGAGCATAGAGATCCCCCATCCACCATGCCGGTCCCGCCTTCGGCCTCAGTCTGACATCTCTCCTGGCCGAGGCCAGACTGGTCACCTGCTCCTTCTCGTCAGTCATATACCTAAACCTTGAAATTAGAGGCGTGACTTGGACACAATGCCAAGCCCCTCAGTCGCACCCATCGTCGCGCCTTCCACGACTTCGACGAAGAGGTGGGAGCCACCAGCAAGCATTGCTGTCGCTCTTCCCCTTCCCTCGCGGATATACCCATCGTCATTGCCCGACGATCAGAAGTTGTCGACTCAGGACTCGACCGATCTTCATATCGAACGAGATGATGTGCAGTGGGAGGATTTGCATCCCGTTATGGGCGCAGCGCTGAGGTCGGCAGGCTTTGAGCAAGTGGACGCATCCGCGCTAGACAGGCTCAGCAGGGACTTTGACGCCTGTAAGAAATTTGTCGCCGCCCTTTGATGCTCTCGGAGCTGCCGCTTACCCCATCACATCTCTCGCCCAGTCTTCACCACGATTTGCGCGTATTCAGTACTTCAAGCGCGGACCAGGCGTGTGCAGATTCACGATGTTGCTTCCACCTTCGAAAGTCTCGGTGACGCTTTCAGCATGCAAGCCCTCAAAGACTTTGCGCATGGTCCGACCCCGTTGCCGAATGTCGACGAGATGACTCGCGCTGCTGATGAGCAACGAGGCGAGACGACCAGGCATGAGCGGAACCTTCAGCACTTTGCTGCCTCCGCCGCTGCGCGAGAAGCCGAGCGCGAGCAGAGAGCTCAGCAGGCTGGCAACACTCCAGCATGGGCGATGCTCGGAAGCGGATTCTTGGGGTCCAGTGAGCGGCGCGAGTCAGAATTGGAAGTCCTGCACGTCAGCAGCAGCGAAGATGGCGCGTCGGACGAGGAGGCCAATGCTCGCTCAAGGTCTGGCAAGAGGAGGCGCTTCGCCCATCAAGTGCCGGCACGCGCTACTTGTCAACGTGACAAGATAGTGCCGACGTCCGCCGATGATAATCCTGAGCATGTTTTTGGGGTACCAGCCAGGCTTGCGGATGACGTCCAGTGCGAAGAGATACCTGCTTGGCTGCCCGCGTTCCCAGATGGCCACACGTGGAAGCGAACACCGGTGAGCCGTCAAGGATCATCTCGCAGCTGCACCTTCGCGCAGAAGCTGACGTGCGCTCGCATCTACAGGTGTTCCCACAATCTACTTCCACGTCACTCAGACCGCTAGAGCTTGTTGAGCTCAAACTTGAGCACTCGAGACTCACGCAAGAGGCGCTGGCTCGGTTGATCAGAAGTACAGATGCGGCGAGTTCGGGCTCGAAATTGCGGGCTCGAGCGGTATCGAAGTCTCGCTCCGATGCATCTTCCTGGGCTCCTTATGCAAAATCTATGGAGGTAGCACCCGCCTCACCACGCAAGGTTGAAGAGCACTATGGGACGCGCAGCCGCACCAGGACGAACACACAGCCGGCTGCTCAGGCGGACAGCCCGCTTAGCTCACCGCCACCGTCTCAGCTTACATCCGGTGACAATGCACTCGCATCGTCAGACGCCGCAGATGTCTCGACGCCAAACGAGCCGCGCAAGCGCGCAAAGCTGGCTCTTCGTCTTCGGGTAGGCAGCAATCGGTCGAGCAATGCGAGCGAGGTGTTTGACGGCGCCTCATTCCCCACTAGCCATGGATCGATGGGGCCTCCAGTGTCGTCCTCCCCTGCGCCCGTCGGCGCAGGTAGCACCATCGCAACCGATGAACGCTACCCCAATCCTCCGATTCCTCAATCTGCCATGGTCCCTTCCTCGATGCTGACACCAATGTTCGAGTCCGTGGCCCGAGCTAGGCAGCGGCGGAGCGCGAGCGTCGCCTTTGCAGACCCCTTTGGATCGGCAGGCTTGAGTCCATTAGTGACCCGGACAGGTTTCACGCCTGCCACGCCGCGCGGAAGCACGAGCGGACCGATCTTCTGGTCAGACAGCGAGCAATTCCAGCCTCGTGCTTCGTCTTTCAACACCGAGCCACAAACACCGGCCACTGGATTGTTGCCTTCTACTCCTTTCGTTTACCCACCTACACCTGCTGATGTGTATGCCTCTCACGCACGAGGCTCTCACACGTTGACTTCACAGAACCCTCGAGCAAATGGTGGGACGCCCGACGCTGTGGAGGAGGAGGACCCTTTGCCGCAGGCGGTTCACTATAGATCTCAGAAAGTCACAAAAACCGCTCGCAAATGAGGCACTTTGACAGGCAAGGATGGCACGGTCAAATCTACGCCAATTTATCTTATTACACTAGAACCCCTCTCACTGCGGTCTTCTACCCTCTCGGAGCAATCACGCCACGTCTTCGCATGTGATGTCGCCGTCATGGCACTTATTACTTTATGGTGGGCCGCACACGCCAGAGCAGTCTTTCAGGCAATTGACCACCTGGCTGTTACTGCAAAGCCTGCAAATTCCACCTTCTTGGTAGCAAGACTGCGAACCTGGAGGATCTGCACGGCCATTGCGGTTCGCGATCATGCGTCAGCCCTTCCCTTGTCTGCGGCAGCCTTGCGCAGGGATGACTGTTGTCTTGCGTACTCACCGATAATGGTGCTCAACGTTTGGCCACTTCGCTTCGCTAGACCTTTCTCACCACGCTCTTGTTGCGCGCCTATGAAGATCAAGATGAGATTGGCCCGCTGCGTTGTGCGCGATCACATCGATTGGGACGTACCTGTGCGACCGTCTGAGCTCGTGCTGGCCGAGCGCGCCAGCCTCGCTGTGACGAGTATTGCTGGCACAGCCAGAATGAGAAAGGTGCGGAAGCGCAATTGCATCGTAGAGTAGCAGGGGACAAGAAGAGAAAAGGTCGCCGAGGAGTGGCAGCAAAGAACGTAGGGGATGTTGGTCGTGCATTTTCAAGACCAACTCTTATAACACAGCTGGGCCGACCCGACGAGACTCAGCAGTATTGCTTGGGCACCCGGAAAAGCCTCACGGAAGCCGCATCCGAGGCAATGAGCACGTCAGCATTTCATTTAGACAACGGGTGCTAAATCTTTGACGTCACTAGCACAGGTCAACCAAGTCATTCCGCCCGGACTGCGGTCTTCACTTGCTGCGATGCGGACTGTCGCGCTCATGTCAACAGCACTGACCAGGCGTAAGAACATTGATCCTGCCAATCAGCGGATCGAGTTATCTAATTTGAATTCTAGGGATGCGAGAGAGCTTGATGCTCGGCGTGAAGCTTGTCACTCGGGGCCAGGTGCTTCCTCTTCAATCAGCATTGGGAAGGGTTTGACGTGCAGACTTGGTTGCAATCGACCTCAGTGTTGCAGCAACACAGTCTGCAGCTCCCGTCGGAAGCAATGAAGCAAGTGTAGCGCTTGTAAACTTCCCATAGCGATGCAGATCGACAGCGACGAATGGGAAGCAGCCTTCAGCACGCAGAGACCGAAGCCCGCAACAGCTTTTGACAACCCAAGAAGTCGCGACTTACGGTACTGGGTTAGCATACCGCTTTCAGCAGGTGTGGAGTCACGCGACTTGACCTCATCTGCAGAATGATTCGAGAGCCAACGTTAGCTTGGCTGCTAGCTCGCTCGATGGCTGGGTATCCCTCATGTGGGCCCGCACAGCTCAAGCTGCATGCTTACTCACCGACCCCGACTACCGACGCTGCCATCGCCAGGGGAAGGCTGGCAAGCTGAGCAGTGAGCAGTAGCACCGTCAGGCTCAAGGGAACGAAGAACTTCATGCTGAGCAAACAAAGATATTGAAGGTATGGAAGGAAGGTGCGAGAAAGTCAGCCTGCCGCCTATGAGAGGAAAAGCAACACCCGTGGATAGGCCTTTATATACCTTTTCGAGGGGATCCCGACGTGAGAGCTACTCTTCGACATTGCAGGACTTGAGCTATGGGCAGTGCGAGTCGCTCACCAAGGAACAATCTGGCGCGCTTCATTTCGATAGCGATGATGCACTTCCGCGTTCCAAAGTGCATATTTATGAGCGGAATAGGAAAGCCGACCACAACGACTACTCAGATGGTCGCAGGCATACTTGCGTATTGGTTATTCAACGTCTCTCACAGCGCCACACGTCGTGAACTGCGCATCGAAGGAAACAGGATGCTCCTGCCTTCTTTCGGCTGACGATCCTTCGATCATCTAGGGCCGCTGTACGGGCGGAAGTCGGCTGCCAATTCTCACAGTCTAGGTGCCTTGCAGAGTTGTAGCCAGCTGGCGACGGCCGAGATCTCCAGCTTCGCTCTCACCCTCTGCTCCATCATCGTTACACGAAGGCCTCTCGGACCTGGGTAGCAAGCCATACCCGCAAGACAGGCCTTACGCCATTTATGTAAATCTGGAATAAATGGCCGCAACCAAGTTTTGCCCATTCAGCGCATTGCGATGCGATACATCGCGACCTCCTTCGTCCTGAGGCTGAGCGCGTCAGGTCATCCAAGCAGAGGAGAGAGTGTCCATCACATCCTTTGCCTGCAGCGGCATCTCTTCAGTGTGAGTATGAGCAGGCGGAATGTCCTTGTATGGGAAAGATGTAGCACAAGAGTCGCAGCCGGGCACACATTTCAGACAAGAGTGGGGGAAATTTTGATCGGATTTATGGAGAGAGATTTGGGGGAATTGGCTTTTCTTGGTTTCACGGATCTTTCTTCGGAGCGTAGGTTGTATTAAAAGGCTTTCAACGACCCCGCCGCATCGGTTGTCTTCACCCTTCGTGATCGACTTGGCTATGGAGAAAAGGTGAGCGCGGTCGAAACCTATGAGCAGGAGGCATAAATGTAAAAGGTCAGTGAGGCGGTCACAAGAGTCGTGAGTGCTGACGCTTTGCAAGTAGCCAGATGTCTGATATTTCACATACACCTTTGAGTGGGTTGGCCTCGGTCGAAACTACTGGCCACAGAGGTACTTGCTGGCCGCGCACCCGTCGCCACACAGATGCTCGATCCCGCTGCTGCAGTCGTAGCAAGGACCGTTCGGACCTGCGAAGTAGCACGTTGCGGGGTTCGACGCCGACCGAGGCTCTGGCAATCGCGGAGGAGACAATCGTCAGCACTAACCTCTTAGTCTGTCGAGCAGCCTTGGGAGTTGGGCGCGCAATTGAGGCAGGTGAGTTCGTATCCGTAGGCACAATTGTAGCACTTTCCGCCCCTCTGATTGTCGACGTAGCACGTGTAGGTCAATTGGCGCACTGTGACTAAGCACGAGTAAGGAGTCATGTGCGCAAGCCACGTTGCTCGTCAGCGACTGACCCTCAACGCCCCGCTAGTCGTAACGGCTGAACGCCGCAGTGGCGACAGGAGACTATATCGCCAGTGCCCAAGGGTAGCAGCTCTTTGTAGCCACGTCGATGTGCTCTCGCTTTGCTCGTTCTACGCTGTGCACGCGCATCGATGTCCCCACACGACAGGCGAGTCGGCTAGTCTCGATACCACTAACCGTGAGCCCTTCTAGCAAGCCCAAGGAGCTGTATGCGCAATTCTGGCAAGTCACTTGTAGTCCGGTACCGCAAGCTAAGCAAATGTGCTGCTCAACGCTGTAGTAGCAGGAGGCACCTTGAGTGTGTCCCGCGCACGAGCATTGGACGATATGCATCAACGAGCTTGCTCGTCAGTCTCGTCTGCATGTGCCGGCCGATCGTCATTGCCGAGCGCTGTTTTTCAGCCAAGGCTGGGAGGCTGCAGTCATTGGGAAGACTAGAGCACGGCTCGACGAACGAATCGCTGCTTTGCTCTATCCTGTGTCCAGCGGCTCACATGCTCGAAGGGGAAGACAGAAAATCATGAAAGCAAGGAGGTGATTCTCTACTCACGCAACTCCGAAGCACCCTCACGCGCCACAAGCGCAGCTAGAAGGGGCGGCGGAGAGTCTCAGTTCAGTCACAGGCCTCGCTCGTCCCACGTTGTCCCAGTACTCACTTGGAGCATCCTTGGCGTCTGGCGAAGGGCGGCCCATGGCAGGCGAGACCAAGGCAATGGCAACGACAGCCAGGAGAGCAGCGTTCAGCTTGAAGGCGAGCATCTTGAGTTTGAAGTTCAGCTGATAGTAGAGTGAGTGCTTCGAGTCAATTTGCTTGGACTGTGAAGAAAGTGAGGGAGGTTTGAAGGCGCAAAGTTCCCCCTTTATACCTTTTGCTGAGCTCAATTCGCGCTCCATCCGACTACATGCTGCCAGCGCAGCGTTTCGAGCAGCAGCGTCGAGCGAAGACGTGGTGCCGCGAGCTTTGTCATTCTGACTGCTGAGGATTGGGTACTTGCACAGCCATATGACTGGCTCACCCTGCTCTCATTGCCCACTTGGTCGCAAGGGACGTCGGCGTAGCATTTATTTGGTCACTTTGATTGCAAAAGTGGCATCCGGTTTAGCACTTCGATCATTGGTCCGATTGCCACTGGACGGTCCGCGGCCTTGAAAGAAGCGCTTCGCTCATTGGTTCAATTGCTATCGGACGGTCCGCGGCCTAGGAAGAAACGATCGAGCGCTCTTGAAGAGTGCTCATTTTGTCTCGGACTCCTGTATCCGTGTCCATTGAGACGTGGACCTTGGACTAAGACATCAACGAATGTATGATCAGCAGGAGGGCTGAGTGAGTGAGTGCATCGACACTGCTTCGATCGTCGCGGTAGACGCTCCCATTACGTCTCGAGGATCAACATTCAGCAGCAGCATTGATTTGGGAAACAATGTGGTGTCTTCCAAGTCTCACGATTGGCTATCAGTCTTGCCAGCAAAGAACAAGCCGCGCCCCGCACTAGAGTGCTATTGACAGCCGCGAGTCTCTGTCTCAACCCTCCCGGGTTCAGAAGCCTTTTGTGAGCCAGTGGTTGCGAGACTTCGTCTCGCCCTAATCAAGAGCTGTGGAGCCGCGCGCCAGAGTCTGCGCTGGCGGGTTCTGGCAAGGCTTCGGGCACCCGCCAAGAACGCAGGGCGACAGTCTGGAGAAGCAGCAGAGTGGACAGCTTTTGTGCTTCTTGCGGTCGCTGCTAGCCTCATCAAGAGCTGCACGAGCCAGCAGAAGGCCGGAAATGACCGCCGTGTATGGGAGGCGGGTTGGAAACACTTTGGAGGTATCGTTATTGGAGGGACGGGAGTGACGGAATGAAATAAATGTCAGCACCAATGACCCGGTAGTCTTCAAAATTGATTCTGCCCGCAGCGCGGCACAGGCAAAGCCCGAAACACAGCCAGCCACAATCGATGGGGCGTTACGAGTAAGGTGCTGAAGATGGAAGTAGAGGACGAGTCTGGTCACTGGTCGCAAACCTGACTCACGCGATGGCTGCACATCCGAAACGACTCCCGATTGACGCGTCTCGAGAGCATTTTCTGTTGCGACCAGGCGGTCCATCTCTTGATTCAGTGGACGTGCCATGCGATTCGCAAAGGGCAAATGGGCCACTCACGAGACACCGCTCCAGTACGCTTTTGCGAAGACGCCGAGGCAGGGGCAGCGAACGCTGCTGCAGCCAGGACTACGCAGATGCCAAGGCCCCAGATTTTCATTCTCAGAGGTGCCTTTGATATTGGTGAGGAGGCTTTGCCGGACGAATGAGCACGAAAACTCTGTATGGCGATGCTGTGATGATTAGCGTTGGGCGCGTCAGTACACTCTAGGCACTCGTCGCACGGAGCCTTATATTGAAACGGTCATTCGCAATCTGGCAAGCTTCGTCTCAGCTTTGCACGAATAGTGAGCGAGAACTGTAGAGGTCCCCATGCTGCTGTCCTGTGATGTGCGAGTCCCTTCGTGTACACGGACATCAGCCCCTGCTGCTCAAGCAAAATGTCCGTCGCTGCGAGGCCGTTCTGCTTGTCTGGCCACTCACATTTTGGCAATTTGGGGTGCAATGCAGAGAGGCTCGTCTCACGATCGGTCCGCTTGTGTGACGTTGCTAGCTGTGCCACACCGTGTCCAAGAACGGTCGGCTTGCGACCTGCGAGACATCACATCCCAAGCAGACTGGTTTCACAGATTGGCATAGTCTGAAGCAACACAAAGGGTTGATCAACATTCATATGGCGGCACGCACCATCAGGCACATTTGCAGCCGCTGGATGAATGGGAGTACACGGCGTCATGCCTTGGACGAGTGTGACCTCTCGGAATCATTGGACGTCGGCTCTATTCTGGGTCCGTTAATTGTTCCAAAGCTGCCGGCTGCTTTGCCAATTGCTGACGATAGGCTTCCGTCTCCGGCGACGTCTGGACGGGCTGTGCGTACGGCTTGAGCGATCCGTAAACCTCGTCCGAGACAATGTCAAACTTTGCCACTTTGCCGTCCGACGTCCACTTGTTGACAGTGATGCGCTTGAAACTGTTTTTGTTGGCATCCTGATCATCGAGGGTAAACAGATCACTCGTCAAACTACGTCCTTGGTCGCTCTGCATCACTTTGCAAGAGACAGGAACGCACCTCGTAATTGGTCTCGGCCCTGGCATTTACCCTGACAGAGAGACCTCCTGTGTTTTTGTCGGGTCCCATGTCCACGGATCCGGTCTGCATGACATTCGTCGTCTGCCACTGTGGCTGTGCGTACTTCGGATCTTCAAGCTGGAGCGAATTAAAGTAAGTGTGGTTGATCTGACACGGCAACGGAGGCAGATTGGCGTTCAGCATCCAGAGCGTCGCTATCTCCGTTCTGAGCGCGATTGTACTCACACTTGTCTTGGTATAGTCTGGATTGTACGTCACATCTAGCGGGTACGAGAAGGTCGAGGCCAAGAAAGTGGCACCGGCGTGCATCGAATTTGATGATCCATGGGCCTTTTGGTTGATTGTGTTGGCCGCGGATGTGCTCGCGTACTTCTGCGAGTTTTCAAAGTCGACCGTCTGCGACCAGGTGACGCTGACGGGGTTTCTGCGGCTCGGTTTCTGAATGCGCGCCTCGATTAGAACCGTGCGAGGTGTCCTTGAGTGGGTGAAGCTTGTGAAAGAGCCATTTGTGCTGAGGTTACCTTCGACGGAGCCAGTGCTGATCAAATCGCCACCTTCGATCACATGCTTGTGCAGAGCGCCGGTGGTGCGGCCAGGGACCGTATCCAGGACAACCTGTATGTTGCCCGTGACGAACCAGTATGTGCCCAAAAGACGGTCCTTTTCGCCGCTGACCACGTCGAGCTTAATGTCATGTTCTTGGCCATCTGTCAGAGAACCGAGAAAGGGAGTGATGTCGATGTGGTATGTCGGTTGATTGTAGGCCCCATATGCAGCTTGAGGTCGCCATATGAGGTTTTGGATTCCGCCGGTGAAGATGACAGGGTACGGCAGGACGATGCCGGCAATTTTGCCATCGATCGACAATTGAAGCTCCCTATAAGGACCGTGCCTAAAGATGCCCACGCTGCTGAGATCAGTGGTAGAGCTATTGTAGACCGCATCTGGCAGATTCGTGTACCAGAACTCTTCTTGTGCTGTGCCTGAAGCAAAAATCTCCACAACGGCAGTCGCGGCGTTCGAAGGGAACTTGACTTTGGTCAATCCATCAGTGTCAGACTGGTTGGGCCCGCCAAGCTCGAAGAAAGCGTTGTCATCGTCAAAGCCTTTGGCAAGGGGCAAGATCATGGGCGACGCATCTGCCAAGGGTGCCCTGATGCTGTTCGTCTTGTCTTCTGAGCGAGGCGCTCGAGGATCCGCGATAGAGACTGTCAGGGACAGCGTTACTGAAGAGAATCAAGAGCAGCTGTGAGTGCCATTCGTGCTGCCCAGGCAGCGCCCCGTTAAGCTCACTATTCAAGTAGCCGGTGTAGGTAGCATCGACAATGTTAGGGTAGTCGAACACGAGATTGCGATCCTGCTTGAACAAGTCAAAGTATTGATCGACCTGCTTCTCGGTGGACCACGTGGTATCGCTGACGTTTCGTGGTTCCGCATTGTCCGTTCGCCAGATCTCCGTGCCGCCAATCTGAACGCTTCCGAGTCTGTCGAATTGCCTGCCAATCGAGACGCCATCTTGTCGCATGAGTAATCCGCGCCACTGCAATGGATCAGAAAATTCTGCAGGGAACAATTTGGGCGAGTACTTGAGGACGGATGGTTTGCCATAGCTGGTTTGAGAGCGGCAGCATCAGCGTCATTCTATTGGTGTGCGCAGGTGATACTGCACGTGCTCACCTATGACCGAACACACGCCTGATGAGGACGATGGTGTGATTTTTGAGTCCATGCGATTCTCCATAGAGCCTGCTGGGAGGGGCTGGCTCAAAGTTGAGCAGAGGTTGCGCCTTCTCCGGCGATGGTGCAGGTGTGGCTGTGGACGATGGCTCAGCTTGCGGTGTTGCGCTTTGCACCGTGCTCGCCCCGCTACCAGTATCTGCGTCCGTGCCTTTACCGGCGCCTTCGTCCGCACCTTTGCCGTCATTGTTCTCACCGCTATCTTCCATGATCCCACTTTGCGATCGGAAGCGCGACTTGGAGTGCGCCGTCTTCGAATTGCCTTGCAAGGGATCCTTCTCAGACTGGAGGGTCAAGGACAGACTGACGCCCGTTGAATACTCTTGCGGCTCGCTCACGGCAGTGCGCGTGTACAAGTAAGATTCCTGAAGAGGCGCCTGGCTGCGTCGGTGCTGCACCAAACCTGACAGACTGGTCGGACGGCGAGCTTTTGCGTGGACGCCAGGAAGCAGGGCGAGACATAGCAGAAGGACCGCGGAGCCAGCCAGAAGGTGGAACAGTCGCAGCGATCTCGTTGACCTAGGCTTCACAGCAAGGTCGGCCATCTCGATGGATGATGGACGATCAAGAAGCAAGATGCGGGCTTGTGGACCGAGCGGCTGTAATCTTGAATAAGATGTGCGCTGCCGTTGCTGCAGGGTTCTCCACGCGCGTGCGGTACCGTAGCGGTAGGTGGCCTAAATGCGCTCCAACTTCTGATTAGGCCTCTTTGGTGCCTGGAACCGCTGAGCGCCTTTTCAATCACAATGGAAGTCTTGCTTTGGGGTGTTAAAGGGGAAAGGGAGAGCTGGGAGAGGGGATAAGGGCTCAAGAGATTGAGATTGTAGAGCTAGCAATCAGAGCCCTGGACATTATATAGGCGCGAAGAAGGACTGACGCTCTGTGCTGCTGCATGCATGCTCCACTCTTTCAGCGCCCCGCCGGCAATTCCTCGTATTCCGACGCTAAGCGCTCGCGCTAGCGCTACCTAATCGAAGAGCCGCACACAGTCTGATGAGTCAGAGTGAGTCAAAAGTGTTGACAAGCACGGCAGGAGTCACGAGTGAGGGAGCAAGTTTGAGTCGTGGGTCCATATGCAAGATGAGATTGACGATAAGGGTAGAGCGAGGAAGAATTGAATGTTCCATAAAGAGCCGTGTTCCTGATGAGCCGATCCCCGGTGAAGGCGACCACCGACCATCCACGCACCCACTCATTCAGCTCGTTCTGTCCTTTCAGTGCTGCTACTATACTGCCCTTGACTCCGACTGCGACTACCTGGGATGCATCATCACTCCACTCTTGATTCGTTGACTGCGCCGTCATGGAGGAACCATGCAAGATCGGCCGGAGTCGAGCTCGAGGGGCGGTGCCCATCCTCGACTCCTCGAGATTGCGCCATGCAGCCTCGTCCTCTCATTTTACTCCTCGCTGATGCGTTGCTTGGCTGCGTCACCCCCGTCGCTGTCCGGCCCGCTCAATTTGACGCGTTGTTCGAATATCCAATCAAAAATGAAATCGCGAATGACTAATGAAAGCCCTCCGCTCCAAGATTGCCGTGCCATGCCCGTTCAGCGGTCCAATCACTGTTACAGTCGTTGTATCTGCAGCATGCAGCAGACGCTCACTCAGCGAAGAGAACGTGAGGAGCTCAAATCACGAATGCATTCTGCCTGGCGATGGTGGCAGATCCTCCTTCAGCTACTCCCACACCGCAGAGAGACCACAGTCGAGCGTCTGGATAGCAAGAAGTCATTGATGGAGATTTAGCAGACTCGAGTAGATGCTCTTCTCGAAGGCTCTGTGATGATATCGTACTGATGAGAAAGGGAGATGTGTATATATAGGTGCGCACGCCACATGCCTACATCAAGATGAATATCACGAGACTAATCGACTCACGACGGCGCTGTTTGTCTGCGCGACTTACACGGCGGCCATTCACGATTGCACGCGTTGCTGCGCAAAACGGACCAAGGCAGACCGTCGGTCGCACAGAAGGCGGCCTGACAATTCGTTGTCTCAGGACGAGCTTCGATTTTGCGACGCACATCGATCGACTCGTCTGGGTCGCTCAGTCAATCGGATTGCCTGGCCCATCACTCAACTGACTCAAGGCTCTTGCAGCAGATCCGCTGAAGTAAGCGCAGAAAAGACGAATCAGCCCTTAGCCTCCTAAACAGTCTGAGTCACGAGTCACACAGTCGAGTTTGATGAGCGTATATACGTACAACATGAATCGTAGCTAGGCAGGCGCAGTGCTTTAGAGTCATCGCATCTTTACGAGGCTGTACGTGTGGTTCTAAAGCCTGCCTTCAGCAAAATTCTTGCTTAAGGACCGTTCGTACCTCAGCTGATGTACCCGCTCTTACCTCTTCATGTTGGTAGCGGTCTGAGCTGACGGCCTCTCACTGTACGCAGCCACTGCTGGTGAGACTGAGCCCAATTACGAGCAAACCTTGCGCTTTCAAGTCTCAACTGCATAGATCAATATACGGAAGCTGACTGACTGACCACGAACGATTCCGACTACGCCTCCGAACAAGGGCGCAGTAGAAAGGGATCAAGAGTACACAGCCTCAAAGAATTGATCCCCGCTTCCCGCAATCGTGAATGCAAGGCATCCGAGGTCCATTGTTGAAGAAACGGACTGAGGACGGGAAGCGTGTCATCAGTAGCGGTGCGCGGGACTCTCCAGCTGGCAGCTCTACGGGCCAAGCACAGCTGAGACAGGGGCCTGCGCTCAACACTACCGTCGATGCTGCTGCAATGGTCAGCCTTGCAGCAGCAAGCAGGCATGCAAAAGCCCGCCAAACGCCAAGGAGCTGCATGCTATACCCGTGCTGTTACACGCATCGAAATTATAGCAGTGGCAAAGGGATTTCAATCGCGGAGATTTACAACACACACCTACACATGACAGGTATGCGTGGGCGCGAAGAGCAGGCCGAAGAACTCAGCCCGGAAAGAGGAGAACAGGGGGCAAGGGACGGGTTGTTGCATGGCTGGCAGGCTGCATCATGGTCATGCGACTAGCTGTTGTGAACCTTTTCGATTGTCGCCAGCACTTGAGTCGGACTCGTGACGCGCTGCTACCGATATCGACCCCGTGGGGCAATTTGGAACCTATCAATGAGAAACCTGCAATTGCAGATGTGGATCGTGAGTCCGGAATGGTGCATGTCTCGAATCAGGAATCTTGGCTATAGGTACAGCCCCTGACCCAACGATAGGGGGCGTACGTCGTATACCGCTGCATGCATCGTGTGACACGAGACACGCTCGTGTGACGGATAGATGTGCCAGCGTACTCACGGGTTATGCTGCCGACAAGTCACCAGCGTCGAGCAGGTTGAACTGACGATGAACAAGGCGGTGCACTCAGATTCCGCCTTGCGCTTGCGGAAAGAGCGCGGGTGCTTGCTACGCAATTTAGCTGGATGGCGAGCAGCTATATAGCTACATTGCCAAGCAGGTGGTCTGCGACATGCTGCGAGGTGGCTCGCGGGGTTAGGAGAGCCACGGTCCCGAGACAAGAGTCACGATGAGCAAAGAGCATGCAGAGAACTCGTAACTCACACTCGTGAATATCACTCGAAGTCTCACGACTGGCACGACTCTCCTTACTCCGCGCGGTGGCTTTCGCTACGTCGACGCGAGCAAGACCGTAACAAGATCCGAGATGTCAAGCGGCGAGCTTAGCGTGGAAATCGCGGCCAGGCACCTATAGCTGCCATATCAAGTTTGCTAATTGTTGGAAGTCCGCTGTATAGGGCAACATCTTAGCCCTGCGAGTTGCGCCTAGCTTGTGAACTCAAGAAATCAAAGAGTCACGGTCTATATATAGGCGTATAGGGTGAGTCTGTCTGGTCTTTGACCTTTGTGTTTCTCATTCGGCGACTACAGTAGTCCTGATTCGGTCTAGGATTCGGTACTTGATTCGGACTCGCAGCTTCTAATCGTCTCTCGGTCCGTTCATTAATTGGTTCGGAGTTTTGACTTTGATCAAAATGTTTGACATGCATGAACCGCTGTATCGCGAACAGGCCGTGAACGCCGGTTGCAGAGCTTCTTGCAGCAGCTTTAAATAACATCTGCAGCAATTAAAAGTGCTGGTAGCGCATATATGCGATGCATGTGAGTCTCGTCTCACGCGGGGCTGCTGCACCACAGCAACACGCGCGCGATCGAAATAAGCCTGCAGCGTAGCTCACGGGCGCGCGCGGTGGTAGACAACACCGACCACCGTGCTGGAAACACGCTCCACCACCGATTTGCACCCTCATACACACGACTCAGACTCGCGCTGACTGACGTCTCGGAAGCATCGTGACACCTCGCGGCATGATGCTGTTGCAGCAGCACTGAGTTCGTTGCGGGGCACATCACCTCAGCGCCAGCATCTCCCTTCATCACGACATATTCCTGCCCTCTTTAGCCCATCACGCGTATCCAGTCGTGCATTCGTAGAGCTCTGGAGCCCCACGCGGGAGCAAGACGCCTTGTACCACTCAGAGAGTCAGAGTGCATTTCGCCCTCTACGTTACAACTTTCGGCATCGCGTCCAGCAGCGATAGAGCACCTCTGGACGCTCTTGCACGGTGGAAGTCTTTCCAGGGCCTGCTGAGCACATTTCAGTCTGGACGTTACTCTGCTTCGGGCGGTGGAGGTACCGTTGCCTCTTTTTGGGAACTCCTCTTCCTTGGAGTAGCTCCCCTTCATCTACGTTCAAAAGCTCATCCGACGTAGCCATCATACACTTGCCGGCTGCTCAGTCTCGATCATCTACTCGGCGTAGGTCATTCGTGGCGGTTGACCGACTCTCTCCACGCATACATCAATCACATCGAGACCCTCGCAAGGCGAGCAGGCGCATCTTGGGACAGCACCGGACCGGACCCCAGAAGGACTGCATGCTAGCCGAGTACCCTGTTTACGGGGTCAAGGCTTTGCGCAGCTGTTTGGCAAGCTTCGCTAGCGCTTGCAACTCGCGGTCAGATCGCCCGGCATGTCCTCTGCTCGGGCTGGTGCTGGGTCAGGGGGAGCTGGATCAGCGGGTAGGGGGTCGTCTAAGATGGGAAAGTCCATGTCGCCGCTTCCACCTAAATCTCCGCCTCTGTATCGAACGTATTTACCAGCCACCGATGGCGTAAATGGCTCAAGAAACACAGCCTCGAGCTCCACGCACGAGAGTGTGCCGAGTCCCGGCTCGCTCTCGAGGTTAGCAGCATCCATTGAGGACATGAAAAGGAGAGCGCAGGATTACAGAGAGAAGCTGCTCCAAGACGACAAGGTGGAGAAATTGTCGGGCGCAATCTCTGCATCATTCAAAGACAAAGCGAAAGCCAGACTCAAGACTGGAAGCATTGGGAGTGGAAGCGCATCACATCCTCTCCGCGCAAGCGCCACGCCATCCCTTGGCACCGGCTCTCATAATGGAGGCGCATCGACTGCGACGACCACTGTCGGAGTCTCGGAGTCTGGACCAGCTCAGAGCCCACCTCCGCCAGCTCGCAGGATCAAGGTCAAGCTAGATCCCGACCGTGCCTCAGCCTCAGCTGCACCAGAGACTCCAGCTCCTCTTGCACCTGCTCTTCTGCAAGGGGCACGCTCGGGTGGTAGCTCAGGTGCACCTGCGCGAGCACGCTCAGGCACAGCTGAGTGGGATGGAGACGACGATGCTGGTCCCTCGAGGCCTGGACGGACGTACGGAAGTAACAAACGCAAACGGAAGCGTGAGAGAACCAACGTCGATTCAGACTCCGACCTTTCGGACCACAGCGAGACCCAATCACCTTCGGCAAAAGCCACAGCTAGCACACCTGTCGCTGCAGCGCATCCGGGGCTGCTGGCTCCTGACGCGGGTATTGGGTCTCAAGGCAGCGCTACGGCAAGTCGACGAGGCTCGCACATCTCGTCTGGACAGCAACAATCTCGTGATCGATTTTCGCTCTCGGGCACGCCTCTGAACATCAAATTGAAGCTCAATCCAGCGCCACGCAAAGCTGTAAGTTTCAGCAATCCATTCATTGTATCTGTCTTGCTGACACCTCCCTGGATCGTGCAGCAATCCTCGTCCCAAGCAGTCACTCGTCTTGGAACCCGACAAGCGAATGGCATAGCTGGACCGCTTCAGCCCGCTGCTATGTGGGAGCTGCCGAAGACGACATTTGAAGTGCCGAAAGTGCGGGCACCAAAAAGCGTGCGCCCCTATCCTACGCGTCCAGTCGAAGTGACGATGGACTTCTCCGCTCAAGATTGGAAGGAGCGAGAGAGAGAAAGAGATAGACTCGAGGCATATCAAGAAGGCGGTCCTGGCCCTTCGACGGCCATCAGTAGAGCCAAGGACAAGCGAGGAGAACAAACGCCTCACAACATCTTTCAGGCTTACGCCGACACCTGGTTTCGCACCATCACTGAGGACGACCTTGCGTGGCTCGCCCCGAAGGTAAGTACCGCTGAACGGTCATTGCATTGACGGTGTCGGCTGACCTCTGCCAACGTGGACCATCGATTTCGACAGTCACCAACGCTTGCCGACGATGCTCTGTTCCAGTTTCCGCCCCTTGGTAGGCCTTACAACGAAGTGTGGGCAGAACAGGACTCTGGCGAATCGACCGCGATTAATGGAAGCATGGATGCGGAGAACAAGCCGAATGATTCGCTCGCAATTCCACCACCGCCCAGTTTCGAACCTCGCTCCTTACGTGACGAGCATGCAATTGGCGTTTCAAATGAAGATGCACGGGTGGGGCCTTTGGCCGAGCGTGTGCTTTCTGCGCTCTTGCCCGTCAAACGTCCTTCGGCTCTACGCCCGGGAGCACCCCAAGATACCAGCCTTCTCACAAACACGAGAGATGCATATGCTGCTACCTCTTCTACTTCCGGTCCATCCGGTACAGGTGGCCTGACCAGCACCCCACTCGATCGATATGCTACTCGCGCCGACAGCAAACGGAAGAGTCCTCCGACGCACGATCCTGCGTCCCTGACACGGTCGAACGGAGCAAATGGATATGCTGCACCTCCAAGTGCTCCGCCACAAGATACAAGGGAGTTTGAAGAGCGCCTCAAGGGTGAGCTAAGGCTGCTCGACGCAATCGATCCTGAACCTGTGAGTAGATGAGAGCATGAACGCGGATCGACCCTGATCCTCAGTCGCTCATTGACAGAGCATCCTGATCTGATTTGACACACAGACTGATTGGGCGGAGCGGAAGGATGACGAGATCTCTTCGGCCTTGCGAGACGTTCAGCGCAGACTGGCTGCTCAACAGGGCATCAACAAAGCTCGCTGTGAGCGTCTACACGAAATTGGCAAGCTCCGGATGGCGCATCAGCAGTACACGAGCTTCTTGGGCACACAAGAAAGAGAGCTGGAAGCACATTGGCACAAGCGACAGCAGATCATCAAGCGCAGCTTGGCTCCCAAGAAGAAGAAGAGCGGGGCTGCTGCAGCGGCAGCAGCAGCAGCGGCCGCGGCGGCCGCTTCTGCCGGCACGCCGGGTGACTCTGCGGGCGGCTCTACCCAAGCAGTGGGCCCCGACGGCAAGCCTCTGCCAAATGGCGTCCTCGCGCATCACACAGGACCTACGCCACCGCAGTTCGACGAGAAGTTTTACGACGCATTGGAGAGACGCAAGCTTCTCAAGTACGGATTTGCCGACCTCTTCAATCGGTTTCCCTGCTCATGGAAAGTCCCAGAGCCTCACGAGAGCGTCTTTGCGGATCTGCAAAACGAGACGGATCTCGGACTCTTGGAGTCTTCTTAGCCCGTCCTTGGCGTCTCTCATGAGTGAGACCTGCCAGGCGTGTTTGTCGCTGTAGGCCATGTTGAAACTTCTGTTGCATCGACGCATACCTTGACGTGCCGTGTAACATCACCGCATCCCGCGCAATTGTCCTCACACCTGCCATTATCCCCGAGGTGACCCGTGTCCTGACTATCAAATCGAATTGCATACGCACTCGAATGCACTCAATCGACTGACCGCAATCAAATCACAGACATGACAACAGGACAAGACACACACACACACATGTGTGTAACCTTATGCGTCCTCCACCTTCCATAGGGGCGCCAGGGCCAGAAGGCAGACCGCAAGGACAAGCGGAAATGGACAGATAATGGATTCATTGCATGCACGGCTGGGGAAATGATCGTTGGTTGGGGGGGGGGGGGAAATCTGCTTCTGCGGCTTTGCTTCTTGGAGCTGTGATGCGAGTGTGCCTGAATGATTGTCGATGGGAGAATTCGAGCGAGATGGTGCAATGTTGGTAAGGGAAGACGAAGTGCGAGGTTCGCGCAGGCAGCGCTTCGAGTGAGGTCACCTTGAACACTTTTGTGCGAGGGTGTACAGGTTGCGCGTGATAGTGTGGGCAACTTCGTGCAGACAAAACACGAGTCATTAGCGAGAATCAGCATAGAGATGAGTACAGGGGCTGGCGAAGAGCGCGACGCGGACGTGCATCACGCCGGGATTGGTGGGCGAGCGACCGTGAACGGCGATACTGCCATAATCGTGTGTTTCATGGCGCACACCACTGGTCCGGACAACGGTCACCGTGGTCAAGGGTGCTGGTGTGCTTGAGCCTGCCAGCCGTCCTCCTCGTCATCCTCGTAGTCGCCTTGTTGCTCCGCCTCAGACTTGAAGGCGGGTATGGCAAGCATATTTTTGTCAGTGTCTGCCTGATCACTTTTTATAAAGGCGGAACGTTCTTCCAGCTCACCTCTGCCATAGTATGGAAGACTTCAAGAGCAAATGCATTCATCAGGCCGGGCGTGACGCGCTCTGCAGCCTCAAGAGCTCTTCGAACATCAATGATGGTTCTTTGTGCGTCCGCGTTGTGTGAAACCGCAAGGGAAAGCTGCAACAAAGAATAAATTTGTAAGCTCGCGAAGCGTATAGGCGACTACACACCCAGGTCGTGAGACATACCTGCTCGAGCACCGGCAGGAAGACGCCGTGCAAAGCCGAATTTGGCTGGGGTCCTGGCTGAGCTTGACTTGCACCATAATCAGGGCCACTGCCCCCTGTGCGCGAGAGCTGAGCAGCCGCAGCACCTGGATCCATGCTTCCGTCGCTACCGCTGCTCGCGCCTTTCTGGTGCGAGTGCAACCTGAGTTCGTCCATCCTCCTCGTCTCCTCCTCCACTTCGTCCACTCCTGGCGTTCGCTGATAAGCCTGAGCAGCGTCGTACGCTTGCGCGTACCCGTTTCCGCCATCATGCGCATGCTGCCCATTGTGCCCTTGACCTCCTACAATTTCGCTACCTGCACGAGCATGACGGGGAGGTCGAGGCGGGGTGTCGGCGGTAACAGGCTCCAATTTGGCGCCGTAGTCTCTCGCCTGTACGGGACCTGAGCTACCTCCGATGTTGTGAATCGAGGGGTCTCTAGTGCGACTAGGACCTGAAATTCCCGCTCGCGTCTGTCCAGCACCCAAACGAACAGTTCCGCCTGCAGAACCCGATCCGCCTGAGCCAAAAGACCTCTGAGATCCATATCGGTCTTGGGACACGCCGTGATTGGTTTGTGGAGGCGTAGGTAGACCTTTCTGCCCCAGGCGCCCGTTCGCTTGGGACGCATTGTACGGATGGAGGTCTTGACCTGCCGTATGCGCAATGTCCGCCCCGCCAGCTCTGCCCACTGTCCCTCTCCTCACAGTGCCAAAGTCCCAATCATCTTCTCCAGCATCGCCGACCTCTTCTTGGGAACGACGCTTGTCATCACCCTCGTCGGGACCATCTCCGCCCTCTGCACGCCATCTCTCGAGCCTCTCTATGAGCTCGGTAAGGTAAGAAGTCTTCTTGGCGTTCCTGATGAAGCGATGCTTGAGCAGCTCGCGTGCGGTGGGTCGCTGGGGCAAATGTGTGCATCGTGAGCTTGCGGTCGTAGTGGACAAAACCGACAAGATTGAGGCATTATGTTATTACTTACGTTTGCAGGATCTCTCTGCAAGCAATAGCTCACGAATTCCCGGAAGGGTTTGGAGAAAGCCTGGTCGAGCTGTGGTGGAGGATTCTTTGGAATGAGAAACAGAACCTAATTGGGATGAAGAGGGCGCTAGTCAGTCACTAGCCGGCGTTGTCAGGTAGCGTCAAGATGCGCCGCTCCGACGCCACTGACTTTCATGGGATGCAGATCAGCGTAGGGAGGTTCTCCCATCGCTAATTCGATTGCTGTGATGCCTAAACTCCAAATGTCGGCCTTGAAGTCATATCCACTCTGCTTGATCACTTCGGGACTCATCCAGTAAGGAGTGCCCACGAAGGTGTTTTTCTTCGTCATCGTAGCCGTCAATTGCCCAGAAACACCAAAGTCAGCCAGCTTAACATCTCCGCTGCTAGACAGCAATATGTTTGCCGCTGCGGATTTCACGAGAGGCAGGCGAGTGAGCGCGCAAGAAGCCTCTTTTGCGCCAAAGAGCAAATGCGTACTAGCGCCTGGACGCACCTTTGATGTCTCTGTGAAGCTTGCCCTCGCCATGCAGATAGTCTAGCCCCTTCAGCAGCTCGCGTAGCACGATGGCGATGTAATCTTCCCTGAAGCGGCCCGGCTTCATCTATGTTTTCGTTCGGCGAACAGTCCCATCGTGAGCGTTCGCGACAGAGTGGCGTAGGAGCATATGCTGTATCTCACCAAATCAGAGCAGCTACCACCACTGCAGTACTCCATCACGATCCAAAGATTCGTGCCCTTGAGCCATGACCCGTGATATCTGAAAGGAGGCACACCGCGGCGCAAGCGTCAGCTCAGCTCTGCGATACATTGGCAAAGAATACATGTTAACTCCATGGCGCACATGTGGCACTCACTTGGTCACATGCGTGCTCTCCATCTGGCTCAATATGCTGATCTCTTGCTGGATATCATCGATCTCATCCTCGGCACTTTCCAGATCAATGATCTTGATCGCTACGGGCTGCCTGGTGATCTTGCTGAAACCTTTGTACACCTCACTGGTGTCCGATCGAGACGCATTAGAGAAGTGGGGAGGGGTCAGCGTTGCTGACAGAAGATAAGGTTCGGACCTACTCATGAAAGCACTAGGTGCCATCACACCGCCTCTTCTAAACTCATCCGTCTGTGTTCCACTAGCGCGCGATGCTCACCCAAAGGAGCCTTTCCCGATCCTGTCTTGTTTGACGTAGTACTCCTCCGGATCGGAGCCCTGAGGGGCGGCCTGAGCAAGCATGGTGATGTGGTTTGTCAGGAGTCAATGAGAAGTCGCGGATGCAGGTGGTGTTGAAAGTCCATGGTAGCGCTTGCAGGCCAGCGCTGGCAGATCCGCTGATTCGCACATACTAGGCGTGTAAACTTACCATCTTGAATGTCTCGCTGTCCTTCGAAAGAGTAGGGACTGCCCCTATCCCAACCTCAACGAAATTATACTGATCCTTCGCACACGCGCAACAGCGAGTGCTTGGGCGTAGCGTGTGATGGGACTAATGAAGGCGGACCTAGCAGACGGAATGGAGGGCTGATGCGAAGCTGATCGCGGCTGATGGTCGAGAAGCGATGGAGCTTACCGCACGCCGACGACGGGCGCTGATGACGGCTTCGCTTATCGGACAGCTCTAGGCTGCGTGATGATGGCTGCTCGGAAGCACAATGAGAGATGAGGTGGTGGGCGATGGCTTGGGTCTAGACAGCATGAAAGCGCTGAGAAGCCGTTCGTCGTACGCCGTACAGCATGGAGGAGACATGCTTGACCCGCTCAACACCTGCGCTGCTTGTCGCGCTGAAGAGCAAGGAGCTCCGTCCTGACACGCAACGTTCGCGCGCGGTGCGGGTCCCGCCTAAATCGATCCGCCGAGGGGGCTTGCATCATCATCAGCTGCTTGCTGCTGTGCTGCTGCTGCGACTGCTGCTGATGATGCTGCATATGCTGCATAAGATGCATGCATGGCAGCCGCGCCACACGACAACCGTGGATGCAGCACGCGTGTGCTCCGGCCGCTGCTGATGTATTCACGATTGCTGGGCGCGCGCGTCAGCATTCGTGATTCTGATACACGATCGCCGCGCCTGGGCAGCGCGCGAGTCGGGATCATGCAGTCACAGCTAAAATGTAGTCGTGACAACATATCATGTGTGGTGCTATGGTGATGGACGCGTATAGGTGCTGCTATAGCTATAGTCCTATGCGCGCATGCCCCCTGCTGCGCGCCTTTTGGTACTGTATAATACATATAATAATAGTATATATATATATATATGGTGTAGCTCTCTAGCGGCCGCGGCAGTAGCAGTAGTCGTAGCGGCAGCAGCAGTAGCGCTTCCATGGCGCGACTTGAATCTGGCGGAGACCAGCACTCGCTGGTCACAATCCTCTCCACCGTTAAGCCATTCACGATGACACCGGCTGATGCCGACCAGTCAGCATGTCAGGGTCAATGAACCGCGTTGTCTGCATGCTGGATATGTATATCTCCGACGCTGCTGTACGCGTCTACCGCGTTTCTGCGTGCGGCGTCTCGGCCCTCGATCGGGAGGTGTTCAAGGCGTGAGGTTGGCCCTCGGCACAGGCGCACACTCACAACACTGGTCGAGTTGACAAAGGCGGCAGTCGTGAGTCAGAAGAGTCACGCGTCTGATTTGTCCACTGGACAGGCCAGCTCGGGCGACTCGCACATTCTTGATTCACCACATGGTGAGTCGCGCACCACTTGTAACTCTCGTGCAACCGCCATATGGCACAGTGAGATCGAGTGTGCGCACGCTCCAGCAGGAGCAAGCGCTGAAAGGAGCACGCTCCACCGACGAGGCAGCACAAAAGTCCCGCCAGCAAGGGCAAGCGACTCGGCTGCGCGCGTTGCGATGTGTACGTATACAAGCACGCTAGACGTGTCCCGGATCTCACTCGGCCTGCTGCTTATTTTATTCACGACCAGCAGGCTAGTGTGATGCACACTTACCCACGTTACCACGCTACGGCCTCTTGCTGCTCTGGGCTACAGGCAGCGATCGTGCGCGCCATGCTCGGTCGGCTCTATACCCCTCATGCCGGTCAGGTGCTACAGGTACATACAACAGTCTAGTGTGTGGATGGACCCACATTCCATGCCAGATCTCAAAAGATCTTGTACTTGACAGCAAGCGCGGAAGGACAGGCAACCAGTCACTCTCAAGCGACGAGTCGGATGTCGAGAGTATACGCAGATATATGCACACAGATCTAGAAGTTTGTACCTCATAATCTTGAACGTGGCTCTGCGTCTCTTAATACCAAGTCCACCATCAATACAGTCACGAGCAAGAATGACGGGTGACGAGGCACAACAGCATCTTTGCCGGACTCGGACAGCCCAGGACATACATTCTTGATTTGTCTGAAAGCTATCTTGCAAATGCGTCAGTTTCTGGACTCTGATTCATTGCTCGTCTCAGAAGTCACAGTCAAGAGTTCTGATGAGTCTCTGGGTGGACCCGAGTCGATGCCCTCGGTTCAGATTCTTGATTCCGATTCACGTGATTGTCACCAGCAGCTCGTCGGCCCAATAGATTCAAACATTCATCAAGATTCAGAATTCTGATTCGATAGCACAGCTGACTACCATACTCTTGACTTGATGAGTGAGTGATGGAGTCATGCGTCAGTCCACCTCGAGAGTCATAGCCAAAAAGCGGAAAGCATCAGACTAGAGGGTATGCATGTTTGGGTCACGTGCAAGTCTGCTTAGCACGCGCGGCGCGCGCGCCGCGTCTGATGGAGCGCTCTCCGCTGAGGTCATTCGATTGGCCGCGGCATTCAGGTCCAACACTTGACTCGCGACTGCGCGCGGATGTCTTCTCGACATCGGCGTCCTCTTGACATCCAATAACATGTGAAAGTCTTGCACTCCATCTTTCCACAACTCGAGTCGTCTACATTACCGCCCCAACACAGTTTCCCGTGGATGGTGATTTAGCTCAAACGTGTTCGCTCCAGTGCTGCTCAGCAGATACACCATCCCCCACCTCCGTGCCGAAACGGAGACTGCGGTAAGACGACGTGCACCCCGACGTAAGGCGCCGTTGGGCTCGCGCTCCTACAGCATCCATGTCAAATCAGTCTAGCATACACTCGGATATCAACATCTTCCAATACGAGCGCCGACAAGCTGAGCTACACTCCCACGCGAAGGCTGCAGCTGCCGCTTCTGCCGAGGCCAAAAGTCGACCAGTCGCACTGTACGGTGGGAGGGTCGTATCTCATCTACCCTACGGCGGTCTCGCAGCGCAAAGGCACTTTGGCGAGAACGAAGGACAAACACGTAGCATGGCACCGTGCGACCCTACAGGTGCCGGAGACGTCCGAGCAGGTCCTTCAGCACGTGTCAATGATGCTCAAGACGGCCCTACTTCGATCAAACCTTCCGCTTCTCAGAATGAAACCAACTTTGGCGCTGGGCAGAACCCTGCAGACGCCGCCTGGCTTGGTCGAATGCTGGCGGAGAGCATGCTCGCATGCTTCGCGAGCGCTAGCGGGAGCGAGAATGGGCCATCGCCTTTCCCTGCCAGTCAGAGTGTGCCGCCTCGACCTGGAGTCGACGGCTTGAGACAGATTTCGGCGCTGCAGACCGCCCTCAATAGGCGACTCGGTCCCGAGTATATTCAGACACGAGCGGGCTACGGCACTGGTGGTGAGTCGCACTGCTTGGCAGTATGTTTCACAGGCTGACTCAGGGGCAGGACTCATGATTTTGTAGGAAAGAAGCTGTCGTACCTAGAGGGCTGGAAAGCTATTGATTTGGCCAACGAGGTGTTTGGCTTCAATGGCTGGTCCACTTCCATAGTGCGGATGGATACGGACTTTTGCGATGTTGACAACGACGGCAAAGTAAGGATCGGGATGTCGTGCATCATTAGAATTACCCTTCGCGATGGAACCTTCCATGAAGACGTTGGGTACGGTGCGATGGAAGGAAGCAAACACAAGGGGCAAGCTTTCGAAAAGGTGCGTGTATGCTGAGGTGCCAGCAAAAGCTAAGTGTTGGACGGACTCACGGACAAGCTGTTACTCGGAATGCATCAGGCACGGAAAGAAGCGACGACGGATGCGTTCAAGAGAGCTCTGAGATCGTTTGGCAGGATGGTGGGCAATTGTCTGTACGACAGAACTTTTACCGACCAGCTCGCCAAGCAGGAAAAGGCGGCACCAGCTTCGTATGACCTGAGCGACCTCAAAAGAGCGCCAGATCCCGGAGCGCTCAAAGCGGCTCGCGAACAACAAGCAGCATACTTTGCAGAGTATGACAAGCAACAAATGGCAAGGGCAAGCCCCACCGACCAGAGAGACGAGGGCTCAAGGAGTGCTGCGCAACTTATGGGTCCACCTCCTGTGCCGGCCAACCGCAGCAATAAGTCCATCAGCGCAGCAGCGCCTCAGGCCAATGCGCTATCTCGCGCACAGACAATGCCTAGACAAGAAGCGCCACAACGTCAACGAGCAGTGCGCGAACCCGAGCGGCCTCTGCAACACGACTCCAGCAGTGCAGATTCACGCGTGCGATCCGAGTCGCCAGACAAGGGCCGCGCCGAGCGCTTAGCCCTCGCAGCGCAAAAGCAGGAAGACCATCGCTTGCGCCGGTCGAAGAGTTTGGCGCCTATTGGACAGAGGCCTATTCATTCTCCGGAAAGTCAACAAGTCCAGCAAGATGCCTCTCAAATGGGCGCGGCCTCCAGACAATCTTTCAACGCACATGCCCCTGATGAGCTTCGTCGTCCTACGACTGCTCAGATGATGAGCGATGTTGGGGACGCAGAGATGTCGGAAGCGGTGGCGCTTGCCGAACAGAGACTGGAACGACGTCCTCCGCCTCAATGGCCAGAAGTCACAAATGTGCCGATGGATGGTGCAATGGAGCACATTGCGGATGGGGATCACTTGAGCGAGTATGGCGATTTGGAGGACGATGATGCAGCAGCAGCTGCCATGTACTTGGAATTGGCGGCAGAAGAAGAAGCGCAACAGTCTGAGCCATACCAGGTCCGAGGCCCTTTCCGTCCCGTCCAGCCGCGACAACAACAGCAGCAGCAGTCGGAACAGCGAGCATGCTTGAGCGTCGCGTCCATTCAAGCACACGAAGCGCACGGTATGGATTGCGATGACAGCGGTGTGGCAGGTCTGCAAGACTACAGAGCGGCTATGGATGTCAAGAGGGAAAGAATCGAATCGGTCACGTCTCCTGATCGACGACCTTTTCTGCCCACTCATCAACGCGGACTCAGTGGCGCGGGCGCGAGCAATGCTCCTCCAAGCAACCCTAGCAGTCCAGTGATGAGAAGAGCACCCAGCAAAGGTCATTTCGTGGGCGCACAGTCCAACGTCGGGTCGTCGAGATTCCCAGCAGAGGTGAGCATTGGGCACGTCATTAACGTTTTGCTTCATCTTCCATACTGACAGCGTCACGCCCAACAGACCTCTGTGACCACTGTGGGTGGCTCAGCTGCAGCGAAGCCAGCAGTAGGAGCGGCTTCTCCAACAAGCTCTCCTGCTCGCTCGCTACAACGCAGAGCTGCGACATCCATCGTCAGGGGCCGACCAGCGGCGCGCGTGGGCAACTCGAATCTCGAGCCATCAAGCGGTCGCGCGATACCTGGAGCAGCGCACTCTTCAATGTCTACTCGAGCCGACGGGCAGCCTGTGCGTCATGCCTACGTGGGACCAAACACTGGCTTCGGCCGACCTGTCGTTGCGCCGCTAGACGCGAAGTATGCGGAGCAACAAGTGCGCAACCAGCAGCATCGAGAGCGGCAAGGCGGATTCGTGGCTGGTCCGCATCAAGCATGGAGCGGCGGCAGAAAGCCTCTTGGTGAGCTGCCTGTAGATCGAAGTGGCGCCGTGAAGAGGCAGCGTCAAGATTAATGGGAATGCTAGAGGTGCCGGATGCAAAGTTCGGGCGCGACGCGCTGGTACCGTTGGAGCACCTGCACGCTCGTCGCATACATGACTCTGTCCATTGCCTGTCGCTTGGCGCAAGAGTGTCAAGCATGAAGCTCATAGTAGATCCCCAATATCGCCCAAGAATCGTTCATACTCGTCATCCTTCTTCCTCCTGCCTGGAGCCTGGCCAAACTTGGGACTTGCTTCCTGCGCATCCCAGCTCGTGTTGAGATGAGGTTTGAGCCTGTCCATCAGGCCGATCCTTTGTGTGTCCTCTTTTGAAGAATTCGCCTCTTGCTGATCTGCTCTTGGTCCAGATGCAGGTGCAGCATCGATCATTCCTGGCAGACCTCCTTTAGCAGCCTGAGCTCTCTGCGCGGCTCTCTTGCGAGCCAAGGCGGGCGGAACAAATTCTGCAGCTTCTTTTCTGAAATCGCGCATTTGAGGAGCGGCGGAGATGGATGTTGGCGGTCGCACTGGTGGTGGACCGGGAGCTTGTGGCCGGGAATGATGGGAAGCGGTAGCGGCAGAAGAGGCGGAAGGACCGGTCGGAGCTCTTGCTGGCACGGAATTTGGTCCGGATTGAGAGGGATGGAGAGTATGAGGAGAAGATCGAGGTCGTGCGCGCCAGCTTTGAAAAGTGGGCCTCACTTCTCCATTCAAGGCCATTGGATCTGCACGTACGCCTTCGCCCCCGCCTGCATGCGCAGCGTACCCTTCAAACCCTCTTGGTGCACCTGCTCTTGGAAAGGAACGCATAGGAGGCGGTGGTCTGAATTGGCTCGGCCCGGCTTGCCATGTCGGAGGCCTCATCTGGTCGCTAAGCCCTGCTGGAAAAGGTCCAGCACCGGACATTGGACCGTGACTTGTCCAATTGGGAGCGGCCAGAGGCATAGCTGTGCCCAAGTGCGTGCCGAAGCCAGGTGGCGGACCAGTGTAGTGCATTTGAGCTGGCCCAGCTGGAGCGTTCGATCCAACTTTGGGGGGAGGCGGACCAGAGGGCATGATGATCCCGTCATCATCCTCGTCATCCTCTTCGCTCTCCTCTTTGACCTCGACTTCGGCAGCTGGAGGTAAAGGTGGAGGACCCTCGGGAAGCTGAATCCCATCTTCGTCCGAATTCGAGTCGGAGTCTGTGTCCGAATTCGGGGTGCCGACTTCATCACCATACAACACCTCGGCTTTCTCCTCACGTGCTTGCGCTTCGGACGTGGTGTCAAAAGTCGTTGGCCAGCTTGGTGGTGGCGACGAGGGTAGCGGGGGTGCAGGCCACTGATCAGGCGCTGGGAAGACGCAGAGGAGCGGCGCGAAAGAGGAATGCACTGTCAAAGAGAAGCGGGTGGATGGATCACCAACATGCTACTCACGTTTCTCTCTGTACGGCATTCCAGGAGGAGGTGCACCGGTCGGATTGAACACTGGATCGTAATACACGCTTCTTTCCGGGATTCTGCCAGCATACTGTCCTCCACCTGCTGGCCCAGCCGATGCTTTGCCAGCACCAGCACCCATTTTAGACTCCTCTTCAGCCTTCCTTTGTCTCTCTTTCTCCGATCGCTCCTCTTCTTCGCCTGGAAAGACGAGTTTACGGCTGTTGGGATGCTTGGCTACAAACTCTTCCTTTAACCTCAACATTCCTTCCAGCTCTGCCCTTTTCTCCTTGAGCTCGTTCGAATCGATTGCAGACAACTTGCCATTGCCAGTGGAGCTCAATCTCTCCAATCGTCGGACTTCGGCTTGTAGAGGACGTGGATCTTTGCGAATCATTATTTCGTCTCTGACTTTTTGTCGAGATGCCTTGTTTCTCTCCAACTCTCGTTTGCGCGCTGCTTTGCCTGCAAATCGAGTGTCGAGGGCGGGGAAAGGATGCGCAGTCAGCTGTCTGCTCCTCCGTCTTGCCTTTGGTGGTGCGGACCTTTGACATTATAGACCTCGACTCACGCGCAGCATCCATCGGGTTGCTCGACTTCTTCGCCATCTTGTCCTCTCCAGCCTGTCAGGCGCGCGCAATCGAGTAAACGTGATGGATGGACCCCTACTCCTCCTCCAAGACGGAACCTGTCCCGATCTTTTAGCTTCTAAGTATCCAGACACTGAGCGCGGAAGATTGGCTTGAGTGCTGAATGGTGTTTGGGTAAGAGAAGCTCAGATGTGTAGATTGCGAACTTACCTTTCGGCTGTGCGCACAAGAAGAGCTGCTGTTGATTGCGAATCTTTGCGGAGGTAACTCGCACCGCATCGCATGCGCATGCGCATGCGGACGCGTCCCTCGCGCGCGGTTGTCGGTGCGTGTCTTCTGTCACGGCGGGTCACGAGGTGTGAGCCGCAATCAAGAATGATTCAAGATTCACATTGGTCGATGTGCTTTGCGAGCGCTTCACGCTTCTTCCGGCCCACCCACATACACTCAACACTGCTTGCTCAGGTTTCCGCTACCCTTTCTTTCCTTTGCACGCAACCTTCGTACTTGGCATTCGAACTCGTCGTGGGTCACTCGCGCCAGCCAGGTCATGCAGACCTTTAGCACCTGGACCATACAAAGCGATAATGTACGATCGCGTACGACAAGATTTTGCCGATGCTCTTCTGGGTTCTCGAGAGAGCGATCGATCTCAACTGTTGGATCTCAAGACGGGCCTAGCAGCATGGTTCAGCGCATCTTGTCAAGGAAGAGCTGACAGCGCTAAAGCCGAGCAAGAAGTCAGAGGGGGTGTGGGATCGTTGGGAAGGGATGAAGGGGCGCACGAAGGCGAAGAAGTGGGAGGAGCAACAGGAGGGGAAGCGTTGGATCAGGAAGATATCGATGCTTGGAATAGAGAAGCCAGGACTTGGCAGCTCATCGCTAGGCTGTACCAGTGAGTACTTGTGATGGTAGGATGGCGCACATGGACGAGCTTGGCACTGATCCAATAGACATGTGCCGCTGCTCAGCGATCGCTTGTCGAGACAGCCAGCTGCCGAGCTGGAAGCTTCCCAAGGCTCCAGCTCCCATCCTTACGAGACGCCGCTCAGCTCGGTGCAGAGGCTCTTGGCCCAGAGTCCCGGTCTCGCAGAGCTCGAGGTGCGTCCCGATCGCAGGGATCTTCAATCTCCTCGATTTGGAATTGGCGCTAATCCACTCACCCATCACCTTGCACCCACGTGAAGCTCGTCCGAACCTGGCTCTCCGAATATCTGGGCGAGTACGTGTCGGTAGTGGAAGTGCGCAAAGGCTATAGGCCATACACGCGCAACAAGATTCGCTCAGAAAAGCGCACAGGATCCAACAAACCAGCTTCGCGTTTGAACGAAGACAAGATCAAGATTCCGCGCACACAAAGCTTGGATCCCGATGCCCCTCAAGAAGTTCGTGAGGATGCGACGTACGAAAAGGCGTTGACGCGAGCGCTGTTCGAATATGTCAGAGCTGGAAGACTTTTGGAGGCGCTGGATTTGACCAGACAAGCGGATCAACCTTGGAGAGCTGCCAGTCTGAGAGGTGCGATACTGCATTGGCGACCTGGTTGCGGCGACGACGAAGAAGCGCTAGACGAGCCAGAGGAAGCTACTGGAAATCGCAATCGCTTGTTGTGGAAGGCCATTTGTCGGACTTTGGCATCCAAGAGCGGCATAGAAGAGCACGAAAGGGCACTGTACGGCGCGCTTAGCGGCGACTTGCAATCTGTGCTGGCCGTTTCTAGCAGCTGGGAAGCGCATCTGTGGGCTTATGTCAATGCCAGATTGGAAGCGGCCGTCGACAAGGGACTGAATGCGCGGGCAGGCTGGTGGAGTCAAGGCGCTACAGACACGTTTCCTGAAGCGTGCGGTCAAGTTGGGGCTGTGAAGCTCAACGAACTCGTCGTTCCCGACGCTCTCGCCATCATTCGACGAGCCAACACGACGGAGACGATAGGATCAGCAGACAAGGGCGAGATCAATCGAGAATTGAAACAAATCTTTGAGGTGCTCGCCCAGACAGAGTCGCATGGGGTTCATGAACAAGCAAACAACCCGTACGCCGTGGTGCAACGAGCAGTCATCTTGGACAACGTCAACGAGTTCTTGATGCATGTGGAGCAGCGTCTGTTGGATATGCGCGAAACGGCGGATCCGAGGATATACGCCAGGCTGGTCAGATTCTTTGCACATCTCGTGCTCTTTCTGAGGAGATTGCAGGTGGACAAACCTCCGTCGGATGTGGTGGCCAACTCGATCTTGCGCGCCTATGTCGAGGTGCTGGAGGTGGATGGCGCGAAGGATAGCTTGGTTGCCATGTACGCTAGCGCTTTGGAACCGGAAAGCGCTACGCAGAGCTATGCGCATTTCCTCAAGCTTATGCCCATCACCGCGACGGAAGAGGAGCGTAGAGCTGCACTTGCAAGAGCCAGCGAGAACGATCTCGACGTTGCTGCTGTGGCTCGCATGACGGTCGCGATGATCTTCGATGAGCTCATTCCGGTGAGTCTTGTCTCTCCCGCTTGATATCGAGTAGCCCTCACTGACGCGGATTGGGATGACACTTTGTGTTGGCGTGTCGTGCAGATGATGCCGAGCGGCTTGGACCCAGAACAACCGCTTTTGCCTCTCGAAGCGCCCTTGAGCGAGGAGGAGATCTGTCTCATTCGCGCTATCGACTGGCTCACGTACGACGAGTCCACTTCGGAGGATGTCATTTTGCAGAGCAACTTGTTGCTCAGGCTCTTTTTGGTCTCTGGCAAGGTCAATGCGGCTCGTCAAGTGCTCGAACATGTGCCTGAGCACGCTCTCTTCGTCTTGGACGATGCGCAAGTGGCCGAGGACGAGAAGACGGAGCATCTGCATTGGAAGACCTTTTTCGAAGCGTACGAGGCGCACGTCCAGTTCAGCGAGGTTTGGAACAAACGGACAACGACGATGGGGTCGGATCATGCGCGACAGACTTCGAGGCACGCTTTCGTCCAAGCGCTCCGTGAGATCGTCGAGATGGCGCAGGAAAAAATGGAAGAGGTATTGCAGATGGATTGGCTGAAGATCCAGGTGGTGCTCGTCGATGTTCAGGCTGAACGCAGAGCATTGGAATTGACTCGCATACGCAAGATCTATATTCCGGAGCTCATCTTTAGGCTACACTTTATGCTCCTGGACTCTTCCGAGTTCATTCCTGGGTACGTACCAGTATCGCCTCTTGCCGACGTGCACGCCATCGCAGGAGAGAAAGCTGACTCCATGACTTGCACCATCGGGCCAACCCTTGTATTTTCGCACTCAGCAACCTTGCGATTGCCCTGAACTTGCCAAACTTGGTGGCGGATGAGAAGCACAAGCTTTACTTGGACTTTATCTCCCTGCACGGCAATTCGCTCAAGCAGTACCTCGCCTTTGTCCGACAAGCGCACCTAGAATCTTTCGATCGACTCGGCACCGACTCGTTCAAGGCTGCCGCATCCGCTCCTACTTTGTTGGGCGCATCTTGAAAACAAGACGCAACGTCGCAATCTCAATTGTCATTGTGTGCGTACAAAGAGAGGTTGATTGTGCAGCAGTCTGGGACCGGGCGGGGCGTGTACTGTGCATTCAAATCTACACAAAATGACTCGTGACTATGAGAGCAATCATGGCAGCATTACAATCCGCATCGCGCAACAGGGACATGGTGTGGTTTGCAGCAGCTAAGCAAAGGACTCATCGACCGGCTTGGTCTCCAGAAATGTCTCCGCATTCGACATTAGCTCTCGCAAAGTGGCGACGGCATGACGAGGAGCAGCCTCGGACGAGGTCGGGCTCGCACGAGACGGTCGGACAATCTTGGCTCGCTTAGCAACGCTTGACCTCGAGCTGCGCAATGGACGGGCAAGAAACTTGAACGTCAGAAACATGGCAGTCTGGACACTATCGAATCTTTCGTGCTTGCTCACCTCGACTCGGACGGGGAGCGCTTGCTCGACGTGATCATTGCAGATGGCAGCGCCGCACTTGCCTGTTTCATCGGCCTGTCGGCGACGGGTTGCAGGGAGGATGCTTCGCTCGTCGACATTTGCCTGACCCGCGCGAGATCGATCCACGCGCGATCTTCTGCGGCTATCGCGTTAATGCTCTTCGCTGCAACTTCTTCAGCCCGGGCGATGGCTGAAAGAAGCTCATTCTTCGGGCGTAACATTCCGTCATCGCACTTCAAAATCATTCTCTCCATTATGCCTTGGAACACTTGTTCGACAAAGCGCACGACAGAGAACGCTGAGACATAGCGTGAGGAAAGGTGGTCAGCACGCATGTGGAACTTGGAACATTGTCACACACTCACGTAAAGTCACGTCTTCCATGATGCCAAGCTCTGCGTAACTCTCTCGAGCTGCCTCTAGGAGCAGTTGAAGGGGAAGGGTGTCCTCAGGTAAGAGTTTGGCAACGTCGCTCGGTAGGACCAGCAAGTCGTTCTCCGTGCCATTCTCATCGTCCTCCCAGAGCCTCGATGCGATGCGAGAGACGGCGTTGATGGTATGCCATAGCAGATCAAAGACCCTGGCCGCTGTCTCGGCGGACACGCGAGGGGTCGCTGCGGTGACCAATTTGTCCTCGAGCAAGTGCCTGAGGCAGGAGTCTGTCGCTTGAGCCGCAGCCGCCAGAGGGGTCCAGAGAGCGCTGAGCACTTCTCGGGCATCGGATTGGCTAGCCGACTGTTTGCGCCATGGGATGAACCTCAACAGCTCGTCAAGACCATTCCCGAAAGCACTTTCCAATTGCTCGAGCGAGCCTTCCAGACGAACTTCCTGTACATTAGACCAGATTCGCGTCCCAAAGGCGTCCTCGCGCTTTCTAATCTGAGCCGGCCGCAGTTCAGCTACAGAAGGCGCAGCACTGCCCCACCTGAGCATGAGCATGTGAGGCGCGAAGCGTCCTCGCGCATTGACAAGTGCCCCTTCAACGACCTCGAGTGCAGCTTCGTCACTCTGCGTCTCTGCAGATGAGCTCGCGAAGATAACTAGCGCCACGTCGCGCGAGGCGATGACGGCAGATTTTCGGGGCAAAGTTGTGTGCGCAAGTTCTACCTGCGTTCCGGAGCTGTCGGAAAGGGTCGTCTGAGAGATCGACTCATCCAAATTGCCTGGCAACATGAGCTTCCGGACCAACCACTCCGACGCCGAGTCGGACGTTTGCGTGACTAGTACGCTCCGCCACCGCCTAAGTGCCGGAGTCGTGATGGCTTCCACATATGTGGCGACGATGTCAAAGAAGGTGCCGGGCTCCCAAAGGTCTTCTCTGTCCGCCTGGGCTACGACCAAGCCATCACTGATCGTGTCGTCGTCCTTTTTGCCAGCCCTGATCGTTACCGGTGACAACGTTTGCAAGTCCTGTTCCCGCTGCCTAGCTGCATGGCGATCCCCCAGAAGATGTCTACTGCTCGACCTCGCCTTATCGGTCATCTCAGCATCAGCATCTGCCCCATCGTGTCCCAAACGGCTGCTCCGTAGCTTTGCGCGCACCGCTTCCAGTCGTTCTGCTTGTTTTGCCATTTCCACCACAGAGTCGTGGCGACCGAGCCAGAGATCCCAAGCATTCTGTGCAATGTTCCAGTCTCTGAACGCGTCCGCAGCACCTTGCTGAGCTAGCTCGTCGAGGTCGAGGTCCGAGCTCAGCACCTCACCCAACGCACGGTCAAACAGCGTTTCGGCTGCAAATTGAATGCACTCTCGCCGACCAGAGGGTGATCTCGCATCTAGCGCGGCGCATGCTTCCCCTTTTTCTTCCCTGAGCGAGCGTACGACGGGCAGAGGAGCAACGTCAGCTCTTGCACTTTGCATGTTGGATGCCTCTCGCTGCTTGCCGTGCGAAGGAGAGCTTGGAGAAGGGGAGGAGACGAAAGAATCGGATGCCTTTCGCCTCTTCCCGCTCACGACCTGCGCGTTTGATGCTTGTGGCACAACAGCCGCAGTAGCAAGCCCGCTTGGCAACTCTGTAGCGCGCAGAGATGCGGCACCGGCGGTTACAGCAGCAGCAGGTGCTGGGAAGGCAGACGGTATCGACGCACTACTAGCTGTTTTGGTAGACTGCCCCATCATCGTTGAAGTTGCGTTTCCTGGGGCTGTGGAGAAGGGGGCAGTGATGGAAGAAGTATTAGACGGAAACGAGAAAGAAGAGGAAGAGGAAGACGGTTTGGTGTAAGGATGTGCTGACGATCTTGCAGCAGCTGATGTGGAAGCTCTAAAAGGGGTAGGTGTCGATCCGAATTGACTTTCCGATGCTAGAGACACCAGATCTGTTTGAACCCCTCCCAAACGAGACTGCAGTTGAGACGCACCCCAGATGCTTCCTGATGATGAATTGTCGAACGCAGAAGTAGCCGCTACAGGCGCAGAATAGGGCTGCACTGGTCTTGAGATCACTGGTGGTGGTAGTGCAGCCTTGCGTGAGGTAGGCGCGTTCCAGTGATCCGTCACCGGCGTCGCTGACTGCCTCGAAGGTACCGTTGGTGCTGCGGATGGTTGACGAGCAGGATGGAAAGGCGCAGGCAGTGGCTGTCCGCCATCGTGGTTGAGAAGTGGAGTCGCACCTGACGCGACTCCGTCGATAATGTCGCGGCAGCTCCATCGCTGGCGTTTGCTCTCCACTACGATTTGAGAGAAGGGGACTGCTTTACTACGCTCAAGCTGTACATCCGACACTGTGCGATAAGTCATCAGAGAGCCATCAGCCGTCATAAGATAGCAGTTAGTCCACACTTTATGGGCTACTTTGACATCCCGCTCACCTAATGCTCGTTCCGTCTTGTTGTCGATCCGCACAGCTAGCGTCTTTTTGCCTGATTCTTCCGTCGTCCATTGCTCGCCAATGCCCCGATTCCTGGCAAATTCTAAAGCCTCTTCCTGACTGTCGAATGAGAGGTCGTTGGTCAGGTCTTGCACGGGCAACGGTGGATGTTGTGCCATGTATGCCGAGGACATCGCTCGCAGAGCGCCCGCTCGGACCGTCGGGATGATTGTCTCGGCCAAGCAAGCCAGCAGGTAGGGGACTCGTGCTTTCTTTGTCTCCGCAAAGAAACGAGTCCACAGATTGAGCGAGCCTTCACTGCCGTCCCTCGGTTTGTCGGGACCCGCGCCCTGAGCAAGGCCTCGCAGCCGCAATGCCGTTTGCAGAGTAGGCGAGTCGAAGATGATGGGGGGCAGTCTTTCGATCTCTCGCAAAGTGTCCGGATCTCTGTGATGCAGCAACAGCTCGTATGCCCGGAATTCCGCTTCGTTGGGTGCGCTCTTGCCCGTCAGCGCTCGAAGATCGGCATAGAATTCGGACAGACTTCGGATGGCTGTGATAACGCGCAAAATGAAGCAAAATCAGCGATCCTGTCGCGGCAGACTTCCCATATTGGTCGACCCATGGCACTCACTTTTTCGAAGTTGTTCCATCTCCTGCTGTTCGCTCCATTCTTCCGCGCCTCGACCGCCCTTCCAATGTAGACACAGAATGTGGTAGCGTGCGATTCGCTCGTGGCATTCGATGGTCATTGGTCCGCCTTGACCCTGAACTATGAAGTCTTGTCGCACAGCTCGTGTCCGGTTCCAGATGAAACCTTGGACTTGGGCAAATTCGGTCGAAGACGGATCTGTGGGAAGCAAGGTGTGAAACAAATAGTCGAGCGTGCGCTGCAATTGTATGCGGGAAACGTAGTGAGCACATCGTGCCAAGAATGTGAAAAATGAGAAGCAACATTCACACGCACCCGAAGCACGGCCGGAGGACGAACATCGTCGGGCAGAGGAAGTTCGCGGCCAGCTGCCGGTCTGCGATAGATCTTGACTGCAAGCCTCGGATCTATCTTTTCCGTACCCGGATACTGGTCAGAGTGTGCGCGAGAAATTGTCAACGTGTGTTTCACCTAATGCGGCGGTACGGGAGGCATAACAGAGACTCACAAGCTCGGGTGGGTCAGCTTCCTTTTGAACTTCCCTCTCTACACGCTCAAACTCTGAGCACATCTCCATGCATGTGCCACGCAAAGTTTGAGTCGCAGCCAGATCCTGGGCTTTCGTATCATCTGGCAAGACGCCTTGACGAATGTAACGTTCCCGCATCGCTTCGCGCTGCTCCTTGAGCTACGACGGGCAAAGAGCGGGCTTGTCAGTCGTGGTGAAGGAAAGGAGGGCTGTGCAGGCACGCGATGCTCACCTCCTGGAATCGAATCGCGCTTCCAACAGTATCCTTGTCGAATCGCTTCTTGCGCTCAGCGTCCGTCTCGACCATTCCTCCCAGCGCATTCCTCTGGCCCGATATGGTCGAAGGGCCAGGAGATTCCCTCGAGCGCATGAAGCGACCCAGTCCACTCCCTTGTTGACCGATAGAAGGCGCAGGAGAAGAAGAAGAAGGCGGGTCCGGATCACCGGCGCCGGGAGCGAAAAGATATGAAGGCATGGCTGACGAGCTTGCGGATGCTTCGGCTGCTGCGAACGCCGCACCGATGGGACGACTTGCGGACGTGGTGGATGCAGCTGGCTTCCATGACGTGTTCCCAAACGCACTAGGCGCATTTGCAACCCCTGCACCATTTGTGAGTGTTGAGGCAGCTGCCGAAGGAGACGATGCCCCTTCGCCGGCCTGGCTAAACACCGCCGATTGGTTCGAGAATGTGGATTTGGGCGTGGTGCTTACAGGCGCGGCACCCTTGCGACGCGACAGCAGCTTGGCCGGCGCATCGTGGGATGAGTTTCTATTCATGGTCGCCGCCTCCTCGAGAGACAAGAAGGCTGATGAGCGAGGCTTCGTGCACTTCGAAGCGAGTTTCTCCTCGATGGAACAACTCTCGCCATGGAACGAGGTAGGGCAGTGTCTCGATTGGTGGACGGCCTTCCAGCACGCACTCAAAGGCCAATGATGATCGCGTTCTGTACTTGTGGTAGTAGCCAGAATCTCTGAAAATTTGCGCATGCAAGGACGGACGTCTTTGAGATGCTGAACGCAAGCGTCGTCGATCACGGCTCCGAGTGTCCAGGGAGGCAGAGGGACATAGAAGAGTCATCGACCGTACAGTCATGAGTCAAGGTAACAAGCTGACTCGCGACTGTACGTCGCGAAGCTCATCGCGTGCCGGCTTCACGGTCACCTTCGCGGGCGCGCGCAGACGGGCTGACGGCGCGCACGTGACCATCATGCAGCCAGCTGAAAGCGTGGCCATCACGTGCTTCACATCTACGCTGCTTTTTTTTGGTTCGTAATCGAGAAGAAGGGCAATTCGGCAGCACGCTGACCAAGTACCTTGGAGCTGAGCGCTGACTAGTTATGTCACCTCCATCCTCTTCGCACTCGGCGGCTGGACACCCCCTGAACAGGCGCAATGATGCACGCAATGAAGCTGAGGCGGCCCCCAAGCACCATGGCGGGGCCGTCACGGTCGGGCACCCTTGCGTCGTCTTCCATTGCACGGTCTCAGGTTGACGCGACAACTCGCAGGACGTCCACAGCTATTGGCTGCTCGAGCACCTCATGCATGCACACTTCGTCTTCCCTGCGAATCAATGGGCGTTTCAGACAGCTAGCATACGATCCAAGCGACATGTCCGCCAAGGAGTCTGGCTACATCAAAAAGACGCAGGCTAGGAACAAATTTCAGGACCTCGTACCGCCCAGACCAGCGGTGTCCGAAAAGGCGATGATGTACAGGGAAAGGTCAAGGCAAAAGAATGCCGCAATACTCGAGGAAAAGGCTCACTGGGCGGAGATCGACCGTGCACGGGATGCGCGGCTGGCTAGGAGAAGATCAGAAATGGAGCAGGCAGAGAGGAATAAGGATGCGCTGTTCTACGGCGTCGCAAGGCTTGCAGACAAGCGAATGGCCCCTCCAGACGGAGACGATGCGGGCCATGCCTCTCCAGCAGATGATGCGAAAGACGCGACAAATGTCGGAGGCAGCTCAAAAGATACGCATGACCTCTTTGGAAATGACGGACGTGCCAGCTCTGACTCGAAAGCGCCTGGCACTCTTTTTGGACGCCCACAGCCTGGATTCCAATTTGGCGTTCGAAGCGCAGGCAAGACGCCGCTTCCCGAAGAAAGTAAGGCTCAGGTGCACGCCAGGTCGTTGCGAGATAGCGAGGCCAAATCGAGCATCGAAAGACTCAAGAAGCGCATCAGGGCCATGCTGTTCGAGGCGCCGAGCGTGGGCGCTGCCAGTGTGGATGCTAGACCGGGAGATGTGGTGGAGTGGATAAAGGGCGAAAGTGGGTCGCCGGAGCTGTGTGCCATCTTGCCGATGCCAGAGGTGACGGGTGACGAGGACTATAGTAGCACTGGCGAAAGGTCTCGAGGGGACACTCTTATCGCGAGAAACAACAAGGCGTTGTTGACGTCAAAAGGTTCAGTCTACCTGGCATCCTCGTCAGAACTCATGTTCAGAATCGCAGACTTCTTCAACCGTGATTTGGCAGCCAGAGCGACACCCACCGAGGCGAAGTACTTTGCGAACGACTCTGTAGATGCTCCGGCGGCACAGACATTTGACGAACATCTCCGCATCCTCAAAGAGCAAGGCAATGCTGTTTCGTTCGAAACAGAGCTGCAAGGCTCAGAAGCAGCAGCAAGATCGACAGAAGACCGGGCCAAGCATCCCATCAATCCGTTTGAGGAGCCGTTCGACGAAGACCGATTCAGTGCCAGAAATCGTATCACTAGAGATCTGAGAGTCTTTGCCCATGTTTTGGACGAGGAGAAGAAGAGGCTCGCTCCAGTCGTCGCCCGACGTTGCCTTTCGGATCCTGATGCCCTGCGCGAGGAAGGCGGGACATTCTCAGCTGAAGAAGTCGCTTCGGACATAGATGAGGCACTCTATGCGATCGCCTCGTCGAATGTTCCCAAGATCAATCGAGTCATCACCAAGCCGCTTACCAGGGTGCGGATGAGAAGAGCGCTTAAGGCGCAGGCTGAGGCTGGGAAAAATCCATACGTTCTGGAAAAGAAGCAGGAGTTGGAGGTTGAAGATCCGGGCTTGAGAGCCATCACCGTCTTAGCAGTTCATCAGCTTCTCTTCCAGCATACACACGCTTTCTTGCCCGATACCTTTGCGTATCTGCAGACCCTGCTGTATGCCGGTCGGTTACCTGAAGAGCGCACCTCGATGGAGCTCGTCAAGAATTGGGCACGCTCTCCGTCTGGCTCAGCTGGTCGGAGCATTATCGAAACCTTTTGCTCCAAAGCCAAAAAGGTTTTGGACTGGAGGAGCAAACAGGATGTGTCCTTTGAAGAGGGCGCACCCCGCGCCGTCACACTGCAAAATTGCGATGGGCCGGGAGTGGAATGGAATAAGGATGACGCGACGATAATCACGTTCCTTAAGACCATGCTTGGCACACGGCGCACGAGTGCTCTCCAAGGCAACGACTACGGCGCACTTGCGTCGCAGATTGTGAAGGGATGTGGTCTGGACTTTGCAGTCAGACCCACGATTCAGGGTGAACCATCTGAAGTGCCGCCTTTCCTCGAAGGAAGAGGCAGCGATGTCATCGATAGCGCGACTGACTTGCAACACGCCGTCACGCACCATCTCTTACTTCGACTCGGAGCTCTGGCACCTTGGCAGACTACGTTGGATCTCGATCCTTACTACAAGACGCTGTTTGCTGCAGACAAGTCCACCGCAGCTTCGACTAAGGTGCAGCTCACGGCTGCAGAAGCGGAGACTCAGAGACACGACTTTGGCCAGCTGGAAGTGTTCGTCATCGACGATGCGATGGCTTTCGAGCTAGATGACGGTGTTTCGATCGAGAAAGTACCCGAATCACCGGGAACCTACTGGATGCATGTACATGTGGCCGACCCAACGGCTTTTCTAGAATCGAGCGATCCAGTCGCTATTGAAGCCAAGCGAAGACATGAAAGCACGTATCTATCCGGTCAGCAGATCTCAATGCTGCCTCACTCTTTCACCGTAGCCAGCCATCTTGGCTCAGCAGGCTTGGAAGAGACAGAGGCCAAGAGGAGGCAGGATGAAGGTCTCAGAGCGTTGAGTTACAGCGCCAAGGTCGACGAAAGGGGCAGAGTGCACGACTACAAGGTGAGACCATCTTTGGTCAAGAACGTCAAGGTGACTACGTACGAAGAGATTGGTAGGATACTAGGAGGAAGAGAAGGCGCTTCTCCTCCAAGCATCTCAGGGCACGCAGAGACCGTGCGACAGCTGCACAAAGTGACCCAGTCGTTGATGCGCCGCCGAGTCGAGGATGGCGCCTTTTTCGCTTCGAGAACGAACGTCGACGTCAAGGTGGAGCCCATGCCGTTGCCGCTGCATCCCTCGACAGACGCTGCTTCAACGCTCAACATCTACGAGGGCTTCCCGTCGATTGATCTCAAGATGCATTCTGCAGCTTCGCGAGAGTCGAACCATTTTACTGGCATAGCTCAAGAGATGGTGGCCGAAGCGATGATACTGGCCGGCAGGGTAGCAGGTACTGTAGCCTCTGATCTGAATGTGCCAGTCATCTATCGAGGACAAAGCTCTCCCTCCGCAGCCGATGTGTCGCGCATCTTGCGCAGGAGGGATGAAATGGGAAGGATCAATCAAGTGGATTTTTTGACTAGCGATATTAGGGTCAGCACGGGATACGCATCCACCGTTCCGGTGCCTCATTTTGCCCTTGGTATCACGGCCGACGGTACCAAGGGAGTGAGAGATGCACTCACGAAAGGAGGCTACTCTAGAGGTACCTCTCCACTTCGTAGGTATGTCGATCTGATCACGCACTGGCAGATCAAATCTGCGCTTCGAGGTGCCAAACCGAGGTGGAGCGTGCAAGAGCTGCAAGGGGAATTGCCCAGGTTCAAATTCATGGAACAAAGAATGTCGGCGAACGAAAGGACCATCGATCAATTTTGGGCATGCATGAAGCTGCACCGCGTTCTGCAAAAGAGGGGCAGAGGGGAGGAGTTGTCAGAGGTAGAAGCTGCGCTATTGAAACCTCAGCCGGCAGTGGTCTCTTTGGCCGATCTGAGATTCAACAGGGTCAGACATGACGCTCGAGTCAGGGTGCAATTGACCGATCTCGGATTGCCTGCCGAGATGCTTTGGGATAGGGCCACGCCGCCTTTACCTATCGGCACCGTGCTGGACGTGCAGGTGCACGAAATCTTCTACACTGGCGCCATCATTACGCTCATCGTCAAACCTGCGCAAGTCTGACCTCGATCGCTACTGCCCACTTCCTCTCGTCGGCTCCTCGCATTGCTCATGTAGCTGTACTCGATGCCAACAATGCATTCATCGCTGATATGCCTCCCTGGTCCTAATTGTACATGTCTGAGGTCTGTGACTGTGATGGTCGGTCGTGTGGTGGTGTTTGTTGGGTGCCTTGGTGCTTGCGGGACTCTAGACAGGTCCAGCTGCTCGCTCGCTCGGGTCCAGCGCCCGAGCGTGAGCGGTCGTGAAGACAGTCGAAGACGTGACGGGATCGAGTGCGCAATGTAGTCTTGACTACGTGGCTAGTGGCGCTGCGGCTCAGGTAGCAGCTATCACCTCTCATCCTCTCAAAAGGCCATCCAGAGCAGCTTGCATCCTTTCCAAATTTTCCTGTTCCTTTTCCTCATCCTCGTGCACCTCTGCAGCTTTTGGCGCGACGAGATCTGGCAGATGCTCCGTGCCAGCAGCCTGACCCAATTTGCCATCCGTCAACTCGAACAGCACCTTGTCCACTTCGCCCGTAGCTTCCTCTTCCAGGTCATCTTCCTCGCCTAGCACGGAAGAGTCGAGCGTATCCTCCAAAATCTCTTCCATGATTCCAGCCTGTGCGGATGCGAGGGGGAGATGTGAGACAGGCAGCAAGCGCAAACACTGGATGAATTGGCTGAAAAGCGGAAATGATGGCTCACCTTTGTCATTTCTGCGCTCATCTCCCTCATCACTTTGGACACTTCGGGAAGTTTGACCAGCTGATTGGACATCTTCATGATCTCTGTGCTCTTTTGCATGCTGCCCGTCACTTTGTACATGGCTGTGTGGGTCAAGATGAGACGAATGAGCATCGGGTCCGAGTGCGGCACTGCCATCCACAATGCGCTCGAAGGCATGCAAGCTAAGGGCGCGACTCACCCAACTGATGTCCCAATTGCATATTGATGCTATTCAATTGAGCTTTACTCGTGATCAATCTATCCTTCTGTTTCCGACTCCTAACAATCTCTCTGGCCAATATCCTAGCATTCTTCGTATCTCCCTTTTTTGCCAACTTTTTCACCTCCATCTTGGCTTTGGACGAAGCTGCATCTATTTGTCGCACTTCTCGATCCAACGCTCTTTGTTCGGAACGCAATTGGGCTTGGACCGACTTGACTCGCTCTTCTTGCGTCGGACCAAAGATTAGCTTGGACACTGCTTGCATCTTGCACGAGCAGGAGCAGGATGATGCGCAAGGGCAACAGGCGTCGTGATGAACGGTTCAGAAGTGTGGTCACGCTGTGGAAATGTAGAATCCTCGGCAATGTCCTGTTCTTGCTCGACACGATAGCGGCGAGCGTCGGAGCTGTTGGTTGGAACCGCTTGTGCTATATCGATCAGGAGCGGGTAAGAGCGGAGCTGCCCGGGCGTGAAAGACAGCCAAGAAGGTACGATATCGAGGCCTATGCCTTCAAAGCAAACCAAATGGCCAGAGGCGTGCCGATTGTCCCCGCAAATGCTGTGGTTGGATGCGCGACAAGGAAGAACTTATCGGCAAGGCACCGATGCGTGCGGCTGCTGAAAGGAGGCAGCCAGAGTCAAGAGTAGCGAGGGTCTGCGCGCATACACGTGAGCCGAGGCGAGACAAGACGAGACGAGACGGATCAGTGAGAGATGGAGTGATGAGTCAAGTCTTGCGTGTGAGTGAGGGGACAAAGATACGAGCCTAATGAGATGTTGATTGGAGTTGGGATTGATGGCGTCTCTGGTGTGCGGATATGTGATTGTGAATGTCATGCTCGATTGTCATTACTTGTGCGCGACTTCCTCTGAACAGCACCCATCCACCACGCACCCGTCACGAGTCACCAGCAGCAGTCAGAGTGCAACGAGCGCTGAGCGACACAGCATATATGTACCTACCTGTACCGGTACATACGATTTGAGCGATTCGATCTCCGCGCGCGCGTCGAAAGTCGTCATTTCGCGATGACCGCGCACCTCATCAGCATCGCCCGTCCCTATGTACACACGGATGTTGCTGCCCATGCAAGCTACATTATACATCGTACACGTAGCGTTGCTGCACAGCTGGTGAGATGGTCGATGCTTGATGCTTGCACCCTCGCTGATCCCTCAGTCGTGAGTCGTGAGTCGTGAGTCTCGAGACATCAGCTCCGTGATTTGCTGCTGAGGGAAGCGGGCAGCTCGCGCCATGTATATGCAGCCACTCCGACTCGGATCGTGTCGTGTCTCATGCTGCATGGATGCTCAGCCACTTGTATAGCAATCACGTGAATCGTGAATCTCAAATTGCGAACAGGCTCAAGACTCGGCACCCAATCACCATTCTACTGCTGCATCCAGCTCTATGCCTATGCCTATAGGTACCTATAGCTGTCAAGGGAACATGAACGAGCGATCCCGATCTTCTGTAAGAGGTCCTTCGCTGCTGGGCTGACGGTCGTCATGCCGCGCCAATGGTGAATTCAGGGTTGGCTCAGCTCAGCTCAGAGCCTGCATGTGAGGCCCGCGAGATGATGCCAAGACCTATCAATCTTTTGAATTTGAAACGGCTATACGGAAGCGGCGGCTTAGCAGCAGCAGCAGCCAGATGCTGGCGGCGATGTGATGGAGCGCACGGATGCATCATGCTCGAGCGCGGGCTGCTGCTGCTGTGCGGCCACTCTTCACGCTTTGGCTGCTGCAGCATGCAGTCACAGCAGTGAGAGCGGCATGCACCTTCCCAGCAGCAAGGTAAACGCTGTAAGCTAGCTTGTAGCTGCTGCTGCCGATGCTTTTGTTATCTGCCCTCGCGTCTCATTTGCCGAATCACAATCACGGATCTTTTGTATGTTCCAGCAAACCTCTTCTGCTTCTCGCTTCTGACAATCAACTGGTCTCCACCTCACGACACTTCGTGACTGTGGCCCAATCTCTCCTTCAACCGGTTGGCTTACCCCTCGTGCCCTTGACGTGTCGCGTGCTCCGAGCTCGGCCTGGTCGGACGCGCGCACGCTTGACCTCCACAACACCCTTCGCACGTAAAAGGTCGCACATCATCGCCTCAACCTTTCATTCGGGCTCATAGATTTCGTCCAACGCTGCTCATTGCCAAGCCTCTCCAGCACGGCCCGAGCGTAACTACGGTATGCGAGTCTTCAGCCTCCTGGCTGCCCTGGCTACCGTGTCCCTGCTTTCGACTTCCGTCGAAGCGTGGGGCGCGGTCGGACATTCCATCGTAGCTACGATCGCGCAGAGCATGCTCCATCCAGATGTCAGATCTTACCTCTGCGAAATCCTGCCAGAATGGTCAGCGTATCGAAGCGAGTGGCCCCGAGAGGGCGCACCGCACAAACAGTGAGTACACTCTGCAGGGACGGAGAGCGATGCAAGCGACTCAATGGGCTCCCCTTCTGCTTGGCACCGCGCGCAGCTGTCACCTGGGAGCTGTGTCTTCTTGGGCAGACACGGTGCGCAACAGATACCCCTGGGCTTCCAAGTTGCATTATGTCAACCCGCTCAACGACGTACCTCCAACGCATTGCACCTATGGCGAGGATGGGGGATGGACGAGCAGCGACAATGTTTTGACAGCAGCTACAAACTACACACGAAGGCTGAAGGAATTCGTTCCGGGCACTGCAGATCATACGGGTCTGACGGAAGAGGAAAGGAAGTGGGAGAGGGATATGGCTCTGCGGATGGTGGTTCATCTCTTGGGCGACATGCACCAACCGCTTCATTTGACGGGAAGAGCTCGAGGAGGTAACGACATTTGGGTGCACTTTGAAGGTCGAGCTGCCAAGCTCCATACAGTGTGGGACAGCTTGATGCTCAATCGTCAGATTCGTACCCTGTCCAATCACACCTCGCCCCTCCGATCCGCGCGCATCGAGTCAGCCCTCCAACGCAGACCGTACGACGCGTACATACGCTGGATCTTGCAGGAAGGTCTCGGACAGACGCTCGAGGGAGGCAAGCAGGCCTGGTGGGAAGACGCGGAAGAATGGTCTCAGTGCCCCACTACTGCAAGTCGATCGAGTAGAGCAGAGCACATACCGGGTCAAGGTGCGGCGCATACATGGCTCTCCTCGGACGGCCTCTTACCTCACACCACCAAAGCATTCAAGAATGTGGCAGGACTGTTGCCCCTGCCCGCCAGCGTAGCTGTCCAAGCAAGGTCTTTGCAGTCTTTGGCCCCCGGAGACGACTCTGACGACTCTAGCCAGCCTTTGTGCCCATACTCTTGGGCCAAACCTCTTCATCCTCTGGTCTGCAAGTATGGCTTCGCCAGCCCAGTGCCTATCCCAGGCAGCGAGGAGCGCCCAGAGCTCGATGGTGATGACTATGCTGGCAAGGTCGACAGGTGAGCATCGCCCTATTCGTCTCTGCGCCGCCTTCGCTCCTTGTTGCTGACTGCACCTCCTTCGCACGCAGAGACCTCGTGCTGCAGCGCCAATTTGCAATGGCAGGAACACGGCTTGCCGCTGTGCTCAACACGGTTCTTCTACCTGAAGCGCAGGCCGCCAAAGCATCAACCGTCCTCGCTCCCAGCAGCTTCACGCAATTGCCTTTATCCGCATTTCAGATCGATCAGGTCCCTTTCGTTGACGTCGCGAGCCGGCATGACGGCGATGGTTCTGGAGGCTCAGGCGGTGCCTTGTGGCCGCTCATCAAGGTCACAGCCTCTAGCATCATCGAAGTGGCGCTTCTCAGCGTCGTAGGATACTTCTTGGCTCGAAGAGGGGTCATCGACAAGACGACGCAGACGAAATTGAACAAGATCAACGTGTCTTTCTTTACGCCCGCTCTGCTTTTTAGCAAGGTGGCCTTCACGCTCAACCCTGGACGACTTGCCGAGCTGGCAATCGTGCCCATAGGCTTTGTTGTTGTGAGCGCCTTCAGCGCTATTGTGGCGTACGTCTTGGCCAGGATAGCCCGCATTACGCGCGCACAGAGGAACTTTGCCATCGCCTGCGCGATGAGTCCCAACTCCAACAGTCTTCCGGTAGCCTTGATGCAAAGTCTTGTAATGACTGTGCCACAACTGCACTGGGAGGAAGAGGGGGAACCAGAAGATACTGTAGACGGTATGCTCGGCAGAGCTCTCACGTATCTCGTGCTGTTCTCGACTCTGGGCATGCTCACCAGGTGGAGCATCGGTGCCAAGCTGCTTGCAACTGTGGATGAAGAGCCCTCGAAGGACGCGACGGCCGGACCAAGTGGAGCGCAATACGCCGACTATCCCGAGCCTACCTCATCTGCCAGAACAGGAACGCTGATCGATGTGGATGACAGTGCCGTCGAGCCAAGGCGACCTCCGTCCATCAAGATCCGCAGAGCTACCGGCGACGTCCGAGCCGATGCAGAAGGCGATGAGGATCTTGGCGGTCCGGCGTTGACCGAGCGGCGACCTTCCCGATCGCGCCCTGTGCACTGGACGCGCAGCTTCCCAAACACGCCCACTGCGCCTTCCTCCGAGCGTGGGTCCGATGACGAGAGCGATGGGGAGGAAGCCTCTCAGCACTCTGATGCCACGCGTCGTCCAGCGTGGGCAAGGACTGCCAGCAGCCGTTCCGCGCACAAACGCAAATCCTTTGCGCATCGCTACGTGCTCAAGCCCTATCGAGCTTTCATGGGTTTCATGACGATGCCGCTCTGGGCCGCCGTCATCAGTCTCATTGTGGCCATGATTCGTCCCTTGCAAGTTGCGATTGGCAGCATCGAACCGCTGGTTGGAGCTCTGCAAACCGCTGGCTCTGTCAGTGTTCCACTGACCATGGTCGTCTTGGGAGCCTACTTTGTGCCACCTGAGCCCGGGAAGAAGGCGGAAGCGCCGGCTGCTCAGACTTCTTCCAGATCCGCTCCGGATGCCGCTCAGTCGGGCGAAGGTCTGAGCCAAGCTTCGACGCTCGTTGGTCATCCGAATCCCGAAAGTGATCCTGCTGGCGATGGTACCCAAGCCGACCAGAAAAAGGGCGCATCTTCGACCAGAAAATTGCCGTGGATGCGGAATCCTTGGGGCTCGCAGTCGCAACTGCTGGAGGAGGGTCAGGACGTAGAGGCTGGAGTCCGGAGAGACTCTGTCGGCTGGAGCAGCGCGGCTAGCGAAGCGAGCACGGCCTCGGTCTCGGAGGCCATTCGTCCGAGCTCGGAAGCCGCTTCGAACGCAAGAAGCAACGCAGCTGGACCTGCTGGGTCAGCGCTGCGTCAACAGAGCGGCGGCGCTTCTCGAGTAGGCGCGCGCGAAGCGGCAGAGCGTCGAGAAGCGTCTCAGGAGAGGCGCACCATTGCCGTATCGCTCTTGGCTAGGATGGTCATCACTCCGCTAGTGGTCATTCCCATCTTTGCCTACTACTGCATCGCCACGAGGGAAAATGTGGCGGATGATCCGGTGCTCATTGTCTGTGCCCTCTTGCTCATTGGAAGTCCACCAGCTCTCACGCTAGCACAAATCACCCAGAGCTCAAAGAATGGAGGTTTCGAGAGGCTCATCAGCAAGACCATCTTTGTGGCCTACGTCATACTTAGCGCTCCCACCACCGTCATCCTCACCGTCATTGCGCTCAGGATTGCCGAAAACGATCACGGCTCGGGCAGAACTGGCGGCAGCTGATGCTTGGCTGATCCAGACGACGACTTGCTGCAACGACGGTGCTAATGATGTTGACCCGCACGCACTCCCGGTCAATGCGACAAATTATTTTTCTTTTACGAACCTGACGATGGGCCTTGAAATGTGCGATGTCAACACTTTCTCCTTGTGCCGCTGCGGAGCGCTTGCTTTGGCTTGTCGAAGCCTGCATTTTTTCTCTGCTTCGCCTACACGTCGATTTAGCGCATCCCAGCGTTTGGCAGAGGTCTTTTGTGCTGACGGCAAAGCCATGAGCGATGATGAACTCGCGAAGGAGCAGAAATGCGCTACAACTGATGCATTGTTTACCCTTTCGACTCCATCTCCGCAACAGCACAACGGGGTGAGCAAAAAGCGTTGGCGTAGACAAAAGACCTACGGCATCTGGGATTCACGAGTGGTCCCCCACCTCATTACTGACCAGACCCTACAGGGTTTCCGCTTCTGGGATCAGACGGGACCAGGCACTTTTCCTGTGGTGTGGCCGTAGATACTAAGTTTTTCATGTCACAGATATATATAGGGTTCTCACTCCCATCATCCCGTGCAGCTCGCTTTGCTCGCTGCACTTGACTTAGGAGATCAAACGGGTTCCTGTACGGTGCCCGTGGTATGGCCGTAGATATTCGGAATGGAATGTTACACGTATATATACTGTACATCAAAGAGCCAAGCAAGATATATGATATCCTGCTAGTCATGAGTGGTGGGTGGCGCGCATGCTGATCAACGGGACGCGTGACGAGCTGCATCTTCAGCGGAAAAGCAACCACTTCGTAAAGTCGACGACAGCATGCGCGCGATGCGTGGGCGCGTAGACTGGCGAGTGTTCAGTTCGAATCGTAAGGAATCAAACCTCGGGCAAGCGTACAACTAGCAGCTATACGGAGCGATCATACTTCAATCTTTTGATGATCTCTTCAAAAAGCCGACGTCCTGATCAGTCCGAGAAAAAACGGCCAGCGCGCGTTGCACTTTGGGATCGCCGATCCGTCTGCATGGAGATTACGTCGATGCGTCGCACGCGCACAAGCGTTTGATCGAGAAGAGTCACGTCGGTATCGAGCAATTGTCCAGAGTTCTACAGGGAAGGGGTGAAGAGGCCGCCGCGGAAATTCGTAGCGGGCGAGAAAGAATCGCTGCCATGCTCGCGAAATGGAAATACAAGGAGAGAACTGTCCAAGAGGGTCAAAGAAACAAAGTGTTGTGACATTGTGAGGGCCGATTGAAGCTGCGGATCAAGGGTTCACGTCCCGCGGATGAGACCGAGCACTGGAGGCGCGAGGCAAGAGAGGAGCTGGAGTGGGCACAGGTGCAGCAGCAGCTCGTCTCACAGGCTCTGCTCCGAGCAAATCCCTGCGCGCGTTCCCGCCAGAAGCTTGTACGTAGAAACCTGGGCTGTACGAAGGGTTGGCAATAGCGCCTAGGGTGGGTACCGCTTCTCCTCTGAACGTGGCCGAAAATGTCGGCGTAGGCGGGATCTGAATGCTGCCTGTAGGGGTAAGTTGAGCTAGCGTCGACACTGCTAGTACAGGTACCGTCCCGCTCGATGCTATGCTCTGTGGTGGCCAGGCGTATGAGGCAGTAGGAGGACTAAAAGTGCTCGCGGCGCCAGTCATCCAATTGGAGAAAGTCGAAGACCAGCTGGTGAACGCGGTGCCGGTAATGGAGGGAAAGGTCGATTGCAAAGACCGGCAGTAATTCTGGGCTTCTCTTCGGGGGTCCGTGGGCATCCAACCGTTCTGCAAACCCAGCTGATACGACCAATTCGGATTCACCGGCTTGCCAGTCCTCAAACTGTTTCCAATCTTCCAGGTCCAAAAGTAAAAGTTGTGGTAGGCGTCCATTTGGGCAAGCGCAGTCTGCCTTAAGCTCGTCTTTTGCTCCGCGGAAAAGTTTTCCCAGTCATCCCAGTATGGGCAATCTCCCTGTCTGGTAGCCGTCTGTCCGCGGGCATTGTAGCTTCCGTCGTAGCGCACCCCGTCAGTGACACCATTCAAGAACAGGCCGCAGTCTGTGAACGAAGGAAGTGGACGTTTGCTTGAGTCTGTGCGCTCTGAAAGGTCGACCGTATCAGAGACTCACCATTCAATGCCAGCGACCATTCGCCCACCATTGTCAGACCAAACTGAGTCAGACCCTGCTCCACGTCTCCGCGGTATCCATTGCAAGCAGTGACTGCCAGGGCGCCGCTCGCGCTGTTGGTGCTAAAGGGAGGGGTGAAGGCGATGTACTTGTGCACATCGATACCAATCCGATCAGCTCCAGACATGTAGCCGACTGATTGGCCAATGCCGAGAAACCCGTCGGAAATGACCATGAAGGGACCCCGTCCAGCGCCGGTACCAGTGATGTTGCGCATCATGGAGTAAACTTCCTGATGCCAAGAATTGAGTCCATCCCTTCCTATCCCAGTATTGAGGTTAGGCTCATTGAGTACGCTGAGCATCGGAACGACGTTCTTCACTTCGTCCTGGCTGATGAATTGGATCATCTGGCGCAGCACATTCAGGCCTCGCTGACCATAGACGATTCCTTGCGGGCTGTTCAAGAACATCGGCCGACCTAAGCGACCACTATGATTGTACTCATTCTGTTGTCCAGGCGCCGAGTGTAGATCAAGATTGATGCGCAAGCCGTACTTTCGAGCCCACTGAATCGCCTTGAGGAAGTACTCCCACGACACGTGTGCCAAAAAAGGCTCGTCCTCCTCAACATCCAGCGCCCAATACCCGACGGGCAAGCGCACCCTATGCCAGAGAGTGGGCCAAGTGTCAGCGAGTGGATGGCGTTTGCGCAAGTGTGCCCGGAAGACTCACCAGTTGAGTCCTGCCGCTGCAATGTCGGCAAAATCCCTTTCAGTGACAAAGGTATCATAGTGCTGCCTGTAATTCTGCTCCAGCCTGCCTTCGCTCTGCCATCGCTGAGCTAGTCCCCACTCATCCACCACGGGCGTGGAGGTGTTTTCATATGGCTCAAAAAGGCCAGGCACGATGAAAGGTTCGATCACCAACCAACCACCGAGGTTCACACCTAGCTGTTGATCTGCTGCCCAATCCCATTGCTGATTGAGGGGCTTTGTGTAGCTCTGCGCTTGTGCGCCGTCATCTAGGATGCCGGAGCGCCAACTGCCGCCAAAGTCTGCACAGGCGAGCCAGAGAAGGATGAGCGCGAACCAGTGCGGACATGGGTCGCAGCGATACTCACTATTGATGTACGTGAAGCTTTGCCCATTTCCCAGGTCAATGACCGATCCGTTCGTGCCCGAAGTGAGCACTTTGCCGCCGGTTCCGTGACCTGAGCTATCGGTCTGAGTGGTGCCCGCCTCATCAGACTGACTTCCAGAGCCCTTGTCGTCCTTGAGAAGGATTTGCGTGATGGGCACCACGATTGCAACGACGAGCAAAGCCAGCACTGCAGCTACCCCAGCAAGCATCAGCCACCTCTTCTTGTGAGACACTGCCCCTGCCCTGCCATACCGATCAAGCCCAGGTCTCTTTGTTGCGGCATCAGCGTACGCCGCCGAAGTGGCATTCTCGGCGTCCGGAGTCCAAGAGCCCTTCTCATATCCGCCCATAGCCAACGCATCTCCATATGAACTGTCCCTGCCCGATGTTCCATGGTCATTCAGTCGATACGTCGAGTCGTAGTCTGAGCCTCCACCAAGCATGTGAGAGCTGGCGTAACTCAGTGGCCTGCTCATGGCTATCCTTTGAGGGGAAGGCAGTCCAAAGGCACTAGCACCAGAGCCAGACCCCCTCTGACCGCCCTCCAAGGGTGCATACATGGATGCGGAGGAGAAGGCATTAGAGAGTGTGGAAGGAATTTCGTACGACTGACCCTCGACTGCCGCTTCTGTACTGCCGCCCAGACCCAGGTCTCCAGATCCGCCGCCATTCGCTCCTGTAGTGGATGTGGATGGCCCTGCAGCTTCTTCTTGACTTGTAGCAGCTGCCTGCCCGCCAGGAACGGACGAGTATTCGTGTCCTGACATATTAGTCGCTCTTTTGGCCAAGCGCTCTTGGCTTCCAACGAGGATGATCGAGGGAACCAAGTATTGCACGTTGCGTCTTGTTCACTTTCGACACTGCCCTTGGTGTTCCTCGAAGAGCAGTGGATCAGAAACTTGTGCGGCGAAGTGGAATATGCAGGTTGCCTAGGTTCGCAAGACCTTTTCTATTTTCGTGTCGCCCTGCAGCGGGGCGTCGGTCGGCCTGCAGGACAGTATGGGTGGAGGGCGCCTTTGTTGTCGCTCAGCTGCTCCAGTCTGAGAAGACGCTCAGGCGTCTCAAATACTGTGGTCAAGAGTCTGAAGGAGTCGCACGAAGGGGTGGCGACGGTCCGAAGGGATGGAGGGGGAGAGCAGATATATAGGGCCAGTCAGTTGCCTCGTGTGAGCACATATATCTGTACACTCACAGCTATAGCTGGTATGATGAGTATCGGCATATCATAAATCACGAATATGTTCATGTGCAATTTCCCGCGCTCTACATCGAGCAGACGCTTTACTCAAATGTGAGGTGGATTTAATTCAACGCAGGACACCCCGCACGTACGCGATCGCACCTCGCGGTGACAGTTGATTCGAATAATGTGCAACTCAAGACTAATTCAATCAACGCCAAGCAAGGCACAGCAGATTGATTGCTTTGCTGGCGGGTTGTGTCGCGATGGTGGATGACGGCCGGCATGAAAGCAGCAGGTGGAGATAGATGGACCTCGTGCGCGTGCATGACAGCTCCGTGGCGCACCCATGCACAGCGCAGAGAAGTCACACTAAGAAGTCTCGAATGCTCGGCAGTCGCGCAAGACCGGAAGCAACGTTATGATATGCAACCGATTCAAAAATTAACGTGAGTGGACGCCGCTGCTGCTGATTCCTTCAGCAGAGCACCACCTCATCGTCCAAGCCGGCTGCTCAAGAAAGAGCAAGGTCAAATTAAGGCAAGCACACGGCCCGCCACACGAGACTGCACGGCCGACCGCACGATTACGAGCGGAGTTTCACAAGTCGTCGGGAGTCCGCGTGGCCGGCCGTCCATGCAGGGTTCGTTGCTTCGATTCAATTCTCGAATCAAATCACGATTAATTCTTGGTTGTGATTCACGACTCGTGACTCTTCTGACCACAATGCGGCTTATCGATGCTGCTGCTTGGGCTGCTGCTTGGCATGGCCAAGCATGCGGTTGACTATGATCGAATCGTGAATCACGAGTAAGCATGGTGGAGGATCTGCGAGGCTAAGCAGCAGCTACCATCTCCTCCCTTGACGCTTGACTGAGAGGGCGTGGAGAATGAGTCGGACATGCCCGTCCTCCTCTTCCTGCATGCCTGCCCAGTATTTGCTCGGCGATTGACGACCCGTGGGCACCTGGGCGTGCCAAGCATCGTGATCTGAATCACAATGTACTGTACTAGTAGTAGTACTACTATTTGTAGCGGGCAAGACGACCGAGCTCAAATCAAGAATCTGATCCACCGCGCGTATGCGTCCGGGGACCTCCGCGCGACACGCGTCTTCGCCGGCTGACCATCCACCCATGCAAGCATCAGCACTCACGACTCGAAAGCAGCAAAGGGATGCGGAGGCTCGTTGGCGCCATGCAGGCAACTCACAGCTTCGCCGGCGCCGCTCATCGCTATCCAAGCAGCGCGGGTGCTCGAGCCAGCAGCTGCCTCCATCGCCGCGCGCGCTACTGAGCTGCAAGGAACCGCCAAGAACCTGTCCCTCATCGGGCTCGGCACGGAGCTGTGCTGTGGAAATGCATACCGTACTGAGCCAGAAGACTTGTGCGAGTATAGGTGTAGCTGTGCAGCTATAGCTCCTCCTTCTTGCTCGTGCCATAATGCGACCCCACTCTTGATTTCTTTCCTCTGTCGCCAAGAGTACAAGCAGCTCTGCACGGTCGATCGTACACGGATCAGCCCATAATCAAAGTGGCCCCTCAGATCGTGTAAGGACCTCGACACACTTTGCTCGCGCACGCGTACACCGCAGCGGCTTGGCAAGCGATACTCGTGTCTGTACGCACACACATCAGAAGCCAAACGAAACGAGATGTCGATGGCGAGAAGGCAAAAAAGGGAGGTGTTTGATTGTGATTGTGATTGCTCCTGAACGGTCAGATGACGGGAAAGCTGTTTGGACTGCAAATTACAATCTGGGGACTTTGGATACTACGCCAACAATGCCTTTTCGCTGACCGCTCGATCTCTGCGCGCGCCCTGACTGCGCATGGCCTGTTTGGTCGGAAGGGCAGAGACGACGCGTCTTGCGTCTTTGTGGTGGCCGCCGGTACCAGCTGGTGCGACATCGACAAGGTGACCCGTGGGCGGGATCACATCGCGCTTAGACTTCGAAGCTTGGCGCTTCTTTTCCAGCAGCTCGCGTCTGTCGCTAGGCAGAGCCGCATTCGCGGAGGTAGCTGCAGACCGCTTGGGCACGATGAATGAATCGCGAGGTCTTTGAGGTCCTCCTTGCCACCTTCCATTGTTCGGCCCAGTGCGAGAATCGGGCGAAGTCCAGGGGGAGTCGGGCGGTGAGAGGGGCGCCATGAGTCGTGCCGAGGAAATTTTACGCTTCTGAACAGGCACGTGAAGCGTAGCCTTCGCCTCTATGGCACTCTGCGGAGGAGGTGCTGCCACCGCCTGCTCAGCTTGCGACTCTTGAGATGATGGGCTCTTGTGCTCCTTGATGACCGAAAGGCGATTGACCGTCGCAGGATTGGAAAGGATGGGCGCATTGCAATACTCCGAAGGAGCAGTGTTGTTAGAGTAGACTGAGCTTGCAAGACTGCGTGAGCGTGTCACGCCTACTCTGGGACTTTGACCCGCTGTCAGCATCGCAAAATCGAGGATGGTGTGTCGGCGATCTTGAGCTTCTTCGACAGTCGCCGCTTGAGTGGCCTGCTGCGCTTCGGCTTCTTGAGACAGGGCCAAGTGTCTAGCTTGCATCCGTGCGCTCCTACGCTGTTCCTTGCGGTGCAGCTTTTGACGACGGTCTACTTGACGCTTCTCTTCTTCGAGCGCCTCGTTGCTTTGACTCCACGTCTGGGTGCGACTTCTCGAAGAACCTTTTGAGCTCTTCGTCTCCCCTCTTTGCAGCCGGTCGGGTGTGCCAAAGCTGCGGTACGAAGGTGGCAGGATGCTATCGCCTGTTGGCAGCGAGATCATCGGTGTCGCACCGCCCGCAGATGCTTCGAGAGGCCGCTTTGGGGGCGCGTCTGCCAACGAGAGCGATTCGGAGCCAGCTGTGGACGCACCGTCTCCCACGGAGTACATGCCGAGAATGTTCACGAGTTCGTTGACTCCAGCATCGGAGCCATCGCCCTTAACAGGATCCTTTTCCAGCCAGCTTTCGAGCGTCGTCGTGGCGCCAAAGCGCGGCACGATGCTCGGCATGCGAGACAGACCTTGGTCAGAAGAAGCCAGCGTCATTGAAGAACCTTCGGACTGCGTGAGGCTATGAGCACTGTCTCGTCTGCGAGGCATGCGTGGCAGCGCACCTTGGGTCGCCAGTGGAGTCTGCTGTACTAGATCAGCATATCGGCTGACCGTGAGCCATCTAGCCACAGTTGACTCGAGCTTGTGTCGGTTGTTGCTTGCCGGACTGAGCACGTGGCCGAGATCTTTCTGCGACTGCAACAGCTTCAGCTCTGACAAGGTGATGGTCCTTCCGCCTAGCGCTGCTCCAGCTCGAGCCGCGGGCGCAGGAACACTGGGCGCGCTGATGGCAGGCGGAATCACGCACGGGGGTCCTAGGGGAGATGGTCGCTTCGTAGCTGCTGCGAGCGGTGCTACCCTAGCCCATGCGGATCCTAGGCCCGCAAGACCCGGTGTCCTTGGCGTGCTAGAATGCGTCTCTCCGGATGCATCCAACGTCTTGCGCGCTCGAGAAATTATTGCCAGAGTCGCAGCAGAATCTTCGTCGGAGCTGATGTCGCATGGAAAACGAGACTCTCGTTTGCCGACGCGTCGAGCCATCGGCAGCTCGACGTCCTTGGCTCCAATCGTGCCCTCAAAGTCAGAGTCGAGGTCTTGTGATGCGTGCTTCTGTGGTCGTTTGGAGTTCGCATTCTGGTGAACACCGAGCGTCGACAGGACGGTGGAGAGGAGCGTAGCAGAGCGAGTCGCCGGTGGCTGCTGGACCTGCCTCTGACTTTTATCCGGCGGATCTATAAAAGTCTCGTGCAGCTGCGTCGCAGAAGGCAAAAGATCATCGGTAGTGGACTGATGAGGGTTACTGATCCTTTGCTCTTCGTCGCCTCGCAAGACGTCCGGCATGCCAGCTGAGTTGGGCCTGGCAACGAGCAGACGCTCGATGAAGCTGGGTCGACGAGCAGGTGGAAGACTGTGCAAGTCGGCAAATCGGTCTTCTGCGTTTGCACGATCCGACACGTTTGGTGTCCAAGTCATGGCGGCACCAGCTGCGTAGTTGCCGCCGCCGCCGTCGACCATCCCCTGCCAAGTGGCCGGAATATCACTAGGGCTTTGTCGGGAAGCGCTCGGCATTGGTGCATCCCACAATTGATACCCTCGTTCGCCGGACTGCTGGTCGCAAGGCTGATTGCTGGTGGCGATCATCGCACAAGGCGCAGGCCTCTGTAGCTCCGCTACTGCTGCATCGGTAGGCACTACAGGCGCGGCAGCGAACCGTTGGACGTCATCCTTCAAAAGCATAGGCGTCTGGGCGTACTTGGCGGCCCATTGCCGAGCATCGACAGACTTGACATCAAAGCTTTCGGTGCTGCCAGCGGCTGGACTCCACGTCGTCTTGTCGCGGCGCTTCCTCCTCTTGCGCGTGCAAGGCAAGCGCGTCCTGCAGAGCCAAGCAGAGCTTGCCAGCAAGCTTGCAAAGACTACGAGAGCGCCCACCGTGATGAGCAATTGCAGAGGCAAGTTGTGCTTTATGGACACGTGCGGGGCTGCACCCTCAGCATCGCTACTGGCCGTAGAAGCTGCAGCATTCTGGATCAGTGACGCCGGTGCCAGACTTTGTACTGCAGCTGTGGTTGCTGCGGTGATGCTCGGGGAGGATGATGATGACATTGGCGGCAAAAGGAACGAGGAGCTTGATGCTTGGCTCGCAGTCAGAGACAGCGCAGTGGTGCCATCGCTGATTAGAGGCACCGAAGAAGCGCCAGCACTCAGCAGACCCACGTTAGAAGGGTCAGCGCCCTCCAATGATTGTGTTGGCGGCGTTGCGCTTCTGTTCCCCTTGTCCTTGTCCAGCCCATCCACGCTGATTGGTAAATCTTGTCTGCGCAAAAGCCTTTGTGCCGTGGGTGCCGGGTCCATGGCTCGCGCCTTTCCCTTGAGGGATGCGCTCGATACGTGACCAGCGTGGGAGAGCGTGCTCGTTGCCGACACCGACTGAGTGACTGTGAGCATGATCCGCGCGATTCTGGCTGCCGCATGGGATTGGCCTACGCGAGCATAACGCTCAGAGCCACCCGCTCGGCTGCTATCGACCCGAGGCCTGAATTTGCGAGGAGGTCGCAAGCGCGCTTTTTCAGGGAGCACGCTGCTTGTAGAGGCAACTGCGCCCGATGTGCGGTTGTTGGCGACCATTGTACCATGTTGAACTGCACTTCTGCTCGGACCCGCCACTGCGTTCTCGTTCATGATCAAATGTGATAAGAAAAATAGCGAGCCAGCTTCTCCATGCGAACGTCCCTGACGTGGTGCTGGGGATGATGGGGCAGGCTGAGGAGGCGCAGCCCGCCGCTCCTCCAAAGTCTGGAGATGGTTAAATGAAAGAGGGGAGGGGGCAAGATAGAAAATTAAAGGTGGCACCTGGCCTGACTAGAAGGGAAGAGGGTGAAGAGGGGGTTGAAAGGAAGGATGGATGCTGGCAACAGAAGATCACAATGATGGTGCGAATGATCCAACGTCTCGCGAGGAGAGCAACGAGGAGTTGGCGGGGCGTGTGTGGGCGCGCCAGGCTTTCAAGGCTGAGCAAGCAAACGGTCCTGCCGTCCCTCGAGTAACATCAACGGAACATGCAGCTTTGCCTTGCTTTTGTCCACGATCGGGCCAACGATCATTGCGAGCTACAGTGACGGACACGAAGTGCAGTGCAGTGATCTGACGTCGCACGCTTCACCGGCCACACTGCTAGGTCCCTGTGATCCCAATCATTACACCACTTCGGCACCAGGCACTGCCAACGTCTGGGGGACGCTGCGTGCACTTTCGAACGCAGCACGCGCACGAGGGACTGACTGTCCCATTACGAGGTCATCCCTGTTCATCGGTACAGGGTTGTGGAGGCAGAGGTTGGTCGAATGCGGCAAGTGCGATGGCAAGATGAAGATGGAAGTAGAGGTAACGAGATGGACAGGCAGTCACAAGTGGTGGATGCATGCGCTCAACGGCAGCTAGCCTCAAGAAGAGGCTGTTGAGTGTCGCACTCACGACTTGGCTGCAGCTGCAGCGAGTGTTGCTTGTTGGATGTTGAAGACGAGGGCGTGAAATGCAGAAAGAAATCGAGAGTATTCTGCCATCGCCAAGCTGGCTGCATCCGCATGAGCCGGTGAGTGCGCCCGACGCAATCGGGGTGGCGAAGTCTGTGCGTGCATCATGCATCCGCCCCAACAAATAATGCACAACCAGCAGCAAGCAGCATGCATGAGTCCTGCTGACTGAGAGTGGCAACACATATATGCAAGCATGCGCACATCAAGCTGAGTGGCCGATCGAGCGTTATTAGCCTTGCGCTCAAGACGCCGCGTGCGCAAGCGCGCGTGAAATCATCTGAATACTCAATCGCGAAGGCCTTGATCGACGCTCGGCTGGAACTCAAACTTTGACTCACACCACAAATTACTCACAGGCCGGGTGACTGCTGGATTGGAAGCATGACGCGATGTCGATCACTCACTGAGACCAAACAGCCGTCAGACGCGCGTCTGTCTCCCTAGCCGAGCTTAGCGCAGCCACTCGCTCTCTCACGTCTCTGGTACGCGCTGAGCGTTGCCGTGGTCAAAGGCGAGCACATCGCCATCCCGACTTTGTGCTCACCAGTCCACAGACCGTCATCGTCGCACGGAAGCTTTCTCTTTCTTTCCCAATCTGGCATGAGCACACATACAGTCAAAAGTAGTTGGATGTCTGCGGCTTCAGTCAGTGACGTAGGCGGCGAGAGTATGGGGATAATTTGAGCCAGACACGGAAAGCGTGACTGTGCAGGGATCATATCCTACAGTACATCCCGGCATCCCGCGCGGCTTCTTCCCTCACCATGGTATCATGCAATCACGCGTCGTGAATCCAACTTCCGCGCCCCATGTGCAGCAAAAACAGGCAGCACGAGGAGCTTGGTTATTTACGATTTCATACACCGAAGATCGAGCATTCGCGGCGCCAGTCACATTTCGTTGTGGTTGGGTCGAAGGCGGCTGCAACATGGCCGAATGGCCGATGGCCGAGGGGCTCATCTCAAGCCATCTTGCACGCAAGGCTGATGGCTCCTCCACGCAGCAGCGACGCGATCCGCGCAGGGTCAGAAGCGCGTGGTTGGGGCGGGCGCGTACATCAGCGAGCTTGGCCGGAGAACGAGGTTATGCTGGCCACAATCACGCAGGAGTGAGTGATGGTTGATGCGTGCATGTCGGCGCGCGGAAACCAAACCTCCGCGGGCGCATGCATGCAGTGTGCTCGTAGGGCGTATGAGCAGTCCAAGTCACGAATCACGAATGCCGGCCCGCGTGCGCTGCCCCAAACTTTTTGGACACGGCTGCATGCACCGTTGTGGCGATAACGCGCGTGATCAAGAGCAGTCTTGAGTCTTCTTCCAGCGCGGCTTCCCCAGCATGCAGCACAGCCATGATGAGAGTTCATTCCCATGGTCACGGCTAACGGACTGCGCGCGCGACTCACAGCTCTGTGCTCTGGGCCGCTGAGCTCAGTCAGTCTGTATTGACGTGTGCTCTCCCTGCCTCAGGACGAATTCGGCGCATGATTCCAACTCCAGGCCGAGCCAACGAAGCCAGCGCAGGCGCAATTCCGGCCGCTCCCGGTTTGGCATCAGTAATGCAGACGTGTCACGACAACGGAGCGCGCTGAGCACCCCAGCACACATCTCTTCCAGGGCTAAAGGCGCCCAATCTCGAGCTCGGCATTTGCCAAGTTGGAGGCTATACAGTCAGAGTAGCGTAGTACTTGGTCATGAGATGCTGACAGGAAACGCTAAGTCTAGAGCTAAACGAATGCATGTGCAAATCTACACGTCGAACGGTCGGCCAGGCCTCGACCTCGCGGTTTCTGCGCTCCAAGGGCAGCTCCGATTTGGCGCATGGTTGTCCAAAGTTCGAATATCGGCCTCATTCCCCGGACTGCACCTCTCGACCGCACAGCAACAGACACACGACGTTTGTGTTGGCTCGAGGCGCAGCTCGACCGGCTAACGGGAATCAGCTTTCACCTCAAAGCCGGGGTGGCGTGCAGCAATTGGCTCCAACTCGGCTCATCAGTCACAGCATACATAAACCTCGCTGTGTCCTATCCGTACTTCTTTCAATCCCGCACCGTGCTACTCCATCACACGCCATCCACAACATCACTGTACCTCCTCAGGTTTGGCAACACTATTCATAGTCGCATCGTACCTGTACCGTCAAGCATGACATCTGAGATCAGACAGCGAGCGGGCTTCGAGCCCATCGCACCTGGTCTCCGCACTCCACCAGCAGATCAGCTTTCCCCGCCACAATCCGAAGATGAGGAAGTCGACGTTGCTGTCCCATCTCGAGGTGGCAAGAAGGCGGCGACGAACAAGCTTCACCCTGACGATGACATTCCTGACGACTACGTTACCCGCACACTGGAACGCGAGCCAGCGTTGCCACCTATCCAGTGGAAGAACCTCTTGAGCGAGATTCAATGGGTCTCCGCCATCGTCCTCACCACCACTCCTTTGCTCGCAGTCTACGGTCTCTGCACCACAAAGATGACCTGGCCCACTGCCATCTGGTCGTTGATCTACTACTTCTGGACAGGTCTTGGCATCACTGCTGGTTACCACAGATTGTGGGCACACCGATCTTACAACGCCTCAAAGCCGTTGCAGTACATTCTCGCGCTTTGGGGCAGCGGTGCCGTCCAAGGCTCCATTCACTGGTGGGCTCGCGGCCACCGCGCTCACCACAGATACACGGACACCGACCTTGATCCTTACGGCGCTCACTTCGGTTTGCTTTGGTCTCACCTCGGATGGATGATCGTCAAGCCCCGCCGCAAGCCTGGTGTGGCAGACATCAGTGACCTGCGCCGCAATTCGGTCATCAAGTTCCAGCACAAATTCTACTTGCCCCTCATTTTCATCATGGGCTTTGGCTTTCCCACCGTGGTCGCTGGCCTGGGTTGGGGAGATTGGCGCGGTGGTTTCTTCTACGCAGGCGTCGCTCGTCTCGTGTTTGTTCACCACTCCACCTTTTGTGTCAACTCTCTCGCCCACTACCTCGGCGAGGCTACCTTCGACAACAAGATGACTCCTCGCGACCACTTCATCACCGCTTTGGTCACCGTTGGTGAAGGTTACCACAACTTCCACCATCAATTCCCAATGGACTATCGCAACGCAGTGCAATGGTACCAGTACGACCCCACGAAGTGGTTCATTAGCGCCATGCAAGCCGTTGGTCTCGCCAGCCATCTCAAGGTGTTCCCCGACAACGAAGTGCGCAAGGGACGTGTGGCTATGCAATTGCAGAAGCTTCACGCTGAGCAAGCCGCTCTCACTTGGCCCAAGCACAGCAACAATCTGCCCGTCATTTCGTGGGACGACTACCAGGAGGAGGCTAAGACGCGTCCTTTGATGGTCATCCACGGATTCATCCACGACGTGTCTGCATTCATTGCGGAGCACCCTGGTGGAGAGCACCTGCTCAAGGCCAAGATTGGCAAAGACGCAACCACCGCATTCAACGGAGGTATCTACGACCACAGCAACGCAGCGCACAATCTGCTCGCTGGCATGCGCGTTGGCGTTTTGGACGGTGGCTACCGATTGGCCAGCGACGAGCTGGCGGAAGCCGAGAGGCTGCGCACTGCTGCCAACGAGGCGGTGGACAAGGCTGTTCCCGAGAACGCCAGACCTCCCAAGGCTCAATTCTCTGCACCTCAAGACGAGCTCGACTTGAGAGGAGTTGACGCGCGCGCTACCAAGTACACCACACCGGGAGAGACGTATCTGATCCGTCAAGTTGGCGAGCTGAAGGCCAACGTGCGCGACCATCAGGGACGCGTCGGAAAGTGGTGATGCGCTCCCGTCATGCGAAGGCATTCATTGCCTTGGATCACGCATCCTCGGCTCATCATATACACACTTCACCTTGATCACGCCACCGTCCCCTTCAATTTTCACGCTTTCGTCCCGAAAAATTGACTCACTTTGTCAGACGCACATACCAGCATCGTCACGAGAATAAATGAAGCCCCTGTTCACGAGAATTTGCTTGGATGCAAGCAGTCTGATGAATTCTTTGAATAGGTGGGTCATATGGGTATGGTCGATTTCACCACATGAACCTTTGCCAGCCCTGTCCGGAAGGCCACTTGAAAGGTCTGTGAAGGAAGAGGTACATGGTGACGATGTTGAGCACCGCGAACCACGCGAGTTCGAGCAGCAAGCCCCAAACCGGACGGGATTCCTCATCTCTTGCTCTTGGCGCTTCTCGGATTTCTCGCTCCTCTCCTTCCCCTTGTCTGGGACTTGTCGACCGACATTGCGTTTGCGAAGATCTTGATCTTGGCGGGCCGCTAGGAATGTGAAGTCGCATGAGCAGGTAAGGAACCAGAAAGTATCTCGGCTCGATAAGAGGTGAGGGAATGAGCGTGAGAGCTGTGCTTGCGCACAGGCCCAAGATCCAAAGATCGGATTGCGTTCGACCTGCAAGCATGATGTAGCATTGGACCGTGAGCGCAAGTCGAGCGATTCGCTTCGGCCAACTGTTCCGGCTGGACAAGTGCAGTCGACATACGTACTCAAAGCGTCGATCCAGCATCTTGCCGAGACGACGTAGAAAGGCACTAGAGCGTACCGACTCCACGTAGTCCTATTGATGATTCTTCGCCAGACGTAGAAAGAGTAGTGCCTGTTGTCCGCTAGCAGAAAGGGATGCGCTAGCGTTCCATACTTGATCGCTGCAGTGGCCAGGCCGCACAGAACGACCGTGATCAAGACTTGGCGCGCATTTCCGGCAAGAGTCCGTACTGTGTGATGAACGAGAGCGATGGGTCCACCGGCTTGCGAGAGCATAGCAGGCCAGCCAAAGAATAAGCTGAAAGCTAAGAAGTAAGGGAGCTGGGCAAAATGCAGCGTGGCAATGTGGTTGGACTTGTCGCCTAGCACGATGCTCAAATCGTTCCATAGCAGAAAAGCTGCGAAGAGCATAAAGATGGGAATGTACGGAGCGACAATGCGGAGAGCTAGCTGTCGATCGGGTCCGCCCACGAGCCGCAGGAGCGAGTAGAAAGTTTGAGACGTGGAGTGCCCAACGTTCGAATCGACTTGCGCAAGACGAAGAACGGACGTCGCCATGATGAACATGAGCCAGATGACGTTTGTCTGGCGAAACAACAGCGAGACGAAGCCGAGCTGTATGCACCTCCGCGAGGGGCGCTGGAGAGTCAGAAGGGTGATGAAGGTTCACTTGGCCAGTCGACTCACCCAGGCGGCTAGAACATGTCGCGATGATAGGGCAGCCCGGGCAGAAGCCAGCACGAAGCAGACACCTCCTATATCCGTGTAGTACAGGAAGCCAAAGAACCAAAGAGGAGGCAAGAATGCGATCACGTGCCCCTCGTACACCCTCCACGTCGACAGGGTATAGAGCCACTCTGAAAGCCTGCTGGCCTCGAGCACTTCCTGAAGCGTCAACTTGCCGCTCCGGCCTCCACGTGGGTGCTGAGCAGGAGCAGGTCGGGGCACGGCACCATGCGAAGCGGGATGCCTCCTGTCCGGCTCTTGCTCGCTGGAGACTCCAACGGCTCCAGGTGTGATCTCGAGAGGAGCTCGAGTAGCCGCCTCGTCGAGCATAGCGTGTCTCGTGTAAGCCGGAGGAAGCTGGCTTTTGTCCTTCATGATCTGAGCTCTGAGGCTGTGCAATAGGTGAGGAAGCAAGAGCAGCAAGACCAAATTTGTGCCTCGAAGGAAGGAGACGTCGGTGCATGCCGAGTGGCCAGTCAGCCAGCCTGGTAGAATCCTGTAGAGCAGCAACGACAGAATGTAGAGCCCTGGAGGCGTTGTCAATTTGGGGTCGTAGGTCTTGTAATCGCCATCGCAGTATCTGGCAGCTTGAGGGGCATGAAAGATCTCATCCTGGAACGAGGACCATAGGTCAGAAGGTGCGCTAGAGCTGTTGGGTTCGTGTGCATGACTCACGAGATACGCGTGTGGTACAGTGCGATTGACATGCTCCCCTACGCCGACGCACACGAGCGCAAAGGCAAGCCCCACGGCTTGTCGTCGCCCAACTGTCCTCGCCACGGAGGACATTGTGTGCAGGCGGGCGTCCTCAGGAGCTTGCTGGCAGGCGCTGCACCTTTGTACTGGCCTGATCTCACAGCTGCATGTGTCTTCGATGCGGGGCAAGCGAGCGATCGACACTTTTCTCTGAGCTCGATGATTCCCATGCGACAGCTTTGCGACTTGACGGGACGTGTTCTTGTGCGACACGCTCGATCGTCGTGACACCCGTCCAAAGTCTCGCGGACTCTTGCGTCTTCGAATGCTGACAATTCTTGATTCTTGATTGTGATGCTCGGATGATGGCGAGCATTCGTGATTCTTGATTTGATTCTACCAATCCATACGTTTCGCCCGCGGCCTCCATATACAAGGCCTGCGAAGTTCCCAAATTATACTTGCCAAAGTCAAGATTCTGATTCAAGCAAGTTGCGAGTCACGAGTTGGGTGGAGGGGACACGGAGGTAGTCACGTGATAGTGCAACGACGCTTCCACTCAAGACTCTTCTATATAGACTCGTGACTCTTGACTCTATAGACTCTTGACTTGACATGGCTGCGCGGCTGACTCGTGACTCGTGACTGCTGCATGACTGCTCAACTCTCGACCGGATACTCACAGCAGCGCATGCACAGCTACAGCAGCGGCGCAGCCATGCACCATTCCGTGCTTTCGTGCTACTTCAGCCTCGCTGTAACTCAACACTCCAAAATCCAAGCGCGTGTATGCTGCCACCTTCCTCCACAGCGTCAGATTGCACTCGCCCGATTCACGATCTCGTAATCTTGCAAAAGGTTTCGTACGTTGAGATCTCTCTCTACTCAGTCATCTCAACGGCTCGAAAGACTTTCATCCTTCTCATCTTTGGGCCTCGGAAGAAGTCAGCCCGGGCGCGTCGCTTCGCAGCATTCAGGCACCATCCCGCCAATCCCTCCCAACAAACGTGGCAGCAGAAGCAGTCGACTCTCCTGTTTTTTCTCGGCCTGTCCACACGATATCAGCAACGGCATGTACAATCATCAGCAGAGAGCTCTGGGGTCGGGATCCGGATCCGGATCCGGCTCGTCGAGCGGTGGGTATGGCGGAGGTTACGGTTCGGCTCCCCCGCCTAGAGGAGCTTGGTCATCGTCATCGCACGGAAACAGAGGGAGCGGATCGGCTGCTACTACTGCTGCTGCTCAGATCGGAGCGTGGGCTGATTGGGCAGCGAAGAGCTTGGAAGAACGCATCACTCCTGTCGGAGAGATGATAGGTGAGCCGCAATGACGCAGCCAGCTTTGTCTGATCGGACCTCTCATGGATTTGCGCTCCGAGGGTGCTTTCTGCACCCTGACTCACGCTCGTTGTATGCTCGCTTTGCAACAGAGCGAGCATGCTCTCTGCACAATCGTCAACCCAACCTGGCCCTGAACTTGGAAATCGCAGATTACATCAAGAGCAAGAAGGCGAACACGTGAGACAGGGCTTCTCAGCTGCGTGATCCTAGCGTCACGAACATGACTGATCGCTGTGTAGCATTCCTCTGCACTGATTAACGTGTCGCAGGCCGAGAGACGCCGCGATAGAAGTTGTTGCGAGAATCAATTCCAGACATCCACACGTAGCCATGCTAGGTTTGCATGTAAGTCGTAAATAGCTTCTTTGGCCAGCTAGAATGCTTTGTGCTGAGCTTCACTCTTTGCCGCCGTCTAGCTTCTCGATAATCTTGTCAAAAATTGCGGGTACGCTTTCCACCTCCAAATCAGTACGAAGGAATTCCTGAACGAATTGGTCAAGAGGTTCCCCGAACGACCGCCTATGTTCCTGTCACCTCAGCAGAGCAAGGTGCTCGAGCTGATTCATGAGTGGAAGAATACGATATGCGTCAGCAGTAAGCACAAGGAGGATCTGGTGCACATTAGGGACATGCACCGGTTGCTAGGCTACAAGGGTAAGCGTGGCGCGGACTCGCGCGCTCGAAGACGGTGGGCTGATCGATTCGCCCCACCACCGCACAGGCTATCGTTTTCCCCAGCTAGACTCTAGGGCTGCCAGCGTCATGAATCCCGAGGGCACGCTGCGCTCACCTGAAGAGCTTGAGGAGGAGGATCGGGAAGCACAGGCCGCTGTAAGTTAGCCCGCCGATGCTGTCACGTCAGAGCTCTCACCCTGCGCCTTGCGACTGCTGCAGAAACTCCAAGAGCTTATTCGTCGGGGTACACCAAGAGACTTGGAACAAGCGCAAGAGCTGATGGTGATCATGAGCGGTGCTCAGCCAGAGAGCAAGCCGGACTACAAGAGTCAGACTGGCAAGGAATTGGACAAGGTGCAATCGCGAGCCATTCTGCTGAACGACATGCTCGACAATGCTACGCCAGCGGAGAAGTTCGTCAAGGGCGATGCTTACGATGTGAGTAAAGTCTTGAACACGTGCGTCTCGTTCCCAGGCAGCGCTCTCATTTGTTGAAAAGTCACTTTGTGAACGACACAGCAAATTGCTCATCACCTTCGGAGCGTCCAGCCGAGGTTGCAAAAATGGATCGGAGAAGCAGAGGAGGAGGAGAGCGAGCATATGGGTGAGTGGTATAGCATTCAGCAATAGTAATGTGTAATCTTTACTGATCTCATTTCCTATCTGTCCAGACCGCTTGCTGCTAATCAATGATCTGATCAACCAGATCTGCGATCGCCATCAAGCCTTTGCGCGGGGTGACAGGGAAGCAAAGGTCACGATTGACGCTTCGTGAGTGCGGTTCTTATCCCATACCCGATTTTGCAACCCACTGAACACTCGAGCTTCCATATCCGTAGCATCGATCCGAGGAAAGGTGGCGCGGATGCGGTACCGACTGCCAAGATCTCGGACCTAATCTCCTTTGACGATCCAGAGGAGGCGGGCGGCGCTGCTGCCGGGAGCTCCTCTGCTAGCGGCGCTGGTAACTTGTTGGACGACTTTGCGACGCTCTCATTTGGCAATGCGCCCACTACAAGCGCAAGCATGGCCGCTGCGGCCCCGGGTACGCCATCTGGAGGCAGCACGGTCAAACCGATCACTACGTCTGCGGGCATGCTACCGCCCGACCTGCTCGGTTTGAGCCCAACAGCCACTTCATTTGATGCGCAACCGCAGGCAGCAGCGCAATCTCGGGCTCCTCCTCCCAGCTTCGGAGATTGGGGAGCATTGCAGCTTCCCGTCTCTTCTACCTCTTCCAACGCCGCAGCGGGTCCCAATGGGGCCTCGGGCCTGCCAAAGTCCGGACAGGCAGCTTTGACGCCTAGCAAGCCCGGCACTGGCGCTTTCGCGCCTCCGAACGCGACGTCTGCTTCAACCAAGCCTGCCGATCCTTTTGCGGACTTGGACAGCCTTTTCGGCAAGTAAAAAGACATAGACAAGAGTCGGTCGCGCGGTTGGCTAGAGCTGGCAACGACCTCTAGTATTCTGCGCAATTCGTCCTGCTGGACCACACCCACCTCGTTGGCTCTTCTTTCTATCCTGTGTCGCTTTGTCATTGTCACCCTTCGATGAATATCAGGAGGTCAAGGTCGATCAAGGTTTGACATGTTGCACACCGCAAGCTGTTCGTGCGGTTGCTTTGTTGAATTCAAGATTGTGTGGACGCGCGATACTCTTGACTTGCTCTCGCTTACAGCTCACGTGGCGATGTGCTCGTGCTTCGCATAGGCTTCGACGGCGCGAGGTTCGTTCTGAGTGTGACCTAGGCCGCTTGCAAAATCTCTCGCAGCGAAATGTGAGGCGGTCGCGAATTCGGTTGTGGTGAATTCGTGAGCCAGAAGAGGTCTTGATCTGAAAGCCTCATCACGCTCTGGGTGGGTCTTGTGTAGGAAGGAACCGGCGGTCACGTGACTCGTGTCCGGCCGTAAGATTTTGGAGCATGATATCACCGTCACTTCCCCGCACTCACGAAAAGTAACGGTGGAACGGTATGGGCGACCGAGTATCTCAGATGCCGTATACTTGTTGAACACCATTGCCAGCTCGAATTTAATACAGAGACTACAGCAACCTATCACAGCTAAGCAGCAGGTCTTTTGGTGCGTGAGTGCTTTTGTGGAGATAGGACCCTCGCCTTGTAAGCCTGATCATAGTCTATTTCACAATCTGATCGGTGCTCCTTCGCTGATCCTTCACTTCCGCAGCAGACGTCAACACCTCGGCTAGGAGCACCACGCATAGAAAATACACATTAAGCGAAATGGAAGCAGCAGACACCCGGTCATCGGGACGGGACAGGCTGAAAGCACGCTATACCGACTACATTTGCTGTCTGAATGAGCGTCGCTGGTCAGATTTGGGCGCGTACGTTGACGCGCATGCAGTGCACAATGGTCGACCTTTCGGTCTGAATGGCTATCGAGCAATGCTGGAGGAGAATGTTGCACAAATTCCAGATTTGACCTTCAACGTCACACGGCTGCTCATCGATGAGGAACAAGCCAGCGTAGCGGCGATCATCCATTTCGAATGCACGCCCACTGCAGATATATTCGAGACGAGGATCGACGGACGCAAGATCAGGTTCGAGGAGAATGTCTTTTATCGATTTTCTACGGAGGAGTTGAAGATTGTGGAGGTGAAGAGCATCATCGACATTGCTGCAATTCGGGAACAGGCGCAAGCTTGAAATCGTGAATGTGCTTGCACCATCGCAACGCGTCCAGAACTCTGATGATCGCGCTCACTGAGGACACGCTCTGGCGCAAACCTAGCAAGCATCTCCCGCAGAACGGGCGTTGCCCCACATCACGCGGGCATGACGATGACGGACTGCGGCCGCGTGACAGCATCTACAAGCTACCAAGGGAGTGTACAGCAGACTGTACAGCATCATTCACAGACGTGTACAATCACGAACGCCGTACGGGGTGCATACATCCCCACAGGGAAGTAGGCCCTCGCACATTGACACGCCGTTTCGCGCGGACGCCCACATTCTTGATCGAGTAAAGCTATAGGTATACCAGGCAGCTCTTTGAGTTCTGAGAGTTGGTCAAGCAGCGCACAATGTGATGATGCTGTTCACTCACACCAAGAGGCTTGGATGAGCGAATCAGGACACGCAATTGACTTGACGATTACTCGTGCTTGCACCAATGGATTGCATACCAAGCAGTCGTGAGTATGGTTGCTTTCCTGTCGTGGGTTTCCATAGGTACGTGCCCCTACGGTACGGATTACCCGCGCCTACCGCGTGCATGCCATACTTACGGCTTTCGCAGGGTGAAGGCTCTGCGCTCGTGCGTGCTGCTGGGCCACACTCGGCGCGGCCGCGCGAAGGCTCTTCTGTATAGCTGCGCCGCGAAAACGCAGCATGCGCACGCGCCCATGGCCGTGGCCCAAGAGCACCGACCCGCGTTTCAATAACAACTTAATCGTACATCAGACTGCCTCCTCTAATTGCTGGCCCTCATCCACCCTTGACTGGTCGGAGTGACTTGGGCAAAAGTCAAGGCACGCAGTCGCTGATACAACGTTTGGCCATAGAGACGCGCTGTCCGAGCACTGGCTTGCTTCCGCAGCAAGCGTCACGCGACTGAGCAGGGCTCACCAATCACCAAAACAGGCATTTTCGAACTCCTTTAACAGAAGCCAGTCCCACGAACGCCCAAAGCAACATGGGTTGGAAACGAAGGGAAGACTCGCGACACTGCTGTCAGTGCTTGTGGAGATGGTGCCAACGATGGCTTTGACTTGATTATCAGCTGCTCAAGTGTAGAGTGGCCCTGCAACGGGGAGGAGCTTCACCGCCTTGAATCCGAGTTCTTTTTTCTATTTGAATTTGAATACACCGACACCGGGGTGAGCAACACTTTTTGTAATGTGTTGGAACGACTTGTAATCAAAGTCACGTGTATACTCCACAAAGATACGCCTTTCCATCCGTGTGCGGTCATTATTGAACGTTGCGACGCTGCTGGGCCACAGCGGGAAGTGGATCTGATCTCGCCGTGGGCCAAAAGAGCCTGTCGGTTTGGCGGGTCATGCTTGCTCGTGCGTGCACGGCGCCACGAACGCCGCGTAGCTCGTCGATAATTGCTATATGCATGCATGCGTGCGCACCTGCATGCATGGAGGTGGGATGCAGGCATCAGAGCAGTGTTCGACGCGTCGTGCTCGATCAAAAAGCGTAGACGAGTGCCAAGGGCGCGCGCCTCAAAGTTGCGCTCAAAGTGCGCCCCCGCTCGTAGCTCGTTCTAACCTCCCATCCACAACTCTCTCTAGCAACCTGTTAGATATCTCATCGCATTGCCAGCTCAACTACTCGACCTCATCTCAACTCAGGTCTTACACACCTCCAACGAACCACTCAAGCAATATCCGAAATGTCTGCTGCTGCTGCTGCTCCCAAGAAGGCTTCCGCCGCCAAGAAGGCCGGACCCGCTGGACCTACCTACGAGGTGAGTTGAGCAAGTGCTGTTGACGGTCGCGATCGGTATGGCATGTACGGCGCGATCCAGTGCTCTCCTAAGCTTCGGATACCACGGGACTCGTTCATCAACGATATCGCCTCCCGTCGATGCTTCTTTTGTGGCAATCGGATACGATTTGGCGTCGCCGTCGTCGTCCGAGGGCAAAGTCGTCTCGTCAGACGCGGATCGTACTGGGGCTCGAAGCGCGTAGCGCGTACATCTGCTACGCGACGCATAGCGCGGCAAGGTGTCTACTTCAGATGGTCGTTTCTGACGGTTCGAAGACACGCGAACACGCCCATCGCACTCTCGGACGCTATCGACGTCGCCATGCTCTGGTACCAAGCCTCCGCTTGCTGACGGGACGCGACGCGTTTCCAAGGCCAAGGCGAGCATACAAGCGCAACGGGGCCTCTGGACTGCTAGAACTATCAATCTTGCGCCTAGACTGCGAGTAGACTTGTCCGAGATGTCCGGGCTGCGCTGGTGATGCTCTGTTTGCCGTTGGATGGCTGGATGGACAGGGGTTCTGTTGACAGATTTTCACGCGCAAGCCTCGGTAGCGGCACACAGGAGCGCCGTGGACTTTTGCTCTTGCATAGCCACTCATTGGGGGTCTCTCCATCGACCTTCGAAGGTGGAGCTGCGCTCAGACGCTGGGGCTCGTCGTCGTCGTCGTCATTGTTCGGTTGGCGCACCTTTTAGAGGGAGGTGGCTGCGAGACGCGCCGCGCGGAAATTCGGTTGCGCGCGCGTGGCCGCCCGCAGGAGCGGACACGCAGCAGCGGTGCGATGTGCCCTTGCCCGAGCGAGCCGTTTGACGTGCACGGTGTGGCATTCTGTCGTCATCATCATCATCATCATCATCATCATCATCATCATCATCGTTGTCGTCGCTGACATCCCTCACGCTCTCGTCGTCCCTCCATTCATTCAGTCCATGATCAAGGAGGCCATCATTGCCCACCCGGAGGATGCGCGCAAGGGTATCGGACGCCAGACCGTCAAGAAGTACATCCAGACCAAGCACCCCAACACCGCTGCCGTGACCCCCGCGCAGTTCAACAATCTGGTCAACAACGCCATCAAGAAGGGTGCTGAGAAGGGTGTCTTCGTTCTCCCCAAGGGAGCCAGCGGCAGCGTCAAGCTTGCCCCCAAGGCCAAGGACGCCGCCAAGAAGAAGCCAGCTGCTAAGAAGCCTGCGGCCAAGAAGGCCACCACTGGTGCTGCCAAGCCCAAGAAGGCAGCCACGGCAAAGAAGGCCACGACCGCTACCAAGGCCAAGAAGGTGAGCAAGTCGATCTCATCATCGTTACCGTCACCGGTTGTAAACTAATCATTGTTGCTGCACTGTTCAGCCCGCCGCCAAGAAGACTGCGTCTTCCACAACGAAGAAGGCGACTGCCAAGCCAGCTGCTAAGAAGCCCGCGGCCAAGAAGGCCGCTGCGCCCAAGAAGGTAAGCATGGCGTGCAGCAATCCAGTAGCGTTCGCGGTCAGCTCCCTCGCAAAGCGTGCTGGCCGCTGACGACTGCCCTCTGTCTGTCATTCGCCTGCATCTAGCTTACACGACCACCTCTCGCCGCTACCCAGGCCGCTGCACCCAAGCCAAAGAAGGCATAAGTCTGTCGAGTGAAGATGCTTTCCTCTCCGGCCGTCACCTTATGTACTGCTCCTGCTCATTCACTTGGCTCTAGACGGTCCGTCAACTCGGCACAGCCTCGATGTGCTGTATCGTCGAACCGATCTTGGCCGACCCATACGCAATACATCGCGTTGTGCTTGTACCACTCGCGATCATCGATCACGCCCATCAAACCACATGCCCATCAAGCAGCTCGGGTCGTGCATCGACGACATGAAACGCACCACTCGTGGTTCAACTTTTCCTCGCCCTACACACGCACCTATCCCTCCCATCACCCCCCATTACCTTTCTCGCCTCGCGATTGGCTTCATTGCCATTATCTGTACTCTAGCTCCATTTTAGTCCAGTCGCGAATCGCATCACTGAGCCCGTCCCTTTTCCTTGCTGTCGCGCTGTTCATTACAGCTGAAGTCGAGCGAGTCTGCTTGAGGTCTTCTTTTACCTGCTGCGCGCTCGACCGGCCGCTGCTCGTCGCGTCGATGAGCGCTCTGCGTCGTGCTTCCCACACTCGAGATTGCGAGCCGAACACGTGAGCGTCATCGGCCGCGCGAACACGTCCGATGTGCGCTTCGGTAGTAGTACGGGGAGGTGTGCACGTTGCGAAGCGAGGCAATGCCGAGTGGGTAGCGAACCGAAGTCGAATTGACGACACGAAAAGGAACGTTGAAAAGGATGCTTAATTGCTGCCATATATGCAAGTTGTAGAGGCGTCATTCAGTGATTCAACTTGAGGTTTCAACGCGAGCCTCTGCGCATCGGTTGAGGTCACGTGTCGTGTTTGTGGGATATCTGTGGAGGGGCCGCGTTGCTTGCCTGCAGCTCGCAGCTAGCATGCATGCTGCGTGCGTGCTGCTCTCACTATCATACCTGCTTGTTGGGCGCCTTGCAACGCGCACGGAACCAAACTTGCACAGTCACACAGCATGGATGCGAATTGCATGGTGCCAAGTCTTGAGTATGAGTCAACAGAGGATGGTTCTTTCCCTCTCCTGCCATCTGCCATCACTCATTGCTGAGCGCTACCTCTCCATCAGAGCCTCGCGATCCAAGACATCGAACGCTGACTTTGCGGATCGAAGCATAGCTCGTGCTGAAGTGTAGCGCTATCCTTGGATAGAGGCGGTTACTACACGCACTAAGACCGGATCGAATCTGGGACAACCATGGCCGCTCCTTTGTACAGTAAGTGCTTCCATAACCTGTCGCGCGAGGGAATGAGGATGGGCGCGAGCTGTTTGTGAAGGAGAGGAGGAGCTTCATCGATGCTGAGTGCTCCCTCGCTCGTGCTTCTGCAGCAACGGCCTCCGGTCAGCTATTCCATGCGTAAGTGTCTGCCCAAAGTCATTCTCAGAGCATCGCTCTACTGATTCAAGCGCTTACCTTTCCGTTTCATCCCTCTCGATCCTGCATATGCGCAGAGGCAAGATCCTGATAGCCACCGTTGGCTTACCTGCGCGAGGCAAGACGCATCTCTCCCACGCGCTCGAGAGGTACCTTCGATGGATCGGCGTCAAGTGCGCCGTGCTGAGCCTGGGAGATTATAGGAGAAAGGTTCTGGGTGGAGCAGGAAGCGTGCCTGCCGATTACTTTCATCATGGTCAGTATATGCGTCACATGGAAGCCTCCCATGATCTCCGCTTCCGGATCGCGTATTCCCAAAGTGCTCATTGCCTCCCAGCCCCTCCGACACGTTTGATCCAACTCTGCAGGCGCCAAAAGCCCCGAAACAGCCGCATTGAGAGCAAAAGTGCAAAGCGGATTCGACGAGTCCGTATTGCAGTACTTTGCTTCCGGTGGACAAGTGGTCATCTACGATGCCAACAACGGTACCGTATCGCGTCGAGCAGCTCTACGCGAAAAGTTTGGCAAGCAGCTAGGCATCCACGTCATGTTTCTCGAAAGCATCTGTACGGATCAGTCCATCGTCGATGCAAACATTCGCAGCGTCAAGATATCGAGTCCAGATTACGAGAGCTGGAAACCTGAAAAGGCGGTGGATGATTTCAAGAAGCGCATCAAGGCGCACGAACAGTTCTACGAACCTATAGAACAACCCAGCTTCCCTTACATCAAGGTCGTCAATGTGGTGAGTTGCGAGTGCATGTGTGACAGCTCGCATGCCACATGCGTGCTCATTGGCTGCGCAATCGGCGACTTTTTCAGGGTCAAAAAGTCATTGTCAACAACATCCAGGGCTATTTGCAGTCTCGTCTCGTCTTCTTCCTCATGAACATCCACAATAGGAATCGCAAGTGAGTACGACTCGTCGCGCTCATCAGGGCAACGCCGCCATCCTTGCGCAAGCCTCCTCATCATTGGCATTTGTGCTGACACCTCCATCTCCCGCAATTCAACGCCTGCTTAGAATCTACTTCGCTCGAGCAGGGGAAGCATTGATAGAGCATCTTTACAAAGCGGATGCGGATCTCTCCTCGCTGGGCTGGGAGTATGCGGACAAGCTGCTCGAGTTCGTGGAACAGAAGAGGAGCGAGAGCAAGGATCTGGCCGTCAAGCTTGCAAGAGAGGGCAAGCTGGAGAGAGGGCCGGAGGATGATGAGCCGGGAAGCGGACCTGGGGAGGAAGGCAAGGTGCTAGAGGTGAGGCGGCCTTTTGCTTCCCACGAGCAGCAAGGAATGGCTCACATAGCTTCCCCCCTCTGGCCTTGCGTTGCGGTTTGCATCGGTAGGTGTGGACTTCGGCAAGGAGAAGGTCTTCGCACACAGCTCTACCTTTTGCCGAAAAGGGCTATCGCGTCATCGAAAGGTCGCAATTGAGCGAAATGAACCCGGGAGTGGTGGATGGGATGAGTGCAGAGGCTATCAAGCTGCGCTTTCCGGACGAATGGCAAAAGAAGCTCAAAGAGGTGGGTCAGGGGTCAACACAGCGCTTCGGTCCACACCTCGCAATGCTCACGCTGTCAGGCTGTTCTTCACAGCCCTACTCGCACCGGTACCCGCGTGCGGAGAGCTACCATGATTTGTCGGTGCGTCTACGATCAAGCGGAAGGCTTGCCTCACTGCGTCACTCACCGCTCTTTCTACATCTGTGCCACCATCGCGCAGATCCGGCTTGAACCGATCATTTTCGAGCTGGAAAGAGCTTCGACGGACGTGCTCATCATAGGCCAGTCGTCCGTCTTGCGATGCCTAATCGCCTACTTTCAAGTGAGTCATTACTGTTCTCCCAGGCGCATGTGCTGCTTTGTGAATCGCTTTTGCTCACGCTACGTGCCGGTGCACTCGCACGCAGGGCTTGACGCCCAACGAGATTCCAAAGATCAAGGTACGAGAAGGAGAGCTTGTCATTCTGTCTCCTCAAGCGTACGGCACAGCGACTCAAAGGCTAGAGTGAGTTGCGCGCGCGCGCGCACACACACACACACGTCGATGAATTTCGCTCACTCGCATGAATCCTGTTCAATGCGCTTTGATCCTTTCTGCAGCTTTTGGAACCCCGTGGAGAAGCGGAAGAGCCGCGACGAGGCTATTCAAGCCGAGAGCGGCGGTGCTGACGGATTGCCCGCTGCTGGCTTGAGCCTGCACGACGAAGACACGCCAGCAACAGCTGGATTGGGACCGTCTGCATGATGCATACATTCGATCGTTTGATCAAATACTCCTACGTCAAGGTTGACAGATGTACAACAAGTCTCGGGAGCATGAAAAGGCGCAGTCTGAGTCTTGCATGCTCTAGCCTACTATGCACTGTGCGTCTCTTCCACTTGCTCAGTAGTCGCCGTGGAATTGAGGTCGAAAAGTGCTAGCGGGTCTAGAATGCTCCGCTCCGTCGGCCCGAGCAAAGCGCCCAAACTCGGGTTCCCCTCTTCGACGCTGCCTTCGTTGTTCCTTGCCGGCCGATGCATCGGAGGTGGACGACTTGTTCTTCCGCCCGGTAGGACCTGATATCCTATCAGATAGCGACGAAGAGTTCCGAGCGGCGGCATGTTTGCGCGACGTAGTGGCAGTGGAAGGTCTATCGAACCAATCGTCCACGCGATCCTTTGCGCGCTTCTTTCTCCTCGACTTCTTGCTGCTTCCGCTCCGCAAAGAATCCTCGCTGTCCCTTTCTCTTTCCCTCTCCCTCTCCCTCTCGCGCTCGCGCTCGCGCTGCTTTTGCTGCGCCGATTGGGCCTCTCTTTGCTGCAAACGAGCGTTGTGAGGTGCATCGGTTGCATCTTGATACCTCTCCGCCCTGCGTCTCGTCGGCATCGAGCTGGAGTGCGATGAGCCTTGCGCGTTCTCACCACCGCCAACTCGACCAGGTCTGGAAGGAGGTCCCCTTGCTCTTTTATCCCTGCCAATCGCTCTTCCGCTATCGATCAGTTGATCCACGATGCTAGCAGCGCGCCTGGAAGGATCCTGAGCCAGCCTGATAGAAGCTCCGTCTCCCAGATCAAAGTCGAAAGCGTGATTGGTGGATTCGCCAAAGCGAATGTGCTCGTTGGTGCGAGCAGTGCTCTGCGCGAGCGGGGCTTGAGAGGCGAACATGGAGCCAAAGGGACCTGCCAAGGACATGAAGTGAGAATAGGCAGAAGGATCTCCCCTTGCATTGTAGCGCTCTGGGCAATCATCGCCCCAATGCGATCCCCGAGAGGCACAATTGTAGCACCAAATCTCCTGTGTGGCCGTTGGTAGGAAACGCACGTGATGAGCGGCTCTGACAGGCAAGGCGGATGCGAGGAGACCTCTTTCTTCGACGAGCATATCGCCACCAACGCGCAGACTTACTGCTGGATCCCAATCCGAGCTTGGACTCTGCGAAAGGCTTCGTCTGCTTCTCCTCCGCTTCCCTTTGGTTTCACTCTCACGTCGAGAATCATCGCTATCCAGCTTCATATCGCTTTCCGCTTCGCTCGTCTCGCTGTCATCCTCATCCTCATCTTGGAAGCCACGTCTCAACCTCTGCCTTTCCTTTTGTATCCTCAACGCTTCATTCCTTCTGAACCTCTTCCACTCCGCATTCGTATTCCAATGATACACTCTCCAGAGCGTAGGACATCCCTTGTCTTGATGAGAAGAGCTACCGCAGCGTATGCACTCCGCTTGCCAGCGTCCTGTTGACCTGGGTTTGGGACAATCGGAGATGCGATGGCCTGTCTGTCCGCATCGGAAGCAGACTACGCCATGCGGGCATTCTCGAGTCGTGTGATCGTCCAGCGCACCGCAAGCCAAGCACTTGTGATGAATGAGGGGAGAGAGAGACGCACCACAAGGGGTCAGTCGATGACGTGCCCCATCGCATCCGAGGTGCCGAGGTCCTCGCTGGACTTCCTTAATCAGAATCTGTGAGCTGCACGCTCTTTCCAGGCTCGTCACTGCCCACCCCTTGCTCTTGCTCTTCTCTTGCTCACCTGAGAATGAGGACAGCGTTTACCCAAATGACCCGTCTGACCGCATACATTGCACTCGAGCAGATTGCTCACTTGCTGCTCCTTTGCATCTTCATAATACCTCGTCCACCTCGACTGATTCAAGCTGTCGTCCGCATCCAACTCCAATTCCGCATAATCTCCCAACTCTGCATCCTCTTCCTCCTCCTCCTCCCCTTCACCTTCCCTCTGCGCGTTATTGGATGGATCTTTGGAAGGACTGCCTTGTGCGCCTAGTGAGGTGCTTGGATCCGATCCGGCATGTGCTCGAGAAGAGTCTTTGGGTGGGCTAGGTGCGGAAGCGGGACCGGGAGCAGAGTCGCGAGCGAGATCGGCACGGGGCTTGGAGAGGGGATGCTGCGACGGACCTGCTTGTTCGTATGTGACGTGACCAGGCAACAGAAGGCCATTGGAGCGGGTCGAAGCTGATAAAAATGAGCTCGAGCCTGAGTCCGATGTGGGATTGGCGTGGGTGCTGGGAAGGTGCTGTTGGGCACTGATGGAAGGTGAAGGTGCCGTATCCAGCACGAACAGGTCGTCTTGACGCATCGCGGCTGCTGCGTGTGATGGTCAGCCTGTGTGCGTGCTTGTGGCGCAGACGAAGAGGAGAGAAAGATGGGGAGGTGACTGGACAATTCTGTGTGCGCGATGAGGAGGTGGGTGTAGACTTTAAAGTCTGTTCGAGGCTTGATGGGCAAGCGAAGTGAGGTTTCAAGAGGAGGGAGTGGGGGGGGGGGTGCAACGATATCGACGACGCTCAAGGGAAGCTTCGCCAAAGCCTTCTGCTTCTACCACCCCACGACTCGCAATCATCTCCCGTCCATCTTCAATCGATCGCGAAGGCCGTTTTCCAAGGTTCGTTTGGGGGGACCATTCAAAATGTCAGGAAGAATAATGCGAAAGTTGCGAATCGTGCCTCAGAAAGGTGTCATCGAATTCGAGTTGTGAGTTGATTGACAGATTGAATCAGCAAGCAAGCGCCATGCGCGTTGTGCGCTGCTTGCTTGCACTTTGCAGTCTCTCGGTTTCTAAGCGACCAAAACTTCGTCACGTGGTCAGAAGCCTGGTATTCAAATTGTTTGAGACATGGGCGTGAAATTGAATCACGAATTTTGAATGTCAATCAACCGTCGTCAGTTTTAGTGCTGTTTGTACGGCAATTCTTTACTTCTTCTCTACTTGATCCTCTCCTGCCGGCATCTTCTCGACATGCTTCCTTCGCCTCAAGGCTCGTCCTCCTCTGCTGCAAAACCGCCGTGCACGCCTCTCGTCCTTTTGGCGCAGCAGCTGCAAACATTCAGTGGCATTTCACGCTTGCCTGAAATCTGTCTCTGACCTGCTGATGTGACCTTCCACCTGAGCCGCCCGCCGATCCCTTCATTCCACAACAGTCGCGAGCGCACAACATGCTCCGTACGTACACTTCTTGCCATTAAAGACTCGCGACTCGCACGACATCGGACTCGGACTCGGACTCGGACTCGGACTCGGATGACCGCGCATGAAAGCTCCATCAGCACGTGGTTAGAACAGCACGAATGAAGCCGTTTGTGATATTTACCCATTTCAACGTGGAGTGGGCACCGCCGGAAAGCTTCGCGTTGACTTGTCATCTTGGTTCGAGATTTGAAAATCGTCTTTTCTGCTCAGACGAGTAGGACAATCGTGAATGAAATGGTCGTCGGAAGAGCACCGTCGCGAGGCATCATCCGCAGGTCCGCGGCGCTGTATTTCTGCCGGCTGCCCGCGCCTTCCTATCATGTACACAATCAGAATCAATAGCCAAGACCCGAGGGATCGTGCGCCTGTATCTCCGAAAATCTCCGTGCTCCCCACGCAACGTTTGAACATGAGTTGGGCAGACATGGACAATGAAGATCGGCGGTGCAAAGCCGAAGTAGCAGCCAGCAGGGCATTCCTATAGACGATGTGCGTGGTCACGAGGATGCGAACCAAGTTTGGCTGCGCCCTCCTGCTTTGCGTGCCAATCAGTTCTGTGCCGCGCAGTCCTCGGTACGGCGAGCAGCAGCTAGGCACGCGGCTAGTCGAGAGCGGCGAAGGGTGAACGCGAAGGCTTTACTGCATGGGCGCGCTTGCATAGCTGCTGCTGCATGGCAGCAACGGGTCAGGCAAAGCTTCGACACAGGAAACATGCCAGGGGGGGAGGCAGAGGTGAGTGAGTGAGTGGGCCATGCGAGGTGTTGCGCCAACCGACGGTCCGGCATGCACCTCTTTCTGCACGGTCGTCAGTACGGAGATCAGTCGTAACAGCTGAGTGAGAGTCGTGAGTCATGACTACTACTAGACTACAGACTAGCGAGGCGACGACTTTTGAACTCGCTCGGACTGCTGCATGGGCTCGGGCCTGGCGGGAATGTTTTTCTTCTCTGCTTTCGAGTCTGATGAGTGTCCCGAGTGCCTCGCGGGTATGGCAGCCCTTGACGACACTGACCGCCCTAGCGCCATCTCGGCCGGAGGTTCAGAATTCGAACGCTAACACGCAAGATCTTGGACTGATGTGGCGCGCAGGCACGAGCGGACGAGGAGGAAGTTGCTGGGATCAACGGAAGAGAAAGGAGGGAGGCGCTGGGACAGTCTGCCTTGTAGCTGTAGCTGTGCTTGATTGATGTGCCTCGATGCCCATCGGTCCATCTCGTCTACCGGCTGTGCTGGAGGGATCCCCCCCTCTTTGAACCTTCGACTCCCGACACCTTGATGGACTACCAAGCGTCAATGCGATTGTGCCGTGTGGCCGATGCGCTGGCCTTGGCATGTACTGTACTCACAACACGCGCACTGCACGGTATACCAGTCGCCACAGGCTCCAAGTCCGATCAAGCCCCCTTCGACGCTACGTGCGCGCGCGCGCTTCGGAGTCGGTTGGTAAGACTTTGCCCATGCAGGCCAAACTGAACATTACACCACCAGTCACGAGTGCTAAATGTATGGGACTGGGACGAGCGGAAACATGGAAGCCCGGCCTGTCAGCGAAGGCCTCTTCCACAGTCAAGAGTATGTTGTGCGCACGAGCGGGACCGAGGCATTCATCCATCCATCCATATCCGTGGTACCTCTCTTCATCCATCATGCAACGGCGGAGTTCAAGGTACCGGTATAGCGCAATCACGATTCGCACTCGCCTGCTGCATGGTATACAGTCACAGTTACCATCCAATTGCAAAGTACGCGAACCTCTCGTCGTGCCGATTGCGACGCACAATCATCCACGAACCTGCTCAGTGTGTGATATATACACTCGCGAGTCGCGACGCACGAGGCACGACCCTTGACTCATACATTGCGCTGTTCGTCTTGTGCATGGGCTACTATAATGTGAATCACTTGAATGGCTATTCCATGGCTTGGCGTGTGTTGCTCGTTGGCTCGCTATATAATAAGCCATCCATCTCTTGTGCATGCCGCGGCGATCCTCGTCTTGTGCTGGCCGGTGACGAGCCGCGTGCGTGCGGTCGAGTGATGATTCGCACAACGTGTCTTGTCATGCAGCATCCGCTGCTCCACCAGCTTCAAGTGCAGCAATTCTGACCGCGCTGCGATGCATGCTGGCCGCGTCAAAGCAGAAGTATGCCCTGCTGCTGCTGACTGCTCTCGCGCCTCTCTGGCTCGTCAGAAGCTGTGTGCAATCAAAACTCGGTCGACGTATGCGCGCAACACCGTCGTCGCAAGCCCGTCGGCGCCGTACGTGACCTGAATCTGCTGATGCGGACAGTTCGAGTATGTGACCATGCAGCAGCATCTGCATGTCTGATCGCCTCAAATGAAGCTGATTAAGCTATAACGTACAGTTGCGGTATGTGCAGCACGCGCGGGCACAAGGGGCATGAACCCTGTGAGGACCCGCCGCGGCAGAGCCTGAACACCAAAGCAATTGCTAGCGAGCGACTGCTACAGTATCGAGCGCGGACCCCTGAAATCCTGATTTCTTCGCGCGCTAATTAGCTGCACGCGCGCGCCTTGCCGCTGCGCGCCTGCGCCTGCGCCTGTACACACAACGACGGCACCGGCACTCATGCAGCAGCCCCATGGCAGCAGCAGCAGCGGCAAACGAAATTAATTGAGGGATTATTTGACTCGCGCGAGGGCTGCGTGGTGTCGAGCGGCGGGGTGCGGTGACGCGGCGACTGCTCACCAAGGCTGCTGCTGCTGCTCATGATTGACTGCCGCGTGATGCGTGCCGTGCCGTGCCATGTCATGCACCTGTCGCCGTTGCCGTCGCCGTCGACGTTTGGCGCGCTCGCTTGTTCGCCGCCTTCAGGTTAGAGACGTGCCACAAGTTGTTCAGGCAGCGTTGCCATTCTTTCCAATACGCGCATCGCCCCATCCTACCACCACCGCTCGGACAATATCATCTCCTCCAAACCTCTACTCTACATTTGGACTCTTGTTCATTCTCTCTTTCCCAGCTCGCCGCTCAGGAGGCGACTGCTGACTGCCCGAATCATACGCTACCAATCAGGGCTCTCGTCGCCTCCCGCTCGACACACGTCTTGCCCCGTGTGGCACACGTCGACCTATATTCTCAGAAGCCATCCACAGGACGAAGCCAGTGCGAGCACTCGAGTCACCTCTCCTCCCTTCGACTACGCGCTGGTGTCTCTCAGCTTTTGCGGTGTCACCTTTGGACGGAACGGGTCATCACGCCTAGGCGCACACCTCAGCAGACCCTAGGCTTCAAAGTTTCAGTCTCATACACATCCAGAGCGTACGCGACACCTCTCACTTACCATGTTCGGCTCGTCCACACTTCGGCGTAGCAGGGCGCACAATGCCTCGTCTTCTGGTCCCAGCACCAGCAGCAGCACGCGCAGGATGATGTCCACCCTTGCTGCTGGCTGCGCCGCCATGGCCATGGTCGCTACGGGCGTGAGCGCCGAAAAGTCGGCAGGTCAGTACGACAAGGTGTTGGATAACTCGCTGGCATCCGCAATGATGCTCGTGCTGGTCAATGAGAACACTGTCGCCGTCATCGACAAGGTGGAGAACAATACCGACAAACTGGACAACACAGACAAGCCAGTCTGGGCCTCGCTGGTGGATCTGGAAGATTTTACCCCGCGTGGTGTGGATATCACCACCAACACTTTCTGCGCATCTGGTGCTCATCTGGGCAATGGATCGTTGTTGGTCGCTGGAGGCAATCAGGCCATTCAGGGAGGAGGTGCTGCTTTGGCGCAAGGTCAAGATCCCATGACGGGCCCTTACAAGGATACTGACGGACGCAAAGCGCTTAGAATCATGGAACACTCGGATACCAGCGCAAATCTGGAGTGGGTCGACAGCAGCTTGTTCATGTCCTCTGCCAGGTGGTATCCTGGCATCGAGACGTTGGCCGATGGCAGCATCCTTCTCATTGGTGGCGCCACTGGCGGTGGCTACATCAACCGCAACACCCCCAACACCGACCCTGCGTTCCAGGGCGGCTCAATCGACAACCTCGACGCCGGCGGTTCCAATCCCACCTACGAGTTCTTTCCCCCACGACCCAACGATTCCAAGCAGATCAGCCAATTCATGGTGACGACTAGCGGTGAGTCGCAAGTGCGCGCAGGGAGCCCTGGCCAAGAATTGCTCAATGCCGTCGGCCCATGCAGCTCCATTGCAAGGATTGGCAACGCTGACGCAAAGTATATGCTCCTCGTCGCTCAGGTCTGAACATGTATCCCCACACTTTCTTAATGCCAAGCGGCCTCCTCTTCATGCAGGCCAACTACAGCACCACGCTTTGGAATTTCACCGACAACACCGAGACTGCTTTGGCTGAAATGCCTAATCAGGTGGTCCGCGTGTACCCAGCATCTGGCGCAACTGCCATGCTTCCACTGACTCCCGACAACAACTACACTCCAACGATCCTCTTTTGCGGCGGTGCTACACTGAGCGACTACGAGTGGGGCAACTACACTGCTCCTACGGTCAACATTTTGCAGAGAGAAGCATCGAAGGATTGCTCTTCCATCACTCCGGAGGATGCCAACGGGAAGCAGACAGGAGCTGGTTACGTCCACGAGGAGGATCTGCCTCAAGGTCGTACCATGGGTCAATTCATCCACCTGCCAGACGAGACGATGGTCATTGTGAATGGAGCGAACAAGGGCACAGCTGGTTACAGTAACCAGAGTTGGACACAGACCACCTTCAACGGCCAGCCACTACTCACCGAAGGTATGAGCGCTGACCCGACCTACCAGCCAGTGCTCTGGGACGGCAGCAAGCCCAAGGGACAACGTCTCACGACCTCTGGCTTTGGTCTGTCTTCCATCGCCAGGCTGTATCACTCCAGTGCCATCCTTCTTCCAGACGCATCCGTTCTCATCGCTGGCTCCAATCCTCATCAAGACGTTTCCTTGACCATGCCCATCGGCAGCTCTCCCCAAGGATACAACACCACCTACGAGATGGAGAAGTGGTACCCACCATACTACTTCAAGGACCGCCCTCAGCCTCAGGGTCTTCCCAGCTTCATCCTCTACGGCGGCTCTACATGGAAGTTTAAGATTGACGCCAACTTTATGGGCGCCAACGATGCTGCCAATTATCGAGCTGAGCACACCAAGGTGATGGTCATCCGCGGTGGTTTCTCCACGCATGCTATGAACATGGGCCAACGATCCATGCGACTGCAGCACACCTACACTGTCAATGACGACGGATCCGTCGACTTTGAGGTCATGCCCATGCCACAGAACCAGAACGTCTTTGTTGCTGGCCCTGCGCTCCTCTTCATCACTGTCGATGGCGTTCCTTCGCTAGGCAAGTACATCCAGATCGGCTCGAGGTCATTCTCAGGCCCAGTGCCTACCACGTACCAGACTGGCTCCAACCCGTCTCTTCCGCAAGCCAAGCCCAACTCCAAATACACCAAGACACCGCCTTCCAATGCTGCGGAGGAGTTCGGCATCGGCAAGATTGTTGGTATTGCTGTCGGTGCAGCAGCCATCATTGCCCTGATCCTCCTGGGCTTGTGCTGCTGGCGTCGGTCTGCTAAGCGCGGGGGTGCGGCGGGAGCGGGCGCAAAGCGCGGAGCGGCAGGTGCTGCTGGCGCAGGAGGCGCCATCTACGGCATGAACAACTACGCCAACGGAGGACGCGGAGGCGAGTACAAGCGTGTGGACACGCCGAACCCTGGTATGCACAGCTATGGCGGAAACTTGGGTGCGCGGGCGAGCATGGGCACGTTTGACAGCTATGGAGGAAGCATTCCGGGCACGCCTGGACAGAGATACTTTGATAACCCAGGAGCGGGACAGAGGGAGCCTTTGGCACCATCACCGCTTGCTCAGCCTTCGCATTCTCCCAACCCTGCGGGGCAGTATCAGCAGCAAGGATGGGGAGAGCACCAGGCTTCGGGAGATGTGGGAGAGCAGTACTATCATAATGGAGGATATTCGGATCCTTCTCAGTACTACGACCAGCCTAGCCAGCACGGAAGTCGGAATGCCAGCGGATACTCGCAGGGTCAGGGTCAACATCAGCAGAGCTATTCTCAGCAGCACGACTACTTTCGCAGCGAATCATGATGCGGGATATGAAGAGGGATATCCCTGTTCTCGCTCGGGCCGCTGATACGACTCTTGTTCCTGCTCTGGTACGCTCTGCATCTCTACTGTTCTACTTCTCCTAGGCACCCATCGACCGTCAAAGCATATTAGGCCCTCTCTCTCTCTCTCTCTCTCTCTCTCTCTCTCTCTCTCTCTCTGTCCTCGCATTGGCTTGCAAATCCCGGGATCGGATCGCATCAACTCTGTCCTGGAGTCATACACCTTTTCCCTTCATCTCTTGGCCAGACGAATCGCCTTGCGGAAAGCCAAAAGCTCGTCTGCGTCTATTCCGTCTTGCCTCTTTCCGACTTTGGGAGAGCCCGCAAGGGGTGACTATTAGGACAGCTAGAGAGGCGAGGAAAGAAATGTACCTCGAAATGCCTGCGCGCGCTCTCTCTCTCTCTCTCTCTCTCTCTCTCTGACACCCAAAGGAAGAACGTCAGGGTCTGGCTTGGATGATTGTTGGAATGCTTAATTTTCGCTCCTGTCATCAAAGTCCTTGGCACACCTGAACGTCGACCTCCTTTTCTCTCGATCTCTCGCATACCATACACACAGACGCACGATCTTGAGCGTATCCGCGACGCTTTTGACTCTACGAACACTCGTCCCCTGCTCCAGTCACTCGACACGCTCCTTCTCTTTTTCCTTACTTCCTCACACACACTCTCTCTCTCTTGCGCGCGCGCGCGCGCTCACGCTTTCCTGATCTTCTCCTTGTCTCTTCCCCTCGCCCCCCTTCTTACCATCCGCTGACAAATGGACGATGATCTACCTCCAATCGCATACAGTGTTTTGCCCGCCGTGGAGAGGTGGTGTTGTCGCTTTGGAGCAGGAGCATGTGAGCGGGAAGATGAAACCTCTCTCTTTTAGCTTGTGCGACTTTTAACTCTCTTGAACATTCCTCTGGCGGGTTGAGGGCTGCATGTAGTTCTTGGTGCGTCTGAGGCAGGGCAGAAAAGGATGGGGGGAAGAGCAAGGGGAGTGCGTGCGAGTTTGTGTAGAAGGGTCCAGGTATGCGGCCTCGTCACGATGAGAATTTCAGCGAAAGAAGTTTTCCGGATCGAGCTTGTTTGTAGCTAGCTCACCGTGAAGTGGGCGGGTGTACCACGCGACGCTCGCTCCCTTTGGCCCAGCCAAGGCTCGACTAAAAGTCGGGGCCAGCGAACGGTGGGGGGGAGGGGGGGGTTCAGACGGTTCGCGAGCAGAGCAGAGCACGCACAGGACGAAAAGATGTGGGTGCGCGCCGCGCGCGCTGCTCGTCTGCCCCCTTCCTTACCTCTTGCTCTCTTGCTTTTGTCTGATGAAGCTTTGGCTTATGATTTGGGCTTCGGCAAGGGTTTTCGAGGCCAAGAGAGTTCAGATTCGAAAGACTTGACGAGTCGGGTGGGGGTTGGGAAAGACATTCGACTGGGGCATCGGGAAGAAACTTCTTGCGCGCGCGACCCCGGGGGGTCAACGTTCGCCATCTCGTACTGGTACACACAATGAGCACGGCCTTCTATCAGGTCGATTGGGCGAATTTTTACGGCATTTGCCAATGCTTCCCCCCCTCCCGCAACTAAAATCTGAGGCGGGGGCAATTTATGACGTCGGAGTGGGGGAAATTGCATTTTTGTTGGTGGGATTTTTCGTTCGTGCGCGGGAGCTTTCTTTTATGGCCTTGATACTTTGCACGCCAAGGGCTGGTTTGTTGGTGCTTTTTTTGCCGAGTGCGAGTGCGATACAAGGCAGAACCGTGCACATCCGTCCACGTTTACCTGCGCTGAGCTGCCAGGAGAAAGATTTTGTCGACTTGCGAATCGTCGAGACCTTGAGTCTGAGTCTGAGTCTGAGTCTGAGTCTGAGTCTGAGTCTGAGTCAAGAGTTTGAGTGTGCAGGTGTCCAACGTGCCACCGTTGCCAGTTGAGTCGTTAGTCTTGAGTGGTGTTTGAGTTGGCAAGGTGTGAGTCGCGAGTCAGGAGTCACGTGTCACGAGCAGGCTACGAGGAAGGCTCATCAACGGGCATGCATATAGCTATCTTTCCACCATCAAAACCGATCAGCGCTGAATGTTGAATTGAACGATTCCACAAAATAAGAATTCCATGGGAATCAAGAATCATCAGAATCAAGAACCAAGAATCATCAGAATCGTGAATCTTGAATCAAGGTTGCGAGCACGAAGCTATTTGATGGTCTTGGTCACGTGTCACACGAACACCAATCAAAGAATCTCCTCCCCACCCTGCTCTCCTCCATGCCCCCCTCCCGGCCGGCTCTCACCTTGACTCAATCTCCAAGCTCGACAACAATACCTCCCCCCCCCTGGGCCCCTCCCCGTCCAACTCTTTTCTTGGCTCTCGGCATTTTATGCCTCGTGCACCGACTCACGCCCATGTATCTGCTCATGCTTTTGACTGCTCGGCCACCTTGTACATTGCGCTCGCTTGCTAGCCGGGCTGGGCCAAGGCCACTTGAGCAATCGAGCAAGGCGAAGTCAATGAGTGGCAAAGGAAAAAAAAAAAATCAAACAAATTCAAGGGACAAGAAGCAAGAATCGGGGAAGCCTGCCTGGCGAGGCTTGTGTCGGTCGTGGAACTTCCTATAGTCTGAGTGGTATTCGTTCGCGCGGGCGCGTGCCTGCTGCCCTCGCATTCCTCGCACTTTTTCGCCCAAAAGATTTTACGGACTTTGTTTTTTTTTTTTTCTTCTTCCTTATCTCGCAGCTGCTTGCTGCATGCAGCAGCAGGGGCCAAGAGATGTGGCACCTGCGCCCCCCGCCCTGGTGGACTTCTTCTTGGACTCCACAGAATCCACGCTGAGACCGTGACTCACACTGACGGTTGTGCATCTTTTTGTGCGCGCGCGCATCCCTCCCTCAGCACGAGCGGCCGCGGGTTCGCGCGATGCGCATGCATGGCTTGCTGCATGCTGTGGCTTGCGCTCACTCGTCTTTTGCCGTGAAGCTACGGTAGCTGCCCTTGCGAGTCGCGAGTGTGAGTGCCGTGGTGAGAAGTTGATGCAGGCCAGTCGAGGCAGACAGACCGACCAGCGGGGCTTGCAGATCGTATCGTCCAGCAGGCTAGGCTACCAGCACAACAGCTACGGCTAAGGCTACGTGCGATAGGATATGGCTTACACCCTACTTCTGACTCGGCTCGCGCTCGTCGAATCACGAATCGCGCTTCCGTAGAGCAGCTAGGTAGCAAGGGTACGGGGAGGGGAGGGGCCCACACTAGAGCCGTCCAAAGCTGCATGCTCTTCGACGTAGAGGCCTGCTCACGACTCGTTCCAGCTATGAAGCATCAGTGCATGGAGAGTCACAGCTAAAGGCAGGCGTGCATGTTTCGTGGTGGCATTCGTGATTGTTCAGCTAGTCGACACTCACGACTCCATTGATCTTGCCGCTGTAGTCGCGAGTCGTGAGTCGTGAGTCGAAAGGATCGTGCGTGCGGGCGTGCAGGCTACGGACGCGCGTGTGCTGCTCGTCGATCGTGGCTTTGCAAAAGATCCGATGAATGTCTATAGAAGATGATGCATGCGCTCAGCTAGGTTATCTCTGTCCATGTCTGGGCATCGATGTATGAGGTGTAGCATACTGGTCTGGTGCCCGCAGGTCCGGGGGGGTGCTGCAGCTATACGTACGTACGTGATCGCAGCAGCTGTTCCACACAGCCGGATACAGTACGTGGCTGGATGATCAGGTGAGTCGTGAGTCGTGAGTCGTGAGTCGGGAGTGCGTGCATGGTCGTGGGCTCGGCAAAGTTTGCATGCATGAGGACGAGATTGCTTAGACTTGCGTGGTGCCCATCCATCTTGCAGCAAAGTCGCCCGCCTAGCTTAATTGCTATGCTTGCAATCTGAATGGTCCATGGCACGCGGACTGCTGTAGCATCAGCGTCAGGGGCCATACCGCGCGCGCGCGCGCAGCACCGACCCCCGACGAGCTTGCAGCGGCTGCATGGGTCAGCAGCAGCAGCTGCTCGGCAGGCGCGTCCCCACACTCACGACCCAGGACTCGAGACTGCTGCACGGCATGTATGTCGGCAGTCGCGATCGAGTGGCCTGGTGCGGGTGACACGCATGTCGCACATGCCAAGTTCGTCATGCAGTTTCATCTTCCCAAAAGGAAATTTCGATCACGTCACGCACGCACGCACGCAAACAAAGCAAGCAAGCGAGCAAGCGCGCTGATAACGATTTCGGATGCGCGCACGCACGCACGCACGCACTCTTGACCTTCTCCACCTAAACGGCAGATACAGGTTTCCGTAATCGATCAATCGGATCGCTCTCGAAGAGAAGTCACATCCCACTCATACTCTTCACATCCACCACCCTTGCTCGTCATCGCATCTTCATTCATCCCCCAAAACCCCTTCGAACTTCCAACTCGACACTTTGCCTATCACAGCCCGCTATCCACGATGACTTTTGGACCTTCGGAACAGGAACGCGGACGAGAGCCTCGCGTCGCTACTGGCAGGGGAGGCGCGGGTAATGTGAGTAGGTCAGAGGGTATTGCAAGCTGCGTTGGACCTGGGATGCCGATAGATGGTGGATGTCATGGTGTTCGAAGTGCCGATGCGTGCGTGGTAAAGGATGCAGCTATGCTGCCTGACCATGCGCTACCATCGTACCGGCATGCGATCGATCGATCGCACACATACATGCTGACACATACCTCTCTCTCTGCTCATCATTCGCCTCGACACCGTTTATCCCTTCCCTTGCCTTCCTCTCCCAGATCGGTCGGTCTCCATCTCGCGATGCGCGCGAGGCTAGTCGTACCCGAGAGGCGGGCGAAGCGAAAGCTCAAGCAGCCTACGCGGACAAGCAGACCGTCATTCACGGTGGTCGAGGAGGAGCGGGCAATGTACGATCGCCATCTCGCGATCCTACCGAGAGGCTTCGTCATCAGCAGGAGCATGCGAAGGAGCAACATTTGCAACAGGAAGCTATCAAGAAGGATCAGCACAATTTCCACTCGACTGGAAGAGGTGGGGTTGGAAATGTGAAGAGGGATCAGAGTCAGGAAGATGCGACGCGAGGAAGATCCGATGCGGGGGTTGGTGCTGTGAGTGCAATGGTCCTTGTCAGGCTTGGAGAAAAGTTCTGTATGCGCAGTGTGTCTGTGCCAAGGGTGGCGCGATGTTCCGACCACCAGCTCGCTAAGAAGTCGTTGGCTGATGAGCTGTGCGCATCGACTGTTTGCCCCCCGAACCGCCGCTGCGCTGCAGGCCATCCGTTCTCTCTCTCGTTCCCGCTCTCGCGAGCCTCGCAGCTCCAGCACGACTCGGGGCACGGCCGCCAAGGAAGGAGATTTGGCCTCTGTCAACGAGTCTGCAAGCAGCAACAGCACGGCCAATGGCAACAGTGGCGGCAACCATGGTGGCTTGGCTCACAAGATTGCGAGCCACATACCAGGACTGCACTAGCTCAGCGTCGCAACATGCTCTCGAGTGGAGCGGGGGAAAGGGAGAGGGCGCCGCAAGTTTGACGCAACAACCCGTCTCGTAGCCAGCGCCACCTCGTTCGCCAAAACAAATCAGTGCGCACGCAGTTCGACACTTTGAGACTCGAACGAAATTCGAGATCTCGCGATGCTCGAGTTGGTTGCCACGTATGGACGCCACCACCACCGCCATCACGTTGGTGCCGCTTTCTTCTTCTTCTTCTTCTGATTCGGACTCGTCCTCTTTCCCATTTCTGCACTTGCTTTTCCAACTTGGCGTCAGTATCGGAAGAGGGGGAAATTGCACCTTCTCTTCATCCCTGACGCACCCTCCCCGTCAGCCCTTCTCATCGGAACCGCTCTTATGCTTGCTCCTAAATTCCCTTTAACTTTTTTTTGATCGCTGTGAACGCCTCTGAAAGTAAAAACAAACGTACCCACATGTTTTTTAACCGAATGCCTCCCACCACCCCTCCCCCTTTCCCACTTTCTTAGGCAGGTCTCGTCGAACGTAACGAGGAAGATGGAAATATGATGCATGGACCGCTCGCTCAGCGCGTGTGTGCAAAGCAGAAGCAGAGCGCAGCGCAGGAAGCGCGCGCGCGCGCGCATCTTCCTTGCCCCAGCACGGACGTTACCGTGTATGGCAGATGAGCGTGCGGGGTTCACATGCTGCGGGCTTGCGGTTGCGCCTTAATTGTGATGCGATGCGTTCAGTCCCCCCACTCGTGACTTTTGTATTCTTTTGGGTTGCGATGAAAGTTGACATGGGAGGGAGGGAGGGGGATCGAGAGAGTGTGTGGGTGTGCTGCGCGTGCATCTTCTCTTCTGTTTGATTCTTATTCTGCTGCTGCGCATGGTGCTATCTATCACTCACGATTTTTGATTCGGCGGGGGGGTGGGGGGGGGTTCCATTCATTTCTCGCTGCCTAGCTGCATGGCATGGCTTTTTGGTGGGCTAGCTAGCTGCCACTTTGTGGGCCATATATGCAGCATATATGCTTCTTAATTGATACGACCCAGCGTGGCCCTTTTTTGTGTGAGGGGGAGTCGTGAGTGTGAGTGCACAAGATGCTGCATGCGGTTCAATGCGAGTCAATCAAGGTGCTTAATTGCTTGATCGGCGCGGCGATCCAGTTCAATCGCGCGTCAACTCGACGGCGAGCGCGTTGCGTTGCGTTGCGGTGCGATGCGTTGCATGGGCTCTTGAACGGAAGAGTGATTCGTGAAGGGGCGGACGGCGGAGCCTTTGCACCGCTTGTGCCCCCACACGCAAGCAACTCATCTGACTCGACTCGACTCGACTCGACTCGCGCCCGTGCGCGCATGACTTGACTGCTGTGCGCGGCCGCGGGCGGCGTTGAACGCGTCACGACGCAGCAGGCAGCATGCGGCAGCAGCGCGCAACGCGCAACGCGCAACGCGCTCCAAAGTAACACAAACGCGCGCGCGCGCGTTGTGCATCTCGATCGAATGTGATTTGCAACTCGAGCCAACCTCTTCATCCATCTCGATCTCCACCCATTCGTGTCCCTTTCTCAGCGCAGCGCTACTCGATAAATCGCGCACTCGTCCACTGAAAGGAAGCGTCCGTCAACACAGCCCCCAAGTCAGTATTGATATCGCATCCAGAAGCGGCATAGAAGGGCTGTCAATGGAAGACACCCGCTGCATGGACTCTGGACTCTCGATCGATTGTTTGCTTGCCCGCACGACCTTCCACCTCCTCCGACCCCACATCCACGCAAATTCAGACGGCCGCGGCGAGTCCTTTTATACACTCAGGTGTGCGGCCATGAGCGACATGCGCGCGCCATCCTTCACCTCTACCGCTACACCACCCATCAAAGCGGCTGATGTCTCCTCCGGCTCTGCTGATGATGCCAGCAGCAGCAGCTCGAAGCGGGAAAGATTGGCCGATGGCGCTGCTCAGAGTCGGGGTCGAGTTCGAGATCGAGTTCGAGATCGAGTTCGAGATCGAGTTCCCTTGGCAGAGATTGCACTTCCACTCGCAGCAGCGATGCGGCAGGACGCGATGCGATGCACCGCTTCAAGCTCTTCCTCTGCTGATCACGAATCCAAAGCGCGCCACCAAACGCCAGCTGCATACTCCAACGCTTCATCCTCCTCAGCGAGCGGCAAGTATAGTTCACGTGCGAGGGCGCGAGGCTCGGATGGCAAAGTAGCAGAGCGAAGCTTGAATCATCGCTCCGCAACCGCGTCCGCCGCGGCCTCGCGCTCGGGTTCGGCTTCGGCTTCGGCTTCGAGCTCCGAGTCGGATCGCGCAGCTCGAGAGCACGTTTCCCATCGTGCAAGATCCCTCTCTTCTCCTCGCAAAAAACCCAACGTCGCTTCTCCGCTGTTGTTGGATGCGACCAGAATAGCGAGGGATTCGAGAAGAGCTGCGGCGCGCGCAACGGGGCATGATGGGATTGGTGCAAGCAGAAGCGATGAGAGCAGTAGTCGGCATGCAGAATTGATGATGCCCACGCCCACGCCCACGCCCGCGCCCGCGCCCACGCACCTCGACGCCCTGCACCCGCACAGCATCCCGACGACGAGCAGTTCGCCGTCTCATCGTTTGCTCTTTGAGGCCGCTAAAATCGGCGCTCGGCAGCAGGGCGCGTCCAGCTCCTCCACCTCCTTGCACTCTTCAGCGCCGATCGCGCCAGCATTGGCAAGCACTGACAGATCAAATGCACCACGCTGCAAAGGCAAGCCCGACGATGTGTTTGGCTCCAACGACGAAATGTTCCACCTCGGCTCGAACTTGACCGAGAGCCCCAAGACACCGCGCAGCCACGCCTCCTCTCCCTCGCTTTCGGGTGCAGATGAGGTGCGCACGGCGCACGCGCCCTCCCGCGCACCCGCCTCACTACCGCGCAAAGCTCAACGCGTCGCGCGTTCCGCACAAAAAGTCCGAGCATCGCAAGAGGGCTCGAATGCGAGTGCGAATGGCAACGGCGATGGCGATGGCGAGGGCGAGGGCGGTGAAGCGGATGGAAAAGCGCTCTTGTTGCTGCTGCTCGCGCAACCGCATAGTCCGAGTCCTCGGAAGGAAAAGAGGTCTGCGAGAAGAAGGGATGCGAGGAGAGGAAGCGATTTCGTGCTTTTGAATCCACGCTCTGGTGCTGGTTCGTCGGAGAGCAGCGAAGAAGAACGAGAAGAGGAGCCGCAAGTGAGCCCGATGAAGCTCAAATTTGAACGTCAAAGTCCTCCTGCTGCGCCTCGCAACGATCGAGCACAGGTGGATCCTACAAAGGTGGATTTCGTAGTCTATCAGGATCCTCCCGAGCAGTCTTTCGCTTCCTCTTCTCCACGCTCCAGAGATGAGAGCTCGAAGCGGAGCGCAGAGCAAGGCGATGACTCGGAAAAAATCGAAGGGCAACGGCAAAGGGCGGAGGAAGATGAAGGTCTGAATCGCAACGCATGGTCGGATGAAAATGTCCCCCCGCCTATGCCGCCGCCTGACCTTGCTTCTGTGCTCGACATCCTGAATGCGGACGGGCTAGAGCGCAGTGGCGCCGTGCTGGAAAGGAGGCGCGAGGAGAGATGCGCGGGCACAGAGGGTCCTAGCTCAGATGCGTACGTGGACGCGCCAACGCGCGCTTCTCCACACGTAGATGCTGATCGTGTTGGCAACACCTCGACAAAGGCTAGCAGCAGCCACCTGCATTACGCCCACGCGCACGCGCACGCAAAGTTGCCGACGAGAAGAAGGGGCACGGGAGGCAGGTTGAGCTTGTTGGCGGATGCTGCTGCTGCTGCTTCCGTCGTCGCTGGCTCTAGCACTGCTGGCGGCCATCATCTTGCTTGCGAAGATGCAGCTGAAGCTGGAGATGATGGAGGAGGAGGGAGCAGCAGCAGCTGCAAAGGAGACGAATAAAGAGTATTTAGCCGCGAGCGGGCGGGCGAGCGAGGCCAGGCAGGGTTCGGTCCGGGCCCCCCTCCCCCTTCCGGATCCCAGAGTTGAGCGGGGAAGAAAGCGTTTCATCTGCGAACCCGAGACTCGCGATGGAGCTGGGCCTCGATCTGGAGCTATCCAACTCGACTTGCTTTTTTTTTTTTTCTTTTCTTTGTTTTGTTTTGTTTTTGAATTCTTTCCCTTTTGTGGGACAGAGTCGAGTCTTTCGCACATTGCGCATGTTCGCCCTCCCACCTCCAAAGAAATCTCATTCGATACGCACCCTCACCCACGCGCTCATCTCACCCCATGCATTCTGTCGCGAGAAAGTATTGCAATAATTATCTTACTCGTGACTTTCAAATCCTCTTCGGCTACCCCTGCGCATGAGCGAAGATCAGGGCTTGACGAGACAAGCAGCCCTTTGACCATGCGAGAGAGAGAGCTCGCATCAAGCAACGCGCGCCGATGGACCCCCCTTCCATACGCTCCATGACTATTTGCATTGCGACGTAGCGCTCGTCTTGTAAAAGGGGGAAGGAAAAAAAGAAAGCTTACATCCCTACCGATCCGCTCGTCTCTCAACATCAACCCCCCCCCCCCGCCCCACCCTCCTTACTGCTCGGCTTTGCGCTCCTTCAGCTCCATCTCCTCCATCGCGGCCGGTGCAGCTTTGGTCGGTGCGCGCGCAGGAACGGCAATGGGCGGCGCCAGGGCGGGCGCGGCATCTTCGCGCAGGATAGCAGGTTGAGGTAGAGGTTGCGCAAAGTGTTCCCGTAGAGCCTTGTCGGCCATCCGATGCGCCTCTCTCGCCACAGTCTTGGAAATGTGCACCAAAGGCCCGCTCAGATTGAGACGGTAGACGACTGCCGAGTTTGGCGAGCGAGCGAGCGCGCGCGCGCACACACACACACACAAAGTTGAAAAGAAGAGCGGGACGTTTGAGCATAGGCTTCGCTCTGCTCGCGCTTGGATTTTTTCCCCCAGCGAGAAAGCTCGCAAAGAAAGGTGCGCTTCAAGACTCACCGTAGGCGGAAGCGATGAGGAGCAGCAGAAAGGTGAAATAAAGAGGGCTCCTAACCACGGCCAAAAACTCGTTCCATCCCAGCGCGACCATGACGCCATACATCCACACCGGTACCTGCGCAATAGACGAGACTGTGCTCCTCTTCGCCTCTACATAGTACGCATCCGCCTCCTTTCTGAACCTGGCCGAAACGTCCGCTTTGCGCGTCTCTGTGAAGAGGACCAAGGAAGAGGGGAAATCAAATTCTTCATCCTCTCCGCGCTCCACTTGAGCTGCATGCGCTGGATCTTCGGAGGTGGAGGGGATGCTGACAGACAAATCTGGATCCGATGGCTCGATGCGCGCGTACACGGGAATCAGAGCCAGCGTCTGTGCGAGGCGGAGAGACATTGGGCATCAGCGCATGCTGCCCCTTGTCAGCGTGACCTCTCGGACATCAAAGTGAGCACGTTGCCCTCACCTCATCGCGCGCCTTTCGGAACACGCCATCGATATCGTCGTCGGGCTTCCAAACCCTCGGCACACCCTCATCGTCGTATCTAAATCGGTCCTCAAAAACGCTCCGAAGCTTGATGGAGAGCACAGCGTCCGCCGTCTGCTCGTCGATCTTCGCTCGAAGGGCTTGCCAAGATTTGCGTCGAAGGGAGCTCAAAGCTACGGCATTCTCTTCGTCTGTGCAATTGAAGCCTGGCAAGACAAAGACGTGCGACATGGCCCAACTCAACAATCCTGCATGCCTCGACACGACGAGCGCGCGCATGATCCCTACTCACTCTTTGCTTTCTTCAAGTACGCAGCTTCGGCGCTCGTCAGCGCATCTTTAAAAGCGATCAAGATTCTGTCCCACATGTCCGGTCCGGGTCTAGCCAGCGCCAGCTCGGTAGGTTCAGCCGTGATCTTTTTGATGCCCCTCTCGATCTGCGCCACCATCTTTTTGGTCTCGTCCGCTCTGCACTGGTCTGCGATCCCATCGATGGCTTCTCTGAGCTGCTCTTGCTCCTCGTCCGTCGTCCAATCCGTGTCGCTCAACCTAATCGCTAGACTAGCAGCTGCGAATCGGCTCAGCGCCTTTGCTCTTTCCCCCTGCACAACCTCTGCAAAGTCGTAATTCTCTCCTCGCAGCCGGTCCAGGACGGATGTACGGAAGGTGGCCAGCACAACTTTGTGAAGGTTCTTGAGCTGACCCAAGAAAAAGGGAGATAGGGCAGCATTGAGTTTGTCCAGCAGCTCAACGCGCTTGCGCTTGTAGACTTCTTGGTGGTAGCGTGATGCGTCCTTGTCAAATTTGGCTTCCAAACGCATACTACAAGTTAGATAGGCGCGGCAAGGAAAGGCTCTCAAATCAACTCCAACTCACCTAACGCGCTGCCTCTGTGCGCTCCCATGTCCTGACCCAATGTCTCCAAGATGGAGCCAGCTTCGATCGGCTTTCTAAAGGTGCGAATTTGACTTGTAAAGGCGGTAAAGGCAGCGCCAGCGATCTCATCGCATCGGAATTGAGCGAGCAATTCTTGTTGGGTAGGCAGATCCAAATCCTTGTTCGTCATGACTTGCTCCTGCATTCGAGAGGGAGCGCAACGCACCCGAGCGAAAAAGTGTCAGATGGGCGAAGGAGCGCAGCGATTTGTGCCCGTGGATCCTTATCCTGCCAGCGTGAGCCGTCTACTCACCCAAATGTTGCCAAGGTACATGGGAAGCCCATCCGCAGGAATGCGCTTGTGATACTCGGGCCGAAAGACAAATTTGGCATTGTTGCGCTCCACAAACCTTTGTCGAAGCTGCACCACCTGCTTCTCGAATTCGTCGGGCTGCAAGACCTTGTGGGGCAACGTGGTAAAGTCAAAGTCGAAAAAGTCCGTGATCTGCGATGATTCCAGACCCTCGGGCTATCGTTGAGAAGATTCGAGGTGGCTGTTAGGCTCATACGAAGGCCTCGCAGGTGGACAGGCGTTGACCGGAGCTCACCTTAGAGAGGGAATCCCAAATTCTGCCCAGGTCGTGCAGCAAGGTGTTCTTGAGGTTCTCCAACGGCGTCACACCAATGTGATCGCGAATGACGAAAAAGAGCAGAGTCTTGTCCCGCGCCGCTGATCCAGAGCTGCGGCGGATGTGCGCATACGGAGCAGTGACAGAGCGCAACATGAGACGTCTCTTCCGGCGCACGCGTAGCGAACGCGCAATTATGCGCTGTCCTTCGCACTCACCGAGCTCTAGCGGACTGAAACAGGCCCAAATTGACTTCAAAGACGGTCTTGAGCAGTCCCATGTTTGCGCCCTGATACAAGCCCACTTGGATCTCCCACATGTTTACGATCAAGCATTCCGCGCTGGCCATGGAGAAGAGGGCCGATTTGCGCTCGAAGTCTTGGTCTTCTCCCCTTTCACGACCATCCGTGCCTTCTACGTCCATCACGAGCAAAGGAGCTTGCATAGCTCGACAGAGCCAGATACCTGTGCGCGTGCGCGTACGCGTGCGAGGCGTCGAGGCCCGTCGGCGAGTCAGTAAGATTGATGAAACTGTATGCGTGCACCACGAGCCAGCCAGTGCACACAACTTCCACTCACCCTTTGTGGTTTGCTGACGTCTCGTCTCGTCCATCACATCAAAGCTCGTTCCAAACAGTCGATTGAGCAAGGTGCTCTTTCCAGTGCTCTGACTACCCAATACCGCACACAGATTGTATCCGAAACCGCTCTCTATCAAGTTCCATTTGGCGAGATAGCTCGTCAAGTCTGGTGTGAACTTTTGCTCCTCGTTGATCAGATGCATGCGCTCTGCTGGTTGCGCCTCTGCTGCTCCCAGAGTAGGCTTGACGCTGCCTGCTCCACTCGCGCCATCGCTCCCGCCGACGGGCACGATGGGGACTGCGGACGCCGCTGCGGACGCGACGCCGTTGTTTGTTGCGAGCGTCTCGGCCATGTTCGAGCGACTTGTGACTTGGATGCGATCGGGTGTGGATGAAGTTTGATGCGGTGGTGCAATGCAAGCGTGGGCCAGCCGTGTAGCAGTCAGTCGCTCGGCGAAGCGAAGGGGAGGGCTCGCGCGAACAGTAGCGCCAACGTCGGTCAGCTTTGCCCTGTATAGCGATCGGGCAGACCAGAGTAACTTGCGGATGGATCGCCGCTCGATGCCAATGTGAATGTGAATGACTGCTATGTGCGAGCTGGATCGACGATTTGATTGTGATTTGCACGTAGTGGTGAGGATTAGAAGCAGGCGCGCTGAATCAGAATGCCGGGTTGCAGGGTGCGCTTGCCTGCCCCGCGCCCGATCGGCAACGCTGCTGGAGTCAGTTTGATCTGAGTGTGAGTGTGAGTCTTGAGCGGGGGCGCGTGCGCGCGTGCATAGATTTGATTCACGTGATGCGATTCACCCAATCACGATGCACGTTTCACGTGATTCGCCTTGCGCGACGCCGCGGAGAGCCCACTCCAGAGTGGGACGCATATATGATGGCAGCGTCAAAAGCGAGGAATTGAATCAATTAGAAGAATTAAGTCTTGATTAAGAACGGCTAATTGCACGGTCAGGTGACGAGCGCAGGAGCATGCAGCACGGCAAGGCCCGCGCGCGCGCGCGTGTCGCAACAGTCGAAGCTTTCTTCGCGGTGGTGAATCGTAAATCAAGAATGTAAGCGCTTCATTGCCACACGATCCTGAAATCACCTGCTTCACACCACCTGCGATGGCTTCGGAGCAGGCAGGGACATCATTGACAGCATTTGGTCCAGCTTGCACCTTTCTCTATCCGCACTCAGTAGTCTGATCGTCACCGGCTTGGGGTCGTTCCCACTACTCGGCCGAGTCCTCTCTGCCTGCGAGCACCCTGCCTCTTCGTGCTGTGCTGCGCACTGCATTCGTCTCCCCGATTGTCTTTGCCCATCACCCCGATAGTATCCGTCTCTCTTGCCCACATAGCATCGCTGCGCCACCATGCCGCCCAAGAAGCCGGATCTGTCGGGCTACCAGTACAGTGCCATCTCCTCGTTGGTGACGCAGACGGATCGTCGACTGGTAGATCGGCACGATAATGAGCCCAGCGGTGCTCCCGAGTCCCTCATCGGGCGCATCAGTCACAAGGATATGGGCGCAAGGGTGGTGAGGGAGCAAGCGAAGGATGTGGAGAAGAAGAAGCGCAAGGCTATGGATGAGGGAGAAATCAGACTGAACAAAAAAGGAAATGCTAATGGCGGCGCTGGAGCTTCCAATGCAGGAGGTCTGGGTGGAAGCTATGCGGACGTACTCCAAGCTACTGCGGACATCGAAGGTCTCACGTATGTGCCACGAACAGCAGAAACTCGGCAGACGTACGAAATGATCCTCAACATCGTGCTCAGAGCTTTGGGAGACCAGACTTCCGACGTCGTCAGATCCGCGACGGACGGGGTCATCGAGACGCTCAAGCTGGATGATATGCGGGATCACGAGAAAGCGAAGGAGGTTGAATCGATCCTAGGCACAGACATGAGTCAAGAGTCGTTTGGTCAACTCGTCAATCTCTCCAAGAAGTTGACGGACTACTCGGCCGAGGGAGAGGATGTCAGGGATCCTGATGCTGACAAGAGGAACGTGCTGGACGAGGACGGTGTAGCCGTGCTCTTCGAAGGAGAAGATGAGGATGAAGAGGAGGAAGGCGAGACCTACGTCGTGAGGGAAGAGAGCGACGACGAGGACGACGCTCCTGCAGCTGCTAATGGCGATGAGGATGACGATGCAGCCGATGAGGCCGACTCGACCAGCGACGCAGAAGCAGAAGGCGATGCAAAAGTCACCATCGGTGGAGATGGCGGTCAGGGCGCATCCACATCGACGTCGAGCAAGTCCAAGAGTGGGCCAGCGAGCAGGACCTCCGATACACTGACTCCCTTCGATGTGGACGCTTTTTGGCTGCAGAGACTCGTCGCTGCTTCATACCCAGACGAGCACGAATCCTCCTCCAAAGCCTCCAAGGCGCTCGAGATTCTGGCTCAAGATACGCCGGCGCGCGATGCAGAAAACGATCTCATGGAACTCTTCGACTACGAACATTTCGACATCGTGCAGACGCTCATCAAGAATCGCGAATTGGTAGTGTGGTGCACTAGACTCGGTCGAGCGGACGAGTCTTCTAGAGCCGACGTCGAGGTCAGCATGAGAGAGGCTGGAGTCGGTTGGATCTTGAAAGCTCTGCGCGGTGCAGGCGACGCGAGAGCCGGTGCGAAGGGCTCTGCTGCTGCTGGCCTCAAGCCCCTCGATATTGACGAAGATGCAAAAGCACGAGCGCGCAAAATTACCACAGCCGCCGCGCTCGCGCCCGGATCAACCCTCGCACCGCGCAAAGGAGTCGACCTCGAGGCTATGGCTTTCACTGCAGGAGGCCACCTCAACACCAATGCCAAAGTACGTCTACCCGAAGGAAGTTTCAAGCGGAGCAAAAAGGGCTACGAGGAAATTCACGTGCCCGCGCCCGTCAAGAAGGACGTGCCTGCTAGCGAGAGGATACAAATGTCTTCTTTGCCCGCTTGGGCCCAGACGGCCTTTCCAGGGGCCAAAGATCTCAATGCGGTGCAGTCGAAATGCTACCCGATCGCCTTTGGATCGGACGAACCTATGCTGCTCTGCGCTCCTACCGGTGCCGGAAAGACGAATGTGGCCATGCTCACCATTCTCAACGAGCTAGGCAAGTGGAGAGACGAAGAGACTGGAACGTTCGACTTGACCGCGTTCAAGATCGTTTACGTCGCGCCCATGAAAGCGCTCGTCGCTGAGCAGACGGAAAATTTCCGAGCTCGGCTGTCTCACTTTGGCGTCCAGGTGAATGAGCTGACGGGCGATTCGCAATTGACGAAGCAGCAGATTGCGGATACCCAGATCATCGTCACCACTCCAGAAAAGTGGGACGTGGTGTCGCGGAAGAGCACGGATAGCAGCTATACGAATCTGGTCAGGCTCATGATCGTCGACGAGATCCACCTGTTGCACGACGATCGTGGACCGGTTTTGGAAGCGATCATCGCGCGTACCATTCGACGCATGGAGCAGCTCAACGATCCTGTTCGGCTTGTAGGACTCTCGGCTACCCTGCCTAACTACAAGGACGTGGCCACCTTCCTTCGAGTAAACACCAAGCGCGGACTGTTCTACTTTGAAGCCTCGTACCGGCCGTGCCCGCTCCAACAAGAATACGTGGGCATCACAGAAAAGAAGGCCATCAAGAGGTTCCAGATAATGAACGATGTCTGCTACGAAAAGACGTTGGACCAGGCGGGCAAGAATCAGGTCATGATATTTGTTCACTCTAGGAAGGAGACGGCCAAGACGGCCAAATTCATCAGGGATATGGCCATGGAGCAAGATACACTCGCTAGATTCTTGCCGCAGAGCTCGGCGAGCAGAGAGGTGCTCCAGACTGGTGAGTCGATGGTCCTGATGATCATCACATCGAGACGCCTTGCCGCCTTGCCTGACACCCATGCGCTTTTGTTCGCGAATGTAGAGATCGAGAATGTCAAAGACGCTAATCTGCGCGATGTCATGCCGTACGGTTTCGGCATTCACCATGCTGGAATGGGCCGAGCAGATCGTCAACTGGTAGAAGATCTCTTCGGAGATGGTCATTTGCAAGTTTTAGTATCCACTGCGACCCTGGTGAGTTTTGAGCGTGTAGCTGTCCATGGCGGTGCGCGACTCCGACTGATGTGTGCTCCCGTCTTCAAACGCAGGCTTGGGGTGTCAACTTGCCCGCGCATACTGTGATCATCAAGGGCACGCAGATCTACAACCCCGAAAAGGGACGCTGGGCTGAGTTGTCCCCTCAGGACATGCTGCAGATGCTCGGTCGAGCTGGTCGGCCACAGTACGACACATTTGGAGAGGGTATCATCATCACAAATCACGACCAGCTGCAGTACTACCTCAGCCTTCTCAACCAGCAACTTCCCATCGAGTCTCAACTCGTCTCGCGTCTCGCCGACAATCTGAATGCGGAGATCGTCCTTGGCACGATCAGAAATCGGGATGAAGCTGTGGCGTGGCTCGGATACACGTACCTCTACGTTCGCATGCTGAGAAGCCCGGCATTGTACTCTGTCACGGCCGACTATGCCGAAGACGATCCCTTCTTGGAGCAAAAGAGAGCTGACATCATCCACTCTGCAGCGGTCTGGCTGGAGAAGAGCGGCATGCTGAGGTACGATCGACGAACAGGCCAATTTGCCACGAACGACCTGGGCAGGGTAGGATCACACTTTTACGTCTCGCACACGAGCATGTCGACTTACTTGCAGCATCTCAAACCGCACATGGGCCTCATCGAATTGTTCCGCGTCTTTTCGCTCAGCGACGAGTTTAAGCATCAGATGGTCAGACAGGACGAGAAGCTGGAAGTGGGTAAGCTGCTCGAACGTGTGCCCATACCCGTCAAGGAGACGCTAGAGGATCCAGCAGCCAAGATCAATGTCCTGCTGCAGACTTGGATATCCCAACTCAAGCTGGAAGGCTACGTCTTGGCGGCAGATATGGTCTACGTAACCCAGTCCGCTGGAAGAATACTCAGGGCTCTCTTTGAGATTTGCTTGAAACGCGGCTATGCTCGCTTGAGCCACGTCGCGCTGGACCTCAGCAAGATGGCAGAGTCTCGCCAGTGGAACTCGATGACTCCGCTTAGGCAATTCAAAGGTGTCCCGCCCGCTCTTGTGAGGCGGCTAGAGCGCATGGAGTATCCTTTCCACAGGCTGAGGGATTTGGAGCCCAACGAGATTGGAGAACTTATAGGCGAACCTAAAGCCGGTCGATTGGTGCACCGTTTAGTGCATCAGTTTCCCAAATTGGAGTTGCAAGCTTTCTTTCAACCAGTCACTCGATCGCTCCTCCACGTGCAGCTCACCATCACGCCCGACTTTCAATGGGAGGAGAAGCATCACGGACATGCTCAGCTGTTTCACATTCTCGTCGAGGATGTCGATGGAGAGATTATCCTATTTCACGACACCTTTCAACTCAGACAACGCTACGCTGAAGAAGAGCATCAGGTCTCGTTCACCGTTCCAGTCACGGATCCTGTCCCGCCCAACTACTTTATTTCCGTCGTTAGCGACAAGTGGTTGCAGAGCGAAGTTAGGTTGCCCATCTCGTTTAAGAATCTGATTTTGCCGGAAAAGTTCCCTCCTCATACGCGCTTGGAGGACCGACAACCCATGCCGGTGTCAGGGCTGCAGAGCAAGGATGCGCAGGCACTCTTCCAGAATCAGTTTGGCACCTTCAACAAGGTTCAGACTCAAACCTATCATACCATCTACGAGACAAACGATTCGGCGTTTGTGGGCGCACCGACTGGGGCAGGGAAGACCGTCATCGCGGAGCTGGCAATGCTGCGCCTTTGGAACAACAGCAGCGCGAAAGGAGAATCGCAGACTCCTCGCACAGTCTGCTTGGTGCCGTTTCTCGAGATGCTCGCTCCTCGCGTCGCGGAATGGAAGGCCAAATTTGGCGCCTATCGAGGAGGCAGAGAGGTTGTCGGCCTGACGGGCGAGACTAGTGCGGATCTCAGATTGCTCGAGATGGCGGATGTCATCGTTGCGACTCCAGATCAATGGGACGTCCTCTCTCGTCGTTGGCGACAGCGCAAAAACGTGCAGAGCATCGGCTTGTACGTTGCCGATGAGGTGCATATGCTCGGCGACTGGCGTCTTGCTGCCACGTACGAAGTCGTCCTTTCGAGAGCCCGTTTCGTTGCTGCTCAGACTGGCAACGCCACGCGATTCGTCGCCCTTAGCGTGCCGCTTGGAAATGCGAAGGACGTGGGCGACTGGCTTGGTGCGCCCTCTTCAGCAGTGTACAACTTCTCTCCTGCTGCTCGACCTGTGCCTGTGGAGGTGCATATCCAAAGTTTCAGCATTCCCCATTTTCCCTCCCTTATGATCGCCATGGTCAAGCCGGCATACCTGTCCATCATCGAGCATGCCGCAGAGTCGCCTGTCCTCGCTTTTGTTCCGTCGCGCAAGCAGACGAAATTGACGGCCAACGACTTGCTTGCCTATGTCCTCTCGGACAGCGAGAGGGAGAATGGGGAGAGCAGATTCCTCAACATCGAGATGAACGATCTCAAGCCTCACCTTCAACGTCTTCAAGATCGGGAGTTGGCGGAGCTGTTGGAGCACGGAATCGGCTACTATCACGAAAGTTTGAGCAGGGGCGACAAGGCGATTGTTGAGCGGCTTTACAATGCGGGAGCGATCCAGGTGGTCATCGCGAGTCGAGAGACGGCTTGGAGCATCCCTCTTACCGCGCACATGGTCCTCATTCTCAGCGTGCAGACCTACGAAGGCAAGGAGCATCGATACGTCGATTATCCTCTGACCGACGTCTTACAGATGGTCGGCAAGGCAACGAGAAGGGGACCCGAGGGGCAAAGTAGTCGAGTGATTCTGCTCCTTCAAGCCACTCGCAAAGCCTTCTTCATGAAGTTCCTCGCAGAAGGGCTGCCGATCGAGAGCAGACTCGGATCGTACGCGCAAGACTTTTTCAATGCTGAAATCGTCGCCAGGACCATCGATGATAAGCAGAGCGCCGTCGATATCCTCACTTGGACCTTGATGTACCGGAGATTGCAACAGAATCCTCAGGCATACAATTGTCAAGGATCGTCGATGCAACACATCGGAGACTTCTTGTCAGAGCTGGTAGAGACTAGCTTGGCTGATCTGGAGAATTCAAAGTGCATCGCCATTGAAGATGAGATGGACGTTGCGCCTCTCAACCTCGGAATGAGTGAGTCGCCGCCCTCGGCTAGTGTGCTCTACGAGATGCTTACTGACTGTGTATGCCTCATTCTGATGCACCACTACAGTCTCTTCGTTCTACAACATTTCTTATGTCACCATCGATGTCTTCAACATGTCCCTCAAGGAGCGCACAAAGCTGAAGGGGCTGTTGGAGATTGTCAGCTCGTCTGCCGAGTTCGAAGACTTGCCCATTCGTCAGCACGAGGACGTGGTACTTCGACGCGTTTACGATCGATTGCCTCACAAGCTAGACCGCATCAATCTGCAGACGCCCTACCACAAGGTCTTTGTGCTTCTGCAAGCACACTTTGCCCGCTTGAGCCTGCCGGCGGACCTGGAGAACGACCAGCGATTGATCCTCACCAAAATCCTCAACCTTCTCAGCGCTTGCGTCGACGTCATGTCCTCCAACGCCTTTCTCAATGCTCTCGTTGCCATGGAGCTCAGCCAGATGTGCGTTCAAGCCGTTTGGGATCGAGACTCGCCTTTGCGGCAAGTGCCACACTTTACAGCGGACACGATTGCGCGCTGCAAAGCTCGGGGCATCGAAGATGTCTTTGCGCTAGGAGACACGCTTCCAGATCTCTCTGATAAGGAGCGCGACGATCTTCTGCGCTTGGACAAGAGGCAGTTGGCGGATGTAGCGAAGTTTACGAATAATTTCCCTTACATCGAAGTCTCCTTCAATATCGAGGATCAAGATGCGCTCGCTTCCGGCACGCCCATCACCATGAATGTGAATTTGGCCAAGGACGACGATGAAGAGGAGGAAGATGAGGCGAGCGATCCTACGGTTGTTGCGCCTTTCTACCCCAACAAGAAACTGTGCAACTGGTGGTTGATTGTGGGAGATCCTGGTGCGCGCACCCTCCTGTCCATCAAGCGGGTGACCATCACGAAGAGCCTCAATGCCAAGCTGGAGTTCACCCTTCCAAAGGGCACTCATAGTCGGTTGAGATTGTACCTCATGTCGGACAGCTACATTGGCGCAGATAGGGAGGTGGAGCTACCTAACCTCGAGGTTGCGGAGGGAGAGGACAGCGATGAGGATGAAGAGGATGAGGACGAGGAAGATGAGGAAGAGGAGGAGGAAGAGTCGGGCGCTGCTGGTGGCGCTGGGGACGAAGATGTCGAGATGGCAGATGCTTGAATGTCTGCTCCGGTCTGTTCTTCCTGCTCCCCCGACCCCCTTTTCCTTCGCCCTCCTGATGCTCTGTAGAATTAAATGTGCCTCTTGTGACGTTCTTGGATCTCTGTTTGCGCCACGCAAACGTAGTGCATAGACCAATCGCGGCGCTGCTGAGTTCGGTGACGGGCGCGCGCCAGTCCTTTTCATGCGGGGTGGTCCGTGCTCAAGCGCTCGCAACGGTCACGCGCACCGACGTGGCGGTTTTTGTGGGTGCCGATGATGTTGTATTGCCACGTTACGAGCTGGACACGCGGGTTAAAATACTTTCAGATTTCATTTCGGTCGTAAGCGCGTCGCAGGGGAGAGTCGAGTCCACGCAGGTTTCTGATGCTGCATGGACACGCGAAGGTTTGAGAGTGCGAGTGTATGCGCTGTCCGTGGCAATGACCACCATCACGACCACCATTACGTGATTCACGCTCGACGATTGGCGCAGAATACGCAACACGACGAGGCCAACAGTATAGCCGACAAAGATGCGAGCACCCTCGATGCTAGCGAGCTGCCTGGCAACCAGCATCCTTGCCGTTGCGTTGTTGCCGACTGCGCTAGGCAAAGCGGTAGACTTGACGTCGACGAAGGATTTCGACGCCTTTGTAGCGCTCAAGCAGCCGGCCTTGTTGGAATTCTTTGCTCCCTGGTGTGGGCACTGCAAGAAGCTAGCGCCTACCTACGACGAGCTAGCAGCCGCTTTCGGAAACGATGGCAAAGCGTCTGCTACGACCAAGGTGACGATTGCCAAGATTGATGCCGACAAGAATAGGGATTTGGGAAATAGGTTCGCAATCAAAGGTTTCCCTACGCTCAAATGGTTCGATGGACAGGACATCGACAAGCTGGAAGATTATGGAGGCGCAAGGGATCTCGATACGCTGGCCAAGTTCGTTGAGGAAAAGACGGGAAAGAAGAGCAACATCAAATTGCCACCCCCGCCCGTCGCTGTTCAACTCGGCAGGGACAATTTCGACAAGATCGTCCTCGATGACTCTAAGCACGTGCTCGTCGAGTTGTGAGTGTTGCAGTCTCACGATGAACTTGCACGTGTGTCTCACGCGCACGACCGTCTATGCGTCCCTACCCTCCCACACTCCAGCTACGCTCCCTGGTGCGGACACTGTCAAAAGCTGGCGCCCATCTACGAGCAGGTGGCAAAGGACTTTGAGAATGAAGAGGATGTCGTCGTAGCGCAGATGAACGCCAACGATCCTGCCAACAATGATATTGCGGTCAAGCATGGTGTGTCCAGCTATCCAACCATCGTCGTAAGTAGCAGTCTGATCCATCTCGCCGCCTCGCTTCGTTGTGCACTCACCAAATCTTCCTCACTCGCGCGACCGCCATCAGTTCTTCTCAAAGGACAACAAGGAAGGCGTGCTGTACCAAGGCGGTCGCGATGAAGACTCCTTTGTCAAATTCCTCAACGATAAGGCCTCCACCTTCCGTACCGCCGGTGGCAAGCTGTCCGAATTGGCAGGCAGACTGCCCATTCTGGACAGCATAGCTACCAGATTCTTCAACGCCCCACTGGGAGAAAAGAGGCGCGACATCGTCTTTGAAGCTTTGAACATGTTGGAAGATTTGAAAAAGAGACCCAACACGACCAAGGCCAAGGAAGCTGCTGCGGACTACTACATGAAGGTGAGTGCACATTGGCAAAAGTATGCAGCGCCGTCTCTCGGAGGGGCGCTGTGCGCGCGCGTTGTCGACCTTCCTGCTGATGCTCGGCACGCTCTCTGCAGGTGATGGACAAGGTGACGCTGAACCCGTCCTACGTGGAGAAAGAGACCAAACGACTCTCTACGCTACTCTCCAAGCACACGTCCGGTGCCGCAGCTCTGGCATCTAGCAAAGTAGACGAGATTACGCGCAAGGTCAATGTGCTAGGAGCTTTCAGAACCATTCCGGAAGAGAATCTAAAGAGGCTCGAAGAGGTTGCGAAGCAGGCCAAGGAGAAGATGCAGCAGGCTGCCAAGGAGGCTGGCATCAGAGAACCTAGCACGGCTGAAAAGGTCCAAAAGAGTGCAAAGGAGGCTGCGCAGCAGGTAAAGGAGAAGGTGGCAGGTCACGCTCACGAAGAGCTCTGAGCGATTGCTGCACTCTGAGCCGAACATCTGATTGCTGCGCAACGAGAACACTATGTATACCGTGCCAGCCGAAAAGTGGACGCATGATTGACCTAATCGCTCGAGTTGAGATGATCATCTCGTGATGAAGAGGTGTGATGAATTGGTGGAATGTGCCATCCGAGCTAGTGTTCCCTGAGCGTGTCGCCAGCATGGGAAGGCTGCAACGCGCGCGAAACTCCGGCGACTAGCAACAGCAGCAGCAGCAGCGCTCACCTGATGCAGATCACGCATCGAGTCCCGTCGTCGCTCACGCAACGCGCTTGCAGCTCCCTACCAAAATCTCAGATGCCGCGTTCGCTCTCTCTCATCACCTCCGTCCACACCTCCGTCAAAAAGACGTTGGACTCGCGCTCCATTGGCTGGCTGTACGGCTTGCTATCGGCAAGACAGTCGGTGAAGAAATCTTCCGGCACCTCTCCGTGCGACAAGTAGGCCTTTTTGAAATTTTCCGTGCAGATGGAGCGATCACGAGAACTGCGGCGGACGGGGGATGGAGCGATGGAGATGAGTATAGGGACCATGCTTCCCATACGCACGCTCTTCAACGATTGCCTCGAGTGTTGGAGAAAAGAAAAAGAGGGACAGAAAAACAACAACAACGACGACGACAATAATGAAGAGGAAAGGTCTCTTCCCAAAAGGAGGGGCATCCGCTTCCAGTGTCCCACTCCCCACTCACGAATGTCCATACCCGTGATGCCTGATCAGCCTCGCATTACCTCTTCCCAACGCTCTGGCTAGCCTCTCTCCGTTGCGCAGCGGCGTGGCCGGATCGTACGTCTCGCCGATCAGCAAGAGTGGATTCTGGAGCTGATGGTCGAAATCGCCTCGATAGACATCCGTAGGCTTGTATGGGTACGTCTTGCAAGGTAGAGAGCTGAAAAAGCGATCGTCGCCCGAGATGAAAGATCTGCGCGCGAAGAAGGGGTGGGGATTTGAGGGTGCGGGGTACGATTGCAGGCGAACAAAGAGGAAAAGGGGCGTGCGTGAAAGAGGAGCAGGGAGGATCAGATGCCAAGTCTTGCTGCGATGCTGCCTTCCGCACACTGCATGCGACATGGCACGCAAACGTGCTCGCCACCACGCCACTCACTTGGCAGTCATGTTCTTCCAGAGCGACACGTACCACGCATCATCCTGCGCGGGCGCATCGTACGCATCGCCACAGATGATGAAGTTCTCCAGCTCGGTGGATCCAGCTTCGGGCTCCAAGGGATGAGAGGACCACAGCGGGTCCAGCTTCGATTGGATGCCGCCACTTTTGCGCGTCGCGCTCTTGGGCTCCACCAAGCTCGCTAGGCGGTCGGACCAGTGTGAGTCTGACTCTGCAGCAGACCATTGATCGGAGATTGCAGGGTAGAAGCTGGTCTCATGCGCACGTCCATGCCCGCGCGCATGTCCGTGTCTGCGAATCCTGTGCCCGCGCGGAACGCTGCTCTTCCTCGGATCATAAGACCACGAGTCCCTGAGCGCATCGAGCGCCAATGTCGCATTTCCGTTTTCGAGCTGCAAGAGCAACTTGGCCGTATCGGGCCAAGTCTCGGCATTGTAAAGGGAAGCGTAGATGATGCCTATGAGATCATCGTAGCGCAGTACTTGAGGGTTGGCATAACTATCCAAGCCTCCGATCGGGTCGCGAAAGACGTGATCAAGCAGCGCCTCTAGACGGATTTCGAGCGATTTGCGCGTTTCGCGAGATTCGAGCGAGAGATGCTGTGCTCGAATTGCGGATGGCTTGACGGAGAGGGGGCAGTGCGCGCCTGGTCTGACACACTCGCCAATGAAACCATCTCGCCACGCATCCGTCACATTATCCAGCGACGTCCATCCGAATCCTACATGTGGAGAAAGAGGGGGGCCGGTTCATGCAGTCAGCATCAGCGTGCGCCTCGTGGCAGCGGGGGCGACCTTCCAAGCGCGCGCCCCCCCCCCAACGCACAGAGAGCTTCTTCACGCGCACGCACCTACGCGTTCTCGATGATCGATGACGAATTCCAGGCCATCCAGGATCATCCTACCCACCCTTTGAGGGAACAATTGCGAATACGTTTGTCCAAGCCCAGTGCCGTAGCTGACCATGTACGCGGTGAGCGCATCTTCGCCCAGCGCCTGCCTGATGAGATCCACATCGCGCGCTGTTGCTGCTGTGGTGAAGAATCGTGGCAGATCTTTTAATGTGTCCCTGCAAGCCGACCATTCGGCGCTGTCCGCTGCACTAGCCAGTCGAAGCGCTCTAGCAGCAGCTTCTTCAACAGCCACGCCGTCCTCCTCTCCATGCGTGGGTGGAGGTGCGAGGTGATGAGGAGGCAAAGGGTGCTGCTGCACATGCTCCGCGGCGTGTCTCCTGCCCACTGCGCTCTCGTAGAAGACGTTTTTGAGGTAAAAGGATCTGTCGCGGATCGCCGAATGGTTGTAGCACGAGGCGGCGGGTGTGGACAGGTTGACGCCGCGCGGATCGAAGCCCAGCACATCGTACGATGGCGTGTAGTTTGCAGAGATGGTGACGCCTGCTCTGAAAGCGTACGACGTGCCCGATCCACCTGGTCCGCCTTGGAAGAAGAAGAAGAAGCCAAGTCATGATGTCATGTGGACAGAGCGGTGCATCAGTCGCGAGTCAAAGGAGCAGGCCAGGCAGAAGAGATTCGCTGATAAGAAGTGCTGCGGCAGCATACCCACCTGGATTCACCACCACCGTCCTCTCGCTCTTGCGATTAGGATTGGGCGAGTACTTGACAGTGGCGAGGCGCACCACTCTGTCGTCTTGTTCGTCGAGATGATCCAAGGGCACATCGATGTGTCCACATTTCCAGCGCTCATCCTTCCCTCTGTCGCCTGGACAGCTAGCCCAATGCAGGGTAGGCGGCGCTGTCCTGTCGAATCTGCCTGCGTGTTGTGCGGATGCGGATGCGGATGCGGGTGCGGGTGCGGGTGCGGGTGCGGCTGTGGGGTCGCTGGTGAGACCCTTGAACAGCAGGAATAGGCTCAAAGCTACGACGAGGCTGAGCATCAGCATCGTGCACAGCGCGATCACGCGCCTGGCAAAGCTGAGCTGACTCCATGGTGCTTGAATGGTAGGAGCAGCAGCAGCAGCAGCTTCAGCTTGATGCCCCTCTCTCTCGCCCGATGCAAAGCCGAGCAAAGGTTCCCGTTCGGCCTCCTTCTCTCGTGTGCTCGTCTCTTTGCGCACAGACATCTTTCGAGCGGTCAAGACTGTGACTGCCAGCCAGGGTTGATGAAGGGAGTTGGGTGAGGTGAGGTGAGGTGAGGGGGTTAATGAGCAGACATGGCATTCTAGCTGGCCCGGCCCGGCCCATTGGCAGGAAGAAGGTCACAGCCACAGCCATCGCGGGTGGGGTTGCGAGCGCCTTGATCGGAGCTAAGGAAGAGCGCGCATGCAGCATGCTCACCTCGCATGCGCCGGCGGACGCGCCCCAATGCACACGCATCGCCTTCTGTGCGGGAAGATCTGCGAGTCCGAGTCACGTGAGTCCGTGCGCCGCTTGATGGGGGTCCAGCTATTCAAGATTGTGTATATACAGGAGATGCGTGCGTGATGGATGGATGATATATGTCGAACGACTCGATCGTCACGTCACACTCACGACTCAACTGTCACACTCTACAGACGCTCACCACTCGCCATTCGCCACTCACCACTCACGATTGCGAGTTGCGCTCGGTCTGTCATACTCGCCACCGATCAATCGACCGACCAAAGATCAGATCGCTCGCTGTCTTCGCGGCTGCTCCGCTCCCTCTTCTACCGAACAGCACTCAAGTTGAACTTGTGCTGCTTTTGGACCGGCAGCTCCTCAACAAACGGCCCAGACACAAACGCAAGATTGGTAGTCGTCATGGCGGACCGAGAGACTCGTGAGTATTGTTCTTCTTCAAGCATGCGATTCAGACGACGTGTGTCGCGCCCCTTCGATCGAAGCGCAGTGTAGCCGAATCTTTCAAGTTCCAATGAGCCGGATCAAGCCGCATTCATCCCCTCGACACGCTGGCGCGACGCGATCAGGCTCTCAATACATACACACACACACACACACACACACACACACACACACACACACACACACACACACACACACGCACACGCTCACACGCTCACACTGACCGACGTGCTTCTACCTTGCCCTCCCGCACCCCGCGCAGTCTTGGGCATGGGCTTCACAGCCGATCGAGTGGACTGGGCACTGCACGCCACGCGCTCAAGCGGTCTACAGCCCGCCATGGATCATCTTCTTGCTCATTCCGAAGAGCCAGTGCCCGACTACAAGAGCGCGCCTGCTCCAGCCACCACGGCGGGCGCGGCGGACTATGATGATGAGGATCAGGCGGCTCTGATGGACATGCTGGGCAAACAGGGTCAGAGCGCTCAAGATGAGATGATCGAGGGTGCTCAAGAGGCAAAGGTGCGCATACACGCAGCGTGCAATGCCATGTATGCGCGCGCATTGCAACAGCTCGAGCAACTTGGCTAACGCTTTGCCAGTCTGCTCCATCTTTCCATTCCTTTCGAGCAGAGCATCAAATGCGTGGAATGCGGCAAGATCCTCAAGTCGCCCGCCTTTGCCTCCTTTCACGCTGAGAAGAGCGGTCACACCAACTTTGAGGAGAGCACAGAAGAGGTGCGCATTGTCGAACTTGGCCCCTTTGGCTTCGCCCGGAATCTCACGCACTCATTCTCGCTCTCACTTTCTGCCCCGCACACGCCACAGGTCAAGCCTCTGACAGAAGAAGAGAAAAAGGCAAAGCTTGCTGAGCGTGAGTCGATCATTCCGCAGTATTCGCTATGGTGTGCCCCTCTCACTGTTGTACGCTCAACGACATGTGATTCCCCATTCCGGCGCTTCACAGTTCGGGACAAGCTGGCAGCCAAAAGAGCAGCGCAGAGCAAGGATGACGCCAAGGAGGCCAAGGCGAACGAGCAGATCAGACGAAAAGCTGGAAGAGATATGGGAGAGGCTAGAGAGGAGATGAAGAAGAAAGGTGAGCATGCTGAGAACTGCAGTGCGTTGCGGATCTCACGAACCTGCCCGCTTCTGATCCCCCCACAAACACTGCCTATCATCTGCACAGAGGCTGTGAGAGAAGCTGAGAAGCGCAAAGCCGAAGCGCGAGCCGATGTGAGTGGCACGTCCAAGCGCACGAATGACCAGCCAACTCAATGGAGTCTTGCTGTGGTGTGCAGGTCGAGGCGAAGCGGCGAGTGCGAGAGCAGATCGAGCAAGATAAGCGCGAGAGGGCGGACAAGGCTGCTCGTGAAAAGGCTTTGCGCGAAGGAGGTCCAGTGCCCGTCTCTGCGCCAGCTGCATCTAGCAAGCCTGGAGGATTAGCAGCTGCACTTGCAGGTGGCGCAGGGGCAAACGGCGCGAATAACAGCGAGGCACGATTGCGGGTCAGAGCTCCGAAAGGAACCTGGACTGGAACTCTGCCGGCCGACAAGACGCTTGGCGATGTCGCAAAGCAAATTCAGGAGGCTGGAATGGCTGACGGAGGACTGAATGTGAGTTTGCCTTGCCGCAATATTCGTCCTTCGTTCTCTCGAATGCGATTTGAACTGTGGACAGCTTACATGGTCACATCCTTGCACCACACCTACACGCCCCTCTCTCATCGTGCTTGCGCGCCAACAAACAGTTCAGCACCACTTTTCCGCGCAAACAATTCGGATCAGCCGAGCTTGGCAAGAGCTTGAAGGAGCTGGGACTGGTGCCCAATGCCGCGCTCGAGGCGAGCGCCGCTCCCTGAACGACGCGCGCTTCATCGGACTAGAGTCAAGAGGTGCAGTGCGGAGGTCAACCACGACGTCTGGACTGCCTTGGCGTCCTTTTTTCTTTCTTTCCGCGCGCCGCGAGAAGCAGTTTCATCCACAAGATGTTGTCAGATCAGCTCGACCTGTAATAGATTGATCGTGAGGAAGCATTCTTAGATGGCATGTGGACGATCGCACACAAAAGGGTAAACGAGGCGCAGCGGTACCAACGTGACTGGGGGATGCGTACCGTAGGACACTGAAAGCAGATGCGACACCAAATTTGACGCGCCCCACTGCTCTTGAAGGCGGAACGCGCAGGCAAAGAGTCCCAGCAAGCCCAGCAGAGAGAAAAAAAAAGACAGGGCAGGGCAAAGGGCCCCATCCATCTATCTATCTGCATCGTGTACTCAGAGCTTGCTCTCGCGTGCCGAGCTTTGCGCAATACTACTCCATCCATCCTTCAGAGCCTGCTCCACGCCCGTCTTTGTCACTTGCTTTCTGATGACTTTGCCGTTGGGATTGCGTGGAAGAGGAGTGGTGGTCAAGTGGACGTACTGTATAATGTTGAGAGGGGCCGGGGGGGGCAAACAAAAAGTTGAGCAGAAGCAATGGAAGAAGGCAGTGGTAGGATGCCAGTCACGAGTTATTGAGCTAGACTTTTTTGTTTGCAATCTCCGACTCACTTCTGGTCTAGCAAACTTGGGAAGCGTTTGACTTGCATGATGAATGATGTCTTTGGCCTTGATGGTGCGCAAAGCCTCCTTCTTGTGCAGCACCACCACCAGACCTACGCGCTCGCCGTAGATCTTGCAAGGCAGCGGGAAAGCCGAGCAATCCTTCACCTCTGGATGACTAAAGGCTGCATTCTCCACGTGCACTGTGCTGATATTCTCGCCTCCCCGAATGATCATCTCCTTTGCTCTTCCCGTAATGTAGTAGAAGCCAGCTTGGTCTTGCTTTGCCAGATCGCCAGTTCTGAACCAACCGTCGGGCATGAAGGACTCGGCGTTGGCTTCCGGTCTGTTGAAGTAGCTAGCTACTCCTGGAGACTTTATCCACAGTTCGCCCTCCTCCTCGGGCTTTGTGAGGCGGACGAGGGATGTAGGATCGACGATGCACAGCTCAACGGTGGGCGGCGGTAGACCGATGCTGTCTGGTCGATGAACGTAATCGTCGGCATAGATGCCGCAAGCTACACCATTCACCTCTGTCAAGCCGTATCCCTGCCCGACGAGCAAAGATTTCAGCTTGCCAGACACTTCCGTCACCGTCTCTCTTGGCGTCGATGCGCCTCCGTGTCCCATCACTTCCAAACTCGGCAGCGGTGCGCCGCTAGAGACGATTTCTCGAAGCATGAACCCCACTCCCGTCACGCTGTGGCACTTTTCCCGTTGGATCGTAGTGATGGCGTCTTTGAGATCCCACTTGTGAAGCATGCAAAGCTGCCGTGCGGGCGGGGGAATCAAAAATTTGGCTGCATAAGCCCCTCTGAGACTTGAAGGCTGGCTGCACGAGGCCAAAGTTGTCACTCACTCGACTGCCAGAAGCAGTGGTTAGGGAAATGCCAGAGTGTAGTCCCGTGGTGTGGAAGAAGGGAACACAAAGGAGTCTATGGGGGAGTAGTAGAATGTAGCTCTGCCGCGCGTCAGAGTCCATCAGACACAAGATCGGGGGGGCGGAGGCAGGCGCACCACTCACACGCATCGCTGTTGAGCATCAGGAGCAGGCAAAGGCAATGCGCGATGTCTTCTCAAGAATGCTCGCGCAGTGCCATACGAGCTGAGTGGCATGGACGACAAGTTCTGGAAAGAGCGGGGGCGGCAGCGTTGCTCACCTACTCGTCAGCTTGCACATGGCGCCAGGCTAGCTTGTGATCCTCGACATCAGACTCACTTGCCGCTGGGTTGAAATGACGCCTTTGGGTCTGCTAGTGGTGCCGCTGGTGAACAAGATTGTCGATGGATCTTCCGGTTGCACGACGACAGGTGGAGGTCTGCTGAGCTGCAGCGTAGGGCTCCAGCGGTGCTGCAACTCTTGCCAATCAAAGACGAGCGGGCCCAACTTGCCATCCATCCACGGCCGCTTCTCCTTGGGCAACACCATCCTGCCATCTCTGGGGCATACCGCGATGCCTTCCACGCTTCCAGCATGTCCTAGACCCTCCGATAGCCTGGGGAATATCGTTTGTATCCTGTGCAGCCTCTCTGGGTCCAGCAACAAGACCCTGCACTGCACATCCTTGACGCAAAAGTCCAAAGTGTCCGAGTCGCTAAAGGCGTTCAGAACGACGGCTACCCCGCCCAGCAGCTGGATAGCAAAGTACGCAATCACGAATTCGGGAATGTTTCGCATAAGCAATCCCACTTGCGTGCGCCCAATCAAAGCCATGCAGTAAAAGAGGGGGCTCTATGGTAAGCTCTCGCCAAGCAATTAAAGCGGTTACGTGCTGCCATCCATGCAGCAATCAATCAAAGTCAGAGTGAGTGCTGCGGGCGTGCAGCATGGCGGCGGGGCGATATAGGAATTGATAAGGAGACTGAGACCCATGACGACTCTCGTCGCTTAATTGCTACCGCCCACCCGGCCACGCAGCCGCATATGCATATATACGCCCATCAAGATCGAATGTCGGCGGCGCTCAGACTCACCCTTGTCGCCCTTTCGAACAGCGAACTGAGACCTGAGCCAATGAGCAATGATCAAGCTTTGTTCCCACGCCTCCTTGTAGGTCACTCGCACGTCTTCGTACACCAGGTACTCTCTCCTTCTATAAAGCTGCGCAGATATAAAGATGCGAAGGGAGGAGAAGTGTAAAGCCATGCAGGTAGCTCGATCAGCATGCAGCATGCAGCATGCAGCAGGCCACCATGCCCATGCCAGACTCGCCACTCTGCCGCTTTGCTTGGATCGCAAGCATCAGGGAGAGCAGAGCAGAGCAGAGCAGAGCAGAGCAGAGCAGCCATGCATGCAGCCGTTCGAAGCAGACTTCCTTCTTCTTCTCTCACCTGAGCGCATCCAGTCCAAAATTGTGCCACGCTAGCAGGCAAGTTCTTCCACGTCTTGGTGAGCACGCCCTTGATGACCTTTTCCTCGATCTCAAAGGGGCTACCCGGCAGCTTTGTCAAAATGTCGTCAATCTCCTTGACCGGTCGCAAGCTCGCAAATGGCAGGGCTTCTGCTGAGCCGAAAGCCTGTCGAGCGGATTGCCATTCTGCTTCCGGTGATGCAGGAGATCCCTGCTGCTCGCTTGCCCCTACGACGTTCCTCTTGGGATCGCTTGATGACATTGTTGCAGCGATGCTCGACAGAGTGGGAGATGGATCAGTGCGCGGAGCTGAGCTGAGCTGCGTCTATTTGATGCTCTGTTGCAATTCTGCAACCGTAAGGGTCGAGCAGATGGATGCTTGTAGGGGCAACAGTCAAGGGGAGTAGGTGGTGGATGATCGGAGGGAAATTGCCCACGCGCAGCGTTGTCCTCTCAATGTGCGCGATCATGCAAAGCCCATAGGAAGGAGCTCAAGCGAGGGCGGGCCGGTTCTTTATGCCCAACACGTACCGGTACTTTCGTGCCCACTTTCCCGAACAAGGCCCTCCCTCCCTCGGCTACTTCGCTCTACACGTCAGCGTCGCACGCACGCACGCACGCACGCACGCACGCACGCACACAACGCGACCGGCAATCCATCATATCCGCACTCGGATCAATCAAATCTAGACTTTGGACTCCTCCGGCCAGTATAGCCAGCATGTCGAGCGTATGCGTGCTCCAAGCACTACTACGTACTACTACAAGCTGTAGTCGGGACGCTTATTGGCGCGCCAAAACCCCTCCGGCGGGCGCCCTTGCCGAGCTTTCTCATCGGCACGTACCCCGCAAAGCGACGCGGGCGCATGCGTCCTGCTCCTGCTTCGCCGGTTCTGCCGTGCGCCGAGCAACCGGCTTGCCGGGCGACAAAAGTACCGGGCGCAGCAGCAGCCACAGCAGCGGGCATAGTATATTAGCGCACGCGTCTGCGGCTTATACAGCTGCGGTGCGGTGCGGGTACCGGTCGAATGCAAACGGCACGCACGGTCCTTACCCGTGCTTCGTGATTGTACAGCACGGGCAAAGAGGAGGGGCGCACGATTGACGACGACCCTTCGTGATAGCTACGGTACACATCCACACTCGTGACTTGTATATAGGCGGACAGAAGAGAAGAGCCGAGCCCAGCGGTGCGATCGAGATTGCTGAAGCAAGTGCGCGCGACGTGCATGCCAGCAGGATGATCGCGCAGCGGACGCACAAGCCACGCACGCCCTTGCCCCTCCTCACACGGTACGTCGGACCGCGCGCTAGGGCAAAAATCTCGGACCGGAGCTGCTTAATAATCAAGAATGACCCGACACTTGCATACTCAATCACGTGTCCAGCAGTATAATAGCTACGGTCGCATCATGCAGAGATCCATTCACACGTCTCGCGAATCGCAGTCACTGAGTGTGAGTCCAGAGGCAAGACATGATGATTATTCCAAACAACAGATAAAGCAAAGAGTCACAAATTCGTGCGAGATGCACATTGTCCATATCGAGAGCAAAGGCACGCAGGTCGCCAAATGCCTCTCTACTGCTCCCACATGCTCCTGAGATCGTTCATGCGAGCTTTCCCGATCGGTCTGGTCGTTCCCCTTCCTTCCAGCGACGTGGAGACTTTTGGCAGCTTCTTGTCCGATACTTGGTCGTCGTTGGCACGTGCCACAGCCATCGCCTCCTCCTGCGTCTTTCTAGCCCCTACCTTGGCTTCGAAGGCGACGCGGTCCGAAATGTCTTGCCGGGAAGCTCGCAGCTGACCGGATTTATCTTCAGCTCCAGTGACGTGACCAGGCAACACTTTGCGCGTCGATTTGTCTAAAGCAGCTATTGGCGCGCTGCTGCTAGGTGCGCCATGGGACGCAGCACCCGCGCTCGCTTGTGAAAAGACGGGTCGAGGCATCGTCGTGTTGATGAAACCAGCAGCTCGCGTCGCTTTGAGAGGAGGGCTCTTTGGCTGTCGAGAGCCGTTCGATGCCAGGTCAGATTCGATGGCGATCGGCGCGGCGGCGTTCGTCTTGTTTGTACTGAAATCGAGCGCAGGCGCTCCGGCAGTCGACGTTCTCGCCTTTGGCCGCGCGTTCAAAGTCGACGTCGACGCCACGGAGCTGATGCTGCTGCCATCTTTGCCTTCGGCGATAGAAGCCCACATGCTAGCAACGCTCATCACTCTGCCTCCTCTTTCGCGATCAGCAGCTCCCGAAGTGGGCAGGGCTGCTGAGCCCTGAGCAGCAGACTTGGAGCCAGCGGCGTCTGACTGGTAATTCTTCTCCAGCATCGACTTGCGCGCTGCTAGGCCGGTGGCTCCAGACACATTAGTCGAATTTGCTGGCGGAGCAATCACAGATGCTACGATCTTGTCATTCTGTGCCGCCAGCTTGGTGTAAGACGTCACGCTGGCCGTTTCGATGTTGCGAGAGGATGCTGATGATGTGGAGGCGGTTCGGGTAGCTTGTGCAGCTGCCAAGACAGCTGGCATCGAGGTGCGTCGACTCCTAGCAGAGATCGAAGAGGGCTTGGCCGTCAATGCCGAAGCCGACGTGCCTTCTGCGGCTTTCTCGTTCGAGTCTGCCTTTTGGGTCGCCAATCCGCCCGAGAAGCGTCTTGAGGCGGATTGAGTCAAAATCGCGGTGCCGGGCTTCGGCGCGCTTCTCTGGGGCGCGTTGTCGATGAGGGCGCGCAGCGCCGGAGAGATGGTCGTCGACGAGGCTGCATTTTCATGATCGGCGTCGCGCAGATAAGACTGTGGCGGGGTCTTGGGTCCAGGATCGGGTTCACAAGCGCCTAGAGGCGCCGAGGCAGCAGTCGCAGCGATGTTTGCGGAAGATCCGGCGTTGGAAGCGGGCGTTTCGGTGAGCCAGCCACCGACGCGGTTGACCGCCATCTTGTTCAGCTGCCTGACCTCATCCAGATCGACCTCCTTTCGGACATTGCCCGGCACACCTTTACTGCTCGAGGCGCTCCTGTCCAGACTGAGGTTCGATCCTACACGATCGCGCTCGCTTAGCGCGTTGCTGCTCTTGCTCGCAATGTCGGCAGCTCGCGATTCCGACAGCTTTCGCTCCCGTTCCAAATGAGCTGCTCTCTCGCGCTCCTCCCTCTGCCTTGTTCTCTCGCGCACCTCGGCCTCCCTCAGCGCGGCATCTTTCTCGCGTCGCCGGCGCTCAGCGTCAGCGGTATTGGTGGTTGAAGCGCTGGCGACACCGTCTGCCGCGGCACTCTTCTTTTGAGTCGATTGGGCGGAAGAGTTTGCGCTCTGCTCTCGAGCAGCCCTCTCGCGCTCCATGGCAGCAGCCGCCGCTGCCCGGAGTGCTCCGCTTTCTCTCCGCTCGCTAGTGACCTTGCTGTCAGAAGAGCGCGGTACGTTGGCGAGCGTGGTGCTCTGAGGGACGGTGGGGCTAGTGGGGGCTGGCGATTTGAGCCTCTCTTCCAATGCGTTGAGCGCGATGCCCTGAGACGACCTCCTACCGCTCGTTGCTGGCTCAAGCTTCGAGCTCTTTGCTGCGATAGCCTCAGGCGAGGCGCCCCGTTTAGGGCTTTGAGACGGGGCGCTAAACAAATCGCTCGCGCGGGGCCTTGGCGCTGCCTTGGCAGTGTCTTTACCCGAAGGAACCGGCGGCTTTGGCAAGCTCTTGTCGTCCTCTACCACTTGAGAGAGTGTGCGTGCGTCGCTTGTGGGGTGCACATCGGGTGCGGTCTTGAGAGCGATAGCAGCGTCCTCTGGGACCATTCCCATGCTCTTCATCATGGCCTTTTCTCGCTCCGAAGCAGGCGCGACGTCGCCGTCTCCATTCACCATCCTTTCGAACGCGTCCACGTCCCTTCTGGTGACGCTCCCGCTCCCGGTCAGGTTAGCAAAGCCAGCCAAAGCTTTGACACTTCGCACCGTGCCAGCCATCGATTCGTTATCCTCTTCGATCGTCGCCAGACCCGCCAATGGCGCATCTTGAGGCAGACCTTCCACATTGTGGCCATCGCTGGCAGGAGCGGGCACGCCGTGCAAGATCTGAGAAGAGACCAGAGGAGACGGCGAGGAGGCCTGAGGGGTGTGCAGGATGTTAGGGGAAGGGGACGCAAAAATGTTCCTCGGTACTTGTTGCTGATGGTGCTGAGGAGGAGGAATGTCCCGAGCTTCGGGTCCAGGGGCCAGATAGCTACCGCCAGCGGCAGGTGCGCTCACCCTTCGGCCTGCATGTCGACTCATTTGGGCTTCAGGACCCGGAGAGGCGGAGACGCTACGGTGCGGCGGGGCCTGTTGCAACTGCTGACTGGCCTGCAAATGTGCTGGTGGGAAATTGTTCCAAGCGCTCATTTGAGCGCCGACATTTGGTGCAGCGCTGGCCGAACGAGGAATTGCCGCAGCAGCGAATGACTGATCCGGCGCGGGCGGCGTGGATCCTGGAAGCAAGCCATTGATGCCGTGCAGGAACGTGCTGGCAGTCCAACCCTGGGCGTTGGGATCCCATGCATATTGCTGTTGCGCGTGCGGTAGATGGGGCGACGCCGCGACGAGCTGACCAGCGTATCCAGAGACGGGTGGAGCGGGCGCAGCGGAAGCCGGCCTGCTGGGAGGTCCCGCGCTCATGACTCCAGGCGCAGGAGACCAGCCTCGCTGAGCTCCGTACTCTGCAAGGGCGTTCATGTCCGGCGAGCCATAAGCACTAGGCTGACCAAACGTGTGTGGCGAAGGAGGAGGCAGGGGCCCGCGGGAAGGTGCTCGCTGGGGGAGCGCTTGGTGAGAGCCGTGCTGACCCATGGACGAGTGAGGTCTTTGCGCCGTTGAATGGCCCCGGTGATGGGCGTGCTGCTGTTGCCAATGGGCGTGCGTAGGCCGTTGATGCAGATCATCCAGATTGTTCGAGGCAGGTCTCTGGAGACTCGCAGCATGAGCACAGTAGAATGGCACCTCTACAGATAAATCCTTTGCGAAATTGCCCATCTGAGCGCTGACCACCAAGAAGAGCTGAATCTCGAACAGGCGCGTCTTTCGAATGGTTCGCGCGTCACGCGGAAGATCGACTGCCAGATTGACCACCACCTCTTCGCCTGCGGGAAATTCGTAAGCAGGCCCTTTGAAGGATTGAGTGTCAATGACCTCGGTGATTTGAGGTTCCAGAGACGGTCGCTTGGCCGGTTGGCCGGGTGGACCAGATACGGGAAAGCTCAGTCTGCGAGCTACAGCGACTTTCAAGCCAGAGAGGTGTCGCTTGGTGTTGTTCTTGACACCGCAGCGTAGCAGCACGGATGATCCGGCAGTGTGGAGCTGTTCGGTGATGCCAGCCTCGAGCCAGACGGCACCGTTGCCTCCCATGAACAATCGCGTGTCTGCGACGGCCTCGATGGGCTCGGAGTACGCTTCAGAAAATTCATCTTCCCATCGCTCCACCACGGGTGCGTCCATCTTTGCGGTGACCAGCGTCTTTTGATCATTCCACCAGGTCTGTGATGTCGCCTTGATGACGTACCGCAGCGAGGCGTTGGCAGCGAACGCTACCGATGATGGGGCAGACGTGGGAAGTTTAAAGGAGAAAGGAAAGGTGGTGCGGCCTTTCCTCGCCGCCCAATACCCCGAGACCGGTGCGGCGGGCAGGACTGCATTGGAGGGCGGTAGGTGCTCGCCTTGGAAAAGCGTGCGATTGTACAAGAAGATTTGAGTGGCAGCATGATCTCGCGATGACAATTCTGCCGCGGAGATGGGGGAGGGTAGGGGGGAGGGCAGGAGGGCAGGAGGGCGTGTCAATTGCTGCGGCATGCGCGTGAAGGGGAGGGAAACATTGTGTGCAGCGATTGTGCGCTCGCGACTGAGACATGTGCTGGCTACCGACGTGCACTCACCCTCGAAAGCTTCCAGCTCGACTGCTAATTCGCCCAACCTCAACCTCTGACCTGTGGAGCAGGTGAGCTCAAGATGACCGCTGATCGCGCCACCAGCTTCAAAGACGTTGCTAGCGAGAACCAGCTTGAGCTGCAATTTGGGATGCTTCGATACGGCATTCATAGGCGCGGCATCGTGCCACTTCGTCTCTGCCTGTCCACTCCCATTCGCCCGAGCATACGCCTCTTGCTCCCTCTCCACATCCGCGTACGTCTTTTGCGCAGAACGGGAAAGGGGTCGTCGACCTTCAGGCGGAGGAGCGTTGGGAGAATACATGGCTCGAGAAATGTCGACATAGTTGTCAATCTCTGAGGGAGGTGGTGGCAGACCGGCTTCTGCTCTCCAACTCAACGAGCGACGTCGCACAATGCCCGACTCGGAGGGTGGCGCCGGTGCTGGAGAAGCGGGCGTGGGCTGTGGGAAAGAGACACCTGCTTGAGGATATTGCGGAGCAAACATCGTGGCGTGGCGTGGCGTGGCGTGGCGTGGGTGGTCTGCAGTGCGTTACACGAACGGTGCTCTGGGGGTGGGATAGGGGAAGCTGCAAATGCACCGTACGAATCAGGTGGGTGTATGCGATTTGGCTCGTGTTCGAGCGGCCGACTCGGTCGATCGATCGATCGATCGATCAAGCACTGCGCTCGTAAATCGTGATGGTATGAGTGTCGTGAAATCGAAAGTCGTTGGCGGGAAAGCGCAGTCGTGAAAAGGTGATTCGTGATTCGTGATTGTGATGGTGGTGCTTGAGCTGCGAGGACCGCAATGACAGCCTGTCTTGCACATGTCGACGTCGCAAGCATCGATCCAATCAAAGCTGCAAAGCAAATGAACCCATCAGCAAATGAATGAAACGCAGCTTCCGTCACCCGCGCGCACCGCCGCTGTCACACTGACTGCAGGCAGGCAGGCTGCACCCACAACTCAGACTCACGACTGATCGAAAGCGTGCGCTCAGGGGCAACAGCATCCGCACGCGCAGCAACAGCTTCACAAAGCACGCGCATCAGCACAGCATGTGCGCGGAAGCGGGCAAACCAGCAGCAATTTGAATCAAAGCAGCCATCCGCGGAATCGCGTGGCGCGCGCGTATGATGATGATGATGTCTCTCCGCCGCGAGACGGAGGGGCTAAAGGAGAGGCACACGTGACAGAATGAAAAAAGGGCAGACCGCGCGCGGCTATAGCTGCTGCGTGCCAAACGGCGTTCATCGCGCTGTGTGTGTGTCTGCGCGCCCATGGCGATGCACGCGATTCACGGATTCAAGCAGGATTGCAGCACCCTCGCGCACGACCCCATCACGATCACGATCACGTCTTGTCCCAAACATCATCCGTATACTGGGCTGCAACACAGGTACATCGATATCACATCCACCCAAACATACACACGGCTCAGCGCGCATCAAGAAGCATCGATCGCTGATCATCCAAGATGAGTGGTCGTCAAGGAGGAAAGCGTGAGTAGCCAGCCGGGCTGACATGTTGGTGGGGGGCCAGCTAGACGGAGCTCAGCCTCAGCCAAGCCTCTTGCTCGGAGCTGCTTTGCCATCCGCTCTCGAAGTTGACGCTCGCAATGCCTCTCTTCTGCAGTCAAGCCCCTCAAGCAGGGTAAGAAGCAGGTCAAGGAGCTGGACGAGGACGTGAGTAGGCAAAAAAAAAAGGTGGACCAAACAGCAGCCATCGTCTGTCTTCTCAGGTCTGGCGGGATGTCACACAGTCAGGCGGCCAGACACGCAAAACGATTTCCAAGCGCAAACCTTCGCCCACGTCTCTTTGCACCCTGACGCGTTCCGCCATCCTCTTTTGCGCTCTCACAGGATTTGGCATTCCAAAAGAAGCAAAAGGAGGAAGCAGCAGCTCGCAAAGCGGCCGCAGATGCTCTCAAGAAGAAAAAGTAGAGTTGTTGAGTGGGAATGTAGGGGAGGGGGATGAAGACGTCGGTCTGATCTGCAAAGATCGCCAACCGTTGTGAGCTGGAATGGGAACAGCATTGCTCAACAAGCCCACTCTGTCCGCCGCTTCTGCGGCGGCAAAGAGGCAGGTCGTGGGGGGCGCGCATGTATGCGCACGTCGTTGCATTCTTGGAAGCAGCGCAAGGGGGACCAACGATGGAGCAAATCGTGGAAGCGTGTCCGCACACGACTCAGACTGCGCAATACAATGCAAAGCACATGTCAAGCAGCCGCAATCAATGACGAATGGTCTCGGAAGGCGACTTGATCAGATGACGTTTCTTCTCGCTTCTAAGCCTAACATCACATTCTCGAGAAAATGGAAACGGGCTGAAAGAGAGCACGGCAAGCCAGAGCGCTTACAGCAAGAAAGGCCAGAGAGCTTTGCGCTTGCGAGGATAGTCTTTGAACTCTTTGCGATAGTTCTGTGCAGTTTGAGGCAGGGTGGATCTCAGCCAGAGGTCGAAAATAGCCACAGTCTCGCCGCGCACCAGAACTCACACGATGTTTGCCCAGGGCCCAATTGGTCATGATGAAGACGCCCGCGACCGAGAAGAGCGCCGCAGCTGGGCTCAACGTCAGGGCGCTGATGGCGACCCAGCCTAAAATCTGCGTAGAAATGGCCGCAAAAGATGTGTATTCAGCGTAGCGCTTTTCAAATCGGCCTTGGATCACATGCGAGCGCGAGTAAGAGCGCATACACGGGTACTCTCTGCGCCGCAACGTTTAGCTGCCAGCCGATCATGCAGCAGCCGCAAGCATGCACGACGTACCTCGTAAAAGTAGTTGGGGCAGCTGACGTACTCGAACAAGCCCCCACGAGGAATCTTGCGCTCTCTCGTTCCTGCCGGTCGCAAATTGCGCAAGGCAATGTGCGTAGAGTAATTGAGGGTCTCAAAGGCGAGCCAAGCGACTGTGCACCCGATCAACCAAGCGTTCGAATCGCGCAAAGTTCCCTTGAGCTTTGCAGCAGAATTTGCTGGAATGTTGATGCTGCCGCTAAGAAAGATTCCGGAAAGAAAAGAGTAGTAGGCAGTGTTCATGAACAGGTTCAGGATCGGCATTGTGGCGTTTGAGAACCTGTGGACGAAGATTGTCTCGTACTCTCGCTTGAGGTAGTGCAAGGTGACGAGGGTCGTGGACAAGCTGTAGAGAGATGGCCCCCACAAAGTCAACGCAGCGCATACATACGAGCCACGAGAGGCCCCCCCCCCCGCTCCTCCTTACGCCCCGCCATGTATGCTCACGCTTGCATCCGGGATGGCTCGTAATTTCCCCAAATGTGAGGCGCCGCAAAGTAGAGAAGAGGATTGATGATCAGCGGACCACCATACTGCGAGGAAATGGGGGGAGAGGAAGCATGAGCGAGTGCGGGTGAGCAGGTGATTGCGGGTGTTGCCTCTCACAGGCGCAGGAAGGCCCCTCTGGAACTCACCTCTGCCAAGAATACTGTTCGCCAGGCCACTTGTGGACCAATGTCCTGGCAACCAGAGCGATAGGGAGGGAGAGAGAGGAGGATGAGCAAGCAACACCTCGTTCAACAGAGGGATCTGTGCAGGCGCCGACACACCTTGACGTAGAGCGTATCGCCGTTGCGGACACCCGCTTCCGTCAAGCGTTTGTCCTCATCCAGCAAGGCCTTCTTCTCCTCTGTGGTGATGCGCTGCCTCTCTGCAGTCAAGCCGGCATGCTTTTGATGAATGGCCGATTTGAGCTGCTTAAGCGTCGGTTCGTCATTGTTGAGCTGAATGATGAGGGGAAAAGCTGAAGAGGTGGCCTTGTTCTTGCGCGTCTGACGGGACGCTACCGTCAGAGTGAAGGGCGCTGCTGAGTTTTGGGATCGCGTGACTGAAGACATGTTTGGCGCGGAGAGGGGGGCGGACCGAGCGATTGAGAGCATTCATGAGTTTGAGTGGGCTTCGCGGTGTTTGTGGAGCAGAAACGAGGTTTACGCTCTCGCGCATCCTACCCTCGCTGCTCAAGACTTGCTTGATTCTTCTGCCTGCAACGCACGCACCTATGCGCGCCGCACTCGTGACCGTGACGTGACGACTCTCAAGACTCGATCATGACTCAAGACTTTCCTTTCCCTCGGCTCGGGAACTTGACGCGCCTGCATGCATGCAGCATGGGCCTCAAATCAAGGGTCCCGCGGGAGTGGCTGCATGGACGCGTCTCGTGCGAGATGGGATACCATCAGAGCAGCACCAAGCAGCACCCGCATGCGTGCACCAATCAAGCCAATCATGATCGTATTGGAGTGTGGGTGGAGCTTTCAAGCATCTACCTGCACACCATTCATCACCGATTGTCGCGCTCGAGGTTCAAGCCGTGAAGCAGGCACAGCCATCCATCGATGACTTGACGCTCAAGGCGGCTTACAGCTGCTGCTGCTCGAGCTGCAGTCGAATCAGTAGGAGCGCGAGACGAGCCGGTAAGAGAGCGAGAGCCATGCGAGTTACCATTCGCAACTACCAGCCCGTGGGTTACTGGGGTAAGTGCCGATCTCATCTTTCAAGAAAGGCGCAGCGATGCTGACGTGCGCAGTTACTCCTCACTCGGCCCCCTGCGCATACAGTCTGGGACGTCAAGGATCCAGACGACGTGTGCGGCATTTGCCAAAACGCCTTTGACGGAGTGTGCGGCGGGAGCTGCAAAGAGCCGGGAGATGCTTGTCCGCTGCGTGAGCTGCCGTTCGCTTCCTCTCACTTTTTTCGCAATGCCTGAGCGCTGAAGCAGAGTCTCGATCTCCCTGCCTTTCACAGTATTTGGAACGTGCACGCACGTATTTCACATGCATTGCATTCTCAAGTGGCTCGAGCCGATGAGGGAGAGGGGCGAGGAAGGTGCATGTCCGATGTGCAAGAGGCCTTGGGGTGAGTGCTGGGGTTACAAAGAGCATGCAGTGCAGGACTGCACGAGGATGGAAGAGGTGGACCATTTCGCATACCATTTCTTCGCATACAATCGCAAAGACTTTGCTGCTCTCGGACGCTGAAAAGCCTCTTCTCTCCGCAGTCGAGCAAGTTCAAGAAGGAGCAATAAACAAGGCTGCCGATGGTTCCGATGTGGCAGCCTAGCATCTTCACCTCGTCTATGCGCTGCCGGAGCTGAGTCCTCTTCACACGGCCACGCTTGTACGCTATCGCATGATTTGCAAAGATTGAGCAGCCGGCGTACCGCTGCGACCTAGTTCGGAGTTTTGCGGCATTTCAGAAAGCAGGGGAATTACCTTTTTCATCCCGCCGCAGAGCCTGAATTTCAAGCCTTTGTGAAGATGCCTACGGCGTGAGGGACGAGGGCGGCGCTGTTCTCGTCCTTGGGTCTCATGAGCTGCACATCCCTCCAACCTCCAATGTCCCTAACCCACTCTCCCGATGCTCGATCCAAGCAGCACCCATTGGCTACGAATCTCCACATGGTGTATGTCCAAGCGTACTGCTCCAGTCGCGTGAGCGTCGAGCCGCTCAAGACGTGCTCGAACAGCAACAATTTGCCTCCGGGGGCCAGGAGCGACTGCAGGTATTCGAGGTGCGACTTTGGCTCTGGGATGGAGCACAGCACTTGAACTAGCGGGCGCACGCGCGTGCGGTGCAGATGAAAAAGGACGATAACGTGAGCTCAGCAGAGCAGTCGCGAGTCGCGAGTCGCGAGTCGCGAATCACGAATCTTTCATATCGGGGATGCGCGCGCGTTGCTGCTGCATGCATATATGCTCACCCAAAACGATGGTATCGTAGCCGCGCTGCTTGACACCTTGCTTGCGCAGCTCCTCGCGCTCTTGAATGCCAAAGGGTAAAATGTGCACGCGGTCCTTGCGCAGTGCGAGCTCCGAGGCTGCTTTGCGCAGAGGAGCATGCAGCGAAGCGAATGGCTCTAGCAGTGTCAGGGAGGTCACCTACGGAATGCCCCGGGGGGAG